ACACAAGATTACATCGGTTGAGCTACATCGAGCGTGCTTTATGTCCAGAGTGATGTAATCTCTCTTTGACCGCAGCTCAGTCAAATCAGCTCGGATCAACCTACTTTAATCATGGAAATGAATGTCTAGAGCAGGGGCATCGTTCCCATGCAGTGGATCTCGCAACAATGATGATTGGATAAAAGTGGCCGTTAGCTAGCAACACATGCCTGTTCCTAGATGATCCATAAAGTAATTATACATTGACCCTTCCATTCATGCAAAGGTAGCTGTGTTACACAACACGACCCTCTGCATCTTTTGCTCTGCCAGGGTGTAGCTACTTGACAATGAACAAAGACCACTCTTCATATAACATCACGCTTACAAACATAAAGGTGCCTGTATCTCCAAACTTTACAATGAAACGTGGGGTTTTTATTAGAGCAATCTGCTCGGCTTGGCCAACAGCACCTTGTGTGAAAGTTTCGCGTTCAATCTCGCAACTAGCCCAAAAAAATATTTTTTTGGTCGTCGTCGTCGAAGAGGTCGACCCCCAGATCCAGTTTGGCTGGTAGCGACATTGCGAAATCTGGTATTGGCAAGCTTGATCGTGAAACTGGCACCCAAGGTGCAGCCGGCCAAGCCGAGCAGATTGCTCTATTAAAAACCCCACGTTTGATTGTAAAGTTTGGAGATACAAGCGTCTTTATGTTTTACATATGCTGTAAGTGTGATGGAATTGCTTTGTCCTAATGGATGGTGTCGGCTGTATTAACGGAAAGATGAAGAGCTGAGTGAAATGGAAGGGGGTGGTTACACATACGCGTCACTGGCAGGTTGCTGCACAAATGGATGATGATTGCCTTTAGGAAGTACGGAAACAGCATCCAATCACATGAAAAAGCTATTCCTTATGAGAATGACAATGACAATGAAATCATACAGGGACATTTTGTATGTTTGGTAGGGGAGTCATGTATTGGTTGTTGCACAAATCCAGGAGTCGATCAGCATAAGTTAGAGCGCACGGACCGGATAGACATCAATCCCTTCATGTATAGCTTCATTACAAGGGATGTATTCAACTATTATTATCAATCCAAGTGTATAGCCTATTATTGAGGTACATATCGACCACAGTAACTGTAGTAGCAAGCGGGGTGGCGTGTATGCACAAATTGTTGGGAAGCGGGAGGAGCAACAAACAGCCTCTTCTTCTTCACTCCCACTCCACAAAGCAGGGTAAGCTTGTCTCCATTTACAAACTACAACGCATTAACAACTGGCATTGCTTTCAATGTACAGCGTCATTTGGGTTAACAGGTGGTCAATGGCGACACTTTCCAGTTACAGCAAGTACTCGGGCAATCTACTACCCATGACTCAAGCTTCCATTGCAATGCAACGTGTACGTTCCATCACTGCATTCCTTTATTATTCATGTCTGACGTTGTAACACTAAGGTATACGCGTAGGTTGCTGTTCTCTTGTTTATATGAGATTCAGGTGGGAGTCTTTCTATGGTTGTCATCAAGGAGGTACACTCTTGGTATGTTGACACGAAAAGCAAACATCGTCCTGGTTATCTCACCTAGTTGTTATCTTACGCTGCATCTATTATAGCATGAGTACGTTGGATTGTGGTACATGAGGCGGCTACATGGCATTGATCTCAAGCAAGAACGCTGAGCGTATGTTTCACTGGCTGGTACGCATGGTAACATTGGACCAACAAATTGAAAGTGCTGTTAATTAACGACCTTTACAATGAACCAGCAGCAGCAGCATATTATCGATGGCATGGAGATAAGGTTACATGAGGCAAGAATGCTTTTGAGAAGAACCACAAGGTAAAGGAGCTTACTCTGGGATTTGTCGCGTTCAAGAGCACTTACGAAAGAAATAGAAGGGTGGCAGGCTCTCACTCGGCAATATTTCACGGCATGTCAAGGGTGACGACCATGTTTTGTTCATGGTAAAGGGTGCCATTCACGATACCATGAGAGACATCAATCTGAACATGCATCGTACGGCGGACTACCAAGTATACGACACCATCATGGAAGGCTTATTCTTGTGCGACTTGGGGAGAAGATGAATGTCTCTACTGGCAACATGCGGGATCCACAGCTCATGGTGGTAGCAAAGCCCGTCGGTGAAGGACTCATGGCAATACATCACTTGTAATCTGGTGTTTCGTATCATAGCCATTATGGGAGTGAGCGAGAGAACAACACTGGTACCTTGGCATTCTTCGGCGTTTCACATTATTTCTCGCGGTGGCATTCTAGCGGATCATTGCATTCTAATGGCTTATCTGATTCCCAACAAGTACGTGTCATCCCAGCCGCGTCTTTCTAGCACTTCTACTGAAAGTCTTGGTGCTTGTATCCTTGGTGTCAGCATGATCTACTCCAACGCCTTGGCGCTCATTGATAGATATCAACCAATTACTTTGATGGAATCAGTCAGCTCATGTCTCTTTTTATGGGTGGATGGTGCCATCAACAAGTGGAACGTTTGTAGCTTTTCGGAGCGAGGATCCAGCTGGCAGCCTTCGTGTTCATGCAGTCGGTGCCTAACAGCAATTACTATTTCACGCATTCCTGGTCACGAACCACCACAGCCTATCGCAAGCATACTCAACATCACACACATAGTCATTTTCATTTCTTCTTACTATGACTCGAATAAATGGATTGCTTCAGCTTTAATATCATGCAGTAGTACCAGGTGGGACATCATCATCAGTACAACCAACAACACCATCATACCACCACCGCAATGGATGAACACTATCTATTTTGCTATCTACGTAGTACTTTCTTGATCTTAAAACGATCCCTTACTTGAAAGAGTTATAACGTATTGTGCTATTTATTGTTGGCTATTGATAAACATGATCATGGTGTAACAATGATGTTATAGTAATCATCCGATAAGAGTGGGGATGGTATAGCCTCGGTTATTTGATATCTGCTTAAGTCTCGCTGCCTCCATTCATTTGTTGTAGTTGTTCATGAACGCTTGTTTGGTGATCCGAAAACAATGCGAAAAGATTGGTTGTTGCCGTCTCCAAAGCAGCGAGTCGTGGTTCCAGGTATTGGGTACGTTGTTCCAAGTATTGTGTGCGCGATTCCAGATAACGCCAACGTTGCTCAACAAGTTGATGATCGGAAGACGTTCTTGATGAGGAGGATATGGATGGTGCCAAAGTTGCATTATGATTCATAGCAAGAGATAGTCTTGGTTGGGTTGGTCCAGGGATAGGCGTAGTCGGGAACACAAGAGGTTGCCTTTGTTGATGTTGTTGTACTGTTACAGGATGAGGCGTGTTTGGGGATGCTAAAACATCACTTGATGATGATACGCTGGAACGGCTTGACCTCTGCATTACTGGTCTCTCGCTATTGTTTTTCTAAATGATAATAATACGGAGCCATGATTGGTGGTCATTGTATGTAATACCACAAAGGGAGAGAGGGTAGGTACATACCTCTTCAATCAACTTGCGACGTAGCTGTTCAAGCTCTGCACTGGCTTTGGGCGTATTGATCAAATAATAAACCCGGTTCCTGACATAGACGCCTGTCATTGATGCATCACTGCCGCCTGAGCGCTTCGCCTTGACATTATCAGCCACCTGCTTCCATGCATGCTTTTTTGTGCCGTGTGGAGCTCGAAAGGGATTCACTCGTACTGTTTCCTCCAAGATGATACGATCAAACTCTACTCGTGCTGGAAGAGCTCTGTTCTGAGTATTGGATGTTGATTGTGTTGTTTGATAACCATCGTCAGTGTCATCTTGTTGATCATCATCATCATCGCTGGAAACTATAAGGGGCCGCTTTCTTCTGAGTACCATGGTCTCTTTTTGATCTTGATCTTCTGTGGTGCTCCTGGTATCTTGAGTGGATGAGGATGGTGTACGTACGTGATCGTTATCGGCTTCCTATTGATTTTGACACGTCATTGATATTGAGTGGGGGAAGTGGTCAACGCATGAATCTCGAGCACAGACATGCATGCTATTACCATAGACGATGGATTAGATCTGTTTTGTTTCAAAGATAAAGCACCGAGAAGAACGTGTGTATGGAAAAAGTAAAAAGGGAGAGAGCGAGAGTGAGAAAAGAAGCTGTGAAAAAAGAAAATCAACTTTTTGGGCATATAACACACTCCTGCACGGTCACATAACACGCCCATTTTCTCAACGCATCCCCAACTTCAGTAGATGGGAATCGCTCCATAATCATTTCTCATCCAAGATGTTCTAAACGAATGAATAAATGACTCTTTCCTATAACCAATATGACATGAAGTAGCGCGTGTCATCTGTGTATATGGCGTTTTGGGTACGAATCCTAATATGGAAATAACACCATCTGCATGAATACGCGTCGAGAACACAAGTATCAAGTTGTGTTGCAAGTTGAACATCTTTATGTAGGAGAGGTGACGTCTATATACATTCTTCCACTGGTACTACTATTACTGCCATCAGAGTCCTCGTTGAAAGCATTGAAGTATCACGTTTGTTGGAAGCATGCCGTGGATGTTGTGATCCATGTGGTCTACGGTATCTTGATTGATGTTGGTTTTCTATTACTGCGCATGATGAATGTAGGCAATCGTTGATGGCGATGGCATGATGCTAGGTGGGTTGGGTCGATAGGCTGCATTGACAACAACATGGCAGTACGTGTCGATCGCTTTACCGGTTGCTGAAAAGTCGTTGATGGTTGAAATAGGAACATTGATACACGCAGCGCTGCTGAAGAGGATTCACGCGCTGAAAGGTGTTGCTGCCGGTACCCTCTGATGGGTTGCCCATTGCATGGTCGCCAAGATCGGTGGACCTGATTCCTTGCATGCGTGACTTGAAGGAGAGCTACTTGATTCCAGCATTCGATCGCTTCATTGCATTCTGGTGACAAGAGTAAAAGAAAAGGATGAATTCGGCAACTTGTATTCCCACCCCTCATTTACCATAATACCTATTACCCAATCAATACATAGAATTATATGGAAGATGTTAAATCCTTTGCATTGTATTTGTAATGTGTTTGTTGCGTACAGTAAAATGAATGAATATGTACATGTTGTGCAAGATGTGGGGTTAAGAGTGGATGACACGAGAATAATGTATAAATTATTGGAAGAGCTTCTTTTCGTAGCTGTGCAAGCCGTGGACACCACCTTCCATTTGGGCAGAGGCAGTACGCTTTTCGAAACGAACAACACCTTCAGTGACCTTGGTTTGCAACTCATTGATGCTACGAACACCCATATCTTGAAGCGAGTGTTGAAGACCAGTGATGAGGTAAGGAACAAACTTGCGAACAGAGCCCTTGTCAACGACATTGCCAACAACACCTTGAGCCACCTTGACGGTATCACCTTCGCTAAAGTAACGCTTGGTAGCAGCATTACCATCCTTACCACCCTTGTTGCTCATAGCATCAATGGAACCCATACCACGGTAACGCTTGAGACGTTGACCTTCATGGTAAAAGTATTCACCGGGAGCTTCAGTAGTACCAGCCAAAAGACCACCCATCATGACAGCAGAGGCACCAAGAGCAATAGCCTTGACAATGTGGCCGACGTTACCAATACCACCATCGGCAATGGTAGGAACACCAAAGCGGGCAGCAAATTCAGAGACACGACGCACAGCGGTAGCTTGAGGACGACCACAAGCCATGACTTCTTGAGTGATACAGATGGAACCAGAACCCATACCAATACGAAGACCATCAGCACCAGCAGCGATAAGGTTGGCAGCTTGCTCACGAGTAACAACGTTGCCAGCAATCACTTCGAGTTGAGGATAAGTTTGCTTGACCCACTTGAGCATCTCAATTTGGTAGATGGAGTTGCCTTGGGAAGAGTCAAGGACGACAACATCAAGGCCAGCTTCAACCAAAAGAGCAAGACGATCCTTATCATCGGGACGAGTACCAACAGCAGCACCCACCAACAATTGCTTGGATTGAGGCTTCTTGGAAGCCAATGGGTATTCTTGGTTCTTGAGCAAATCGGAGCGGGACAACAAGGCAACAAGAGCACCATTCTCATCGACAATAGGAAGCTTGCCCTTTTTGGAATCCTTCAAAATCTCGTTGGCTTGAGCAAGAGTCACACCAGTCTTGGCAACAACAAGATCCTTGGTCATAATATCCTTGAGAGGAGAGGAGTCATCGGTGTGGAATTGGATATCACGAGCAGTGACAATACCAACAAGCTTGCTTTGCAATTGACCATTTTCTATATTGGGAAAATAAATGGTGTAAGAGAAACGTTGTGCATGTGGCACACGACCACAGACCACTCTTGCAATCCCGATCCATACCTGTAATGGGAATACCGCAAAAACCCGACTTTTCCTTGATCTCCTTGACATCAGCAACAGTGTGGTTGGGAGACAAGACAACAGGATCAGTGATGAAGCCATTCTCGAACTTCTTGACCTTTTGGACCATAGCAGCTTGTTCCTCAGGAGGGCAATTGTTATGGATAATACCAATACCACCCAAAAGCTAAAGAATCGATACATGACAAAATTTTAAGTTTGCATTGCTCTCGGATCACCTGCCGATCCCACCCACACACATCATGTTTTTTATGCCGGGATGAGGCTTGTGTCAAATCCTTTTTCCCGACATTTGACAAATCAAAAAAATAAAGTAGATCCACTTACAGCCATAGCAATTGCCATCTCGGTCTCAGTGACAGTATCCATGGGAGAAGACATCAATGGGGAGTTCAAGGTGATGTTCTTGGTGATCTTGGTAGACAATGAAGCCTGGCTTGCGGGAAAGTCAACATAACCAGGGAGGACCAAGAAATCATTGTAGGTCAAGCCACCGCTCAGTTGAGGATCCAACAATTGGTCAACAGACAAACCATCACGCTCCTTGTAGGTAGCCAAAGTAGCAGTAGCTTGGGAAGGATCAAGGTATGACATAGTAGATGTATAGGGTGGCGTAAAAAGTGGTGTGTTTATTGGGAAAGAATAAAAAAAATGTAGGGGGCGGTTAAGCCCCCCTCTCTCCAAAGGGGCGGTCGACACTTGTTTATATAGTCGTTGCGGGGTTTACTTGCATGTGACCGGTTGAGATGAACATGGTCCAATAAGAGATTGCAAACGCCAATTCACCGTGGTAAAAAAAAAACTTTTTCTATCTCGTGCAACATCCGCTCTCTTTGGCTGGGATGGTTGGGTCGCTGGAAAAACCGGGTCCTGCTGAGATAACAAAAATCAACGACTCAAAAGCTGACATTGCCATGACAAATCTACGCTTGGACGACGTATCATAGCAACGAGTAAAAGGAATTTTATTCATTCACTATACCTATGGAACCTATGAATATGGACTAAGACTGCATGATCCATGAGAACTTATGCGTGTGCGTGTGTGCGAATGACAAATCACATGTTCCACGAGCAAACCAAAAGAAAGGGGAGGCTTAGCCTATTGGGACATTGCGTGTGCGTGGCGTGCTGGTGGTGCAGCAGCAAAAGGCGCACAGGAGTCTGCATAGTGGCAAGCTCTTTTATCTTGATCTTAATTTGAGTCTCTCTCCCATCTCCTTTCATTTGAAAAAGTAACATACGAGGGGTCTAGCGGTCTTTTGTAGCGTTTGCAAGTGATAAGGGGGTATAAGAGATACGATGAAAAAACCAGCACTCGGCCGACCAAGTCTCTACGACAAACGGATGATGGCAATAGTGCACAATCGGCAACACAATTGAGACGTGATGATCCTTCAGGTACTTCTGATAGGTCGTTCTCTCTATTTCGCTTACATGTTGACTCCTTTCAGGGAGGCAAAAAGTGAGAGAAAGGGGAGGATGATCATGACAGAAAGTTGTTTGCACACACACACCGAGGATATGAAACGATCTGATCTCATCCATTGCGTTTGCTGCTGCTGCTGCATTATCATTTCCCCCCTCTCCCTTACTCATAGAATTCAAACTGCAAGGCAATGCCATATGGAATGCATCTCATAAGCAGGTTTTCGATATGCGTCCAAATAAAAAAAGGGATTCGATTTACATTGCAACCGCGTATCACTTGGATTTTGTTGCTGCGTTGGCGATCGATGGATTTGATAGAAAGGAGCAATGGCATCAATCTTTTGGGGTATCAATAGAGGATTTGGTATCGAGTTGCTTGCTGCTGGTGGAGGTATTTACTCCCTAACAATGTCTCCCTGACAGGCCGTGATCCTGTGTTGATCGAGGAGCTTTTGCCGCATCCAGTATACAGTATTTCGTTGAAAAGGATAGATGCATAAAAAAACGACCATGCACACACACACACACATCTCGTACTACTCCTTGCAATAAATACTCGTTATTCCACATCATCTTCTTGATCGTTGCATCATTTCTCTTTTTTCCTCTCTTTCCTCCAATTAATCCATCTCCTCCCCCCTTCCTTTCACTTCAAATGCAACGTTCAAATTCACTGACAAGTCGTTCTGGTTCAACACGTCGATCCAATGTATGCTTGAAGCGTATGAATTCATTGTCTACGCTTAGTAATACATCCACAAAGGTTGATATCATCACAACAATTGGATTATCAATCACTGAACGAAAACCCCCTTCCTGTTTAATAGCAAATTTGGCGATCACCGGGTTATTGTGAGATTCCAAATGTTCTTGGTAAAGCCTATCTCAAGCCTGAGCTACCTTCTTCTCTTGACTTAAGACCTTACGATCCTTCCAAACGAGTATCCAAGGTAAAGCTAACATTGGATGAGAATGAAAAGATAAAAAGAAGCTAACCATTTGGTTGCGTAGCAACCTTGGTATCCCCCCAACCCCTATTATGAAATTCCACAATTGCCACCTACAGCAGGCCACCATCACCATCATCACGCACATCGCAATCGAAAACGTCACAATGATCTCGAGCGAATACTGCGCAAGCTTAAAGTGCGTGTGAGAACATCTGATCCTCGTTTACACTATGGTCAATTCCAAGAAATAGGCACAGGGTATGTATAGGTGTACTCCCATCATCAGCATCAGCATCATCCCCACATAGACGTGCATATCTTTTTTTCTTTTTCTCTCTCCTACAAATGCCAAGAGTGCATGCATGCTAATTTTTGATTGCATATTCACAGCGTCAATGGTGCCGTTGTACGAGCTCGTATGCACAAAAAGCCTCACATACAAGTCGCCATCAAACGATGCATCCTTTATCCTGATAGGGCCTATCGTGCAGCTGTAGCACGAGAATTGTGCATCATGGCAACAAGGCATCCCCACCTTATTCGACTTCGTGAAGCTGTTATTTGGCATGACGATGTTTGGATCACCATGGACCTGATGCGGTGTTCGGTCTTTTCGGTATTATGCCGTCGTGGCCTACCTGAAAATCACACTGTCCACATTATTTGTCAAACCCTCAAAGCACTTGATTATTTACATGCCTCGGGATACATGCATCGCGATGTCAAATGTGAAAACATCCTTTTAGGTCGGGATGGCCAAGTCAAATTAGGTATGTGCGTTTGTTTGTTTCACTCTTTCCCCCCCTTCTGGAACAACAACAGCAAGGGATCGGCCCTTGGTTCTTATTTGGCAACTAAATTTTTTTTCTCTTTCTCCCAAATAGCTGATTTTGGCTTATCAGCATGCATTGATCGTCGCAATTGCGAACGTTTGGGAACCAACAAGTGGTAAGAAAGTTAAACCTTATGAGCATAATGAAATGGCACCGTTAATGAATGTGTGCTTTACCTTATCCTAGGATGGCACCTGAATTGATATTGCAACAAGTCTATGATGAAAAGATCGATATGTGGTCGTTGGGTATAACCATTATTGAAATGATGGATCGTGTCCCACCCCATTACTTGATCAAAGATGAGCGAGAACTCTTTGAGATCATCACATGTGAACCTGGCCCTACATTTACATACAGCTATCCATCCATTTACACGCGTGGCTTGGTGGCATGGCTGTTGGACCATAATCCTCAATCTCGACCGAGTGCCAATGATGTCCTACTGGTAAGCGAACAATGAATGGGTTTCTCTTTTTCTCTGTTTCTGTGATCAAGTAACACAAGAAGCGCGCCAAACTTACATACCTTTTCATCCTTATCAGGAATTGGATGTGCACGTCAAAAGCAATCTTTTGCCATGTTCATCTTCAGAAGAGTTATCTCAATTCTTGTACAAGGTGCTTCCATGAAGACGTTATCATTGTATGTGTATGTATGTGTGGAGATAAAGACACAGGTTGTACATGGTTCCTGTTCCTGGGATATCGGTTTTTTCTTTATTACTCTTTTTGACAAAAGTGCAATGATCGAATTGTGCAACAGTGACACAAGGAAAAAGGGATCATTTCCCTCTTCCTCCGCCCCTTTGTGTGCTCCGAACCAAAACATAATCATAATTTCGGATGGGCTTTAGACTCACTCCACTTATTCCACTACTACTACCCTCACTCTCCTATTGTATCGGAGCACAGCCCAATTAGGGTCCTTACGATTCTCTGTGTCTTTTTTTTCTAATCCACATCGGGTCTAATTTCCTTTTCCTTTCTTTCTCTCTCTCAGCTTTTTCTTTTTTTTTTCTTCTTTCTCTCTTTTTTCATATCATCCGTGGAGTTGATTTGTGTATTTCATGGGCAATCAAGCCAGTAAAGCAGCAGCCGAAAAGAAACGTCGCCATCGACGTAGCACGCTTACGACACAGTCGCACATGTCACAGGGCAATTACAACTGGCTTGAGGAAAATGAACACACGGCCCTCAGTGCAGGTGCCATCAGTGAAGCTATGGCCGCTGCTGCTGTTTCCTCTGTTCCACAAGAACCCCCACGTCGTAAATCGATCACTGAGTTCTTTACTAAACGAAAGCAAGCTGTTGATTTTCGAGAATACGATCGTTTACAACGCCAGGTACTAAACTACGACTACAACGGCCCCAATCACTACAACCATAGAATGCTTAAATCTCTTTATTGTCTTTAGCATTATTTGTTAAAGAGTGCTCGTAAAGCGAATATATGGTCACCCATCGATCCCGATGCTGTGCCTGGTGGCATGACGATTGTCGACATTGGAACCGGGAATGGCATTTGGGCCTTGGAAATGGCGCAACGACACTTGACGAGTCATATCATTGGTATCGATCTCAAGAATCCACCTGATCATGCAGCACGACCCAAGAATTTGAATTACGTTCAAGCCGACATCCATCAGTATCCATGGCCATTAGAAGATGCCTCTGTCGATTTGTAAGTGATGATGACTCTTTTTGTTATACGAATGATACACTGACATCATATCTGGATCAAGTATTTTCCAACGCAACATGAGCACCGAAATCCAGCGGAACCAATGGCTGCCATTGTTTCGGGAAATGTTGCGGGTTCTTAAGCCTGGTGGTCATATTGAAATCCTCGAACCCGATCCGGCACCCCACAATCCAGGTCCCGTTCAACAAGCCTTTGATGGGTTTCTTCGGACACAATGGTCGGATAATGGCTATGATTATCTCTTTGCATCATCCATTGAAGATCAATTATCTCAAGTCGGCTTTGAAGAAATTGATATCAGGACATTGGATATCCCTATCGGTGAATGGCCTGATGAATCAGGTAAGTGGGTTAGTCCCATTAGAATGGCTTTATATTAATCCAAGAATCGGTTGTTTCATTTCTATATAGAACTCAAGCAATTTGGTTTCATCAATAAGGAAACACAAAAGGCGTACTTTAAAAACCGCAAACAAGAGTTCTCATCTCAATGGGGTATCGCTTCAGAAGACTATGATCAAGCTGTTCAAGAGATAATGGAAGAATTCGATGACTATCATGGATTTTCTCGTTATCATTGTTGGATGGCTCTCAAACCAGCAACAACCCAACAACAACAACAAGCATCAGCGACTTCTTAGTATACAACTCACGTAATCCATATCACCTCGCTTTCTCATCCCCATCACCTTCGACATGTTCCTTATCAACCCGTCGCCGTGCGTTGTCGTACCTTATCGAATGCTTCACATCATCCATCAACCTCCGCCCACGTATATAGACAACCCAATTATTTCTTAATCGCACGCGTATACACACATAGACCCATATACTTGCCAGTCTTTCACCCAAACCCTTCCCTTATCACCCCCCTCGACAAAAAAACTCCACGTTTTTAGCCTTTTGCATGTTGTAATATCTTTTTTATCCTTTTATCCGCATGTCAATAGATTGTACATTTTGTTGGAATTCATGAGAATGTTTGTGTTGTTCTTCTTTAATGTTCCATAAAGAAAGTTGTATGAAAAAAGTTGCGGGGGCAATGATATATATAAAGATGTGTGTCTAATGCGTGTTTGCGGTTTTGAGATGTTTGGAGGTGGCAATGGCCAGTAATTCATTAAACTCGCCACTACGCTCGCACATTTGTTTGAAGATGCCATTGTCGCGATGCATGAGGTTGTAAGGTGTATCAAACTCCATGATTTGGCCTTGATCAAGTACAAGGATACGATCATAATCAGCCACTGTACGAATACGATGAGCGATACACAATAAGGAGGATTCGCCAAACTCGGCACGAATCGTTTGTTGGATTTGATGATCCGTGTCAAAATCAACGGATGATGTAGCCTCGTCAAGGATAATAAGCTTGGAGCGTTTGACAAGTGCACGGGCCAAAGCAATCAGCTGACGTTGACCTTGTGACCAATTGCTGCCATTCTCAAGTACAGGTGAATCCAAGGTGATTTGTTGTTCTTCACTGGCATTGTCGATAAGATGGGATTGCTTCAAGGCTGCCCATAACTCGGCATCATCGTGCTGACTGAAAGGATCCAGGTTGGTACGCAAAGTACCAGAGAATAAAACTGGGTCTTGGGGAATAATAGTAAGACGTGATCTCAAATCTTCAAGACCAATCTTGCCGATATCAACACCATCCACAATGATTTGACCAGCACTAGGCTCCATGAATCGGAAAAGAGACAAGGTCAAGGTAGACTTGCCACTACCAGTACGTCCAACAATACCCACTTTTTCACGTGGACGCGTCTCAAAGCTAATGTTGCGTAACACGGCAGGACCATCGGATGTATATCGCATTTCGAGATCACGGACTTGGATAGCACCTGTTTCGGGCCAGCTGTGAGGAGGACATGTGGCTGGAATATGTACAGGGGGTTCTTCTTCAATATCCAAATACTCATGTACACGTTCAATGGCATTCATGTTCATCTCATTCATAGCATAGGTACGCACCACCCACAAGACGTGATGAGTAAATGTAAGCGAATAGCTGAGACACAATCCCGCAAGACCAGCATCCACCCATCCACGTGACATGATAAGCACCAATCCAGTGACAAAGCCAACAAAGGCACCAAGGACTTCAACACGTGCATGCAACCAACGATTGGTAGCCCACATCCATAAGAAAGGTCGATTGTTGTTGTCGATACGCTTATGATTCTCAGCCAAAAATCGGAATTGAGCACCAAATGCACGAATCGTCACCACGCCGTTGACGCTTTCGTTGAATTGCACATAAATGGGACTACGTGAAACGGAGTTCAACCGCTTCATATCACGAGAAGTAGCCAAGTAGTATACGCCAATGAACCAATACATGGCTGCAATCAATATGCCAGGAATAATAAATCCAGGAATCACCGTAGAGATAAGAATGACCACACACAATGTGGCCACAATCGAGTACACCAAAAACGAAAGCAAAGGCGAGATGTCTTGATCCACAGTGCCCATATCAGAAGAGAAACGATTGACAATACGACCCAAAGGCGTTGAATCGAAAAATCGCACCTTGGCACGAAGAATACGATTAAGCAATTGTTCATGCAAACGTCGAGAAGCGCGAATAGAACCAGTGAAAAGGATAAGCGAGCGTGCTGAAGTAACAACCAAAGCAATGAGACCAATCAAAAAGTAAACGCCGAGGTAATACTTGATATCAATTTGATCACGTTGTTGGGAATCAAGTAGGGGCGCATTGTTGTTGTACGATTGGATGTATTGGATCGAGAAAGCACCTGGTTCACCAGAAGCAAGGTGGACCATACCAAACGAACCCACTGTAGTAGTACCATTGGCATCATCATTGTTGTGGTGAGATTCAGCATAAGCGCCTGCCCAAATCTTGATCCAGTAATCTTGGCCGAGGACGGTAGCTTGTGCCAAGCAGAAAAGGAACATGACCAATACCCAAAACATGTATCCACCAGACGCACGAATGTAGGTTTCATAAACAGACCATGTCACGCCACCCTCGGCACGAACTTCTTCTTGGGTCAATTTGCCAGTGCCATCAGGCTGAGACTTTTTCAATGTCTTTGGAACAACAGGAACAGGTCCATCGGTAGCAGCGCATTCTTCAGCTTCAGCAAGCTCTTCACTAACACGTGCGAGCTCTTCACCCAATACACCGCTTCGCATCACAGCTTGGGGTTCACCAGCACCAGCAACACGTCCATCCTTTAGTGCAACCACATATGAGGCACCTTTGATACACAATCCAACATGATGGGTCACCAAAATAATGGTACGGCCACGCACTAAAGATTCAAATTAGTCTTTTGTAAAAGGGATCAATAAATAAACACAACTTACTGAGGTCACCCGTAATGCAATGTTCATAGAGATGTTTGGCTGTATGAGCATCCACAGCACTCAAGCAATCATCCAAAACAACAGTATCAGCCTGCGAGTATACAGCACGAGCAATAGCCACTCTAAAGAGGTTGCAATCAGTTTGTACACACCCATCTCATTTCATCCAATATCATCCACCCATACCTTTGCTTTTGACCACCACTCAAGGTGATACCCTTTTCACCCACTTCAGTTGAATCGCCAAACTCGAGGATCTCCAAATCCTTAGTAAGAGCGGTCATATAAAGCACCTGAAGGTAACGATCTTCATCATAAGGCAAGCCAAAGAGAATATTGTCACGAATGCTGCAATTTTGAAGCCAAGCGGTTTGTGCCACGTAAGCAACACCGGATACGGCACCACCGAGTGGGCTGTGACGATTGGGGATGGTGCGTGTAAGACGAGCACTACCACACACGGTGTAGGTTTCACCTAAAAGACTTGCCAAGAGAGTGGTTTTACCGGAGCCTGTGGGACCACATACAATGGAAAGCTTGTTGCGTGGGAAAGAAAGATTGAGATCCTTGATGGATGCCTTTTCGTAAGCATTGTTTCCTAACTCGGGCTTATCCCAGCTAAAGGTAGCATTGCCAACAAAGCCAATTTGAACACCATCAGCAGCAGCTTCAGCATCCGTTGCATGGATATCCACTTCATCCTCATCCAAAAAGTTGTCGATACGTTTGGCGGAGACATTGGCTTGAAGGATTTGCGAAATGAGCATTGGGAATTCATCCAAAGCGGCACGGAATGTGTTGAAGAGTGCCAATGCAGTGAATGCCGTTGATGCCGTTAACTCATACGTGCGCGTGTAAACGTAAAAGACGGTCACCATGATAAGGATAGGGATCATGAACCAAGCATTGAGCATGTGCATAAACATAAACAAACGCGCACGGATCGCCTTGAGTTCCACATCACGAGCATCCAAGACCCGTTTACGGAATTCCTTTTCCCACGCAAAAAACTTGACAATGCGAATAGCAGAAAGCAATTCATTCACCATCTTGAGTCGATTATCCGTGGCAGACATGACGGCACGTTGAGCCGTTTGGAAACGACGACCAATAAAGAACGTAGCGGGTTGAGTCAAGATCATCACCAAAACACCCCATAATGCTGCAACACCGAGTAACTGGTACAAGCATGCAATGCTGACCACAATCTGGATCGGGTACGAGTAGACATAGAAGATGTATGCAATGAACTCGCCAAGCTTTTGGGCATCCACAGAAAGCAAATTGTTCACATTGGCCTTGGTATCATCCTTTTGATCATCCTCCTCCTTTTTGGGTCCATCCTCTTCCTTCATCGATGAAGAATTATCACGTCGTCTTAGGGATTTGCTAAAGACTTCACCAATGACAATGGCTTGAATACGAATACCCAAAGTACGTCCAATGTAGAGGGCTTGCTGAACTGCAAGTGTCTGAACGGCACCCGTGATGAACAATAACAAGACATAGACAAAGGCTGTTGATGCTGGCTCGGTTGAATTCGGATTCTCAATGTACTTTACAATCTTGTTGAGGAAAAGAGGAGGTCCAAACATGCCAACTATCAACGTATAAAAAAGTCAACCATGGTATCCCCCCCTATAAAGAGATTTACTACTTACTATTCCACACTGAGCAGTATAGGAATTGAGCCATCAATGGCTGTTTGAAAGTCTTGAAAATGCCCCACAAAAGCGAATGCGACTTGTTGGATCGATAGCTTGCAAGGATACTCTTGGCTCGGTTTTCAGGCACCAATTCGTACAAGTCATCCTCATTCAACGTACGACGATAGCCTTCCTTCATCATATCATGCACCCAGCAAAAGAAGTATTGCGAGTAGATGGATGCCCAATTCTCTCCCGACATGACACGCCCCTGATAGATACATACCATCCATTAAAATCCTTGTCATTTCCCCCCCTTTTTTTTCCCCTCTCCTTTACTTACGGTATCAGCAATGACAGTTTGTCGAGGAGTGTGACGTGCTTCATTGATAACGATGACGAGTAGAGCAAACGTAATGCATGCAGTCGTAATAGCGCGCACGTAGCCTGGGGATACAATGTCTGTGTAATGTTGCACATAGAACGATCTTAGGTCGATACAATTGATAAGGAAATGAGCCGTGTAGAGGAAATTGAGCTGCTTGCAAATCTCTGATGCAACAGGGCGTTTGCTTGAACCCGATAAGATGATATTGACGCCAGCAAGCAATAATGCGATAGCCTATCATTATGTAATCCACAATTGATTAGCCTATCATCCATACACACCCCGCCGCCACCGATTACATACCCAGAAAATGGTATTGCCACCAAGTGCAAGTGTAAGATCAGAGCTTGTGCCTTCCACGGATGGATCGATATCATAATTATTGCCGAGTACCAGGGACAATGCATTCAAATAGACGCCCAATTGCACTGCAGAGACGATCACTCGAGATACATTGTAGGTTGTCCATCGTGCTGCGCTTTCTTCATAAGCCGGTGTAAGCGTACGATCAGAGGAAGAAGATGTATCATCTCCACTATCATTGTCGTCACTCTGCTGCTGTGGTATATTGGCTGCACCATAACTAGTGTATCCAGGAGCATTGCTCTTCAATGGCATATAGATCGACGACGATGCACGACGATTGCGCACATAAGCCCAACCAACGGCGACAATGGACCATGACAATAACGCAATGGGAATCAAACTATCGACAATGCTGCAGGAATGGTATGCCATGAGTCTTCCATGCGGTGCATGTGTTGGTACAACCACTTGTACTTACGCTTCTCGAAAGCAAGGCGTAAAATCGTCCGCCACCCAAGGTGTCTATTTACATGATGAATAAAGCCTTCTTGTTTATGTTTATGTTTGGTTGCATACGTACGGATAAACTACAATCGCCCATGAAAGCTTTGTGTGTATGAAAAGGAGAAGAAAGGTAGTCTGAACAACACACGGAAGAAGAAGAACAAGGAGGAAAGAAGAGATTTTTTTCTTTCAATCCTTTTCTCCATCTTTTACTCAGATTATTCGGACCCATTTGCTTGCTTACTCTCTCTCTCTATCTTCCAACACATCCCCCCCAAACAAAGTTGACTCTTTGTTTGTGCCACTAATGATCTATTTGTTGATATGGATTCAATGGCATCATTTAATTCAATTGCATGCATTCACATTGTTCTTTTTGATTTCTTGCTGCATAAGGGACGACATGATGCACGCCATCATTTTAGGCACATGCCGCAGCACCAACCTTGAAAGGGAAAAAACGATCAAGAATGGTAAGCAGCATTGAAACAATAAGGTTTGCGGATCTTGAATATGTACCACAATCATCGCATTTCTCCGGTATTTCGGTTTACAAGTATGGGATGTACACACTCGCACACAAACATCAGTGGGTAGTACTAACTTTAAGGGATCATGTCCTTGCGCTATGGCCGCCTTCTCATCCTCATCCTCCTCCTCCAACTGCTACTGAACTATCTTATCAAGATGTGCTCTCTTTGGATCTTCTGATTCTCTTCTAGGGATGGTGGACCGTTCCCAATGGATAATCATACTCCCTCTATAGTACTACCTTTTGCATAGTTCAAAGGCAATCCCCTCTTGAGACATCCTATGGGACAAAGGACGTACCATACTTTTTCTTCATCGTTAATGAACACGATTGTGTATTGTGTAACATGCATTTATAAGCGATTGAGGTTTGACGATATGAAGAACGAATTCGTGGGTTTTCTCCTGGGAACATCTTCTTGCATCGTATGTATATACACACGTATCGTATTTTAACGGGTAAAGGTCATCCATTTTTGGTTACATGAATGAAACAAGCCTTACAGCGTGTTGATCCGACTTTCCCATTGCAATCATCTACATCCATGTATAGGTTTTGTGGGTGCCGCTTTATCATCATGAGACGACCAGGCATCCCCCTTACATAGTACTAGGCCAAAAGCATCACAATAAAAGTAGGTTGATGGGTCTTTAGAATACTGCAAAGGAACGAATAAAAGAACCAGCACTTTGAGCTCATCACATGATGCACCACAACACGACATCCATGATAATCACGTAAATGGTTGATTGTTGTTTGACCCCCTCCTAAATTACAACAATGACCATATCTAGAGTACAGCTCTTTATACTATGAAGCTTGCTATCATGTTACCTTATGGCTTGCGGCTCTCCTACAATCCTCCAAAACTGTTCATTATGCAGTTGGTGAGATATTTCCCCCACATTTCGGGCTCAGAAAGGGGTTTTACTTATGTCACCTACAAGTTTATCAACCGTTTTTACTTTCCATCGCTTTGATTCAGTACTCCAGGTTCTTGACCACTTTATCAATTTGATTCATCATGACAACAATTCTCACGCCCACTCTCATATAAACAACGCTGTTGTCACCAACACTATCGTACGCCCTTTCTTTCTACTTGTACGCACATCATCATCAATGGCCTTTGGTAAGTCTCAAGGATAGTCTTTGTGTGGTTCACAAAATGAGGGTACTCATGATGCATTCATCTATTATGTAGCCCGCTTCGTTGCTTTACCACTTGGTGCAACTCATTACTGCCTAATGGCATTTGGCTGTGTTCCTTGATGGACCCTTTGTGGAGGCAAAAGACAACCTCTCAATCTGATGGGAAATTTGAGGCTCCTTTGTTGATGACATATGTACATGCCCCCACGCGATATCCAGGAGATGTCAAGAATCCCTATGGGCTTCGATTTGAATGTACAATCGAACACCACCATACGTTCAGCAACAACTTCAAGTAACAACTCGGCTATGCTGCAAGCAGACGAATATGGCTGGGCACCAACAGAAGATGGCAGATTTTTCAATGTGTATTCCAAGACGTACGCTGACACCCACTGATTTGAATCGTTGGGATTGGACGTACAAAAATCTGGCATACCTTGTATAAACCTTACATTTACCCAAGGAAAAAGGCTTGCGATGACCCTATGATTCGTATAAATGATACGACAATATACAAACAAACGTCACTTTTCAAAGTCGGCATCCTCGTAGCAAATGAATGATTGAGTTAAACGGCGCCATTGCTACTTCACGTGACCAGCCATCGTTCAAGCCCATTGCACAATGCTCGATGTTTACATCCAACCTGCTGTAGAAAACGGTAGCCATGAATAAATTTTCTATCCCATCCACTGCTTTAAGTGGTGAAAACTCGACTATGACTTGCTCTCAGGCCTTTTTCAGCCATGCATTGGCAGGCGTGTTGTAGGGATCCTGATCCTTCCTTAATAACAACATGGATCATGGGTGGAAGTAGTCCTTAAAGAGCTAATCCATCGTCAAGCTATGTATCATAGCAATGAAAATCGTATACAGGATCAGTGGATAAGGTAGGATGGCTACGTATACATTCCATGGAGGATTAAAATCATCCGCATAGCATCGTAGTAGGCTTAAATGACACCAGCAAAGAGCAAGTACATAAAATAAATGCCTTCCTTTCAATTGAGTCAAAGGAAGTTAAAAAGTCCCACCCATATTTGCTGTCGATTCAGTTTCATCCATCTTTGAAATCTATGATTCGGGAGAAGAATGCTGGTAATAATACACAACCACCACCAAAGCGTGTTCAATTGAGACATATACACATACAGCAAGTGGAGAATGTTCAATTAGAAATCCCCTTTGTGTGTTACCCTGAAACTCGGTACCAGATTTAAAGGTGCTGTTTGTTTGACATGATACTTTCTTTTCTCGTTGGCCCTTCACAAGATGACACCTTTGGTGAAAAGAAGCATGCTCTCGACGCTCATATACAAGTACGAATTACAAACAGCAGTCTACATGCTTGAACCTTGGGAGAAGATGCTTTTTAGTAAGATCCCATACATAGCCACTTGTTGTAGTATCCTCGGTTTATTAATCAACGACTTCTCTTACACACTTAGATACTATAGTTTTGCTTGTTTTATATATAGCTGCTATGTCCATCATTCGCTTTGTACCCATGATCTATGCTGTATTCCCATAACCCGATTTACGATATATCCCATATCTCCATGCCAATAAATGTTGCTATGGCAACGTATCGCGTATATTCTATCTCGGCACATGCGCCGTCATGGTCCGCAGTGGCGTCGGTGGCGGTGCCGTGCTTGACGACGTCGCCATGAAATTGAAAAATTGAGTCGTCTTTATCCCACTGGTCTCCAAACAACTGATTGCTTGTGGTTGTAGGTAAGCGAATGGGGTGCAATGCCATTAGACTGCAGTGATGCGCAATGGTGTCTTTGCTTGGTTCTTTGTATGAGTAGAGTAAAATTTAACGGGTTGTCTTTAAGTGGTATCCAGTAGCAACCAGCTTTCCATGTATACCATTCCTTTTCCTTATGACACAAAAGCTACGGCATACATCATTTGAGGATTGATATGTAGTGGTATCCAAGTTCTTTTGTATGTGATGCAGAGGGAATTGGGAGAGATGAGATATAGATAAACATGGCAAAGGCAGGTGATTTCATGCGCAACATTTTATTTACGTGTATGTGTGTGTATGTAGGATAAACAAAGAAAACGGACGTGTGGGTTGGATATGGGGATCTAGACAATGATGATGCCTCATTCTTTCATCCATTTCATTATGTGAACACATCCACTGATCCAGGTTGAGAGCGTTGGCCAATGAAATTTCAGAGATATGGTGACGTACTCAGCAACCGACACAGCACCACCTTTTACTCTTGTTTCAATACAGCAGAGGTACGCATCGACAGCATTGGAAGCTTTTGAAAGCGTCGTTAAAGGGATGATGGGTACTGATTCGTTGTCATGGTGCGCCATTCTTGGCATCATGTCGGTTAGGCACAAAAATTCCGGTTTCGGCCCTCGATTGTGCGATTGCTTTTGCCCACGACCGCCATTCTCTCATTGTGGCTACTTGAGCGCAGCGATTTTACGATAAACTTGCACGAGAGCAGGGACATTGAGTCGATTACACAAACAAGAAAAGAAACAGCACACGAGACGAACGAGGTAAGGAGCCCGCGCGCTGAGCTGTCACTGGTGGTATCGGACTGTGTGTTAAACGCGCATATTACCTTTCTTTTTTGTACACAGGGGAGAGAGAGACACGCGCGCACAGACTGCACGGCAGCATCATCATCATCATTATCATCACCAACTACAACAACAACCCTTTTTTGCACCTTTCGATACCCATTCACAACATCATGAGTGATACATACAGATCCAAACTTAGGTCAGCATCCAAAGCAAAGCTGGAAGAAGAGGAAGAGGACAACAACAACAACAACAACAGCAAAATGAAGCAGAGTCAACAAGAAGCAGCATCATCCAATGAAGAGCCTGAAAAAGATCATGATCCTCCTCTTTTACCAAGTCCACAAACACCTCCAATGACTGATATGGGCGATCCTGCAACTGAAGAATACACAGATCTTGAAGCATTCTTTCCACCATCTCCTTATGGCAGAAAACGAAACCAGATTTATGGCGACAGGCAAGTACCAAAAGAGAGAGAAACAAGAGTCGTCAACAACATCCTCTAATAGATTCATCTAGATTCATACCCTCGCGCGATGATAACCTTGTACATAATTACCACATGATGGAGCCACCTACTAGTCGATCAAGAAACCCTTATTTGGATCCTGATTTTCATTCTGGAAGACGTAAGTAGTGGGTTGTGTGTGTGTGTATGTATCTATGTTATGGACATGGTATGAATTGTATTGTTATTAGAGAGCCATAATCGGAGGATAGGAGCCATAATTCAAGCTGAAGTCATGGGAGATTCAAGCGTTGCCAACGACTTTACGCAATCCGAATCATCATCATCCTCTTCTTCACGTACGCCCCGACGAATACTTAATTACACCTCCCGCCAATCACCGCAAACATCACCAAGAGCAGCCATCGATTCACCCACATCACCACGATTTCAGACAGGTCCATTCAGTGAAGCTGGACGTCGTGTTTTATCAACACCTTTTCGTATACCACGTGAAATTAGCCGAACAGCCATTAAAATCCTTGACGCCCCTGAATTACAGGTAAAGAGAAGCTTTGTTTATCAACAGCAATGGACTCATGATGATGGATAGGATGATTTCTACTTGAACCTTATCGATTGGGGACCCAATGACAGCCTTGCAGTGGGACTTGGCTCATGTGTATATCTTTGGAATGCCAATACAAGCAGGGTCACCAAGTTGTGCGATTTCGTCAATGATCCAGTGACGTCTGTGAGTTGGGCATCGCATGGCCCTCATTTAGCGATTGGCACGAACAAGGGAACGGTTTATCTATGGGACACAGAAGCATCACGGCGGGTACGGACATGGAGTGGTCATGTATCAAGGACAGGTATGAGCAACATCCTACATGTGATAGATCGATATTGACTTTTGATTTTGTAGGTGCATTGGCTTGGTGCAACAACATTTTAACATCAGGGAGCCGAGATCACAACATTTTACATCGTGATGTACGATCCTCTCGACCTTATTTTCGTGAATTGAATCGGCATATTCAAGAAGTATGTGGATTGAAATGGAGTCCTGATGGTTCAATGCTTGCGTCTGGAGGAAACGACAACAACTTGATGATATGGGAATCGCATCAAAACAAGGTGTTATGGACCTTCAGCGATCATACAGCAGCTGTGAAAGCCATTGGATGGAATCCTCATTCTCGAGGGGTGCTTGTTAGTGGAGGTGGTACGGCTGATAAGACGATACGGTTTTGGAATGCCATTTCAGGCACACCCATCTCATCGTATGACACTGGATCCCAAGTCTGTAATGTGGCATGGTCCAAGCGAACAAACGAGATTGTATCGACCCATGGTTATGCAAGCAATTCCGATAGCTCATCCAACCAAGTGATTATATGGAAGGCCAACAACATGCAACGCATTGCCACACTATCCGGTCACACGAGTCGTGTGTTGTACATGTCAATGAGCTATGATGGATCCACCGTTGTCACTGGTGCCGGCGATGAGACATTACGATTTTGGGATGTCTTTTCTTCTGTCAAGGCCGTTCGTCGACAACCCGAAGACCGACGAAGTTGCTTAAGATAACCCCATTCTTTATCGGACGGATTTCCTCCCCCACACACCCATCCAATGTCATTTCTCACATTCGCGACTTTATCATCCACGTCATTTCTCTTTTCCTATCTCTCTCTCACACACACAACAACCAACACCAACGATACCAGAAGTCCCCCCTTTCTTTTTGTATAGCAGCATTTTCTTTCGCCTTTTTTTCTTTTTACGTTATCAACCTCATCATGTATGCACTTTTTCCCGCCGCGACAAACTTGTTTTTTACCATTATTCAAAACATGATCATCATTTTTGCTTGGAGCATTTACAATGTTATAATCAATGACCATGATGTTTACTCTCCGCCCTTGGCTGCATCAATGTTCTTCCTTGCTGTGGATCATGATCTCCCTCCCCACGGGGCTGAGGATTGTTGCTACATTGGTTGCCATGGAGAAAGGGTTGCTTGGATACAACGACGTGTCCAAAGTCCTTGACAACATCACGAAAGATGATGATAAAAGTCTCTTGGATGTAAATGATAATACAGGCAAGACCCGGCACGACCACCGAAATGGTTGACCTTGCCATTTTGCCAAGTTGAAAATTGGATGTGCGATCAACAATAAAGCGTAGCAAAATGCCAAGGATGTTTATGACGCATATTGTGTAACATCAAGTATTTTTAGTGCCTGCTAAATCCAGCCGACTGTTTTTGACTTGCCCCGTGAGATGGCTTGGGTTGGAACGCTTTTATATTTCCTCGGATCCAGGTGATCCGATGCATTTCCGTTTCCTCTTTCTTCCTTTTCTTCATGTATCATAACAGTGGCGATCCATATGCAGGGCAGTATCCAATGCCGCCACCTGCTCCCGAACAATATCAAGCACCCACATCCACACCACCCGCACCTGTAGCAACATCATCTTCAAATTATTATCCTCCATCCTCAAGTTATTATACCCCACAACATGTAACGGAACCAGATTACTTTCATCAACAACCGCAACCACCACAACCTGAACCTTATCCATCTTATCATCGAGATTCTTATGAACCACAACATCATCCTCGCGCTTCCTATGAACCACAAGCTTCCGCCTACAATGATCCACAAATTTATCATCCTCATCCCAATACAAGTTACTATACGGAGGAATTGGAGGCATCTTCAGCGACACCAGAGACGCCCATTGTTGAAAAGCACAATGCCACAGCCGCCTCATCATCATCAGCAGGTCCACCACCCATAGCTTCTTCTTCGTCCAACGAATCACCGAAAAAGAAGGGAGGAGGAGGATGGCCATTTAAAAGACACAACAAACAAGAACCTGATGTGGAACAACAATTACAACCCAAACCACCTGTTGGACCACGACTTGCACCTGAGGATGAGAAACCCACGTATCAACCATCAGCAGGACCAGAACCAAGACGAGGTGCAAGTTGTTGTTGTTACAACCCTGCCCTCACGTGCTGTTCCGTGTTTTGGATGCTTGTATCCATTGCCTTTTTAGCGGGCGGCATTGCACTCATGGTTGCATCCAAAATAGTCACTGATAAATGTAACAATGAGTGCAATGGTGGTAACGATACTTCGGATGGTGGTTTCTCTCTCCCAGACAATTGTACGATCCTTTGTAGCAACGTATTGCATGATGGCTTACTATATGGTGGTGCTGTTGTCACTGGTCTAGCAGGCATTGCTATCATTTGGAAATTATTCATGTGGTGCTGTGCTGGTTATTCAAGGCGATGATGATGATGATGGTAATGATGTATTCTAGCATGCAATAATAAATAACGATGAAAACAAACTATGGATATACTACAACAACTATGTTTACAAGATGCTATTTCTTTTCCTTTTTGGCCTTCTTTTTCTCCTTTTTGGCCTTCTTTTCCTTCTTTTCCTTCTTGTCCTTCTTGTCCTTTTTCTCCTTTTTGGCTTTCTTCTTCTTGGTCGATGATGCCTCTTCATCCTTATCCTCTCGTTTCCTCTTCTTGTCAGTGACTTGCTCATCATCGCTGGCTTCACGCTTATGGATGTAATCTTGCATGACGCGAGCGTATTTGCCTTTTTGTTCTACGAGACCACGCCCACCTTTACGTGCTGTTCGTCCTTCACATGCTGCAAAGAGTTCCTCATCCGTCATCTTGATCGAATAATCCTTTTGCTCATCATCCTCATCGTCGTCATCGTTTTCCTTGTCGTCATTCTTTTGGGTATTTGTTCTAGAGATTCAAATCAATACCACAATCCATTGACTCTCTATATATACATACCCAACCAAAACATTTGAACTCTTGACAAATCCACTGTAAAGAGATGTTCGAGCAATCGTTTGAGCCATACAGGAATGGACACTCTTGACACTATCCATCAAGTTTTGTTCCTCTGCAATGGATGCCATGGATGATGTTGTGGTTGTGGTCGTGGCGGATGTACCAGTAGGTCGATGCGTACTAATGATGCCAGTCTTTGATCGTCGTTCAGCACTCTTTTTCTTGACAGCCACCTTGATCTGGATACTATCGTTAGTTTACGGCCTCTTGTAATATGGATGGATCCTACCAACCTCTTTGCTTTCATCCTTTTCCACTGTCACCGAGCTTGCACTCTTGTTGTATAAATGATCCCACCACGCAAAGTCCCATTGTTGTTGATTGCCACCAATGCCTTTGGTATCATTCTTGACCTTGACTGTAATGTGCTTGGTATTGCCATGTTTGTTCTTGCCAAGGCCATCACCCCTATACAAGTATATAATAAGTCAACCAGGCTCTTGCTCATACTATCAAATAAAAGCCTACTTTTTCCAGCCGTATTTCTCGAGCTGTGATTTGGCAAAGGAGTCGTTCCAATTGTCGAGCATTCAAAAAAGTACAAAGGGAACAAAGCTGTGTGATACCTCGTTCTTTCCAAATGAGATGCAACAAGCCACTGCACGGAAATCGGACCGACTTCCTCCCCCACCTCATTATTTGAGATTATGCGCATGACTCTCTTCCTCCTCCTCCTCCTCCTCCTCCTCCTTTTCCTCTCTTTTCCTCTCAGCCTCCATAAATAATGTCTTCAAGTCCAGAACCCCATCATCATCAGCAGCAACAAGAACAAGAAGAACAGCAGCGTGATCTTATCGAGCTCCCCATCACCATTAGTTCATCACCACCTACCTTGGATTTACTCGTCCTTGAAGAGAAAGCCGAAGCCCTCAGAACCGATTTGCTCTTGAGTTTGGAAGGTATGTACAGAGCATCCGCATGTCATGGTACTATTACATGTACACTGAAAGAAGAGGGATGCATATCAAAGAAATGACCAACCAAATGCGTGAAGCATTTAATGAAGCAACCAAGGCCTTGTTTGATACAGCATCCGAATGGGAGCAGCAAGCCATTGACACGTTGAAAGCTGATATTCGAGGAATCAAGGAATTGGAGCATGAACACAGTGAGTGAGTGATACATACATAGATGGAGTCCCATGACCACTTATCACTTTTTATATAGAGATGCGTCAAGAACAACTAGCTCGGTTCGTGAGTGCCACGTCTACTAGCTTTGCAGACATTTTCAAGTATGAATCCTCAAAAATCCAATCCCCTTCTCCATCACCAGATAGCGTGTGAAAGTGAGAGAGAGACCATAAAATAAACTCACAAGCTTACGTCCCTTTCAAAGTATCTCTTTTCGTGTTCTTTGATAGAAGGAAATAGGTAAAAGGGAAAAGATGAGCACTTGAGCTAAGAAGATGGCAATGTATGTATGTGTAGGTGGTGGAGTATTTATGTATGATCTGCTTGTGTTACGTGCACGGACTATGACTTTTTATGAAGAGAGAGCCGCTTTGGCTGGTTATTCTACACTAAGGGTTATGGCAATTGCTTTAAAGACTTTAATAACATTCGATTTTGAAATAGCTGTACTGTAGATCATAAAAAAAAGACCCAAGGGATTGAGAGAGGGAAGTAGATGGGTGGGTGAATTAAGGTGGGGAGAGGGGAGCACAAAAACAGCGGAACGTGACGCATCCAGCTACGTACACTGCTGTGCTCTTTTGCAACTTGATACGCACTCACACACACTCACTGGTATAAAGAAGGGCGAGAACAAAGGGAGAGAGGAAAGAGTCGATCCACGACTGCAACATGCTCACTGACTCTATAAAAGATGGAAGGCACAACAACATCCTCGCAACGCCGGAAATCGCTGACCAAGCCTACTACGACTACGCATTCAACTGCTGCTGCTACTCCATTGGCGTCGTCATCAGCTCAAAGGATCCTTGGCAGACGAATCAAGCTCAAGACTGCTTCGAATGAAGAGATCGAGGGACGTATTTACGCATTGGATCGCTTAACCAACTGTATTGCACTTGATATCCTTTTTATTGTTATTATCATGCTCACCACACGTCTACTACTATGATATCCATCATCCTTAACTCACTCATTACAATGTTCGACAGACAATGCAGCCGCACAACAAGGTCGAAAACAGCTTTCATTTCGTATCATTAAAATATCCCACATCAAAGAGGTGTTATCGAACCAAGAGGACGCGCCTGCCGACTTTTTACCTATCAACCATGTGGATACCAGTCGATTGGATGCACGCGAATCGAGCGGTGTGAAGAATATGCGACAACGGGTAGCCAAAATGGGTGTGGGTGTCACCAAAGAAGCACAGGATATATTTGACGCACTCAGTAAAACGTAAGTTGTTGGTTCAGACATTTGACAGGATAGTGACTCATTTACACCTATCCTAGGTTACCATGCCGTTGGTCAAATGATACCATTGTTGTCCTGGATGAGGTCTTGATTCAGCCACCCTATGATGTCGATAGTTGCAAAGCCAATTCTTCTTCAGCATCCTCCTTGGCACGTGTCAAAAAAGTGGTAAGTTTGTGAAAATCAAAACACACACACACACATATGAAAATCACTCATGTATAAATATATATATATATATATATTTGATAGTTGGAAGGTGAAAGGAGACGTCTGGAAAGAAAACAATGAACAAACAAAGAATAAAAGAGAAGAAAGAAGACACATCCTTTTGGTTTTCATGGGGTTGAAAGAAGGGGAAGGGGTATAGTATAATACAATTTTGGGTGAAAAGATGGATGGGGGATGTTAACTAGGCTTGATCCACCACTTGGGGTTGCTGCTTGTTATGGTCTTGTTGGACTACGCCCATGGTACGTAAACGATCCAACCACAAATCAGCACGATCCACCGTATCTGAAAAGACGTTGGAAACCGATTGAAGCATTTCAATGGATTCGCCACCAAAGTTGAGTAGCTTGATAGGTGTCTCTTGACCACGGTCTTGAGCACTGGTTGTGTTTTTGAGATTGGCATTGGCCTTGGCAGGTAGACTTAGGATGAAACCTCGCACCGTCTCCTTGGCTTGTTGTGGTAAACTGGATCCAGCATACTTGCTAACGACTTCGACCACCTTGCGTACGGTATTAATCATTTCTTTCTTGACACGAGTGACAACTTCAGGCTGAGAATTGGCAGTAGGCTCCTTAGCAAGAGATACAAGATAGCTACGCAATAATGCCATTTGTTGTTCGATATGATGAATAGCATACTATGTAATAGTAAATGAAATGCGCGTTAAAAGACATGATGAAAATGGAATGCATGCATGCAAGTAAATGTATGTGTGTGTACCTGGATCCAACTAAGACAATAACGTAAACATTTCATGCTCTCTTCACTGATAACAGCTGCGGTAGTACCGGCTGCTGAACTAGCATGAACCACCAATTGTTGCCATGTGCTTGAAGGTTGACGAGCTGTGGTGGTGGTGGTGGTGGTGGTGGTGGTGGTAGCGGTAGTCCGACGACGTGGGGGGTGGTGATGATGATGATGATGGGGTTGAATTGCATAAGGTGATTTTGATCGTCGTCGGGCTAATAAACACACATGTTTTTAGTCAAACGTAATCGATACTTTTCATATGGTATCACATTTACCATCTTCGTGTCTTCGTTTCCTCAATACATCGTGTTGCTCTGGTGAGGTAGCGTTATCAGAAAGGGTGGTGCGTGCAAGAATTCGAGCTGTAGCCACAGTAACATCTTCATCTTCATCATCTTGTTCCATGGGTGTGGCTGTTGTTGTTGTAGCTGTAGCTGTAGTAGTAGTCGAAGATCGTCGGCCATAGCGTTCATAGAATGATCCCACCATTTCTGCACCGTATTTGACCATGTTGGTCGAACCATGATACGCACGCCATGCTGAATCAACAATGTCATAATTCGTGGTTGCTGCTGTTGTTGGATCATCTTCAGTCGTGGCTATAGATGAATCACTTGAGAATGAAAAGTATCGATTGTTGTTGTTATTGTTGGATGTTGCTGCTGCTAAAGAGGGCGAGGGTGGACCCGAGGATGATAATGCAGGCAAAGGTGGTAATACAATCTTGCCTCCAGTGCCTTTAGAGACATGAGTGAGTGAGTGAGTGAGCATACGTATATGTAGTATTGTAGGCTGTAGTGATCTCTCACCTTGTGTGCGTGCCATATCTCCAAGTGCTTCAGCAGCAAGCTGCACATTGGGATCGTCTCGGTCAATGGACAATGACGGTATCAAGTTCTTTGGGGCATCGTCGTCGTTGGTTGAGTTGCATATCTTGGCAAGCGACATGGGTGATGTGGGGTGAGATTGTGCCATTGCGACGAATGGAGGAAAAGAGAGAAAGAAGAACAAAGGGAAAAAGAACGGCTGTTGCTGCTGCAATAGATCAAATCGCATATACGAACTATTTTCACGTGTTACAGCATTCACTGAATTTGTGTCACAGAATGCGGCGAAATGAATGGGGTGGTTTCGAATCGATGCATTGACACGTGCAAGTGATGGCCCACTTTTTCTTTATTATACAACCAAGTCTATGCTGTCATCTTCAACTCTATTGTCATGCTGAACCATTACGCTGGAAAAATATTCCATTCCGAGCTTGCCTATTACAAAATTCACGCGCATGCATCAACTTTCGGCTACATACTCTAGTTGTTGGGCACGATTTTCTCATATGGGCGTGATACAAACTTTTATTTGGCATAAGGTTTAGCGGTCTCGTATCAACACTAAGTTGCATGGCGTGTCATGTGATATTGATTTGGTACATCAAATTCTCCATTTGTATATGCTATTGCCCACACGATGACCACCACCACCACAACAACAACAACAATAGCAGCTTGTTGACATACCCATCTTGAAACCACGTGCACATCAACGATGATCTCTCTTTGACTCTTCATAATAATAAAGCGCTCAATTGCTTGATGATAAGAAACAGCTGATATGACCTGAGATAGTTGTTTTCATGATAGGAACTTCAATTGTAATCTTAAGACACCGACTGCCTCATGGTTTATCTTTATCAGGAAAAATTCGATCTTGGAATCTAAATTCATCTATCGCGTTGACAATCGATTGTCTATTCGCTTGGGGATCACCCAATTAGTAAAACAGCGACGTGCATCGGATAATTCAAGTACATAGGGTAACGGCCAATATCGATTGCGAGTGCTATTTTTCACAAACCTTGCTCAGTGTATGGTATCCTTTGAAAACCCAATGCCATTTATTCAATGTTCTCATTACACTAATTGTATATGCGCTTGGCTACATGCTACTAACAAGATCCACAAGTACCAGTGTGATTTTGAGTGACGTCCCATGATGCCTTTTGGTAGTCCAGGAACCAAGATTGAAAAAAGACAATATCTTGATCCAAGCGTCTATGTACAAGTTTATATCACATGATGGGTAAGCAATGACTAAGCGATAGAGAATGAGTTATCTGCACTCACATGCTGCTATGACCAAAAGAAAGAAATCAGACGCAATGCACCCCACCAAAGAGATTTGACGTTTCTCAGCCTTCTTTTAATGCCGATTCTGCTGATTCATCTTGCAGGAGGAGAGGGGCAATGTGTAGTAGGATGAGTGTGGTTGTTGATAGAATGATTGGATGTGCCTTGGATGCTGCATTGAAGGTCACTTAAGAAGTGTGCATTCTAGCGTGTATTTCCTCTTCCGCTACAACATGCCAAAGAAATGTAAGATAAGCCTTGCACTACAATCACCCCCTTCTAACACCATGCGTACTAGATTACTGCGACTTTTGCCATTGTTCCTTTCCTGACAATCCCACGAACCGCCAAAAACACATTGAAGGTGCAGCCCATCAAGCCAATCGCAAATTCCACTACGACTGGTTCAAAGGTAAATGAGAGGAGGTGGGTTTGGTTGGTGGCCGATACGTCGTAACTCAACTATGTAAAAGAGCCTGAAGAATTCATTCGTGAGCAACAAAGCAAACCACCTTGCCGACGCTATCTCAACCATGGCTTTTGCGAATATCGACTCGACTGCCGATACAGCCATATAGCGTATGATATGGCGGGTCATCCGATTTATCCAGCCGAGTTGATTGAATGGTTACAACAACGACAAGTTGCCGATGCATCATCATCACCCTCCGCCGTATCCATGCAACAACAACAGCAACAGCAACAGCCTGCCAAAAGATACCGATTACCTTCAGGATGGAAATTACATGCACTTCCACCTTCCTTGAAACCACCCCCACGACAAGGATACGATTGGTCTGACGTTGCTACATGGTAGTTGTAGAATGTAGAGGAGCATCAATGATGATGCAATGGATCGATCATCCGATAGGATTGGCTATCAAAAGCGTCATACAAAGGAGGACAGGCTTCAGAGAACCGGTGTTTTACCATATATATCCATAGCTTGGGGGAAAAGTAGACATTAGATGATATATACAAGTGAATGTCAAGATATGACGTGAACACGTCCTCATTTCACAAATGCAGATAATAAAATGGCTATGGAGACATGGTTCCGTTATTCGACTACTGCCACTACTACTTTTTATTGCCATTACAACCGGTTGCTATGTACAAAGAGTGCCGAGATGGGGGACGGCGGCAGTAATAAGATGCACCGCTGATGCTCATGGGATACATGTATCATGAAAAAAAGTGCATGTACATAGGGAAACATCCTTTTTGTAAAGAAACATCGGTCCCGGAATGTGTAATGCATATGGTGGAGAGAGAGAGACACCAACCAACATCATGCGTTTCGGCGCATGAATACGGACACTGTTCCCCACAAGACACCCCGATCAAAGACGTAAACGACGACGAATCCCTTTACGAAAAACGCATGCGATTTCACATTCTTGATACATAGAGACAAAGTTTGTTCTCTTGGTTTCTTTATATTTTACTGCGTCATTGTATCCTTTTTTTTTCTCACGCTATGATAAAGTGAAGAATGATTACCACAAATGCAAAACATGGCGTACGTCCCTCGTACATCATGGGGGAGAAAAACGGTGAAGGGGAGGGCGGCGCATGTCATCCTCCATGAATGCTCTTTGTATCAATACTAGTAGGTCTGGAACGTGTATCACCGGAGCAATACAAAAGCACCAATGGATGTGGTAAAAAACATCATCCTCGTCACCAGTGGGTATCACACGACCCGAATTTACAACTTGCCCTCTCCCCCCTCTCCCGATCCATGCAGAATCCGTAAAGACTATATATAACGTCCATCAAATTCAACCACGTCGCTGTTCTTTATCTCCCGAACTCTTTGTATTTATCATCATCATGCCCCTTTGTTCTCTATCACAATCAACCCATCATCACTTTTATCCAACAGCAGCCATTGGCTTTACGCCGCAAGAAAGCTATCCACATAGTCTTCCGGTATCAACATTACAACAGCATTCGGCCACGGATTTCTTTTGGAAAGAGAAAAAGTTTGTCATTGTGCGTCATACAAAATTGGATAATGTATCCGAAGAAGAAGAAGAAGAGGAAGAGGAAGCATCGCTCAAGCTACGTCGTAGGAGACGTCGCCCATCCTCCTCCGTGGCACTATTACCCATGCTCATGGAAACCATCCTTGAGGAAGAGGACGAATGAACAATCCAACAGCATTGACAACCTCCCCTTTTTGTAAATAATATTATCCCACATGCATTATCATAGCCCATTGTTTTATTCCCATTCTTCTCGCTATTGTAAATATATACGGAAAGCAGCAGCAGCAGTATACCACCTATTATTTTGTTATGCTATCATCCATCACTCTTTTTTCACATGCATGAGCAAGAATTCAAAGTAATGTGATTCGAATGTTGCTTGGTCACATGGGCGGCGCTCCGCCAATATCATTTCCTTTCAAAAATGTTCCCTATGTATCATCCACCGCAAACACTCACACATAGGCCAATCACATAAAAATAGTGTCAAGCTGGATACAGGAGCTTAGTAGTTTTTATTCAACATAGAGTGGAGGAGGGATAATCATGATATGTATGTATGCAATGATATGGGCTCAAGAAGCTTGTTTCAATCATGCTTTGGCCTTGTTGGTTTGCTGGCTTTCATTTGCTCTCAGCGGTAGGAGGGAAGTTTCGCTCGACCACTGCCGTGTGGCGAACAACTAAATGTTATAGGCAAGTTGAGTACATACATGATACAAGACTGGCAGTGATTCTACTTACGTGTCGTTTTGCCAGTGAGTTCATTATGGATGAGAAAAGCCGGGTTTTCTTTTGATAGCTCTGCCGTCATCTTTCCTCGTTTGCTCATTGGCTATAAAAAGTCAAACGTCTGCATGATAGGTAAAAACCTAGCTCCTCTCTTTCTTACCTGGTAACGATCAGTGGTAGGGTGTTCAACAATGTCAACAATGGAGCCGATGGATGTGTAGGGTCCTACAGAGTGACCAGGTTGTCAATGGATAAAGCTTATACATAAAGGTGACCTATGTACTACACATACTTCCTTCAAGAGGCCGGTAAGTAACGATATCGCCAACTTGATAAAAAGTGCGTCGTTCTGGGGTGTTGGGTGGAGACATTGATAAAAGAGTGATAAAGAAAGAAAGAGAGAGAGAGAAAATGAATCCATCACTGCATTGCTATTTATTCAAAAGTGTGTCATTGTTTCATCATCACTTGGCAACATAATTTTACAATTGAGCAAGAACGGATTCAACGCTGGAGACGGTGAGACCTGGTGCATCTTCCACACCCACGTACTTGACCTTGAGGTCATCCACAACAATAGCAAAACGCTTGGAACGAGTACCCAAACCACCCTTGCTGCAATCTTGAGTCAAGCCGAGGGCGGTGCTAAAAGTGGCATTGCCATCACCAGCCATGATAATCTTGTCCTTGGTGCCGAGCATTTTACCAAAAGCATTCATGACAAAGCCATCAATCACGGAAAGACAAATAATCTCGTCGACACCCTTGGCACGCAACTCGTCGGCCTTTTGCAAGAATCCAGGCACGTGGCTCTCAGTGCAAGTAGGCGTGAAAGGACCTACGATGCACACATACGATAAGCTTCTATACCTATGCCACTACGGCTCATACATACCGGGAATAGCAAAAATGACAGCCTTCTTGCCCTTCAGCTTGTCGTGAATGTTGTAGGGGCTGGGACTACAAGATCGAGATCAATGAGTACCAATGGCATTAGACAATCGGTGGACAAAAAGTCAACGTACCGGGTGCATGCTTCAAGTGCCTCGTTGGCATCATAAGGCACGTATTGGATAGTAGCATCAGGGATCTTTTTTTATCATATAGACATGCTTGTTTTTAGCAAGATGGTTACGCTACGCTACGCTATTCTCGAGATGCACTTACAGTTTCACCGACTTGGACAACCTATATAAAACATGTAAGCATTCAGCTGAGATGGATCACTTGCAAGCTTACCATGGTAGTAGAAAATGATAGAAAAGGACGAAAGACCTGTAAAGAATTACGCGACGTGCCGCCGTGAGAGAAAGATGATCAATCCCGATCTCTGTTGCACAATGGTGTGACACGGTTCATGGCCTTGACCCATCATACCTCTTGCATGAGGATCACCCAATGTTGCTCGTTCCGACGCCACATGCAGCTATCATACATTGAGTTGCCCATTGAAACGTCTCTCGGTTATGTGATTGAATGAATAAATAAGGTCTTCCCTTATAATCCCATTATCATATCCAAGAATTCTATCATACACCCTCCTTCTTAAAGAGGTGACCATGGTAAATATCGAACATCCTTTTACACTCGTGGGTATTATACCCTGTTGCCATTGGCAACCGAAAATCCCATTTTTGTAAAACCGACAAATGCAACACGATATTTGGAGTAACAGCTTTCTTTGTGATGCGATGATATCTATTATACAATCTAATTCTTGCTTTAACCTAGTTTCAATCTTACATGAGTCTAACCGTATTAACAAAGCTCCATGGGATGATTACATACCGGCAAAAGGATCCATTCGTGCTCGTTTCTTGTTTTGTTGTTTGCTATTTTGTACTGCTTCCACCCTTGATGATTCCTCTTCCACTTCGTTTGTTGCCTTACGCTTAGTACCAGCATTTTCTACATAGAGGCTCCATCAGCTAACCGAATCTATACACATGTATCTTGACACACTCTTACCTTCTTCCTCTTGATCATCAGCTAATGCTGCCTTGATAAACCGTGCCGCAGCACCCTTGTCCACTTGCATAGACGCTATGCAATCCGTTTCAGTATCCAATTGGATGATCCATACACAAACTTACGTTTAGGTCCTTTTCCTTCTGCCTTTTTGATCTTTTCAATGTATGTTCTTATCCGTGCCTAGAGATGAGATTAGTATTCATTGTTGCCATGCATCTACCTTATCTCTCCCTCTCTCTTACCAACTCAGTTGCTACGGGATGTTCTTGAGGAAAGACACCTTGTGTTTTGAGATACACTATTCAACCAATATATGTAAATGGACGGCATGATAACGAAGGATGGGTTGATAGAGAGACATACTGTAAAAAAGCGAGTTGATGGTATACGACAGCAGTACTTGGAGCTGAGCCTTTTCGTTGACGGGTAGTTTGCCATAGGTCTCGCTTAATGGTGCTGACAAGAGTGGCTCCAAGTGTCGATTGACGACTTCGATGCGTGCTTTAAGTGCCTTCACAGCCTTTTTTGCGATCGCTTCCTGATTGGCGTCCATGGTCGATACGATCTGTGGTGGAAAAGAGGAGAGAAAAAGATTTATTATGGCGACCCGCTCAAAGCGGAGGAGGAGGGAACTCTTTTCTCTTGCCCAACGTTCCTGCACTCACTCACACTCCACGTACCACCACCACCAACACCACTTATGACGACATTGAACAACGCTTCTCAATGGGAGTTTGATGCACCCAAGTTTTACGATTTCACAAAGCAAGAGAACCCTAATGAGCAAGTCGAATCATGGTTTGGTAAGAAAGGGCAAACAACTCAAGTAGACGATCAACAAGCTGACTATTATTATGGGAGATAGCCAAACGATCTGCACCCTTTTCACGGCATATTCGACCTGCATCCTCCAAGCGAGCAAAAGAAACAGCTACCAGGATACCTCGAACGGATGCCAATAAGCCTACAAAGAATGATACAACAACAACATCGTCATCGTCATCATCACGGTCTACAACAGCAGCAGCACCCAAGAAACGAGTGGATATCTTTGATGCACTAGCAAGTACACCCACCATAGCATCCGCCGCAAAACGAACCACAGCAGCTTCAGACAAACGACCCCATCAACAGCAACAACCGCCACCACCATCATCATCGTCATCACCATTGACAAAACATGATATAACGACCACTGAGACATCAATAAAGAAACCACCTCCTCAATCAACATTACCATCACGTGTTCCCAGATTACCAACACGCCTTCCAACGCAGGATGATCCCACACAGCGTACTCATCTTCAGAGCAAAGACAATGAATTCAGTATTGAGGACAATCGACAACAACAATCACTTTCGAAGGATAATGACAAGGATGATAAGGAACGACAATCACTCACGAAGAACAATGAAAAGCATGATGATCATCAGTTACAAGAACAACAACGCATACCAGCCGATGAAAATGTACCTCCTCCATCATCCAGTATCAACCATCCTAGGACAACTACGAAAGAGGACGATAGGATATCACTTTCCTTGACCGATTTCAATGCCATTTTTCATCGTGTGGAAGATATGCGTGCGCAGATTGCCCAAGTGACTGCAACGGATATCCCTAAACAAGCTGTCGACAAGGCTACGGCTATAACACCACCATCCACAAAGACCATCACACGACCCACTGGTCCCAATATGACAGCTATTGAAGGAAGGATTCAACGTGCTAGAAAGGCCATGCGAGAATCTTTGGCTATTACGGAAAGGTGGTTTCAGTCAACAGAAGATTCATCCTCCTCATCCTCCTCCTTCTCCTATCTCCCATCTCACAAGCTATCTCAAATATCAAAGTGGCGACATGACACCACTGCAGATGACTTTTCCGATTCTCTTTCTACTCGACGACGACCCTATTCCGATTTGGATGATACAACAACAACGCGTTCTACCACTACCACTCATAGGTCACGCACATCAAGGGTAGGTTTTCAAATGAGAACGCTTTAAATACATCATTCACTCATACGTATCGATGATAATAGGGACTCAAGCGAATGGCTCCTACCTATCTACGTACTGAACCCACCATACCCAAAAGTCCTAAATTTGCTACTGATTCTCGACATGCACGATCATCCCCTTAAATAAAGGTGGTGTCTATGTAGAACTCAATTCATTTTGGATAGTTGTAGTAGGATGGGTTGGGGGGTGATACAATAAGGAGTAATCGTGTCGTCGTATATATAAATGTTTATCGAAGCTCACTTGCAAGGATCAATGGGTTCTCTACCAGACGCTTCCAGTAATTACCGAAACGGGCGATCGTGGCACCATCAATGATACGATGATCAGCTGACCAGCTGATGGGAAGAATTTGCTTTGCAATGACATTACCCTGCTCATCAAAGCGAGGCAACGTTTGCATACGACCCAAGGCAACAATGGCCATTTCCGAAGCAATCAAACAAGGATTGGCATAGGTACCACCAATCGTGCCAATGTTGGAGACTGTGATGGTGGCGCCTTGCAAATCAGCAGGCGATAAGCTGTTTTTGGCACCCAATTCAGCCAATCGATGCAATTCAGAAGCAACTTCCAATACGCTCTTGTTTTGTACATCCTTGATATTAGGGACAATCAATCCTTGAGGCGTATCCATGGCAACGCCAATATTATGGGATCCACGGTATTGAAGTTGCATAGCACCCACGTCACCCGATTCGGCACCCATCAAAGTGGCATTCAAAATAGGGTATTGCGTCAAGGCCACAGAAAGACACTTGACAAGGATAGGCATGTAGGACACCTTTTGGAATGCAAAGCGACCCGTGTTATCATTGGCCACCAATTTGTTAAGTGCTGCACGGTATTCAGTAGTGGCATTCAGCTCCATTTCATCCTTGTATCCCAATTGAGGAATAGCTACACTCTTGGTCATTGATTTGAACATGGCCTTTTGGATCGCTGTCAAAGGTTTCACTTGATCGGGTTGGGTTGGCGTAGTAAAAGTAGTAGTAGTGGTAGAAGCAGTAGCCGATGATGGAGACGATCCTACATGATATCCATCCTTGATAAGAATCCACCATCACCCATTTTTGTGCGTTATTTCCTTACCTCCTCCATTGACGAATGCTACCACATCCTCCTTTAATACACGTCCATCTTTACCAGTTCCTGTAATATTGCGAATATCCACATTGTTCTCTTTGGCAACTCGTCGCACGGCCGGCGTGGCGAGAGTACGCAAATAATGATCAGCGGGTAAAGTAGAGGAGGATGGTGATGATGAAGGTGTGGTCTCTGCAGCAGTGGTAGAAGGTGTAGGTTGTGGTTCGGGTTGCTGTTGTGGTTGCTCCTTTACTGCTTCAGATGATGCTTCTGCTCCTTCTTCACCTGCCACTTCAATATCCACTAAGGGTTCACCGACTTTGGCGACGTCATTGACATTATAATGCAGCTTGGAGATGGTACCCGAAAATCGGGAAGTGATCTCTACGGACGCCTTATCGGATTGCACCTCACAAATCTTATCAAATTCGGCCACGGTTTGTCCTGGCTCCACAAACCTATTCATTCAAAACAGCCATCAGCTATCTCTCTCACTCACTCACACATACGCGTGTATAACTACTATACCTACCATTGAATGACTTCACATTCGGTGATACCTTCACCAATATCTGCCAAGAGAAAAGGCTTGATAGCGTCCATATGACGTGTAGCATGGAAGGATCGTCGCCATGGCATGGATAATGTTGAATGATGGTGGGGTTTGTTCACCGTGAGAAAAATCCGGGGATGTCTGTGAGTGGAGGTGGCCTTGTGGATGTGACGAGACGAAGCATGTCTTGTCAAGAGGGATATGCTGCGATGGACCTGTGCGTAGCGAAAAGACATCTTTGGATAAACAAGTGAAGGGGGTCCTGAAGGGAAAAAAAAGAGAGAACTCGAAAAGATAAAACGACATGACAATTGCTCCAATTTAAACGCCCTTCCATGCGTGGGAAAAGATGCTCCTTGTGGATGGGGAATCCACTGTCACGAAATGGCCGCCATCATCCGCATTGGGTTCAACGGCGCTTTTGACACCACTTTTTTTTCCTCCTCCTCCTTGCATTATCTAACCATGGGTGATTCGCCCAAGCATTCAGCCGATCTTTTGAATATTCCCGGGCGTAAACAGACCATTGGTAGCTATATTTTGAACTACTTGGTGGAATGCTCTCTCCTTTTCTAATGCTCTTACTAGCCAAGCTGTTGGCAACTAATCAGCCTGACAACGATCAACTACACCAGGATACAGCACCTCCAGCTCCACCGTTACCACGACAAAAGCCCAACATGTACAAAGTTTCCCCTCCAAGTGATAGTAAGTATGCTAGCAAAATGGTGGATCCTTTTATTCATCTATATCGAGTCTAGTTTTATCCCGTGTACAAGCATTCTTGCCACAGCTTCAAACTGCCAACAGCGAACTTGATCAAAAGGACCCATCTGAATTGGATATTGAGAATGTGAATGAAGAACAAGAGGGCCAATACATTGAAATGGTAAGCAAAAGAGAGATATGGAAGGATGTCAAAAAGGGTGGACGTTGACATACACGCTCTCTGTTGTAGAATCTGGGATTGGGTGTATTCGAAGCCAAGCGTAAGGGCGATGCATCGGACACGAGCGACGATCATGATAGCGATGACAATGACGAGATTATCATACCATCCTCTTCATCGAAACCTACCACTACCGAGAAACCCAATATCCAATTGCTGCATTCTGAAGATTCCAATGACGATAAGCATTCATAGAAACCATATCAACATTGTACATATCATCTCTCCACCCTTACATACATAACATTTCATATTCTTACTTTATTGATCCCCATTCCAATTTTAAAAGAAACATGCTTGCTAGTCGATTAAACTATTGATCCTTCATTCATCCGGAAAACGTGTTCTTTGGTGGGGAGTGGTCATCGAGTCGGATTTATTTACCCATTTAGATGCATAAGCTATAGCAGGGCAAGTCCAATGCAAATTATTATGCACGCGTAATAGGATCATTTCAGCATAGCGTAGAGCATCTTGGAAGACTCGCTGTCAATCGAGATATTTACAATAGATACATGCAATACTAATGACATCTTTTGCTCTAGTGACGATATCATGGTGATGACGACGTGTTGTGTACATTTGGGTGAATGGGCTTGTGTGGGGTGAATGAGTGGTCTCAGTGGCGAATCTAATTCGGGTCCATGACTTGAGGCAAACGCTTCTCTTTCGCCTCTTCTTTTAACACCATTCACGACATCCCATCATAGTAATGCATCATTGTGTCGTTGTATCCTTGATTGCCGCCATCATAAACGATTTTATTCATGATTGCAAAATAGCTGATGCTCGCATTGACTAAAGTATTCCAATATCGTACATGGCTGTAAAACACCTTTCATCAAAGATACAAGTCTTCTTGCCAAAGCCATTCCAATCCAATCCATCGTCATCATCCTCAGCCATATCCATATGGTATATGCCCCTTCCTTCCTTGCTGTCAGCGTTCCACAGAACCAAAGCAACGTGCCAGGATTTCTCACCACCGCTGCACTTGATTCCATTCATCATACCATTGCAAGCCCAATGTATTGGTTGAAAGGACCATCTGATCACTGATAATACGCCTCCTTTTCCTTCTTTCCACTGCAGCTCAACCGGATGCAGATTGCTTGTGTTGCTTGATGGTTGATATGGCGTCATCCAATCTCAACATCACGTGGCCAAGGAAACCAACCCGGTCAATCCCTTCCATCCCACATACAATACCAAAGCAATATCCAAATCCGTATGCACAAGTAACTCGTATGTATTGAAAGCAGTCGCTACACGTAAATAAAGCTGCTTCTATACAATGGCTATCTGCTGTCCATATGCAAAAGGCTGTAAGGCAAGTTGCTGCAAGTAAAGAACGCTGCTTGAGACAATGGAGTGAAGAACTTGCTAATAGCAACTGCTGGATGGGATGCTGTTACGATTGGTTGTGGCAGAGAAGCGTGCAAGAGCGTGTGTTGTGTCAAGAGACTCGTGTGTTGTTGAAGAATGACAAGAAGGCTGTGTACACGTCATGGGCTTGCCATTCAGTCAAAGACAATCGGATCAGGAGAGTTGTAGGATTGGCATGCTGAGCTGAAGCAGGACGATCGTTCGCAGGTGGTAGTTGAACTTTAATGGGGCAACAGTTGAGAATGCGAGGAAAAGACAAGGAGTTGTGGGAGTGGAAGGAGTGGAAATTAAATAGGTAGGACACCTCTTGTATAAATGCATGAACACTGTACATCAAACTTTGATATTGAGATTGCCCATCTCGAACCTGAAATTTTCACACAAGGTGCTCTGGGACATGCTGATCACGATGATCTAAAAAAGACCTCATGTTTCATTTGAAAATTTGGAATGGGAGGGTATAATGTGGGTTTACTATGTAAGCCGGAAATGGAGGTCAGCGCCAGATTCATGATTTATGGAAATAGTATGCATTACCTTGGGATTCCCCATTTCGAACCTGAAACTTTGTCAGAAGGTTCGCTGCAACATGTTGATCAACTTCATTCATTTAAAAGTCGCTGACTTCATTGTGAAGATTTAAAATGCGGGGCCGTCCAAATGATGGATGATGAGAACAAAAGAGCGGACGGCCCACCGCCCCGAAGTTGCCCACCTCCAACTTGAAAATTGGTCAGAATGGTGCTTCGAGCACGCTGATCAACATTTTTCTAATAAAAACTTCATGCTTCATTTGAAAATTTGGAATGGGAGCGTCCAAAAGTTTGCGAGACGGAGACATTCGCAGGGTCTGCGATTCATTAATTTTCATGTTTGCTGTTCCAGCATAGCTCAGTCAAATTGGCTCGGATCAAGAAGCTTGAATGATGGAAATGCTCGGCTGGAGCAGGAGCATCGTTCACATGCAGTAGATTTTGTAACAACGCTGATTGTGAGGAAATGGCTGTTAGCTGGCATTTATGAGCTATTCCTAAATAGCGTACAAGTATCATGCATCGCCTGTGCTGGCTGACTCATTTACACAAACATGCCCCTTTGCATCTTTGGTTCTATCTAGGTCTATCTACTTTACAATGAACAAAGGCCACTCTTCATATAGCATCATGCTTACAGCATATGTAAAACATAAAGGTGCCCGTATCTCTAAACTTTACAATCAAACGTGGGCCTTTAATAGAACAAAGCTGCTCGGCGGGCTGAAAGCGATCTTGTGTCAAACTATGAAGTCGATCGTGGCCAATCCCAGATTTGCCCAATGTCGCCACCAGCCAAAGTGGATCGACCTCTTGAATTTTTTTCGACGACAACAAAAATATTTTTTGGCTGGTAGCGCCATTGGGTGAATCTGGGATCGGTCACGATCGACTTCATAGTTTGACACAAGATCGCTTTCACCCCGCCGAGCAGCTTTGTTCTCGTAAAGACCCGACGTTTCATTGTAGAGTTTAAAGATACAGGCACCTTTATGTTTTACATATGCTGTTAGCGTTATGCTATATGAAAGATGGTCTTTGTTCATTGTCGTTCGCTTAGAGCTAAAGATGCAGAAGCAGAAGAACGTTTGTGTAACTAGCCGAGAGTAGGGGGGCGAGTTGAAGGGTCGATCTTATTGGTGAAAGATTGCATAATGGATGCTTTCCCCTACGCGCCTATACAGGGTCCGCCTATGATAGCGCGTATGGACAATGCTACAAGTAGAAATATAATGCCTTTGCGAGAACAAAAATGATAAGTGCATATCAAACTATTGATTGTCGAAATATGAGACCTGAGACGGGTGATATTGATATTGAAGTGACCTTTTGGCTGAGGCTTTGTCAGCGAGCGCTTTCAGGCACCCTGTTATCATCATTCTATTTTCTCTCGCAAGACGTCTCGCTTGATCGTGCAGATATGAAGATATAGGTAGTTTTATGATTTTTCGTAAATGATGGCATGATGGTGATGATTACTATATTAAAGTGTTCTTTGCTTGTTGTTGATGATGGCAACAGACATGTGCTTTTTAAATGAAGCTCACTATTACAGGTCGGGGTGTGATTTTGATAACGAAATCATGCACAAGGCACACTGGGTACTACATGCATGAGGATGAGGAGTCATTGAATCAGCGATTGCTCGAAACTTTTATAGACAACCATGGTGTCTTTGTGGGAACGAAAATGATCACTGCATTTGAATGTACCTCCTGGCAACATACCAAATCCTGTGCCTTGATTCTAGAGGGTTTCGCCTACATAGCGTGGTAGTTATACAGCTTCGACGCGCTCATTTGCACCCCAAAGAGCCTTTTTCATTAGAGTAATTGTATTTTCAAAACGAACCCATCATTATACACGTAAATAAGACTTAATAACACGCCAAATGTCAAGAGGAATCAAGAACGACGGCAATCTGCACTATGGTTGCTATGAAATCTTGACGGGTCCATTTCCTTCCCAATCAGACTTTTTATTCAAATAAACTACTTCACCGTAATCTACACACAATTCTACACGTATGTTGACTTAGTAGCGTGCCATTTGCAAAGTGAGATCGAGAGGGGGTGAAATGGGACTGTGTGGGCGGGAGTGTATTTAAGTTGGCCTTGTTTCCATGGCAATAGTTCCTCCTCTTTCCGCAATGCCATCTCAAGTTCATCAAGAACCGGCTCGCTTCTTCCCTCTTGTGCTCGTGCTCACCGCATTGAAGTGGAACGTTTTCGAACAAGTACATTTCATGTGGGTGGTGCCAATTGCCTTCTTTCTCGGTGTCGTTTTTCCTTTGGTTCGGTGGGGGCTTTCGCGTCCCAACAATCGGTTGACTCACGTCCCGATTGCCAGCAATGCTGACTGCTCGGCCGGCGTGCCGTTGCGGGCGGCCAGGGAAAAGGTAAGTGATTCGACACAGGTGCCTACTAGCCCTGTTGTCTTGGCTAATCGTCAACCCTGGGTAGCTCCAGTGGTTCCATGCAAGGCACAAGCCTGCGAGTATCCTGGTATGTTGTTTTCTACACGACCAGTAGCACAAGTGCGCCGTCATCATGGCAACATGTCGGCCTTGGAGGGTGATGCTGTTTTCAACCCATCATCAGCTGTGGATCTTTTCAAACCATCCAAGCAAGTTACAAGCACACGGTCACCACCAAAGTTGCTTCGAGGAATGGCTATGCATAAAGCCATGCAGCATGTGTACGGCTTACCGGCACCAAGTTCTACTACTACTACAGCAGCAGCATCAGCATCATCACCATCACCATCATCATCTGCATCTTCTTCAGCATTGGCATCTTCTTCAGCATTGGCATCTTCTTCATCTGCATCTTCTTCATTGGCATCTTCATCTGTATCATCATCATCTTCTTCATCTGCATCATCATTGTCATCATCATCATCATCATCATCATCTTCTGCATCATCATCATCATCATCTGCATCGTCATCTTCTGCATCATCATCGTCATCATCATTGTCATCTGCATCATCATCATCTGCATCATCCATGGACGAGCTTTGTAAGTATTCTATATGAAAGGATCTTCTCTTCAGCAATACATTGATGCTGACTGATCTTCTTTATAGGCGAAGCTCTCCACATGTTGGATCTTTATGACCAAGACACGGCAGTACCGGATGCAATTCCTGACACTCCTGAGTTGCGAGAAACCGTAGAGGATGGTAAGTGCATTGGATATTGGGGTTGCTACCAGATGAAGTGATATCATATTAATCCCATCTTATTACTTTTATAGAAGGCACAGATGCCTCAGAGCCACAAGTTCAAGAACTTGAAGATACCCCAATGGCGTCACCATTGCCATCACCACCATCCTTCCCGTTGCCATTGCCACCACCACCACCGCCACCACCACAACAACCACCACCACAACAACAACAACCGCCACCACAACAACAACAACAACAACAACCACAACCGCCAATTTTGTATACCCAGGTGATCCCACCACCACCCATCATTCATCCGGAGGCAACACCGGAAGTAGTAGTAGCAGCAGTAGTCGCAGCAGCATCATCAGCACCAGCGGCATCAGCAATACCTGTTGCGTCAAGCACAGGTAGCAGCAACAACAACAACCGATCACGGTTACAGTTCCGAAGGCCCGTCATACGGCCTAGAAGTCGCCTTCGATGGCAGAGACCAAGTAGGAGTCAACCACCTCCACTTGCAAGACCGCCACCATCACCACCAAGGCCACCACCATCACCATTAATATCACCGCCACCATCATCACCATTAATATCCCCGCCACCATCATCACCACCATCACCTGCATCCTCATCGTCATCCTGGGGATACGAGTATAGGCCGATACTAAGACCAAGAAGACGGCTCCAACGGCCAGAGACAACAACATCATCATCATGTATACCACCACTATCATCATCACCTATACCATCATCATCATCACCTGTACTATCAGCATCATCATTATCGCCTATACTACCATCATCATTATCACCGATACCATCATCACTATCACCTATGCCATCATTATTATCACCTGTATTACCATCGGCATCACCATCATCATCCACATTGCTCTTTACGGAGGCAGAGCTTGCATCACCAATTTTGTCTGAACATGCTGAACAAGCAGATTCATGTAAGTATACTTGCACATTGGGATGAATGACTTTATATTAAACTAACTTATGATGCATTAGTCATGGGCGGAGACGATATCCTTGCAGAGATCATGGGGACCGATTTTATCGATCCCTTTGATGAAGTAGTCTTCAATGAAGACGCATAGTAAGTTACTTACAATGTATGCCATGGCTTTAATCACTCACATGTATATTATATATAGGTGCCCATAGAGTTTCTCAGCAAGAATTGCGAGAGAGTTTGGTGGATGGAAAACCCCAGCCCAGATTCAGGCGTGCATTTCAGCTATGCCAGTTGCTTGCACATACGGAAGGATCAGCATGAAGGTATCCCGACGGGAGTTTCTTGCATATCAACGCCTATCACTTTTAGGGCGTTGCCATGGCGATGACGTATCGTTCCAAGGATCCCTTGTTCCCATGCTACGATTAAGTCACAAAGCATTTGTGGTGTCTTCTCCTCGTGGATCAAGAGCCAAAGGGCGATTCACTCATCATGTTACCCACTGGGGCATGGGATTGTACTTGAAAAGGCAAGTTGAATCAGTGACACTTCTTGGATACCAATATGCTAATCATCTTTTGTCTTTTATTGTGGGGGTGGGTCATGGTATATATATGCCGTGATACATCCCTACATAGTTTGGCCGCCCTTACATTTTTGGATGATGGTGTTTGGGCACAAGCGGTAATCATCTTTGAAGTGGGTACTTGGAAAAAACAAAGCATCAAGACATCGACTTGCACGGGCATCGTAGTTTTGGGGCTTGGGGCCTGGAATGGTATGTGGTCGTCATGGTAGCGCTCTCGAAGTGGTAGGCGTTGTGTGTAGGTTCTCTCGAAGGGTGTAAATCCTGCATGCTTGATTCCTTCATTTTATAGATGCACTGGTGTACTGGAATGTCACGTTCTGTTCTGGTGTTGTGGGTTCTTCCTGAAGCCAGAGTTTGAGCTCCTGCTCTTTTGAGGAAGAGTTCTCTTTTCTTTTTATCGGTGGTGAAGCCGATGTGGATGACAAGGACTATCATTTGGGACACGCCTCTCTATTGCCATGAGACCTCTCTTCATTCTATTGGTGGCGGATGACAAGATTACCAACGTTGGCACAAGTCCTCTCTTCATTTTGTTGATGGTGGAGCCGATATGGACGACAAAGACTATCAATGGCGCAAGTCCTTTCTCTATTGGCATGAGCTCTCTTCATTTTATTGGTGGTGAAGCTGATGTGGATGACAAGGCAATCAATTGGCACAAGTCCTTTCTCTCTTGGCATGAGCTCTCTTCAATTTATTGGTGGTGAAGCCGATGCAAAAGGCTGTAAGGCAAGTTGATGCAAGTAACTTGAGACAATGGAGTCAAACACCTTGCTGGAATGGATGCTGTTACGCCCGATTGTGGTGGTGGAGTGTACAAGAGAAGGTGTTGTGTTAAGAGACTCGTGTGTTGTAGGAGAGTGACAAAAAGGCTGTGTACACGCCATGGACTTAGCCATTCAGTCAAAGACAATCGGATCAAGACAATTGTAGGATTGACATGATGGGTTGAAGCAGGACAATGGTTTGCAGGTGGGTAATTGTACTTGAATGGGGACCAACAGTTGAGAACGGGAGGAAGAGGGAAGAAGCTGAGTGGAAGAAGTGGAAATCAACAACAATTTACTCATGCTTGGATGACACTTGTGCTTGAACGTTTTTCAGTCAAATCTCATCGGATCAAGAAAGTTAAATGATGGTGGAGATGGGCTGGAGCAGGACAATCGTTCGTATGCATTGGATTGGACAACAAAGGTGAATGGGAGGAATGGGCTATCAAGTGGCTGTTTACAAATAACTTACCAATTTGATTCTTTGGACATTGGATGATGTTTTTTGTTTGAGCATTACTCGGTCAAATCCCCTCGGCAAGAAAGTTGAAGGATGAAGATGATAGGCTGGATCAGGGGAATCGTTCGTATGCGTTGGTTTGGGCAACAATGGCGAACGGAAAGAAGATGCTATCAGCTGCCAATATGTGAACTATTATTAAATAGTGTACAAGTATCATGCATCCACCCTTTCAGTCATGCAGAATCGAGCGTGTTACACAAACACGCTCCTCTGCATGGTCCAGCTACTTGACAACGAACAAAGGTCACTTTCCATATAGCATCACGCTTACACCATAGTGAAAACATAAAGGTGTCTGTACCTCAAAATCTTACAATGAAACGTGGGGTCTTTATGAGAACAAAGTTGCTCGGCTGAGTCTAGTGCACCTTGTGTGCAAGTTTCAAAATGCGATATTGAGCCATTATTGCCATACACAAACCTTGACACACCTTCACTTTTGGATGTTGTATACTTAACTTCCCCAAGGCAATCATGATCATGATCCATTTGTGCAACAACCTGTCAAGGATGTTCGTGTGTAACTACCACTTGCCATTACACTCAGCTCTTCATCCTTCTGTTCATGCAACCGACACCATCCACTAGGAAAAAGGCAACTCCGTCACGCTTACAGCATAGGTAAAACATAAAGGTGTCTGTATCTCTAAACTTTACAATCAAATGTGGGGTCTTTATGACAACAAACCAACTTGGCTGGGCCAACAGCACCTTGTGATATTATGTAAATACGTGGATCATATTATGGAAGATCAAGAACATCGAGAGGTTATGCAATGGGCTAACACGATCTTGTGATCCCTCCGACTGTGGGCGTGTTGGGCTTCTGTGCGAACAGCATGCTCTTCTCATGATAGGTTTCACGACATATACTTAAAATTAAATCACTTCCGTTGCCACCTTTCTTTCATGCACTGCGATATTGGATGGCTGATTATGCAATGATGCTAGTAAATCGTTTCACGGTCATTATTCAAAAGGGGTTCTTCACTTTAGCAGTCGCGTTTCTTGATGATGGATCAAGCACTTCATGCTTATATAAACATGGCTCATCCTCCTGGGTGATACGATCTTTACTCATTGCAGTTGGTGATTTCTTTTTGGATCTTTTTGATGATTGCTGTTATGATCATCTTGTCAAGAAGAGGATAGCTTTGAAGGAAGCGGCACGATGTTGTAATAGCAGCTGACATGCGAACCAATGTACATTGTCTTTGAACATTACACCATTATCATTTTCACCATCATGTGAGCTCAAAGGTTATATGGTATCCATGGATACGGTTTCTTTGGCTGAATGGTGGTACTCATCATACGTACATACATCGATACAATGAGATCTTATTACGCTCTTGTGCCATGTAAATGAATAATCCCTTACGTGATGTGGGACGACACACCTGGAAAAAGGATTGAATTCTTTAGGGTATGTCCTTATTTTTCATAATAGCTCTATTACATTTTACACACCACCCATCATTGAGGTTTACTTGGGTCATGATAGTTGCCACCCATGGTAACACAAAGAAGGAACCAAGAAGATCAGGTATTGTCGAGGCACAAGGGTGTTTAAAGATAGCTCCAAGTTTTTATCCTCTCAGAGAATGAGTGGCATTTACCAAAGTGGCAAATAGACCGGACGCATCCGGTACAAAGCAAAACGTCAAGAGCCACTTTTCATGTATATCAAACTTGTGTGAAGATTTCATTACAATAGAACCGTTTATGGATTGGATTTGTGCGACAGAACAAGTCCTACTTCTAGTATCCCACCGTATACCTTAAGTAGCTTGGCTTACAAGTTTCTCTTGTAGGGTGGGTTTTATTCCGCGCCATTAGCTATCTTAAATAAATGACAGACCAAGGAGTTGTTGGTAAATGAAGCTGTGATTTATTCAATAGGTGCCAATAATAGGCGAGCAATCTGATTCGCACAATCCAATATTAAAGTTACATATGAATGATGGTGGACAACATGCTGTTTGAGGTATACATGGATACCACCGCCTTGAGTAATATGGCATAGCACGAGTATAAGAATCGTATGGCCAATTGATTACACTTTATCATTCTAATAGCATTCGATGTATTGCGGGCGAATTATTACATGTGCGCGCGCTGATAATGCCGACAATGGCACCGCTCATAGAAGATGTCGCGTCGTGTGAAGCGTGTTACATGGTAGGTGGGATACAAGGTTTGACAAGGCAGATCAATGCCGTCGTCGTATGATTTCTGTACCGCATTAACTTCCGCAAAGAGGGTAATATGGCATGTTTTTTTCTCTGTCATCATTACGCGTTAGAAAGTTTGATTAATTCTTACCGTGAAAACAGTGTTAAAGAACGCTTAGTGGCGTGTAACAACAATGCAGCTGTCATTTCTTGTGTAGGTCATGATAGCTTTTCATGCAATGTTAAGTGATGAAACAAATCGGCGACATGCAATAAGTTTCGGGGGGTTAAAAAGGTACCCAAGTTTTTGGACCCATCACTTTGCAAGCTATTCGTCCATGGATATATATAGCTGTTGTCGAGAAGGGCTATACAATGAAACAAAAGGAGGCGAAAAACGAAAAAAGCAAGATGGCATCAGCATACAATATGCTTTTGCATGAATCCAAATACAGTTACAATATCTGACTTGACGCGCCATTTTACGTGTGCTTGTGCTTTTTAACTTTTAAGTTGCACCAGAGCTCTATATTGTAGATCCGCAGCCAATCATGCGATTCGTCATGTATAACAATGTGCAACCTTAAATTTCGTTACAAAGAACCTTGGTTCTGAATGAGCCAAACCAAGATAGCCAATGCCACGTTTGGGAGGCTATAGGGGTTTAAGAAAGAGAAAGGGATTAGGAGAGGGAGAGAGAGGAGAATGAGAGATCATGTTAACAGGGTCGTGTCAAGGGAGGTTATAAAACGAGTGCTCGGGGCAATATCGGTTCCTGAACGTGGAGATTCCTATTACTTTTTTACCTGTCAAGGGGGGGGGGGGTTAAAACGCAACAAGGTGCTTGCTGATCCCTCTCTCACACACATTCACAGAAACGCATGTGAGAAAAGAGAATACTTTGTAAGTGTATCTCCGCTTTACTACCACTTGTCTGGGCCATCACATTAACTTTGGACATAGTAACACACGCACCTACATACAACACATCTTCACGTACACACACACACACAATCCCTTTCTCTCTCTCTCTCTCTTTCTCGTTTTGCTTTTTCATTTGCCTCGGCCCGTGCAGTGCATGCGCCCTATTTGACCCCGTCCACTCTCTGGCAACCAGCAATCCATCTCTTTATCTCTCTCTCTCTCTCTCTTTTCTTTCCTCTTTTCAATTCACTGGCACGTTCATAGTCTGCGTCTGTGTGCGTCTGTTGCTCTCTCCCTCGTGTAGCGTGTGAATCGTTCAGCACCTTTTATCAGTCATCCCTCTCGACATGCGTTCCAACACCAAACTCATTGTTAGCTTGATCAATCGCGTCGCGGTTCGAGTATGTAGCCTTCTTTATCTCGAGCAGCATTCCCCGCCCACTCACTCTCCCATCTCGATACATAGCTTCCCATCAACAGTGGACGCAAGATTGAAAGTCTCGAGCAAGACCCCATTGTTCAACAAACGGGTAAGATACGACGCTTACATGAGTGATACATAAAAAGACTCACTGTGGGAATAATAGTGGCCGCTATCATTGAACTTTCTCGCTATAAACTCTCAACTATCGCAAATTCGCTCGGCACTGTGCTTGAGAATGTATCCAAGGTATATCTATGAACACACGCACACATCTTCAGCCAATGATAACGCATGGTTTCCGGTATAGAGTTATCAAACACCTACATCTCCACTTGAACAACACATTCCCCTTGATGTGCTTCAATCTCAATTATTCGTGCTTCGACTTTTATCAGCATGCATGCAACATCATTGGAAAACATATCGAGAACGCAGCATTCGTAATAGTAATGGAGGCGATACCAGCAGCGGTAGTATGACGAGTCAAAGCATGCGACGTCGACCCACCGATGCAAGCAATACAGCTGAAGCCATGGCTGCTGCCAGTGCCACAGGTGCCATGTCATCCATAGCTGAAGGTCGTGAATTCCTTGAGGCACCTGTATCTTCAGGTTATGGGCGATCCAAGAGTCCCAACAACAACAACAACAACAATGACAATCGTCGATCCGTATCCTCTATTACAGCACTCGATAATCATGATCCAGACGATAGCCAAGATGAGGATGAGGAGGATGAGGAGGATGACTCGACCCATGATCAACGACATAACAACAACAGCCGAATGATTGATCCACCACCTTTGGATGAAGCACTTGTCACCTATCTACTTGCATTGATTGGACGATTTCTATATCAGAGCCATTTGATTGAAGAAGCCAACGATCAATATACATCCACACCTTCGGAATACCCAATTGATACGTTATCGCCCGCTATCAGTGGTCACATGGATCAAAAGACATTGTCAATCACTCTCGACATTTACAAGACGGCAGGCCGTGTCCTTTATTATGTCAGTGCAAGCAATTGGTCAACGTATTATGCAAAGATTAAGAATGCTGTACATATCCTTGGTGCCATGGGCGAAGGCTCTGAACTTAATCCACCCGAGATTCGCATGCTGGAATTCAGTTGCTTGAATAGACAACGTGTACAAATTGTACTCTCAGGTAAGAAAGGAGCATTCATGGATGGGATCAAGGACTAATGCATCGCTCCTATGGTAGAATTGAGCTCATATTTCTTGCAAATGAAGCGCCAGGGCAAATTGTTGTTTTCAAAGATGATGCGAAAGGCTATTTGGCGGTGGATTGAAACGTACCCTGAAGAATTTGATGAGCTATGTGCGAGCAATAATCGACTTGTGGCTGGATCCGAGATCTTGTTTGATATGTGCAATTCGGCTGCTGACAATCCACGCAAAAAAGCGATCCTATGGCCTGTACAAACGATTCTCCTTGTATTGTCTCAAGATCTCCTGTTACAAGCCTTCCTCGATAATCCATCTCTCCAAAATCGAAGGGTAAGTGAAAGGAAAACCATAAAGTAATATAACTCGTGTTGCTTATACATGTTTTCTTCATAGACGAGTTTCTTGAGTATGCTACGCAAGTCATTGAAAACCACAAAGACAGCCGATATTGCAGCCATTTGTTATGTCGATCTATGCAAGGCAGCAACTTATGTACCACCTACCGAGGATAGTGTGCTACGGCATATTGCAGCGGATATTGAGGATGATTTACGAGAAAAAGTATGGGATTTCAGTCGCAACATTGCAGCTGATATTGCCACGGCAGCGAGTTTGGGGTACATTATCAATCACCAAGTGTTGGTCACGGACTATATTCTTGCACGCATTCGGTTGGATCCCGACAATACGTTACAGCATTTGATTCCACAATGTCTTGAAGAAAGCGTCCCACTCATTTTCAAATTGGCATTCGTAAAGGCATGTTTGGAAATCGCACGTGATGAGAATCGGTTGCCATGGAACCCTTGCTTGCGTTCCTTGTACAAGTACATTTGCTCACCACTACGCAAGCTGTTCCTTCAAACCATGAATGCGGAGTTGAATGCATCAGGAAAGGATACGAGTAGCATCTTGAACATTGCCCAGCAACCAGTGACACCCATCCCATCCTCAACAACAGCAGCCGTGGCGGCTGGTGCAGCTGCTGCACAATCACCACCGCCAGGACCAAGACGTGTTGGTACTTCACCTGAAGGACGTGCTATCATTTTCCGATCTGGCGCTCAGCATCGCATCGAGTTGTTGCAAGATCTTTTACGACTGTTTCGTGTGGATCCATTGCTTGTGCTGTTGCGTAGAAACGACAATGACCCAACCATTGATGAAACAGCAGCCGTCATGACTGCCATGGCAACCTTGTTTCAACATCATCCCGACCAAGGTATCCGTCAATCCATCCATGAATGTCTTGCAAAGTTGCATGTACCAGAAAACATCACTCAATGGGGCCCTGATCGCTATGTGATGGTCAACTTTTGGAGAGTCTCAAGCAAGGTCGTGTTTATCCTTGCCAAGCAAATCTTGGACAATAAGCAGGGTGAAGAAGGTCTCAAGTCATTGCTTAACCTGCTCATGAAATTGTTTGTGGCACGAAATACATTTTTGGAAGGACAACAGGTACACATAAATATAGATCTGTATTAGGATCATGCAAATTGACCCAAATATTTGTTTCATGTAGCATCGTGTCACTGAAGGAGCTGATACGCGTGAAAGATTACAAGCATCCGTAGCCTTGGAAATTGCATTGCTCGTGTCATTATGCTGGCCGGTACCCGATGTGTGCTCTGATGCCATCAAATGTCTTGGTTATCTATGTGAGGAAGCCCATTTAGTGGGTGATGATGAAGAGCCACCACAACAAAATCAAATTACGCTCCTTTGTAATCTTCCAGTGTATTCGGGATTGGCTTCAGAGGATTCAGTGTTTTTGGGACGCAAGGTGCAACAAAAGCGTATTCGCAAATACATGCGTCTCATTACTCAGCATACACCTGGTACTCTTGCTGCTTGGGAAGAGACATGGAAACGATGGAAAATGCTTACCCAATTGTTGGCTGCCAGCAATGCTGCACGCGTTGCCGCTGCACAAGCATCCCATCATCACCATCATCACCATCACGACGATGACGACAATGATCACCATTCGGGACAAGATGTGTCTCCAGGCATGACGCCCAAAAAAGTCGTCAAATCAACAAAAGCAACAACAAGTGGTACATCTTCCTCATCATCCTCAACATCGCCACAGCCCACAGCTGTCAAAACCGCTGGTTCTTCAGCACCTGTTCCAGGCACTACCAATGCATCTAATCATGGCGTTCGTATTGAAATGGATGATGAGAAGCAAACGCTATGGCAAAATTATACGGGATTCCTTGCAGCATTGGGAGGCTGTTGCCTCATGACACCTACTGTGCCTAGCAAGGGTAGTAGTAGCAACAGTGATCGACGACGTCAATCGGCATCCTCGTCTGCATCTTCAGAACCTGCCATGTTGGTGGATGGATTCATTGCCGAAATGACCAACTTGCTGGTATCCGATAATGTGTTTATTCGTGAAGGTGTCAAGGAAATTCTTGGATCAGACTTGTCGCCTACATTGTATGCTATCCTCTTTCGACATTTGGAAAAGACCATGGCGCGCTGCTTTAATCATGAGCGTGAAGCAATCCCATCGGCACGCAATACTTTGTTCGTGGAACAAGCCGTCCTTGTACTCAAGCTTATTCTCGATCGTCTCGTGGATCCAAACGATTGTCTTTTGAGTATCGAGTTTAGCACCTTGGTGCGTCAATTTGCCCACTATCTCAACAAGTTGCCGGCAAGCAGTTTCCACGTGTTGCGTATCAAGATCAAAATGTGCCATCTTGTCGAGACCATCATGACCAAAAAGGAAAAGATTATCATCCGTGAGGAAATGAGGCTGCGTAACAAGTTGTTGGAGCTCATGGTTGAATGGACAAGCGATTTTGCATTGGTAAGTAGTAGTAGTCATGCGTGTCTTTTTTCCTCGAGACTGATGTGTCCTCTACTAGCAAAAGGCTGATTCCAAGAGCAGCCATCTTATGCAAGATGTAGCCCAAAGCGAGAAGTTGCATCGAGATTTGGATCAAGCATGTCTCAAAGCCATTGTTGCGTTATTACAACATTTGCCACTGCAGCCTTCGGAGCCATTGCGTGATGCTGATAGTAATCAAGTCAAGAGCAAGCTCTTTTACAAGTACTTTACATTCTTCTTGAAGCTCCTTAATCGATGTCGTTTGAATGAGATTGAGCTCAACAATGCTACGGTGATCAAGAATAACAAAGAGGTGCTCACGGCTAGCAAACCACCCGAGAATTATCAAGACCTATCGCCACTCAAGGATTCCACCATTCTTGCCATGTCCAATTTATTGAGTGCCAACGTGGACGCTGGTCTAAAGTACTCGTTGGCAATGGGCTATCACGAGGATACACGTACACGTGCAGCATTCATGCAAGTCTTGACCAACATCCTAAACCAAGGCACAGAATTTGAGACGTTAGCTGAAAACGTTATGGCAGATCGCTTTGAAAAGTTGGTGGATGTAAGTGTGCATCTATATATCGATGGATAATGGCTTACCTTTGTTCATCCTATAGATGGTGGTAGAAGCTGATATGGATGTGGTGATGGCATTATGTGATGTTTGCCCTGCTACTGAGGCGGCTGGATTGGCTGAAACGCTGTTGGCTGTGTTTGAATCACGTGATCATGTGGTGCCGCTTTTGCAAGCTGCTATTGACAAGGAGATCTTATCCACCGAGCAAGAAGCTACATTATTCCGTAGTACAACCATGTCCACTCGCTTGCTATCGACGTATGCCAAATCGGTGTGTGTTGATTATGTGCGTATCACGTTGCAACCTGCCATGGAGGCCATCAATGCGTTGCCAGACGACCAAACGACCTGGGAGCTTGATCCTCAAAAGCTAGGTCCAAGTGATGATCTTATGCGTAATAAGCAGAATGTTATTCGTGCCACGGAGATCTTATTGAATGCCATTTGTGCATCAGCTTCCCATGCACCACCGTAAGTTATACCTTTGGATTGATTACCATGATCAATAAGCTTACGTAGTAATTCATCTATGACAGGTCTTTCCGTGAAGAATTGTCATTGATTGGCAGTGCAGTATATAAGCGTTATTCAGAAGCGAAGAACACGGCCATTGGTAGCTTTGTGTTTTTGCGACTCTTTGGTCCTGCTATTGTGACACCCGACAGCGCTGGTCTTTCCAAGCAAGCCACACCACGCAACAAAGACGTGCGAAAGTTGTTATTACAAGCAACACGTGTGATGCAGAATCTTGCCAACAACGTTCTATTTGGTGTCAAGGAAACCCATATGATCGTGCTCAACGACTTTGTGACTGACAACATTTACAAGGTCACCAGCTTTTTGCGTGAGATTTCTACAGCCGTTCAACCTCGTGATCAAAAGAACGTAGCACTTGCACACATGGACCAAAAAGGACACAATCGTTTACACCGCTATTTGTATGAGAACATTGAACGAATGAGTCGTGAGCTTGCAACACGTAAGGCCAAGAGCAACAACAATAACAACAATGGCAACAAGAGCAGCGCAGCAACCACCACCAACCAGCAATCGCTACTCGAATGGAAAAAGACACTTGATAAGTTATCGACACTTATTGCACAAATTGGCCGGCCAAGTGACCTTGCAGACAACGAGCTCTCATTTTCACGCAACTATGCCATCACCAATAGCAACCACGACTATAGTGAATTCATCCGCCGCAACAGCCATCGTGATGTATCACCCATCAGCTCCAAGAATATCTTTTATCATGCTGGCGTATCCAAGGGTGGACGTCCTGTGTTTTATTTGATCACTCGCAATGTGGATGCTGAGACCTGTGATTTCGAGTTGCTGATTTATTACATGCTTCGGGTAAATTATACAATGCTTCATATACGTATATGCATTCTCACAATGCATCCATTATAGGTACTGGAACCACATCTCAACCGACCTTTCGAGCTTTTATTCGATCTTACCCGGTTCAATGCATCCCACGCCATCCCTACTCATTGGTTGACCCAATTCTTTCAATTGATCTTTACTGAGATGAATGATTACCTTGTGGCCGTCCATTTGTACAATTGCAACTCCTTTACGCAGCGATACATTGCCAAACTACCACGTGAAATCGTCAATCGACTTGTCAAGCGAGCACAATTTGCAATTACGTTAGCTGAGCTACATGAGCGCATTGCTCCTTCAGAAGTACACTTGCCCAAGGAAACCATTGATCTCGAGCGTGCACCCCACACCACCTTTTCACCCGTGACACGCATGGTGAATCTTAAATCATCCTCTGTACCTGTCATTGTCAAGGTTGGCCAGGAGCATTTGCAGCTTATTACGGTAAGTTGGTGGTTGATGGAAGGACCGTTTGGCAGCCTATTCATGATTGTATTCTACTATTAGGTGCGTAAGCAAGAAGTCTACCTGCCATTGCACACTATCTTCAACGACGTGTACCATATCTCAGATATTGATGACATGGAGCCTTTGCCAAATACGAAGCATGAGCATGGTGGAGGAGAACTTGTGATCAAGTATGACCATGGCAAGTCATCCATGGTGTTGTCGGCTTCCAAACGTGATGCCATCTTGGCACTTTTGCGCTACAACAAGAACCGATATGAAGCATCCAAGCCTGGTGGACCCAATGAACGTGCCATTCGACCCAATGATGTACCAGGCCGACTACTCAACATGTCACTTTTGAATATTGGCAGTGATGATCCCGGCTTACGTTTGGCAGCATACAATTTGCTCTATGCATTGAGCTTAACCTTCCGATTCGATGTTGGTAATCAATTGCTGAATACACGAGGTAAGTTTGGGGGCTATTTCTAGGATGGGAATCAAAGTACTCATGGCTATGTATGTAGACTTGTGTATCCCTGCCAATAGCACCGATTTCATTGTCAGCATTAGCGAGAGTTTGGCATCCACGGAGCAATATCTTACATTGGAGTTCTTGAATGAATGTTTGGTCGGCTTCAACAAGTCGAGTGAATTGATGCGACAGCTATGTTTGGCTTACATGGCACCTTGGCTACGCAATATGGCATTGTTCAGTCGCGCAACACCCGATGACAATAACAAGAATTTGGCCAAGACGAAGGATATTTTGCGTCTACTCATTGAATTGACAGTGACACGATCGGATGTAAGTATACTGAAACATAAGGCGGTGGTGTATATAGGAACTAATAGTGGGTGATGATGTATACAGATGTACAAGCACGTGCAAGCTAAGGTTTGGAAGACCCTTGCCAAGGTGGATGATATGATCAACTTGATCATCGATGCATTTGTACAATACTCTGTTGAGCACGGTGTTGGATCTCCACAAGCTGAAGTGATGGCTGATACGATTGTAACCATGTCGAGTATTTCAGTGCGTGGCAAGGTGATTAGCCGATTACGACGTGTGATTCAGCATACCTCTTTACGACCTTGTCGCAGCTTGACTGAACATCCAGCATGGGCCGAGATTGCTGTTCTGTTACGTTTTGTGCTGATGTTATCCTTCAACAATATTGGACCTGGCAAGCCCTATCTACCAGAAATCTTCCACATTGTGACCATGTTGGTTGGTACAGGCCCTACCTTGATTCGTGCATCCATTCATGAGCTGGTCGTCAACATGATCCATACCTTGTGCACTGGCATGCCACAATCGGATGAAAACATCAAGAAGCTTCATTTTGTTTTGAATGACTTGTGCGATAGCAAGAATCGTGTCTACTTTGGATTGACCAAGCCGCATGCAAATGCATTCACCATTACGCAAGAAACGATGACCGATGTTGCTGATACCGTCAACTTGTCTTCCCTTGAAAGCATCATTCGTTTATTACTTGAAGCTGTCAACATTGGTGCACCTTCAGTGGATGTTGCAAACATGTGGCGTGCACGATGGATGGGTCTTGTGGCAAGCACAGCTTTCCAATTCAACCCTGCTATTCAACCACGTTCGTTTGTAGTCCTTGGTTGTCTTGCCCAAGATGAAGTGGATGATGATCTTATTTATCAAGTCCTGGTTGCTTTGCGTGGTGCCCTTGCCATCTTTAACGAGAGCGATTCAAGCTTGATCGTCAGCATCATGATGTGTCTTAGCAACGTCATTGATAATCTGCCACCCGATTCACGATACCTGCAACCCCTGTTTTGGCTCGCCATTTCACTCGTCCAAATGGGTCATCCAGCCATCTTTGCTCCTGCAGCTGAATTCCTTCAATCGGTCCTTCGTGCTCTTGACGCACACAAGGTGTTTGCTTATCGACCCGTGATGGATGTATTAATGGATGCACGTGTACCTCTTGGAGATATTGCCAAGGAACTCGATGCCATTAGTGGTGTGAGCTTTGAGACGCATTTTTCATTTGCTGTCGCAGGTGTTTTACTCAAGGGAATGCAACATCACAGCAGCAGCCATTATCACAACAACAGCAGCTACAACAAGGATGTCGTCTTCCAGTGCTTGACCACTTTCCTCGAGATCGATTGCAAAAAGTCACTTGAACAAAACATGGTTGAAGCACGCACACTTGGTTATCTAGCAGGCTTATTGCCATTGGCTGCCAAGAACAATGCATTACGAGAATTATTACGTTTGGCATGTATCAATGATGTGGATCAGCTTGATGCTGCTGCTGCCGCTACGGCTGCCAATGTGGAAGCGGGCAATGCTGTTGCCATGATTGCATCAGGTGCAGCTCTCACGACAACAACAAATGGCGCCTTTGTTGGATCATCACCCTTGCAACATGTACGACTCTTTGATGCCCTTGAGATCCCTGATAATACCACGGCATTACTTTTGGTGTCCTTATTGGTTGCTTTACTCAACACAGCCGAGAATGAATCCGAACGCCTGTTCTTGTACAGCTTCCTTGCTGAAGCAGCTGTCTCCATCCCTGAAGTCTTCGCGCTTGTGTATGAAGCGCTTCTTCCCAAGATGAATCAAATTGTTGTCAGCGGTCAAAATTATGCTGTCATTGATGCCGTCAAGAGCATTCTCATCACCGCATGCTCTGAACCTGCATTCAATCACTCCTTGAGCCGACGCAGTCAAAGGGCCTATCTTGACGAACTTGGATTCCCTGCACTTGGTGATCCTACGCTTGGTGCTGGCAAGGTGAACATTGCAAGGAATGCACAATTGGCTAGCAAATTGCTTGAACGCATCACAGAGTAATAGATACTACAGATACCAACCCTATTCATCACGCTAATTACACACACACACACACGTATACATATATACAACGCACATATACACCACATCCACACAACAATACGCCTATTAGATAAGAAGAACAACAACCTCTCTCCCTCTTTTATTACCCAAAGTCATAATCTGATAATCATTCATGTTTCATTGATAATCATTGGGGAGTTGGCAATATCACATTTCACATGCTTATTCATTGAATGCTTTTATTAGTATTACTAGTGCGAGGGAATCAATGTATCTAATAATCTACGCATGACACTTGGTAAAGGTATATTCCACTGTGCCAAAGTGCTCTCAAGTTTAGCTGCACCTTTAGATAGCAAGTTGTAGATAAATGATGCACCCTTAACCTATAACATAAAGCTATTAGCATCCACATAATGATATCTTCATTGAAACATTACCTGTGATGTAGGATGGGAACGCTCATAATAAAGCTCTCTAAATCGCTCGATGGCGTGTAAGCTCTCAGTGAAACGGTTAAGCGTATTGAACAGGGCAACAATTTCGGTGCGTTGAAGAAGGCCAGGGTTGCGTAAAGGACTATGGGGTGTGTGAGATGTTAGTCCTAAACGCACATTTTGAGATCACATGATTAAAGCTTACTCAAGGCTATCCTCCTCGTATGAGAAAAGGATTTTCAATGCCGTTGCCAATCCAGTGGTTTGAATCTTGCCCCAGAGTCGACATTTCTCACAGCCAACACAATCCATGATGCTTGTCACATTACGGAAATGATCCCTGAATTCGAGCTTCAATGCCTACAAGAACAAAAGTTTAATACCAATTGTAAACAAGTCATATGCACATGTATACAAACCTTAGCATCGGGACCTTGGAACATGGTGCTTTCATCAAAGGTGGTAGGGCATGAACTAAACGTATTGATCAAATCCAGGACGGCATTCTAATATCAAAAAGTGTCAACGAGAGATCCATTTTATAGCCACCATGGAAATAACCTACCTTGGTTGCTTGATCCTCCTTATCATCCCCCGTACAAAAGTTGTATGCCTTCATGTATCCTCCCAACTTTTGTACTGCACGTACGACTACAGCATACGTAAAATAGATGTTTTGCAAGCGCTCGGGATGTGATCCAATCCTGTTGACAAAGCAGTCGAGATTTTGTTTCTAAAAGAGTACGTGTAAGCACACACACACACACAATCGTGTATTTCATTTTCTATCTTACCCATTGGCCTGTGCTTTGATCAAAGTATTCGTCGCAAATATGGATGGAGATGGATGAATGCAAACCTATTCTCTCCCCTGGGTAAGCCCGCCATCCATTCCAAAAAGCAGCAGCAGCCTCTTATTACCTGATATCAATCGATAATAAACACGTTTCTCCAAGCACACTTCTTCATCTCCTTCATCGGGTTTTTCAGCAATGTCACTCAAGAAATGGCGTAGTTGATCCGTATTGCTGGGGACAGATGCAAAGTTAGGTGAAGTGGCGGTTGATGTCTTTTGGCCGAGTTGGTTGTTGTTGTTGCATGTTTGGCACCCTTCAGTCATCTTGTCCACCACATTAAAGCAGTTTTCTCGATAAATGGCATTCCATACACGTGCTGATGATTGTCCTGCGTATCCGGTAAAGCGTTCTGGGTTCTCAGTCAAATCAACATAGACACATTCTACATACAAAAACAATGAGTATCGATCCTTGTATGCATATATAAAGCCCAAGTTAGTTATACCTGAATCAAACTCGTCATTCAATAGGCAAAAGTCTTGATCTTTATATTTGCATTCTTGAAAAGGCTGAAATCCCTATAAAAGGTGTCAATAGAGATTGTAGCCAGGATACCATCATTGTTGTATTACCGATCCTTTCGGGGAAATCTGAACAGCGCTCAATGCAGGTTGACGCCATTCTTCTGGTAGTGATGACTAAAGTAGAGATGTGTATTGTATGCTTGCTTAGTAATCCATCCGTTGATCATGTTATCTATACATACCTCATCCGTTGTCTCCACTGCACAATCCCGATTCATGCAAAATCCATCTTCATTCCAAAAAGGACATTCTCGCCACAAGTTAATCTACAAAAAGGAATCTCTATTACCATCATGCCATCTTTTTCTTTATTGCCTTGTTATGTGTACCCACTTACCTTATAATACCGGAAGAATTTGGAATGAACGAGGGCTTGGATCTTGTCAAACGCGTCCCGTTGAAGCTCCTCCACACTGCGAAAGTCGCAACACGTATCTTCAATTTGACCCGATGGCTATAGCTTTATCGTTAGTGGGGGGTGACAGCCTATACATCGCAAGTTGCTTAGTGTGAAGGCACTCACATTACAATAGTTTTCGGACGGCTCTAGTACATTCTCGACAAAGTCGATTGGTTTTGTTTCTTGTAAGACGGGTTGGAAGCCGGCATGGGCAATGTGGAATAATAAAAGAAGGAATGTAAAAAAGGGTATTGAGAAAAAGGAATGCCGATTGCGAAATGCCATGAGTGAGTGTGTTGTATAAAGAGAAAAAGAAGCTATGCAACAGGTACATAGACTTCCTTTAAAGCTTTGCCACGTGTGTTGTCTCAGTCGCTGCCCTGCTTGACATGATATAATAATAGCGGCATCAGAAATAGGTAAACAAAATGCTACGAGTGGTGATTCAATTAGCACAGTGTTGCATGTGTTGCATTCTGATTTGACGACACAGCCCTGTTTTATTATGAGATGACACCACTTTTTTTTCCTTCTTTCCACCCCTTTTTTCATCATGCCGGGACCTTTTCCCATCACTGTTGCAATAGATGTGCATTAGGCTGTGTATAATAGTAGTAATTGGCTATTGAGATGATCATGCAATATACTTTTTGTGTGTGTCACTCCACCACCGCCATCGTACCACGTAGATACAAACATGGATTTACTCGTACAACAAATATATGAGACACTACAGCATCCTGCCCTTTATTATCCAATGTCCTCTCTACTACCATCATGTCGACTAGTATGGTATTCCTACAAGAAGGAACAAAATGCCATGAGTGATGATGTTAAGTGGATTGGAATGATGGCATAGCTTTACCATTTGTCAGCTTTTGGAAATAGTCATACATGACCGTACGTCGATTTTCGCAAGAATCCTTGATACGTAACATGATAAAATCTGCAGCAGCTCTCTCGGATCTGCCAAGCTGAAAACGATTCTGCATCCGCTGGATAGTTTCACCCTTGAAACATGGCAACCCCGATTCCAACATTAAGGTCACAAGTTGACAGATTTGGCCAGCATAGGGACGACATGCAAGATAGGCTTTGACCACCAATTGAGAAAACTGATTAAAGGCCTGTTCATCAGCTCCACCTCCCATAACTTGAACCATTTCAGTGGTCAACTTGAATGGCGAGCTCTCAAAAGTAATACCACCAGGAGCAATGTCAAAGATGAATCCAAAATCTGGTATAAACATGTATGAACACCCATATCCCTCACATAGCCTTTTGTTGGGGACTTACCTATATGCAGAATATGGCCTTCGGAATCAATCATAATGTTGCCGTTATGCCGGTCTTTAAATTGAAGAAGGTATGACAATACTGAATATGCAGCCAAGCTTTGCACAAAGTTGGTCCGTGCACGTTGAAAAGCCGGTGTATCGGGAGTCCCATACTTTGCAACAAAGTAATCGTACATGTTGTTGACCTTTTCTCGACCGAGTTGATCACGTGAAATAGCATTTCGGATAACGTCAATCACACCACGACCAGGAGCAGTGGCAACCACTCGATAGGGGTACAGGTACAAATCAAGGCCCACGCTGGTGAAAATATTCTTGAAGACAGCAATCAATTGGAGCGCCAAAACATCTTGTCGACAATCATCGCCCACTTTGAAAATGGCACCCAAGTCAATAAGCTGGTCCGCTTTTTGGATCTTGAAGGTCGCCATAAAAGGGGCCTGTACATTAATCATTCAAAAACGAGTGAGTACCGTATGCTTATAAGTAAAAGAGTGAGATAGTCTATACGTACCTTTGCATGACTTTGAAGAGGTTTACCAGAAGAACGGTCAATCTCTTTTACTTCCCCATCAGGATTACTTGGAAGATACACGCCCTTTTCAACCTTGATCTTTGCCAATTCTTCATCCAGTCGTTGCTACGAGCGATGTCGAATGTGAGTTCATCATGATAGATTGACGGCAATATAGACATACTTTTTGTAGCGGCTTCTTTTCGGTTTGACCAAACTTGATGTACTCCTTCAAATAACCCGATATAGCTGTCACCTCTCCAAAGAATTTGAATTCACGTTCGTAAAACGAGCGATCTTCACCAGTGAAAGAATCAACCAAATTCTTGATGATTCGCTCCAGAGTGGGCTTTAATGGATCGGCCTAACATGCATATACATAAGCGACACAACGCAAAAGAGTCGTAGCAGTGAATGTCTCACCTTTTTACATTCCTTATCCGCATCAATGTAAAAGTTGGCTTGCATATTCCATATGATTTGGTGGGCGAATAGCTGTGACACTTGTCCCGCTTCCATGATGTACTTTTCAACATAGCCATATTCATCGTATCTTAAAGCCTGAACAATCTGAGGAACATAAAAGAACACCAAGTCGACCGGGTAGTATTCAAGGACACGCATGGCATATTGTAGAATGCTTGGATGGTTTTGAAAAGGTGGCAAAAAGTAGTTGGCAGCCGTAATGGCAGGAACAGCAGACCAATATTGAAGGTACTAATCGTAGAGAGATACCTTGTTAGTTAACGTATACATTTGTGCCCATCATATAGCTTTGCTTACCTTTAGATCCAGCTTTGCACCTGGAAGTATACCATTCCCCAGTAATATGACAAGAGCATCAGGACAATCCACCACATCCAATGAATTATTAGCAATGAGACGATGAAGCTCGTGGAACATGGCAGGCTGAACAAATCGCGATCCCAGCTGGACGGCCAATTTTGGTTCCATTTGCCAAGCAAAGCGCACAATTTCTTTCCATCCATCCTTTTCATACAGTGATCAGCCAAAATGAATCTATACATAAAAATGTATACTTACATCGGTAGTAATACTTTTCTCGGCTTTTCCGACAAAGCAAGGCGGATGTCCATGGCCAACCGTATTCAATGGATTGCACCAAACGGATAGCCTTGATAGTTCATTTTCCACCAATAACAGGAGTAGCTTGCGTTTTTGCTTATGTTGCTTCAAAACATCATCCCGCGTCTTGTCTAAATACGATGACCCATTACAAACAATGCTTACGTTCCTTCATCCAATCACCTACCATCAACAAACTTATAGATTCCAGATGCAATGTTTGATTGGGATAATCGTAACTGAGAACTCGTCAATACTTGATTCAAGCGCGGCGTATCTCGAGACAATGCATGATAGAAATCGGTCATCAGCTTGTATTCTTGAAGCGTGTAACTCTTGCGAGGCCCATAATGCCACCTAATAGAACCCTAGTTATTAGATACTACGCTTTGATCGTTTAACTGATATACCTACTTTGGCGGAAGGCAGAACCAGCTAAAAGCTGCTTCATACACCAATGTTCGGAAATTGTGTTCTGTGAATGCTTCCATGTTGACGGTCTCTAGGATTTTCAGACCCAACCATAGCATATGGAATCTTGGTTGCCTTGAAAGCGAGTGCGTACTGAAAATAAAGGATGTTGTTTAGGAGCTGCTGCCTCTATGAATGATATTACTCCATACCTCATGAGATGTGCATTGCGAAACGTGCTGCCAAGTAAGTGAATAAACAAGCTGGTCAAGTTTTTTCTCATATGGCGAGTAGCGTTGAACCGGCTGTGAATGAACTCGATCCAAGCGAGGTGGGGTATGAACAATGACCGAGCTTCTTGAAGCACGCTTTCAAGATCGGATTTGTCGGAGGGCTTGTATGTCATGTGTTCTTCGAACGGGTCGTTAAAACTAAAAACGATGTTCATTAATATATAAACCATCTTCACTACTAGCATCTTCCAACTTACTTTACTTTGGGCGAAAACAATCCTTTTCGGTGCCGTTGTGTCCATTGCCACATCCCCAGCATCTCGATCATCAATCGTTCTTCAACTTCAGGGCACTCGATAAGTATCCAGTTCCATACATTGGTGCCTACTTCCATGGCTTCGGCAGTAAAGATATAGACGGGGATTCGCACAATGTATGCAATAAAATCAGGATGGACCTAGTAAGGTAACAACATGAGCACCTACTATTATGGGTATACGTTTACTACCTTTTTCAATGCCACAATGGCTGCTGCTGTTCTAAGCATAGTTCCATGTAATCGATCAATGTGTACATGTCGTCCCATCTTGGCATCATCCAAAAGGTCCTGAAGCATCCGAAATCCAAAGGGGGATTGCTCGTCGTAGCATGCAAAACTACCTGGGGTTGGCACCTTATCTATAATACAGGGTCAGGAGATGCTTTTCATGCATACTTATCTCTTTTTACCTTGATGCCGATCCACTGCAGCTACGTAATTCATCCCATTGATCTCTCCAGTATGGTAAATTCTTGTTGTGAATCCATGAACAAAATCAGAGGATGCATCCAAAGGCACCGATGATACGTTGGGTGCAAAGTCTATCGTAATTGGATAAGCAGCATGAAGATGATACATTCATTGATCCAATACTTGCCTACATAGAGCTGGTTTTTTGCTGCCGTTTTCCCAATTTCCAAAGCCAAGGACCTCCCAAGATGAACCGTATCAATCGGCATATGTGGATCGAATCGTTTGTATTCTGCGAGATAGTCCTGTAGCAATCCGGTCACTTCTTTGCATGCCATATCCATAGATTTGATAAGCCATCGTTTCCCATAGTCGTAAAGTGTTGAGCATAGCTCCTGGCGATAGGCTTGATAATCACTTAATTCGAGCGTGATCCCTGCCCGATCGGATGTAAAACGGTATATGGATGTATACTATAGAGAGTGGGAGAGCCTTCTTATGAGCTAATGCCATTTTGGACTATGTAACTCGTATGTATACCTCGTCTCGATAACAAGCCTCACAACTCAACCAAGTGAGCTGGATCAATTCAAGTAAAAGGGTAATGAGTGCCTTCTCCGAAAACACTTGAGGAAACGCATTGACAAGGCGGTTGGTCACTTTGATAGCCAAGAGATGAACTTGTCTTAGTCGATGGCAACACATGGGTAATAGAGCCTGCATTTGTGTACAAAGTTGATCATTCAACACCTGGTTGGCTGCCTTTTGCTGAGTCTCCTTGATAAAGGTGTTGACACATAGATCCACCATCGTTTGTAGACATTGGCCAAGGTATGAATGCTCAGATCCTATGCCATCATTGGAATAATAATGCAAGATAAAGCTGCAATCGCCCATAAAACTTCGCATGATCTCGAGATGGTAGACAGCCAATGTAAACATGACTTGTGAAAATGGCATGTTGCGTATACTGTAGGTGCAATTGGGACCAAGAAATGTTGTCAAACGTTGTCGCAAAGATTGAGCACGGGCTGAATTCGCTGCTGCTGTTGATCCTCCTCCTCCACCACCACCACTACCCACAAGTACTGAATTATACTCGAGATCACTTTCCAAATGATCGGATGCTGCTTTGGTCACCAAAGGAGGTGTCTTTTTCGCTATGGATAGCAAACAATCACGCATGTCACCATCGACAAAGTCGAACAAAATGCAATGAAACCACATGTTGCGGAACAAGGTCACCGTTTCCTCAGTGGCGTCATGCTGTGGGTTGAAATCATCGTGCTGCAATAACGCTTGTATAACAGGAAGCATTCTTGCCAGGTATGCTGAACGCACCACCACGCAGTTGTTGCACTCGTCCTTTTCTTTTTGCTGTTGTTGTATATGTTGAATCAGCATCCCCGCATCCACAAAAAACATCAACATGTGATCGAGATACTTGGCGTAGTGCTCAGGCCGCCTACTCAGCCTTTGCGCCAAATCCAATTGGGATTCGATGACCTGTTTGCATGCAATGAGTGATTATCATTCCAATGAGTAATATGTGACTTACCGTGTTAAAAGTCAACTCGTCCACGCCATCTCGATTGGAAAGTGATTCTCGCCCAATGATGGAAAATACGTTGATGATGTCGGCAAATACGGGAATAGGGCTTACAAGTGCAAGATCAACCAATTGTCGTACGAGAGCAAGCGTGGCCGTTTTGGAAAGCACTCGGCGTCTTAAAACGAGCATAGACAATGCTTGATTTGTGATCTACGTACGTATTTCATGGTATCATTTAGCATGATGTATGCAACAACCCTCTCTTCTACTCACATCATCCTCTTCAAGTCGTACTGCAATACCAATGATAGCTGATAAGGCATTGATGCAAAGCTGCTCTCGTTGTTCAGCGGTCAGCTGCTGATTCCTTGGCGCTATGTCTTGCACGTCGACACTTCCTGGAAGTAGTTCTTGTTCTTCATGGTCATATTGGGTCATTTGATTGAGCAACGAATACAAGGTAGATACTGCAATTTGCGATTTTGCCATGTCTTGATTTATCTACAAAAGCCGTGCGTGTGAATGACATGCTATGTACCGTAAACCATGTCTTCCCTATACCTGAATACATTGAGCAAGACGCATAATTGCAAATCTTCGAACGCTGGTACATCCGGGCTCTTTGGCATCGGGAGGGTCACATCGAAAGTAAAAAACCGTCGAAGGAATAGCCAAAAATCGGCATATGGTATCAATCATGGAACCATTTTTCCTTGGGAATCTGATAATACCAAAATGAATTATCCAAGTAGATGCCTCCTATTCCATAATGACAACCCTTACTTTATGGAAACCATGGCTGCTGCATCAAGAGCCGCTATATAGATCCAGGCATCTTTTTCTTCTTGTGATGGCGATGGGGTGTCAAATAAGCTTTCCTTGATATTCTCGATCAGCACTTCATCCACTTGTTTCAGATGCACTGAAGCCAGGGCAGCTACTTGCTATATATACACAAACAGGATGAGACTTTTATATGGATCAATGATCCAAAACCATCACTTACCAAACATAAGCCCATAATGAATGTGAGGTACCCATCATTTCGGATCTTTTGTTGGGAGCTTGTTGTGTATCGCTTGACATCTTGATAATACTCCAAACATGTCACATAGATGGCTGAAAGGCATTTGATAAAATCAGGTGTCCTTTCCACGTCGTCATGCCCCGGTAGGCAAACATCCAACAATTGTGACCACTTTGAATGCTCGAGTGTTTTTGTCAAATGAAGCTTTTGAAAGGTATCATGGCAAAAAGTGATGTCGAAATGCGGATCATCAGGGCGTAGGTTGCGTGCCAAGCTGTTGCGTAAGAGTATCAAAAGATCATACACGATGCGATTGTTGCTAAAAGGGATCCCAGCCTTCCAATATCCTTCCAGCATCTGATGGCAGTACAAAAACCGATCTTGTGATTGTGGTATTGATTCACGCCTGCACGATAATACATATCGAATACTTTGTCGAACACGTTCCAGCGTACTGACATCTTGGGCGAATGCTTTCATACGACTCCAAACGTTCAATATGTCATTGGCACGATGCATGCAGGGCGATAGTTGAAGTGCACGAAACCAACCGGCCAACGAAGGTAATGAAAATCCAATGTTGTATGCTATAGGATGGACCGTTTGAGTTGGATCACCTCATTCATCACCATGACAACAATGCTGCTACTTACCAATATCATCATCATCTTCCGTATCGATGTTTTCCAACCGAGTGATCATACTTGTTCCATAATCCCTGATGACATTCATCATTTGCTCCCTTCTATCATGACGTTTGCTCGCAATATGAAGAATGCCGGATATAATCGAAAAGGTCACTGAATCAGCAAGTGCAGGGCCTGCATTTGATATTAGCATACAAGAAGAATAGTAAAGATGTATTTGGATTTGGACATACATGAAGCTCGCATCGTCTCTTCCCAAGTATAAGATGGTAGATGTTCAAGATAGTTGAGTAGTCGATCGATTAAGTCATCTCGGCTGCAGTTTCCATGGGTGCAATAGCGTATCAATGCTTTCAAGCCGTCGAAATGGCGCTCAGTCTACATGCATATAGATCAGCCACCATCCACACGCATTGCTACTCTCTATATCCATACCATGCAATCCACATTGTTCCCTTCTTCATGTCGATCGGCTTCTTTTGGATCTGGAGGACAAGTTTGGAGAATGGTGTTCACATTGTGTTCAGTTGCCATGGATCGCGGATCGGTCAACGTTTCCGAAAGGCATTGAAGAATTTCTCCGTGCAGATTCCCTCGGGTGCTGCATGCATGTCATTGAGTGGAGAATATGACAACGAAAGGTGTATTTACCTGTTCATCCTTGCTTTGATCCTTTGATGCGTTAAGGTGACACGAAAAGAGTGAGCAGCATGAAAGGGAGATAATGGCTAGCCTCGATTCGAAATCCGCCAATGGACTGAGCCAAGTGTCACGTGCTTTTTCTCACACAACCACCACTATTACTATGATCTCGTATAGAAATGATCCATAGCTTCTAAACAATGCCCAATCTTATAGATTACAATGGAATAAAAGCATCGTAGATGGATGATGATGATGACGTGTATCTACAATCTCGATAACTTCCTTGCACATGTGAGACTGCTTATAAGAGATGACCATTTATTACACATGGCATTGGACACTCAACACCAGTTACCGAGCATACGAAAGTAATGGTGAATAAATGGCCTTTAAAGCATACTTCAAGGTACAGTAACAACGTGATGATGAGATCTCACAAATACCCATTGGCTGATAAAGTTACATATGGATTATAGTGTATTGAATGATGAGGTGATACTGTATCGGGGGCGGCTTTGCCATGGCAACCACATGGGATCTGACAACAATATTGGATGAGCGGAAGATGAGGAGGAGGAGGAGGAGGAGGAAGAATACGCCGACGTCATTTGCCCGGGGTTGCTTTGCAAACAGCAAGAGACAAATTTTTTGTGCCAGATCCCCTTCTTCCCCAACCTCGTTAAAGTATTGTAACCATGTCTGACGCCGAACAGACCCAAGTCAAGTTGACCACCGGTAAGTTACAGCAACCTCATTACGACTTTTAAGCACCTCATTGCTAATCCAAACATGGTTTAAATAGCTGGCTTCGACGCTCGGTAAGCAACATTGAAGCGATTTCCAATGCGCGCGTTTGAATAGCTTTGTTTATTGACTCACTTCCTCTTTTGCGATAACACAACACAGTTTCCCCAACACCAACCAAACCAAGCAGTACGTCGTTATCTATGAAACGTTTCCAAACAAATGCACTGATAGAATCTATTCGAATATATAGCTGCTGGCAAAACTATGTCGACTACTACAAGTGCGTCAACGCTCGTGGTGAAGACTTTGAACCCTGCAAGCAATTCTACAGAGCTTTCCACAGCTTGTGCCCCAACGAATGGGTAAGAAAGAATTGGAACATGGCTTGTTCCTATCATGCTTATCTAACATGGATTGCCCATATCATAGATCTCCAAGTGGGACAATGAGCGTGAAGAGGGCACCAACCCTTCCAACTTCTCCGTTTAGACATTACAAGGATGATAATATACACTTGTTTTTCCTTCTTGCTGCAGTGTATTTCCACAAGAAAATGCCTTTGTTCAATACGTGTGGTGTTGTCAATGGGGTGGTTCCTAGGTGATTGAGGATGATGATGCATGATGCATGACGTCGTGGTCTATCATTGCAATACGAACGCATCATGTCAAATGAAGAAATGGGTTGGATTATATTCATACAATAATGACTGGGCAATTTGGAAATGAAAGGGGATGGGCCATGTTCCATTATTACAACAACATAATATCCGAAGTAGTAGTAGTAGTGGTAATAGTGGTCATAGTAGAACGCTCCTTGGTTACGCTCCTTCTTTTCTCTCTTTTGAAATGATAAAAAGTTGGCAATTTCGCAACAACACTGTACAACCTAGTTCACCTTCTACAACGCCATCTACCTTTAAACACCTTATCCCTTCTATTTCATTACTCAATTTCCCCCTCTCGACGACAACAACTACTACCACCAACAATAACAGCAAACCCGATGACAGCATTGAGGATGACTCTTCTCTACCACCACCTCCTCCTTTATTCGACTGTAACGATAGTGACCTTATCAAAGACACACATTCTGAATGTCCTCGTGCCATACGCCCTGTACAAATTTTGACGGAACGGCTGGAAGGATGGCAATTACTTGTAAAACAATTATACGACTACTTTGGACAATTGGCTGCCACAGAGTCTCAAGTAGCAAAAGCCTATGAGCGAATGAATCACTTTGGCCAACAAAATGATGAAAACAGCAACGATCGATCCACGTTCCTGGGATCCCATTTGACCTGCATGCATGGGATCCGACGGATTTGCATGGCGTGGGAAACCCACCACGTTGACACTGCCAAAGGTCATGCCATGTTGAGTAACTATTTGGAAATGCACGTGATTCCTACATTGGCTACCATGAAACGCGAGTTAAAATCCATGATACGATCCGTGCATACCGACGATCGACTTTGTCTATCTACCCTTGCAAAGATGAGAAGGGAGGCGAGAAAAAGGCTCCAACGACTTGAGAGGCAGCTCTCATTTTTCGAACAATATCCACAACATGGCCATGCTAAACAAGATCCATGGCTTGTGAATGCAGGCAAGTGCATGAGCATCATTTTCATAGACCCCTTTTCTCATGTATTTATACCATGTAGCGGTAGTACAACATATGCTAAAGGTGTATCATCAAACAAACAAGATGCATGAGACGATCCTAAGACTCCAAAAAGAAGTCATGATCACCGAGCAACAATTTATTCAAGACTTTCGACAATTGTGCCAGGACATATATCATGTGCGAGAACAAACAGCCTTAGGAATCGATCCTGGGTATGAGAAAATGATTCAAGCAGTGGAAAGTGTCGCCACGGACGACGACTGGAACGATTTTTGTGAGCATTATAAACAAGATTTGATATCAGAGAATGCCCGTTTTCTTCATCCGGACCAACTCGAGTATCCGAATCATACACATCCACTTGTACAACCTTTATTTGCTGCTCGCATGGAACGTAATTCCAACTTTTTGCATCGATGGCATGAATACATTTATGTCTTGACACCTGGTAAGAGGGAGCTCAAGGGGGGAGGCATTAAAGATGATCGTTTACTTATACATAGATGATACAAGCTGGATTCCTGCATGAATACAAAAGCAGTAGATCTTATCCAAACAAACCCGATGCATCGATTTTTGTACCCCATTACAACGTATCCACATTATCCACGAATCTACATCATAATTTGATATTTCAATTGCAAGCACAAGAACGACATCATTTGCAAGACTACATGCCAGCATCTTCATCATCGGGTGCATCCACTGCATCCTCTTCTTTATCATTTACATCCGTTATCAGTGAACCTCGAGGAAGCCGTCATCGATCCATGAACTCAAAGACATTAACATTTCGCGCAAAGTCGGCATCCGATATGCAAGCATGGCTGGAGCATTTGACTGAGCTCTCGTATCGGTATCGTCCTTCGGTTAGCTATAGCGCACCGCCCTTTTCACAACCCACCAATGCAACCAACCCCGAAGTACTCATCACATCACCTACCATGACCGTCGTTGATAAGCAACAAGTAACCTCACACGGTGATAGCACTACTACTACTACTACTACTACAGAGTCGGCAACATCAGATGAAAAAGAATCTCAACAACCTCATCGTTCCATCATTGCACCCATGATTGTTCCTTCTTCTCAAGACAAAGACACGACGCATTCCAATGCATCCAATGACGACGTTGATGATAAAGCACCCTCCTCCTTGGTTGATCAGCAACAACATCCATCGCCTATCATCTCATCACCTCTCAGTGGATGTCTCCATGAATCCCCCTCGTCATCATCAACCAAAGAACAAAAAAGACCTTTCATGTTAATGGGAGTATGTTTACCAGAAGATATGCAATCTTGAAATGTCCATTTATTGCTGTTGCTGTACACGACGACTATCATCCATTAAACTGATCAAACTCGCTGAGGATCCCAGTACTTGTATTGAATAAGACTTGTTGTTCATTTGAAATTGATGGAGGATCAAGGCATTCCACACCGTAACAAGCTCACTATAACATGACACCCGTTAGATACCAAAAAGTCACCCATATATATAGAGAGACACATTACCTTTGGAGAATTTTGATATAACCAGTGCTACTATGCTCGTCCCAGTCCAATACATCAATCACAATCGATGCCCCAGAAAGCCCAAAAGTCAACTGGAGTGCTTGTTGAATCGACATGCGGAATGTCAGCTCTGACATGTTGGGTCGGTCAGTGGGAATGGCACCGTAACTATAGGGAGGGAGCGACGACGATGAGCTAGTGTCCTAGATCGGCTGTACGATCGCACCTACATTTGTATCTTTAGATATTCCCATTCCTTGAGAGGTTGACGCGACACCCGCCATGGACGACCTGTCATGGCCATGAAGCTTTATAAGAAAAAAGAGTGGGTGAAAAAAGGGAAAGCGGGATATAATGCAGTGAGCGCAAATCAAACATTCAAAGTTATGAATTGTGACACAAGAGACGCGATTAAGGATATACACACGAATGATCTACTTTATTATACATGTTTGTCATAATGGGATGGGGATCATTTATTTAGCGCATGGTCACCTATTATCATTATTATTATTACGTTAGCTTACTCGATATCAATAAATACGTGTTATCCTCTCTCTTTCTCTTACCAATTCCTCAGCAGCAGTGGGATGGATGGCCACACAGTTATCAAAGTCAGCCTTGGTAGCACCCATACGAACAGCTACACCGAAGCCTTGAAGAATCTCATCACTATCGCGACCAAACAAGTGGACACCCACAACCTTTTCTTCAGGACCAGCCACGACGAGCTTGTATGCGGTAGGTTCCTTGTGGTCCAACATGGCAAAGTACATGTTGACAAACTTTGATGAATACACCTTGATGTTCTCATCACCATACTTTGCACGAGCTTGATCTTCGGTCAAACCAATGGTACCAGCAGTAGGATGGGAAAAGACAACAGTAGGGACATTCTCATAGTCGAGTTTGCTGTTGCGGAATTGATCACCACCAAAGAGACGATCCGAAAGACGACGACCAGCGGCAATAGCAACTAGAACCTCCAAAAGTCAACATCATCATCCCTTGACTCTATATATACACTTACCAGGCGTCAATTCGTAATTGCCACATGCATCACCAAGAGCAAGCACACCCGAGGTAGAAGTATTTTGGTATTCATCCACCACAACATAGCCCTTCTCATTGGTCTTGACATTGGCAGCTTCCAAGTTGATGTTCTTGACATTGGGTGCACGACCGACAGCCCAGAGGACACAATCGAATTCCTTGGTGGTAGCCTTGCCATCCTCTTCGTATTCCACAATGATGGATGATCCATCAGCCCCCTTTTTCAATGCAGTGACCTTGGAGTCATAAGCAAACTGAACACCCGATCCTTCCATTTCCTTGAGCAAGTTTTCACGAATGATGGAATCAAAGTGACGCAAGATGTGCTTGGTGCGTGAAAACACGGTGGTCTGAGTACCAAGTGCATTGAAAATGCCAGCCAATTCAATGCCAATGTAGCCTGTACCGATGACAGCGACACGCTTGGGTTGTGATTCCAAATCAAAAAAGCCGTCTGAATCAATACCAAGTTCGGCACCAGGGATATTGGGGATGATGGGATGACTGCCAGTGGCAATAAGGATATGCTTGGCTTCGAGTTCATAGGGTTCACCGGATTCCGATTCGACACGTACAGTGTTGGGACTCACAAAACGTGCCCATCCTTGATGATGCTCCACCTTGTCGTTGCCCAAATTACGCTCGTAAATACCATTCAAACGCTTGACATAGGCATCACGCTTGGCCTTCAATTGTCCCCAGTCAAACACGGGCTTGCCTTCCACCTTGAAACCATAGCTAGGGGCATCACGAATGGCCTCGGCAATAGAAGCTATTCATTCATATAGAAATCAATATCATGTTGTTCTATCTATATAAAAGAGCTATACACTTACCTGTATTCCACATGACCTTCTTTGGCACACAACCGACATTGACACAGGTACCACCGAGACGATGTTGGGCTTCAATGAGAGCAACCTTGGCCTTGTGAATGCCACTAGCACGTCGAGCTGAAGCAAGACCACCAGAACCGCCACCAATAACGAGATAGTCGTACACTTGCTTGGGCATGGGAGGCATAATAATAAAGGAACAAAGGAAAAGAAAAGAGAGCAAGAAATGGGGAAGAAAAGCAAAATGATCAAAGGCCCGCCCCGCCACCCAATGATACTGCGTCCCTACTTTTTCGTCATGTCCCAACTGATGACAACAGGGTTATTAAGCAACTCCATCCTTTGAGGATCGAATGGAGCATCCGTCAACATAGGTGAGGAGAGCTAGTTTAATATAAGTGTATGCGCATTTACTTTCATTATTTCATCAAATCAATCATGGTCTCTATTGCATAGCAACATGTCAATCATCCCACCCTAGATGACTAATCACCGACCATGATGGCACCTCTTCTTGCATTCGTCATTTGCCGTAACTCTGTCCCACCTTCAACTACCATATGGAGAACCCACCCTCCTCCGCCTATAGTAGGCCACGCATAATTGCCATAGCACTGCCTTCTTTGATTAGTGATGAGCACTACTACTGCACCTTCTTTAAAAGGCCCTTCGTATGTCACGTGCTTTGCATCTTGTTGTATCTCAAGTATAAATGTCCTATTATCAGGATGAGTTTATCCACTTTGATACTTTTACACGTAATCATTTTATACGAGGCGTATTGTTGATTGGGTTTCTCATCTGTCAAAAAGAATATAGGTACAGTATTTGAAGGCTTGACATGCATGGTATAGCGTGCAATTGCTGTATTGCAAGAATCCCACAACCCATCCCACATACATCATTGGTAGTTATTCTTTCTCAAGATGTCGCCGCCCATTTATTATCTCATATCTTCTATGGAGGAGGGATGGGATGGGATAGGACCACTGATTGCATAAACTGGGATTTGCTTGGTGTGACTAGTCTAATGCGACGACGATATACATTTCGAGCTCCTTTTGTGGAAGGTGGACCTTTCAATTCTTTCCTTCTCCCCCTCTCTCTCTCTCTCTCTCTCTCCACGTCCAATGAATGTATACGACACTCGGCTCGACTCGTTTTACAATTCCTCTGCAAAATGGCCCCATTCTCGTAAGCTAGCTGAAAATGTACCGTGTTTATGAACAGCCCATGGTATGGAAATCGAGAGGACTGATCGCGTTTATTCCAGCTTGCCCTGTGCGGCTTTTACCTTGTTCGCAATGGACGTGCTCCCGATACGGTGCGATGTTTCCTTTGCAATGTTGAATTGAGTGGGTGGAAAAGGTCGAGTGACGCCAAGAAACGACATGCCAAAGCTTCTCCCAACTGTGCGTGGGTTGTTCTCCAATACCCTGATGGTACTCGTATGCTTGAAACGACGGATGATACCCTTCCTCGAAGTCAAGATATGCGTACGGCAAGACTATGGACGTTTTCAAAGAATGCTTATTGGCCACCTGCATCCTACAACAAGAATCGATTACCAGCACAAACCAAGGTAAGAGAGCATCCTCGTTGTCGCTACTGCTGCTGGTGCTGCGCACAAGATAAGGCGGATCACTAAACTGACTTGGTTCAACTCTCTAGTTGGCAGATGCCGGTTTTTATTTCTCTCCCACTTTGGATGCACCCATCAAAGTCACATGTCCTTATTGTCTCGTCTCTATTACCAAGATGGATCGAAGTACAAACCTAGTGTGAGTAGAAAACATGATAGAGATGGAGGAATTCCAAACTAACACTTTTACTACAGGAAAAAGCATGAGGAACTTTCACCCGATTGTCCATTCTTCCAATTCACACCATCAACACGTCGAAGTGAGGTAGGATACTATACAACATGCTATATCTCCAAGAGTGCAATTTCTTATATATCGTTTTAGAGAAGGATGGGATCATCTACACCAAAGGACAACAATAACAACACAACAACCGCATATTCAGGGATCAAACGTAAATCGAGTGCAGTGGATGATTCAACTGCAGTACCTGCTGCAAAAGCACCCACACGCCCAAGATCAGGTCGCCTTACCAGTGGACGTCGACGTACTCGTGCTGATGATGATGTATCCACAAAACGCCCTTCTTCTTCTTCGTCGTCGTCTATCCCATCCACCACACGCAACATCGTGACGCAAAGCAATCGTGCATTATCACAACCAAAAACACGATCATCGGACAACACGAACCGGCATCGAGTGGATAAGGATGATACTGGCAGCAGTAGCAAACGGGAAGATGGATCAGCAGCCAACAACAAGAAGCCATCACTGGATGATAGCATTTGGGATATTGGGAAAACTTACAAAAAGAAGGAAGCGGCTCGTGCACACAATCCACATACTTATTCCAAGAAGGATCGAGCACGCAACGCTCCTATTCTACCAGATACCTTTCGCAACTTTATCAATGAGAGCTCACAATCACGAGATCCAACACCAGAGCCCGCTGTTGAGGTACTTTTGGAATGTCTTTTTTTCTTTCATGATCCAACATGTATATTCACTCAATATCATAGAATACCAACCATCAGAACCCTTCAACGTCGACGCCTAAAGCACCATCTCCTGAACCAGAGACCACTCCCATTCAACAACCCTCTACACGCAATGACAGCGACGTTTTCGTTAAACCAGCAGATATTAAACGCAAGGAGCCGTCATCACAAGGAAGTTCATCACAGTCATCTCTCGATGATACAACCACCCATTTCGACAATCAGAACGATCATCTTCAACATCTTCTCTTTCGAACATCTACACCGCATGCACACTCCTTTTGGGATGATGATGACAATGACGCTTCAGCTCTCGCAAACATGACATTCTCACCGATTCGACCACGTGATTTCTCCATCCAATCAACATTGATCAATACACCACGTACTACCGATACCCGACTACAACCCATTTCAACGCCTGCTGCTAGTACTAATACTCGTGAGGAGCATGAAACCTATATGCGTGAACGTTTACGTCGACTTGAACCACCTACATCACCTACGTTATCCCATACAAAACCATCACCAGCAGCACCAACAACATCATCCTTGGAGAATGAATCACAGCAGAAACACGTGGATCTATTCGATGAGCCATCTATCAGCGATTCCACAACCGGAATGACTCCTGAAGAACTGGATTTAAGCGTCGATCAATTCTACATGAACCTATTTCAAGAAAACGCTCGACCTTTACAATGTCTTGGTGAAGAACTTGCCTCTGCGCTCGAAACTCAAGTCAATGAAATGATCAATGTCAATGATGAAAATGACAACAGCACTAGCATGAATGATTGATTGATATAATTGTATGCACGCACTCTTATTGTCAATAAAATGAACATGCATGTAAATATCTGTATTCCTTTTGGTAATGGTCAATGTGAGGCACTTTTGGAAGCATTATTCTCCCTATCATTCATTATCCCTGCATGATCCTCTCCAACAACCACAGCAAACACATCCATCTACCTATCTTGAAATCAAAAAAATGTGTCTCCTCCCCACCCCCAACTCTCGCAATCCATACAGGCGCGATGATGATGTTCTTTGTAGTAGGTAGACTTATACAAGTTGGCTATGTACATAGCTACATACATACGAATGATGATATGGGGTAGTGCTGCGTCTGAGCTCCGATTTAGGTGCATAACATGTACCTGCAACACCCTTGAGATCTTTTAATAGCGACTGGTTGCCAAGTTGCTTACTTGATTTCTTCTTCTTCATCCAATGTATGGCCACGGGGTAGCAAGGTTGTTGAGCGTGGAAGAAGATTGAAAGGACTCATGTTACAAACAAGCATGCCAAGGTGGAAGTGGGATCTCTTGAACCAAGGAATCTGAATGCGATAATCAGCCTCGTTGCCAATCCATTGACGATGAATAGGGTAAACGTAGTCTGTGCACCTGTGTTACATGGTCGATTCTCTTGTCTAAAAAGAAAACACTCAAATTTGTGATACGTGACACATGTTAATGAAGCGTCGTACAACATTAGGCCATCCATGTGGAAAAGTATAAGCCCAAACGAACGATCCAGATTTTTTTCTTCTTGTTGGTTATGTAAAAGCATGTCTTTGAATAAGGTCAATAATAGCAATGACCGGATTGATGATAATCAACAGGGGGTATCTAGAAAAGGGGGAGGGAGTGAATGTGTAAAAGGGAAGCACGAGGTGGTGGTGGTAGTAGATCCAAGTCAGTGCTCATTATTATTATCCATGTACAATAGGCTCAACCAGAAATAAAAAGGGAGGACCACCGGTCAGGGACCCGGTTTTAGCCATTTTATCTCTTTCTTTTTTCTTTTCATCAAACACGCCACCACCACCACCACCACCACTCTGATGCCTAACAACACCTCTCCTCATCGTGCATCCTTTCTGATTACATCAGAATCGTCAATACCAAGGCGTTCTTCAAGTATTCGTAATACCAGTACCACCACCACCACCAAAGCATCACGACGCCGATCTTCAGTTACTGCCATGACGGCATCATCTCGTGCTAAAATCAAACAACAACAACAACAACAATCTGACATAAATGACAAGCGTAATTCAACAAAGAAATCATCACCTGGTAATCATGCCGAACCCAACTCAGCCCGCAACAGACGCCTGCTGGCTGAACTTTGCTCTATAAATGACAACCAAAACACAATGCAAAAAGAGAATGAGGATGATGATGATGATAGCATGTGGAAGGAGCTGATACATATCAAGGAACGTCTTCAAAAGCTTGAAGTGAAAAAGGACGATGGTGATGATAATGCAGAAGACATGTTTAGCTCTTCAACAACAACTAGCAGCAGCACAACCACTACTTTACGCACACCCACCTCCATACCTGCTGCTCAGCAAGTGCAACAACTCCCCCAACGCACCACCGTGCATCAACGTCGCCTTGAGGAAGCTTATCGTCAATTTGAGCAACAACAGCCACCCATGTCCCCATTGGTTCGAACCATGGCAAACGTTGTTTCTGAAACGATTACCATGAATCAACGCTTATGGGCATCTATTCCAAGAGATCTCGATGCACGTTCCTTGGTAGCTTTGCAAAAGAGTAGTGATCATCAACTTAAGGAATTGACCATGGCGTTGCAACAAATGTCGGCAGCTCCATTATCACCACCATCACCACCCACTACAGCTACTACTACACCACCTTCTTATTACCCCAACTATCATCAACAACAACTTTACTATCATCAACAACAACAACAACACCATAACACCCATATTCCCCGGTATGCTTCATCTTACCATGCTGGGGTCTCGCCAGCTATAAGACCTACCAAAGTAGCCGGCATCTTGGATTATAGTCATCCACAACAACAAGATTACCTTGCTAGCCCACCCAGTTCAAGTAGTATGACAACTCGTTCGTCTCCACGTTATCATCTTGAACCTCGTTACAGCAGCCATCATTTGTTTTATAGCGGCTAATAGAAGCGGCGCCCCCCTTTACCTTTTGCATTTTATTACCTACCTATAACCTTTCTCCTCCTCACCATCATGCATTGCATATCCCCTTTCCCCCTCATCTCGTTCTTTGGGCCGCGCCGTTTTTCATCATCACCTTACTGTATACTTTCTTCCGTAGTTTGTCCTTCTTGTAATCTTATTGCTGTTGTTGTTGCTTCTTTTCCCCCAAAAAAATATCATGTATAATATCATCATCATTTTACCCAGCAATTGACGTTCTTTTACTACTTCAACCCTAATAGGGTGATCATGTCCATACACCCCGTGTCGGATTTCCTTTCAGGTCTTTTGTGTTGCTTTCCTTTTTTTACGATTGTAGGCGTATTGTTGTATAGCACTATGGATCAAGCGGAGGAGAGGAATGTGCATTTACCCGACACCCCTCATCATCTTCCATCCCCGCCTTAAGTCATGGCAACCAAAGGTTACCTTGGGTACTGTTGCCATGGCAATGATTGCCAGGGTATGAGGACTTGCGACCCTAAGCTTTTATAGTACATTGAGAATCATCATGTTTTATTCAGCCGAACGTTTTTGTAAATGCCATAGTTGATGACGGTGCAAGCATCGTTGAGTAGTTGTAGGTGCTTCATGGCTGCTACTATGCGTTCATTTAACACGTGATGGTAACCTAATGGGTGAACAATTTCAAGCCTGTAGCAATGGGGATGATCACTTCAGCAAGCCATGATTTACATTGCAGGTGCTGCAGCACATTGAAAATCGATATAGGAATTACGGGACTCCTTTAATCCAAGGATTCACAAGAGCCGTCCTTCTCTAGTGACAACATAGGTCAGAGGTGAGGGGCTAACCTAGTAAGGCCAACCGTGATAAAAGATGCTGGTTACCATGCCACGCATACGCAAATTTGACCAATGAGTGTGTGAAGCTGCATCCATGGTGAGCCACCATCATGGCTACTGGTTGATCCGCTATCACTCTCGAGGTTAACCAACATGCAGCTATGCCATGTTTCTTCTACTTGGAAAGTATGTGACTCGTTTGCCATGCTAGCCATGCTAGCTGATCGACAAAAAGTAAAACGGAACATGTTTAAAATGCAGCACACGTAAAATGATCGTCATTTTATGCAGCTAATAACAATGCGGGATTTGGGGCAATAAGATTGCAGGAAGTCCATTAAATGATCTCCATGGCAACGCGTGTGCACTATACTTATCGATGAAAGGCGCCAATAATAGCCCCTTTAACTCTTCGGAAACGAACAACACATCCTCGAACAATGTTGTTTTTATTTCGCTCAATTTGATGAGCAAGCGGTTTGTGATAAAAGATTGATGTCATTGTTTGATGATGGATACGATGTACCACCTTGTCATTGTTCAACTGGTTTAAGAATGGAGGATAATGAGGGCACCTTACCATCCTGTTGGCTCACCTCCATGAGCACAAAATTTCACACGTCCACCATGCACATATAAACAAGAAGCATGTTGTCACCCATCATTCATCCTACTCTCACGCATCCCTTCCTTCCCATTCTTTAGGTGGATAGTCTTTTTATTAGCGATCCATCTACGACGAATACCCTCTGTGATGATCTTTAGTATGTCATTGTTATCTTACAACCCACATGGGTACGATTGCATTTGTATCACCTTTTACACTCCAATAGCTGTTTTCTCACAATAGTAACATGAACGGGGACAAAATCCGAGGTTGATTGATCACATATTTATAGTGGCGTCGGCAGCTTAGCGTACCAAATGGAGCCATTCTTCGTTAGCATATGGAATCCAAGACGCGGGACATTGTGACACTTTGACGCCCACCACCACCACCACCAAATGAACCCGTTTTTTCCGGGGGTGCAAATGTCGACATGGACGCGAGGAAATTACCACTGACATTGTGTTTATTCTTTGTTTACCCATGCATTGTCATCATCATCATCTTTACTCCCTTAATAAGATGGTCCATTTAATAGTCTCTTAGCGTTCCATTACACATAGCTACAATACACATGACACACTACATGGCGCAGCAGCAATTTGCCAAGAATCTAGAGCATACGTCTTGAACAAGAACCCAACGAAAGAACAAGCGTTGCTGAAATTGATTTTTCCGAATGAGCGATGATTGCTCGGGTTTTACTACGAATGACCGGAAATCTAAAGCCAGGCTATGTGAACAGCGGTGTGTGGAGATGATGGGGGGAATCAAGAGAAGAGTGTGCTCTCAGACCCCCACACCACTTGTCAACGAACTTCTTTTTCCTCTCTTGTTGAATCCTTCCTTACTGCTACATTTAAGAGGGTAAGCAGTTGTGTAACCTTATGCGAACGGAGTTACTCACAATCAATCGCCTTGTTTCTTTTTGACATTGCACTCGCTTCCTTGATCTCGACATTGTGGCCATGGCGATTTGCTTTATGACAGAATCTCGGCATACGCTACAGCACTCTTTTCTACACGTCTCGTTTAATCCACCGTAGCTGTTCTTTGAAGCAGTACCTCTTACAACACCCACTAGACAACAAGCTATTGCGGGGCTTCAAGTCGTCATGTCACAAAGTATGTATTGTTGGTGGAGGGAGAATCCCATTGTTGGGGGATCATGTTGAGCTTAACCTTATTATTATGATTTGACAGCACCGCAGCAGCAACAGCAGCAGCAGCAACAACAACAACAACCGCAAGATCCATCCTCATCGTCGTCATCATCGTCATCAGGATTTCAACAATGGATCGAACAAGAACCATCCAATCGATTTGTACCACCACGAATACTTGAATTCACTCCACAATCTGGCATGGAAACCGATACCCTACGCATTACGCTTGCATTGGCTGATCTTCAATTAATGCCAATGCTTCGTATCGCCGTGGGGTCTTGTATCTCTCCTACGCGTCAAACACTCGTCAATGCAGCTGCTAATTATGTACAACTATTGGCATCCGTTCCTAATTGGCAAATGACACGTGCACCCGATCGTTCAAGAACACCTATTTATGTCGTCGTTTGCAATCAGCAGCACCAAGTCATTGATAATTGGTTCATTGCCTATTTCACATATGATTATTCAAGGAAACGATCCTCAGCTGAATATGAAGCAGCATTTGCATCTTCATCCACATCAGGAGGAGGACCTGCTGGTGCACCAAAAAGAACCAGGCGTGCTGAATCGATTTCTTTACAACCAGGTAGGATGATGATTGAATGCATATACAAAAACAAAGTGACTCACCTATGATGTATGACCTATAAAAGACCCAACAGCTACTTACATGATGCCTCCAACAGCGGGTTATGGTGGTTATCCAGGTTATTACGGGTTGCCATCATCACCTTATATGGGTCAATATGCTCAAACACAAGCTCAACCTTCTACTGGAGGCCAACCCACAATGGCGCAACGATCACCACGTGGATACTATGAAGGTAAAATGAAAAAAATGCTATTGGAAAGAGAATGGCTAATAATAAATGCCTGTTGCTAGGTACAACGGTGACGCCAGCACAAATGATGGGATATCCATATCGTACATCATCATTGTCGGGTGAAACAGGATTGGGATATCCTACAGAACCAAGCATGTTATCACCTACCGATGATGCTACAGCAGCAGCGGCAGCGGCAGCGGCAGCAGGTATCTCTATGGGACAAATGCCACCACAACAGCAGGCAGGTGGTGCGATGATGCCTGGTTCACATCATCCTCCCACTGCAGGATCTCCTGGTATGCAACCTTACATGATGCAACAACAACAACAACCACCTGCAGAAACTGCCACATCGGGTAGTGCTACCACGCAATATCTTGCCCCAGCTCCTCATCAACAACATAACATTGCACCCGCACCTGCACCTATTGCCACATCTATTAGTACATCGAGTATTCCAGGTGGTGGTCCTCCTTCAGCAACATCGCCTACTACAGCAACTACACCTGTTAGTGCCACTGGTGGTAGTGGAGGTGGTGGCGGACCTTATTATGATCCCTATGCTCATATCTTGAACAAGGCCAATTTGCATGTGGAAGGCAATCTCGATGACATGTTGCATAATTGGACAGAAGAAGAATGGATGAATCAACGACGTCTTGTGCGATTTTGGCGACGACAAGAAGGCAACGAAGTCATTTGCAGTTTCACGCCCATATCACAAAGCGAACGACCCAATCAACAAAACATGATTGTTGTATCCTGTATTTATTGGAAGGAAAGGGATGATTATTATATCACATCAGTGGATTGCATTTATTTGCTTGAAAGCTTGATTGCTGTGCGCTTTACGGTCGAGGAAAAGAACAGAATACGTCGCAATTTGGAAGGGTTTCGTCCATTGACCGTGAGCAAATTGAGGCAAGATAGTGCCGAGTTTTTCAAATTGATCATGGCGTTTCCCAATCCCAAACCTCGCAACATTGAAAAAGACGTCAAGGTCTTTCCTTGGAGATCCTTAGGCATGGCACTCAAAAAGATCATCAGCAAGTATACAGCAAGTTACAGCAGTACTGCAAGTGTCAATCTTGAAGCACTAGGGTATTCTGGTGGAGGTGGTGGTAGTGGTGGTAGCACGAGTACAACGAGTACTACGGCTGCTGCTGCTGCACCTGCTGCACCCCAGGCTGGCCCATCAAGTGTATCATCTTCTGATCCAGGTGAAGAATCATCATCACATCCACCACCACCGCCTTCTCAACAACATCAACAACAACCGCCGCCGCCACCACCACCATCCGATACTTGAAATCCTTATCCTTTGCATAATATTTTACGTAATCTATTCTCTTTTACATTCTACCTTCTTAATTTATACGTATATACTATAGAAAATTACACACACAAAGCACCTCATCTAATCTAATGTAGTGTTTAATATGTCTTTTGCCCCTTACGTCTACACCAGTAAAAGTAATGAGTATTATCATCCTATGACAAAAACATCATTGCTTTGTAATGGGCATGGGTCCTTAAAGGGCATCGCGATCATTTATTATGATGTTTCACAATCATGACGGCATGAACACCGGGAAATTCATACAACCCCCCCCTTTACCCACGTCCCATCACCCCAAGCTTTCTTTTTCTTTTTCACTCTTTGTCAATCATGCCTGTTACTCGACGACCTTCCAAAGCCATATATGATTTTATCGTGATTGGAGGTGGATCCGGTGGTATTGCTACTGCAAGACGTGCAGCCAATCTATACTCTGCTCGTGTAGCATTGGTTGAGATGCAGAATGTACTTGGTGGAACGTGTGTGAATGTGGGTTGTGTACCCAAAAAGATCATGTGGAATGTTGGTATGTGTACATGTTTTTAGAGGCATTGCTTTGAATGTGTACGTAGCTTGACGTGTGTGTATGTTACAATTTAGCTACATTTGCCGAGACCATACGCGAAGCAGCTTCGTGTGGGTTTAAGACGGTGGAGCCAATAGCCGATTGGAACGCCATCAAGCATAAACGAGATGCTTACATACGTCATTTGAATGGGATTTATGAAAGAAACCTTGACAAGGCAAACGTTGAACACATTCATGGCCATGCCGAATTTGTGGATGATCACACCATCCTCGTAAGAGAAAATCCAGATGATACAGGTTATGAAGTGGTCGCCACCAATATTTTGATTGCCACTGGCAAGTAATCTTACTTGAAGAAAAGAGAACATGAGCAAAACTAACATGGGCATGTATGTACATAGGTGGCCATGCTGTCATTCCCAATGTGCCCGGTGCTGAACTTGGTATTGACTCGGATGGCTTTTTTGCCTTGGAACATCAGCCCAAACGCGTCGCTGTGGTGGGTACGGGATACATTGGTATCGAATTGGCTGGCATCTTTCGAGCCCTTGGATCCGAAGTTACAGTGTTTTCACGTACCAAAAAGATTCTACGCAAGTTTGATCCCATTGTGCATGAAAATATGATGAATGAAATGTCCAAATCGGGTATTCGCTTTATTACGGATTCCAGCGTAAAAGGTCTTTATCGCACGGATTCAGGTGCCATTTGCGTGGATTATGGTGGTGAAGGCATTGATGTGGATTGTGTCATTTGGGCTGTGGGTCGTAAGCCCAATATACAAAATCTCAAATTGGAAAAGGCCAACGTCAAAGTCGATGCCAAAGGCTTTATTCAAGTTGACAAGTATCAAAACACAAGTCAGCAAGGCATCTATGCTGTTGGTGATTGTTGTGGCAAATTTGAACTCACACCTGGTAAAGAAAAGTGTAACGTTGTTGCTAGTACCATACTGATCCATGTATACATAGTGGCCATTGCTGCTGGTCGTAAATTAGCTGATCGTCTTTTTGGCAGTGCACCTTGTTTCTTGGAATATGAAAACATCCCCACTGTCATCTTTGGTCATCCTACAGCTGGTTCCATTGGTCTCACTGAGGAAGAAGCAAGGAAGCAATATGGTGACTCCATCAAGGTGTATCAAACCCAATTTACAAACTTGTACTATGCACTCCTGGATCACAAACAAGCTACAGCCTTTAAATTGATTGTCCAGGGACCGCAAGAAAAGGTTGTAGGCTTGCATTTGTTTGGAAGGGGAGCTGATGAGATGTTGCAAGGTTTCGGTGTAGCTATTCGGTAAGTAGGATGATGATGGTCCTTTGTTATCAAAAGCTGATTGATATTATAATAGAATGGGTGCTACCAAGGCTGATTTTGATAATTGTGTTGCTATCCACCCCACCTCAGCAGAAGAATTGGTAAGTGCATAGCCGCTTTTATTATGCTACCGGATCGAAATGCTAATGCTAAAGTACCTACTACAGGTAACATTGGTTTAACTGGGATCAAATAAAGATGTGGGGTGATTTGACTATTGATGAGTGATGGTTCAAAAGTCACATGTGTCTGCTGTTGCCATGGATGGGTGGGTGGGTGACATATGCCGACGATGACAATGCGACTGTGCATGGCGTGTAACAATCATTCCGCTCCTCTCAGCTAGGGGGTGGGTTGTGCTTGTGCTCCTCTTTGTATTCAACCGCGTACTAAATGTCAATGAAAGATTCGTCCACATCCCTTCAAGAACAACAACCACCACCACCGAATCGACTTCGTCCTTATTACACACCTGGTCTACACCACCAACACAACTACACCTCTTTACCTTCCAATGACACCATTCCAGGTCATACTCCACAGCTCTTTGACAATGAAGAATCGCACCTCAAGAACACCCCCATTGCCAAGTTCACAAGCTTTGCCGCTTTCAAATACTTTATGACGATGCTTACGAGCCCTTTCGAAGTTGGCACAACGTTGCTTCAAGTCCAATATGCACCCCATGAAAGCGTCGAAGTTGTAGCTTTCCGAGAAAATAAGGAGGAGGGAGTTGTCATCATGAGCAGCCACGTATGTATATCGATCTATCTCTTGTATTTGCATATGAATTAATCCATGTATTGGAGGTGTAGCATGATTTCTCAACCACGTCCTCTTCAGATGAAGAAGGTGATGACTTTTTTGGATCTCGTCCTCACAACAACGCATCAATTCGATCATCACAAAAGAACCGACTCTCGAATGAACCTATTGCAACAAGTGTCTATGATGACCAACACAGACCCGCCCATCAAATGGCCCCCATGGATGGTGGAGTGCTTGATATACTCAGTCGCATTGTACGGCAACCGACAGAAGGATGGAAATCTCTATTCAAAGGTAATTTTAACAATACAATGATCGAGGAGGTATATTCATCATCATGCTACATAGGTCAACGAGTGACATGGATACATGAGATGCTATGGGGCCTTTTACAACCAGGACTTCAGAGCATGTTGAATGACTTGTTTGGTCTTTACGATGACACCATTCCATTAAGCCATCTCGATCGAATTGCGCCCAATATCATTACACTTGTAGCAAGCCATATCGTTGTTGGTGTATTACTGAGTCCATTGGAAATCATTCGCACAAGGTATTATATAGGTATCCATTATGCCCCCAATGATCACTCATCATTTTGCTTGGTATGATAATAGATTGGTTGTACAATCAGCTTCTCCTCTTTGTTGCAAATACAAAGGTGTCTTCCATGCATTTACCACCATGTGCCGTGAAGAAGGTGGAATCCGCAGCGTCTATCTATCCAACAACAACCTAGCACCAACCATCCTTTATCACACCATCCGCCCATTGTTAGCAAGCAGCGTACCTATTGTGATTGATCGTATGTTGGGTATTACAGCAGCCGATGCTCCAGTATTGTATGGTGCTGCAGAGCTCACAATTCGCACATTGGGATTATTGGTTACGCTACCTTTGGAAATCATCCGCAAGCGATTACAATGTCAAGTGATGCGTTCAACAACACCCTTTCACACCACTGTGGCTCTTCGCCCTGTGCCTTACAATGGCGTATTGGATGCATTATACAAGATCATGAAGGAGGAAGGAACTCGAACCAAAAAGAATGATTCAAAGCATCGTATCACCGCCTCAATGGACTTGTCAAGTAGTAGCGAGAGCGATGATGAGGAAGATGATTTTATGATCCAAACACAACGACAACAACAGCAACAACAACAACAGAGCGCAAGTGCATGGGGAATACGAGGTCTTTACAAAGGATTTGGTATGCAAATGGCTGCGAATGGCATGGTGTTTTTGTTTCATGTCCTGAACGGTATTGATGAAGGCAAGTTTTCTTTATTTGCTTACACACAGAGAGGAAAAGAACTTATATGGCTTTTTACATGTAGAGGATTTGAATGGGTTATCTTATTAGATAGTTGTCATAATAGAATGTCATTGTTTTTCCCTAATACTTGATCTGTTGGAGATGGATGTATCATGGGTGGATGGTGCTGTGGTGTACGAAGTAGCTTGTCAAGGAAGTCATCGTGTCTTTGAATGATAAGGAGGGTCATTACGTTAGCATATGGGTGTAGCAATTTAAGCTTTACTTGCAGACAGCGGATGATTTCAAGATATTTCGCTATACGCTTTATTCATCAAGCTATGATTATAGATCATTCTTATTTTCAATGCAAACACAAACACCACATGTCAACATGCGGCATACAGATTAAGCTAATCAATACTCCTCGCTCGCCTCTTCGATTTCCTTGTCACTGTCATTTTCCATGTTTTGATCATCCTTGAAAGACACATGTTTGGTTGTAGTTGCCACCTTCTTATTGGCTTCCTCCTTCTTGTTGTTCTCCTGGTTCACACTTTTGGAAGATTCACCCGAAACAGGTTGTCGTTTTTCTTCCCTGATGATTTGGTTGTATATCTTGAGTTTCTTGTAGTATTCCTCCTTGCTTTCACGGGCCATTTTTTCATAAGGCTAAGATAACATGTCAAAAAGCCATATTCAAACAACATGCCTCATGAATATTTACCTCCTTTTGTTTTGGAGTCAACGTTTTCCATTTCTTTGCGCATAATGTGATCACTGAACTCATCCTGGGATTCACCCCCAACTCTTCCTTGGCGGCTTCCATCTCTGCTTGGGTGAAAAAGGCATAGCCGCAAACAGGCTTTTTGGGTTTTCGTGGATCTTTCTTTTTCTTTTCCTTTTCCTCTGGCGCTGGCTCTTCTTCTTCTTTTTGATTGAGTAAGGTTGATAGTTGTTCAAAGTTTTGATTGATCATGCGGTACAGGTATGCAATCTAATGTTCCATCCATGTCAATCATGCTGTTGTTACATACAACAAGATGTTTGAGTACTTGCCCTTTGCTTTCGAGTGCGCGTCATGTTGATTGGGGAGAGAAGAGAAGAGAAGGAAAAAGAGCAAGATGGTCCCATAAGGTTGGATTCATGAACCGCCATGGATGCAGCTTTGGTGGGTTGGTGGGTTGATTTTTTCTCACCAGCAGAATCCTTCCAACAATACGCTATCACAAACATACATGCGCTCTCCATCCATCATACAAGCACCCCATATCCATGGCAACCTAACAACCCTTCCATTCTGTATACCCTCATCATTGAAAGTCATAAGCTGTTGAACCATCATATATAAATAAAAGTATATTGGCAAAAGAAAAAAGCTTTGTATGCCAATGCGTCGCCTATCAACCAAGTCGGTTTCCATGGTAAGGCCAAAAGGAGGAGAGTTGCCAGGTAACACCCAAAAGGGAAGAGACACCACACAGAGGGGAGAATCGCCATCGGAGACCACAAGGAACAGGATCGCCAGGTAAGATCGCCCACAAGACATCGCCAAAAAAGGATCACGGCCATTCAGAACGAGGACTCCATGGGACTTGCTGCATTACGACAACCTACAGGATCACCCCATCCCATTGTATGGCAAACCACACCGCGTAGTTGTATGTGATTTCGCACTATCGCACACTTGTCGTTCCTTAGGTTCTTTCAGGCACTCAACGCGAACGTGTATTACCATTTATCCTCATGACTTGGTTGCCTTGTCGACGTGAACAGCGAGGCTGAGGAAACCCCAGGGTTGCCAGGATATGAAGAACCAGTGAAGCTGTGGAACTCCCAAAGCAGACATTCACCAAAAGAGTACCCCTACTCACTCCAATGAAAAAAAAGTACCTCGCCGTCCTTGGACTTGCTGCCTATTCTTTTATTCGCACCGGGAAAGAAAGAGTGAGTAAAGAGGCGCTCATTGTTACGCGGCCTGTTTTTATAGTATTGACGTGCTGGGCTTGAAAATTGTCGGCTGCGGGCGGGTACCACAAGACCGCGTTTGACGTTTGATGTATCGAGTTAGTTGTATTATTGAGTGCTGTATATGTGTGCGAGTGAGTCTATTCTTCTATGGTGCTGAAAAATAAAAAGGTTTATGACAACAATCTTGCAAGTGATGCTAGTGAAACATACACATTGACACAAAGCACCCCCCCCTTAATGCCGATGCGGGGAATACGCGTCTGTGCACAGCTGCACATGTACGACTATTGCACCTGTCAAGACTATTTTGGCAAGTTAACCCAATTCAACAACTTACTTGTGTGGCGTTTGCTTGACAGTACATTGATTACTTTATGTGTCTGCATCATACGGGGGTGGATGGCTCAAAGATCAACAAAGCATTTACAAAGGTGATGTTAATCAACCGAGCAAGACCATTATAGGAACAACTCCAACAGCAATTACACAAACTCCCATGTATCAACAACAACATATTGAATAAAGTCCACTTTCAATGATTGGATCGTACAGAGCAGCGCAATTAACATTTTTATAATTTGTATTTTCAACAAGACAAACGAGGATACATTTATACAGTCGTTTTTCTTCACATTCAAAACCATTAGTCCTTGATCTTCTTGGTACCGCGAAGCAAACCGGTTCTTCTGGCAGCGATGAGACCGACCTATATATCTAATTAGCAAAAAGGAAAACTCACAATCCCAACCAAAACACCATGATCTTACCTTTTGACCAGCAGGTGAATCACGAGCCATAGTAGAAGCCTTACCAATGTGTTGATGGTTACCACCACCGTGAGGATGGTCCACGGGGTTCATAGCAACACCACGAGTACGGGGCCAGTTGTTACGCTTGGCCTTGGCAGCATGGTAAGCACGACCAGCCTTCAAGAGGGGCTTGTCAATACGACCACCACCAGCAACGATACCAACAGCGGCACGGGAAGTGGAAGGAACGACCTTCTTGGCACCAGAGGGAAGACGAATACGGGTCTTGCCATCTTCACCATGACCAACAATGGTGGCATAGTTACCAGAGGTACGTGCAAGGGCACCACGATCACCATACTTTTCCTCAACGTTGCAGATAACGGTACCTTCGGGCATGGAAGCGAGAGGAAGAACGTTACCAATGGTCAAGCTAGCCTTCTTGCCACAGTAGACGAATTGGCCAGTGTACATGCCTTCGGTGGCAATAAAGGTCTCGGTGCGAAGCTTGTACCTAAAAAATGATACGTTGAATATCGTCATATCGAGTGTTGGATGATGCTGCTGGATATTTACTTGTAAGGATCACGGAAGACAACCTGATAGATACAAAGATACAAAGTTAGTATGTGTGGGTGGTTGCCATGATACGTGCGTTTTACATACCTTGGCGAGAGGAGCACCACGGCCGGGATCGTGAATGATTTCCTTTACAAGACCACGAATGTAGCCATGACGTTCAGCATAGTCGGCGACACGGAATTGAGCGGCACCCTTACGACCAACGGTGTGGGCCTTGAAGATGCTGCCAGCACCCTTTCTCTGAGCACGAATAACACGACCCATTGTCTACATGTCGATAATAATCCATCGTTTAATCCATGCATCCATTATCATCCATCCGTTAAATTGATCCATCGATCCCATCCATGTATGTTGTTGTGCATGGTTGAGCTGATCGAGTGTGGAACGTGCTGCTGACCTTGTAAGACTAGATTGGAGAGAGGAGGAAGCATAAACCACCTCTTGCCAAGGTAACATACCCGTTGGAGCCCCGACAAGTTCAACATCGTATCACATGACCCTCCCCCCCAACACTGTTCACAAGTAGTGTCATCCCAAATATCCTCCTATTGATCATGGGAATAAAATGATGACATCTTTATCGTTGTCTTTATTTGATGGATTGGAGGAAATCCATATGGGAGTTGCACTCGTAATAGTAAAGCAGTAGGGGCAATACGACTGACTTTTTAAGGCGAATTTCTTGGGAGGGCTATATACGACATACTACTTCTTCCTGATGCAGCATCGTCAACTGATCCAACTCCTCACACGCGCTGAATCAGCATGCCGTGCATGGGACAAGGAGCAATCTATATCAGCTTCATTACTTTTATCACTCTCCAACATTACCGCACAACAAAGAGCTACTATGGAACAGCGTTTCAACTTTGACGTCAATACCAACCGCTTGGTGTACAAGCAGGCCTGTTCCTTTGAAGATGTCTTTGAAAAGCTGACAGCGACATTGGACGCGATGGATGATATTGTACATGACCTATACATATTGGAAAACGAAGCCACCAAGCATTTGACGCGAGCCATGCCCGAGATGTTATCCACAAAGACAAAACCAATGGCACCTTCAACTGAATCCTTAATACAAACAGCTGCTGTGCGCCCTCAAGAAGTGTATGAATACATTGCTGATTTACATTACACCTATAAAATGGAATTGCAACACAAGCGAATGTGGATGGATATGTTACCAGAACGTGCCTCAAGACCTGAGCTGTTGGATGATTTACGAGAGCGATGGCAAACACAGCCGCATCTCAAACCAGAGTTGGCCAGCGAGATCAGTGATCGCATCAAGCTTTATAAACAAGTACATAAGGTTTTGACATCCACCGACTAGCTATCCTCCATATACCATATTTTGCATATACAACAATCAAATACACTATCCTCATCCCGATCATCATCATCATTGATATATTTTACAATCGAGTCAAAAAGATGCCATGATTGGATATTGTTATACGTATGATATGTTGTGTGAGTGAGTGTGAGTGAGTGTGTGATCGCGCGCGTATGGGGTTGTGGGTGTTTTTGTGTGCTTGTGGGTGCGTACGTGTCTATTGTCATAACTCGAATGTAAATGAGATGGGGGAAGGACTTATTTGCTTGCACTAGGCTGTTGTTGTTGGTATTGCATTTGAAGTTCGGCAATCTCGGCCTTTTTCTTTTCTGATTTGGCTGTCAAGTCCTTGAGTTGCTTCTCGACACGTTCACTGATAACCAAGGATACAACCGTGTCAGTCTCATCCCATCGCATCCTACTCCCTATCCCTTAACTTACATTTCCTTTGAAATAAGCTCCAATCGATTCTTCACATTGGTTTCTGCTTCAGCCTTTTCTTGCTTGACGAGGACAGGACCAATAAGCTTGTACACGTTGGCATCATCTTCCAAGTGGTCAAATTCCTAAAGGCCCCATTCACAACCAGAGGATCAGCAACCTCTCATCTGTCATTGGACGCGTGATTACCTTGCGAACAACTTCATTCTCTTGCTGTTGGGAATCCAGCCGTTGGCGCGACTCGATGGCACTCGAGAGTTCTAGAGTTACCCCCCTTGTTAGCTCGATCCCCGTCATCAAAGGAACCTTTAAGGAATAAAACGAACCTTTTTGCAATTGTTGGAAAGCTTTCGATTCAGCTTCGAGCTTGGCTTCAAGTACTGACAAGGAACTCATTTTGAAGGAGGGGGAAAAAAAGTAAAGCGTGCAAGTCGGACGACCACTCGAGCCAAATTTTGGAACGAAGCACCGCTGGTAATAGTAGCAACCATCACTCATCCTCTTTTTTATTGCACATGACACTCTCTCCCTTATGCTTTGATTCACAATAAATGATATACATGTGTCAGCTGCTCACTGGCATGGAGGGTATACGCGCAATGAATGATGTTCGATCATCTTTGTTACTTTTGAAGCGAGTTCGAGCCTACTGTAATACCGATTGATGTATGAATATGGATGTCAAGATATAAACAAGGCTTGTCTCAGGAAGGATGATTCATTTCATATCTTTCAAAAGCTTAATAGCCTTGAGGTTACCCATCAGCATGACCTAGGCAGTCTTTGCATGCAACTACAATAGCTAAACTCGTTTGACACATACATCCTCGTGAAGCCATGTCATGTGTTCTTTTAAAAATATTCGTAGTTATTCGTAGGAGCCATAAATATGACCGGGAGGTTGAGTAAGGACACGTGGACTCATCCATTCACACTGACTTTGGCTTCCACTGAAATCGATTGATACATTCTTGTTCGTTCTCCATATGTTGGATAATGAACGTAATAGCAAAAGTAGTGCTGTATCCTTTTCACAGCTGCAGAGCATCTCAACAAAGGTGTTTAAAAGCTATTTTTATGTTCAATTCCTCTTTTTCACGCGTAACTTCATCTATTCTTGTCAATGCATCGCACCCTGGACCAGCTGAGTATGGGAAGGATGTCGGACTTGCTTACAAATTCTGACCAATGGTGGAATACGATCTTCTTTAACGTTAAATTACGTACGATGCACCTCCCCAAATCGATTGCGGATGCTTTCTCTACATTCTAGACGACCTCCGCTACATGTAGAGACCAAAATAAAGTGTATTCTCAATTAGGAAATTTTGTGGTTTATATAGTACCGGCAAAATTCAAAAGTAAGAAGCGTGAGCGAAAGCCTAGCTAGCTCAATTGGTTAGAGCGTGAGACTCTTAATCTCAAGGCTGGGGGTTCGAGTCCCCCGTTGGGCTTACCGATTCGCACTAAGCGAATCTTACGCTTTTTTATTTTCCACGTGGCGGAAATCACGTGATTTGGGGGTATCTTATTTGCGAATCTAGAATGTCACACAAGGATTATAGAGGAATCTACGTATGTTATTGTTGGGTATGTATACGTAATTAGGATATGTAAGATCAAAGCGATGTATGCAAAAAGGATTGATGATAGTGCCCTGAATCTGGATCTGACAGACCTCAGCTGGTATGCTTTTCGCATCGTTGTCGGATACACACATGTATGGGATCTTTCATTTTGCATGACTTTTTCGTATACCTAATAATGTTTGCTGGGTCTCCTTATAAAGAGCCTCCTGTTGCATGAACTGAGATTCGAGATAAGCAACGTGGGAATCTCCATCATCATTGATCTGCAATCATAAATTCCACGAGATAGAGATTACTTATGCAGTGTACGATTCATAAAGGGAAAGTCGATGGTACCCTTATCAATAAACATAACACACAGCTCCCGCATGAAGGTAAATTGTCATAACAGTTTCTGCAACATGGTGGTTTACAACATCTCAACCATTTCTCATGCAACATGTTCCGCTTAAATTGGGCAGGTAGACGCGTGTGACAAAGGCATTCGATACTCTTTTGTTCCTTTTATTTTCTGATGATGACTACACCCCAAACGTTTTCTCCACTGCTTTCCTTTTGGCCAACCGTACAACAAGAACAAAAGAAGTTGCGTGACAATCTCGTCGGCAAGCGTCTCAATGAGCTACGAACACCATCCCTTGTTCTCGATCGCTCCATTCTCGAGCGTAATTGTCAACGACTCGCTTCAGTACCTTCACCCGTCAAGGTGCGAGTGCATGTGAAATCACACAAGGTATACATAAATACGTCGCTTATCATTTGCAAATGCTCACGTGACAAGGGGTCAATTACCGTAGACGCTTGAACTCACAGAAATGCAACTTGCTGCTGCGAAAACGGATGCAGTTGTGGTGTCCACTTTGGCTGAGGCGCACTTTTTGGCATCGAGTCATCTTGTGGCACAAAACAAGATCAAGCAACTTTTACTTGGATTCCCTATTAGCCCTGACAAGTTCGCCGAGGTGTTTCAGCTTGCAGAAAAAGTAGAGCGTTTCCAGGTTTTCATTGGTGAGTATAGTAGTAGTAGTGGATGTGATGTCGTCAATGTGCTAATAATGGATTTTTATGCAAGATCAACTTGGGACATTGGATGCATTGGATCAATATCATGCAGCAACCTATGGTCCTCAAGACACATCTTACAAGATTGACGTCTTCATTAAGGTGGATTGTGGCTACGGGTAATACCAACAATAGCGATACCATCATTGTATGCTTACATTACATTGGTTTTTTAGCCGTGCTGGTGTACCCTTGAAAAGCAACTTTGTCAAAGACGACGTCCTCGAACTCGCCAAACGACTTTCGACTTCGTCTTATGCTACGCTATTCGGACTTTATACCCATGCTGGCCATTCATACAATGCTCGTAGTCCTGAAGAGGCATTCGAATACCTTGAAAAGGAATGCGAGAGTGCTCGAGAATTTCGTGATTACTTTATCAAAGAGGCTGGTGTTGATATTCCTTATCTTTCAATTGGAGCGACACCCACAGTAGGTGCAGTTATCCATCATGGCGAGCGAGCCAAAAAGGTGTTGGAAGGAATCAGTGAAGTACATGCTGGTGCATACACATTGTTTGATCGACAGCAAGCTGCCACAGGCCTTTGCACCCTCGAGGATGTCGCCATCACAGTGCTTGCACGCGTCACCAGCCTTTATCCCGATCGTGGTACGGTGCTTATTGATGGTGGTGCTTTGGCATTTTCAAAAGACGTGTGTCCTCAAGGTGGATTTGGCGTGTTGCAATCCAACCATGACATTGTTTTGAGATCTGTTTCCCAAGAGCATGGAATCCTTCAAGCTGACTCGAAAAGTGGATTGGAGCTGGGTCAGGTCGTGCGTGTCATTCCCAACCATTGCTGTTTGACATCAGCATGCCATATGTATTACTTGATTATAGAAGGTGGAGGTGATACTGTAGTTGATGTATGGTTCCCGGTTCGTGGGTGGTGATATTCTTTTTGTTCTATATAAATGACTCTATATTCATCAACTATGCTTTAAAAGTGTAATTGGCCTCACGCATAATTGGCCTCGATTTTTGCATAATAGAGCATCAGAGATTCTCCGCTCGCCGTGATACAAAATTCGCGACATGTATACTACGTATGCCTGTAGTCTTCTTTAGAGTTGCAGAGAGGAAGTTATATGCATCTATAATGCAAGTAGGATCGTCGCATGATAAGGAGCTTTCTCAGCTAAAAGGTGTTACGCCAATCGACCCGTGATAAAGATTAATAGATTAAAGCGCCGTCCAGTGAATGAGATGGAATGTCCTCGAATATTAGTAATAGGCCATGCTACTTTTCAAGTGACAACCAGGACACGTTTATTGTGTTGAGAGTACATTTACATGGTCATGTATCGGGTGATCATTGCTGTGCTCTATTTAATCCAATGGATTGTTGTATCCAGGCAGGCAATGTACTAAGCTTCTCGAAACCGAATGCTGAAAAAAAGACATAGGACGTAGATGGATCATGGTGCCATATCCACAAGCTAGACCCGCGATGATTGAAGTATGATCGATATCAAATCAACTGGCGTGTGGGCGTAGTAATAAAATCGTGGGTCGTGAAAGGATTCAGAGGAAGCGTAAAATGCCGTGACTCGCTCACCAAAAGACCCAGCTGCACTTCTTCTCTACTACGATCGATTCGTTGTGAAACGTACACCGCAAAATGTAAAAAGAGCAGCATGACACTTGCATCACGACTCGACCGACCACTTACACAACAATCTTATGCATAGGGGAAGACATTGTCAACTTGTCATGGGACCTGCTGGAAGTGGCAAGGTAAATGAACGAGCACGGGTTGAAACGGAGATCGATCGCTTGAACACCAAGTAGCTTGATCGAGATTTCTATACGATCGTGGAGGAGAGAGAAGGCGAATAGGATGATTGATGATATGCATACACTTGTAGTCTACGTTTTGTGCCACAATGATGACCCATTGCCAAGCAGCTGGTCGTCGCGTCCATCTAGTCAACCTCGATCCTGCTGCAGAGCACTTTGAATATGAGCCTACCATTGGTAAGAGCATGGATCCATGATCATGGGATGTCTTTGTTTAATATCTATTCTTATTCTTCTTCTTCTTTAAGATATTCGGGAATTGATCACGTTGGAAGATGTCATGGAAGAATTGGATTATGGTCCCAATGGTGGCCTTATTTATTGTCTTGAGTAAGTGCACGAGCTGTGTATGATGGGATTATATATCTAACGGGTATCTTTGTTAGATTTTTGCTCAACAACATTGATTGGCTTGAGGAGGAGATTGGCAACTATGACGACGATTATCTTATCATTGACTGTCCTGGCCAAATTGAATTGTACACACATTTCCCTATCATGAAGCGAGTTTGCGAGGCACTTGAACGGTGGAACATGCGGATTTGTGGTGTCTATTGCCTTGAATCACAATTTATCGAAGACAAGTACAAGTACTTTTCAGGTGTGATGAGTGCCATGAGCGCCATGGTTAATATGGAGATTCCCCACGTCAATATCATGACCAAGATGGATTTGATTGAAGGCGATTATGGCAACAAAAAGGATGATGAAGAACAAGAGAATGGTGAACAAGAGGACGAGATGGATAAGAAGGCTAGACGGCGGAGGAGAAGAAGACGCATGGAAAGTGCATTGACCCAGCGTGAATTGGAACGTTATCTCGATCCTGACCCGTTGTTGATTGCTGAGCGTGCTGGTGATACAGCCCAAGAAACGAGCCCTATGAATCAAAGATTTCAAGCGCTTAATCAGGCCATCGTGCAACTCGTATGTATTAGGGGTGGGGGGAGAATGAATGATCATGAGCTCCTAGATTCATTGGGACATCTATTATGTACATAGATCGATGACTATAGCATGGTCAGCTTTATACCTCTCAATATTACGGATGAAGATTCAGTCGAGTATGTGCTTTCAACCATCGACAATGCGATTCAGTATGGCGAAGATTTAGAACCCAAGGTAAAAAAAGAAGAGTTCTTGCCATGTCAACCATTTTTCTAATCGATTTTTTGCTTGTATTCAGGAACCTGATGATATGGTCGATTATGATCCTTGATAGTAGTATAGTAGTCATTGATATCATTTGGAGATAAAGGGACCATGATTGTACAGTATTATTCTGCCAATGTGTGTCGTGGTGTTAGTTGCTTTCAACACGAATATGATGTGGGCTGCCTAAAAATATACGGGTCATTGATTTGGGTCGAATGATCATCCACCCGGGGGTTTAGTAGTTTAACAGGGTTGAGCAAACGTTTCATTTTTCCAATTCCATTGCACGTATTTGGCGTGATTGTCTACATCATACTTGAATAAATTGAATAGCCGAGCATACGAAAGGGTCTGGAGTGGCATGCTCAGCAATCATCAAAATTTATTGGATATGTTTCAACTACATTCAGGCAGCTATTTCCCTGCCTTTAACCCCAAGTGGGTGGCGGTCTTTGACATGATGTCTCTCAACGTAATGCTTGTCTTTCGTTTTAGTCCCCAGTTCACCATAGAAACAGCAGGTGTTCCACCTTGATTCATTCATCTCTTTGTCTCTCTCTTTTTTCTTTCCCACCCACCCACTGACAATGGTTCACGCACCGTGTATGAAGCCTATTCAAGATATGCCAGGTGTATGCCTGGCCATTGTATCTGACCTATGGAACAAGCACACTCATCGTCAAGTGCCCTGGGACGATGCACGACGTTTGAACTTTTACAACTATTGTCAGTATCTCACAACCTACATCAACGTATCACCCGCAGTCGTTTACACGAGGTTTGTTATCGATCACCCATAGGTGGTGGGGTTCATTATATTCAATGAATGGGATACTAGTCTCCATTACATCAAACGCTACCTCCAAGCCATTGATTCATGCACACGACAAAAAATGCTTTCTGTACAAGGATCCGAAAAGTCACTCTTTATGGCTGCCTTATTACTTGCCTTCAAGATTGTTGAAGACTGGGGCTGTGTCGATATGGCAAGTACATCAAAACTCTTTTACTCCTGCAAAAAAAAGCTTACACGTTTATTTTTTTTTAGAAATACTGGTCTCAGATCTCAATGATCCCTATCACCGAATTGACCAGGATAGAAATGGATTTCCTTTGTCAAGTCAACCATCGTCTTCACGTGAACAAGCTCGATTTTGTACGATGGGTCACTCGATGCAATTCCATCTTTGAACAATGGATGTATTATGTCACTTCACAATACGATAAGGTGGCTGCTGCATCATCACAACAACAACAACAATACCCCTGCTACGTGTCTCCGGCAACCCAATGGTATCCTCCATATCAAGATTCATCCTGCTCCTCCTCTTACTATTGGAATCCCCACTGTGGCTATTACACCAACAATCAACTCTATCATCGACAACAACACCAAGCGGTTGAAAGTTATCATGACAGCAGTTATAGCCGGAAGCGTAACTCGAGACGTCGAAGAACCATGACAACGGGACGTCATTATCATTATCCATCATGGCAACCACAACAATGGCATTGGGCATCTACAGTACCAGCCTTGGCTCCTTCATTAACACAGTGAAGAATCATCCCATTTCTCCCTCCCCTTTCTCTTTGTAACATATAAAAATTGGCATTATACATGATGTGAATGTTATATTATTGGGCAATTACAATGGTAATAATACGAAAGTAGCTAGTAGTGTAGATATCATGAATTAATAGTAGTATAGAGCATCTCGTCGTGTTCTTCGGGTAGCACGCCACTAGGGGTGTATTGAGATACGTAGGATGGAGAAGACATTGAAGTGCGTGTTGACCACATGGACCAAGCATCCGATGTCGAATCGACGCTGCTTGTGCGTGCCAAATGAAGAGGGAGTTGTTGTTGTTGTTGCTGTGAAGAAGATGGTGGCAAACCATGCAAAAAGGAAGAGGAAGGCCAACCACATAAACCATAGACATCTTGTTCCATCACATTGACCAGTGTCTTTGACCGTTCAAAATCATGCATATAGGTTGTTGATACTTTGGCAATGTCCACGGAAAGTTGAAGACAACGTTTAGCAAAATCTTGGCACTGCAAATCTTCATAATTGAGTAACTTGACATAGACAATGTTGGCAAACAAAAAGGCAAGAAGCGGGACATTGCATTCATCTTGTTGATAGACCATGGCTTCGAGTGTTTGAGTGATGGTGTAAGCTGCATCGATACATGTATACAAGCATTGTACTGAGAAGGGTGCACGTGGAATATGATCGGATGGGAAAAAGACTTGATAGAGGAGGATCTTGTTGATGTTGTAATAAATGTGGACATTGAGGATGCATGATCGTGCAAATGCCTGGATATCAAGATGATAATTCACGTCTTCTTGCATGGGATCATTCGTAGGCGTGCTATGCGTCGATGATCCACAACATGAGGATCGCGCCATGAAGGGTGAAGATACCTCTGGATTACGCCACTCATCTGGAAGCTCGTTGTGGAATTGTTCCAATTGATCTCGCATACCAAGTAGATCAAGTGACAAGTTGGGATCATGACCACCACCCACCCCTTGAGCTTCTACGAGCCTCGTCATGACCTCGTGTCGTAAAAGTTGCAACTTGATCATGTAGTACCATGTACTCCATACGTAATAATCCACAAGTTCATCAGGTGAAGAGGAAGAAGAAGGCGCACCATCGATCTGCATAAAATCGGTACTGGCAGCAGGTTTGGTGGGTGGTTGTGGAAGAGGGCAACAAGGATAAAATTGACTTGATTCAATAGACGCACTGGATCCACCTTCCAATACACGATACCACGTATTGAAATAGTACAAGCACCATACGAGCTTGCTTTCCTCATCCGTAAATGCGTGCTTGGTGTCGTACAAGCCCAATTCTCGAGCCATATTGTATGCAATCCATTCATAGATATAAACCACCCCGAGGTATCCATTCTGATACGTGCAATAGGATAAAAGAACAGCAGCCTTGCAATTGTCCAATGAAGCATCATCAAAGCATTCCGAGAGTAGCTCGCGTGCCTTCAAGCAATAAGCGATGGAAAGGGCTCTCCCCATATTATACTGTGCTGTCACTGGATCGGAGGATGTCAATGGGGAGCGCTTACTCCATACGTGAAGCTGAAATGCATTACGTGCAGCCATGGCACACACCGCATAGATCAAGGTTTTGGATGGCCTGTTTAGCGGATCCCGATACCGATCAAGAAACTCGGTTGGGCTGATGATAGGTAAGCGAATGGCTGAGCAGCAGGGTGATCGGCAATATAAATCAACAAGGTTGTCGGTGAGTTCATCCGAAATATCAATCGGGTAATCTTGTGCTAAGGGCGTTGGCTGTTGAGATAACGTGCTCCACACTGCAAATGAAAATCCAGATGATGTATGAATCGAGCTCGTATCATCCAATTCCACCGATTGCGCAATTCTTTGTCGTTCCTCATTCAACGATTCTCGACTCGATGATGCATTATCAGATAAAATACTTGCTGCTGCTGATGCTGGAGGTGGTGTAATATGCATGGTGCGTTTGAATTGATCCACCAATTTTGAAAGATCATTGTATGAGTTGACGTTGCTTTCGACCGAGAGTCCGCGACCCGTCGATGTGATCTTCCAAGCAAAGGGTTGCAATGGCTTCATTTTGAATGCATTGTTGGTACGTTGTGAAAAATCGCGCGTCTTTTGTGCAAAGTCGCGAGCCATACGATCGATCGATTCTTGCCATTGATCCATCACCTTGTTCATACTTGTAAGTACTTGAGACACGTGGCTAGCCTTTGGCTCGGTTTTCAGGTACACACATTCAAAGTCATTGGATTCACATCGACTGCATTTGGGTAATGATAAATCACATTGTTGAAGATCCTTGTAACATTTGCTGCATGGATAGACTGAAAAACTACTTGTTGATGCTATTCCTTCCTTATCATCCGTGCTGCTGGTTGTTGTTGCTGCATCGACCTCGGATACTGCTGATGATGATGATGCCAAGGATCGTGTATCTTCCTCCTGCTGCTCTAATGCTGGACTACTGCTATTGTCATTATTGTCACCATTCGTCGTCGTCGATGTGGAAGAGCGGTTTTGTTGTGCAAGTCGTTGTAGCGATATGGCCTTGAATTCCTTTGGCATCCCTTCGGCTGACTTGAGTCGATCACCAAACTTGCGTATACGATCACCCAATGTCTCGGTTGCCTTTTGCAGCTTCTTCAATGTCGGTGCCGCTTCAGGATACGTGCAAGTGATACCTCGCTTTTGACAACGAGTGCATGTTGGCTTTTTACGGTCGCATGCATGTCTACCATGGACGAGAGTCAGCATTTACCAGGCTGTGGAGTCGGCCGTAATAAAAGTAGTAAAGCGTTTATTCACCTGAACCCTCTGCAACGAAAACATGCTGCTCCCAAGTTGCTGTTTTTACCACTGTCACTGGTATTGCTTGTATTGGAGTTGCTGGTTTTTGTGGTCTTTTCACTGGATGAGACTTTGGGTGCTGCTGCTGCGTCCGTCATCAACAAGCGGAATAAGTTGTGGTGGTTGTATTATTAATGAAATTCTAGTCGCAGGATGGAAGGAGGATATGGGATGCAAATAAATAAAAATGATTCGAACAAGAGAAAAGAAGGGAGAGGATGATGATGATGCGTCGTTGAAAAAGAGTGGGTGTGGCGATGAAACTGAAAGCGAAAAGAGGAAAAAGGGGGGGAAAGGACGGGTGAGAGTATACACGCTACTACGAGTCCGATTCCCATTAAACTCCTTGGGTCACGTGCTGTCCAATGGGTCACCTTGTGTCACAATACCACCATGTTACGTTGTTGCTTCGGATGACAGAGCTTGAATATGATGCAACGCAGATTTCACCTATAGATCAGTTTCTATAAATATATATTTTCTACACCTTGGATATATGTTTGTCAGCAACTTACCTGCTCCTTCAATTGTTCACGATATCGGTATTCTTGAAAGGTATCATCTTCTTGGTGACAGGCATCCCATGCTGCAAGAATGGCTTGGACAACAGCATCAAAGGAGGACCCATATTGGTCACGACGTGTAGGAGTTGCCAAGGCAAGGCAAGCATTGATTCTGACTTTGAAATTGCGACATTGTAACAATGAATGAATCAACGCCGTGTAGATAGCTTTTGTCCATGGATACGGGTCGCCAATAGGAAAATCAGGATTCTTCAACATGTTACTAGCTGCATGACATGCATTCCATCGAGTCTAACAATGGCAAGCTTAATAAACATGTCTTTATGTATCTTGCAATAGTGTATTACCTTGAGAGTGCCGGTCTCGATGTTCTTGCTCAATCCATTCATTGCATTTTTCAGTAACTGGGCACTTTTTCTTGCATGAAAATAATCCTTTGACGTAATACGCAATATACTACCCAGCGCTCTGACAGCATTGGAACGAAGCTATGATTGGGATTATAAGACATCTTGACGATAGAATCATTGTTCAACATTGTTTACCTTGTCATTATCTGTGCAGGCCGATGTAGCGGTGATGATGATGTTGCTCCATGTCACCAAAGGGATCCATTCTTGGAAATCAAATTCGGGATTTTCACTTTCTGCTACGAGAGCATCACCCAAATTGCCTTCGGCCCAACTTGCACGAACACGCACCAGGATGGCCTTGTCGTTCATTTGATCCATAATCGCTGCGGCCATATCCGATACAAAATGTGGGTCACCTCTTAAGGAAGGGAACAAGACAAATACACCAAGCGCTCTGCACGCAGCCGCACGTACGCTAATATCCTGATCGGATGGAAGAGACAACAGTAATGTAACGGCCAACGTTTGATACATGTGCTGCAAAAGAAAAGAGTCAATGACTACCCCAAGTAGAAAGCAAGATCCCCCCAAAATAGACAACTTACGGGTAATTGCTCATACACTGATTTTGGTATACTAGCCAAACAATCACAACTCATGGCTCGCACACCAGCAGCGTCATCAATACAGGATGCTTGAATGTGTTTGCTGAGCATTCCAGTCCACCATGCTAGATACTTGCCCTAAAAGCACCAATATCAATAAGCCCCATTCTTTTTGATCAAGGACTATACACATACCATCCTGGATGAGTCGTCTTCATCGATATGATTACCCATGGCACATCCATAGGACTCGGCAAATGTCATTGCTGCTATACGAACTTTTTCTTCCTTGTGCTCCATGGCAGCTTCAAATCGTTCATGGATCACGTCCTCACGACCGCTATATCCACATCATTTAACAAACCCATCTCTCTCTCACTTCGTGTGTATACTTACTAAATCATGTCGAATTGATGCTTTGCAAGGGTGCCTAGTGTCATCCAAGCCGCTGATACAAGTTCAAGAGACGCTTCTGATGATCCGTCGGGTAGTGTCAATTGTGGTACGAGGTCAATCAAGGGTGGCATTGACTCTTCCACACTTTCCTCAAGCATGTGAGCCCCTTCTTGAGAGCCCGTTTCCAATATGGCTATCACGAGATGCAATATGGCTGTCCTCAATGTTGCGGCTAATCATGGATGAATACTGAGTGAGCATGTATTCTTTGACAAGGTGGAAAAGAAAAGACAACAACATACATGCTTGTGACCATTTCAAAAGAGCTGCTTTGTAAAGGCGTGTCAAATAGCCAGGTGCCAAACGATCATAAGGACAATTGTTGACGAGTGTGCAAGCCAACTTGAAAACCAATGCTGTTACTTGAGGATGATCTTCTTTGGCGAGAGCGTGGATCACTGCAGAATGAAAATCGCGCAATATGGATGCGAGTTGTTGTGATAAGGATGTAAAGGATGATTTGGTATCTCTATCATGGCGAGTGAATAGTGTCGTCCCATGTGTGAGCGTGTATGTACCATGTCTACCTTTCAGAAGCCACGCCGAGGTATTGCTTTGATCCATCAAGCATGGCAATTAATGCATTGCAAACAGCTGTGCGCACCGTTATCATGGGGTCGTACAATAGGATGGTGAAGAGGGAATAAGGTTGATTATCCGAGCGTAATACTGGAAGCAATTTGCCGTCTTGATCCGAGTTGTTGGCAAAAAAGATGAAAAAAGTGTCAGAGAGGAACTTGTGCCAGTAAGATTGTAGTGCGCGTGGTGACGTCTTTGCAATCGCTGCGAGGCATAAAAGAGCATTGATCCGTATTTTAGCATCATCTCGTCTAAGAAAGATCGTCAATGACCATGTTTGCTTCCTTGTTTAGTCCATATGATGCTACTCACTGTTTGCGAGGATTTCCCATAGCAGCTTCGTTGGAATCGGATAACTCAGAGTCTGAACTTGTCAATCCCATGGATTTAAATTCTGTGGGTCGCCATGACAACTGTGCACGATGCGCTGGTTGTTGTTGCTTTTGTAAACGAAGCCGAACTTGCATGGGACGAGAGGTCGATGCCGATGGTGTTGGCTCATCTAAATACGCACATACACTAATGAGACATGGTACGTCCTATTGTAACAAAGCCATCCTATACAATACCAACCTCGATTTGCCATAGAATAGGTCTGCAATGAGACACTCATGAAGATAAATGTGTAGATGATTTGAATAATGTCGCATAGCGGATTGGTCACCAGGCTCTTATCTTGAGACAAGACAAATTGAAGCGCACGCAAGGTACTACTAGCAATCTATTCTCCCTCACAAGGTCAGCATGATGATGATGATGATGGCTGATGCCGTTTATAGATATACCTTTCGAATCGCCGAATCAGCAAAGTCAAGGGTAGATGAAGCGACCATGATAGTGCCATGAGATCCATGCTCGACGGTGCAAATGTTGGCTAAGAGCACTTGATAGTAATCCTTGTAATAGCTTTGTAACTTGGATCCAGCTCCGGCACATGTATTAGCGATGCAATTGATGGCCATACGACGCACTTCAAGGGGTTGAACAGATCGATCGGCAAGCTTGCAGAGGATGTTGGCTATGCGAGGATAGAACTTTTAACAAGCATCGTTAATGGGATTCGATTCTCATTCATCATCATCCTATCTATCCACCAACCTTGACTGTGTTGGAGGCATTTTCAAAGACAAGTGCACTGAGAGCACGTAAAACATCCACGCGAAGATCGGAAGACGTATCCGAGTTTTCAAGAGCATCCAATAGTAATACAATGCAGGCTTCAAATTGTGACGCCCGAAGACTTGACAGCCGTATCTATGATTCTATATTAAAGATCATGCTCGTTGTTGTTGTTGTTTAGAGTGAGCAGCCTACCTGTTTGGAACATTGTCGAAATAGAAACTTGCAGAACGGAGAGAAGCTATCGTCATTGGGTTGGATCGATTTGCTTCCTGCCACAAGAATGTCGACCACTTGCTATTATCCAAAGGTGTCAGTTGCAGAGATGGGGTTGCGTTGGGATCGTTTGTTTACCTGATCCGGCACGTTCTTCACAGGCATTTCGACATTGTTGAGTTCGTTGAGTATGCTGACGAGATTATCGGGTGTATGCGTAGAGTCCAAAGCATGTTGATAATACTGCAGTACAAGCGTGTAGAATGGCTGCATTTCCCCTTTTGTGTAAGAAGATTAAGGCGCGACAAGTGTCGAACATCGGAAGTGCGATATCCGGATGATGTTTTCCTCCGACAGCCAATCACTCATTTGCCCACTATGCAGCCTTCTACAACGCTCTTGCATGTTCCTCTGCCACGACCACATGTAGCAGCTGTTGCTATTAGCAAGGTCATTAATCCATTCCCTCAAGCTACTTGCAGTAGCATGCCTTGCAGTCTTTTCACGTGACCAGCAGATAGCCATCATTATATAGAAGCAGCTTTATTTACGTGTAGCAACTTGCTTTCAATACATACAATTTGCTTATGGATATGGATATGGTATTGGTTTGGTATATGGGATATGTAATGCGTGGAAAAAGTACATGATGCTATCATTGTGAACAATTGGTGCGTCCAATTCTCGTATTTTGTAGTCCTTGTGAAACCTATCAACCACGTCTATCCTTTCACCTTTCGCAAAATGCACGCCCAAAGGATAGAAACTTCTCAAATCAACGCATCTTCCCCGTTGGAGCGATTCGTTGCTGTGAATGATGTTGTTGGATTAAAGGGTTACTTTAGCGAATACGGGATTGCGTTTCTTTAAGAAATTTTTATAAGATCTTCTTCCATCCTGAGTTGGGCCTCGTCAATCAACGTCGTATTCCATACAAAGTAACAAGCGGATGAATGCTGCTTTTTGGGTACATATAGGAAATCCCATTTAGTCATCCCATAACTTACAAGCTATCATATCTTTCCTCTTTGACCGAAGCATTGAGCATTGTAAAGACTAGCGACCTATGGCTATGACATTTATCATCGAAAAAGATAGGTTTATTGTTTGCTGATCGATAAAGGACATGTCATTGTTCAGATATGTATTTACGTAACCAATGGTCAAATGGGTGTAGTGGCTAAGATGCAGGGGACAATGACAGGATGGAAACTTGCATAAAGGGTTGCTAGGCGTCCCACTTTAACCCAGCGTGCTTGAAATCTCCGTCTTACCACGCGACTTTTTTTCTTACTTTTTGCTTCACTTTCCCACCATGCCTGAAGAACAGCTCCAAAACAGCCTTGTAAAGGAACATGACGAGCACGAATCCGAGCAATCCGAAGAAGAGGAGAATGAGAACGAATTGACCAATATCGAAGAAGGTGGGAGAAGAAGAAAAAACCCGCTTGCTTGGATGCTAACATGGTGTGCGTGTGTTCAGGTCTATTGGATGAGTATCCCGAAGACACCACGGTAATGTTTGGAGTCCATTGACAAGTCCTTAAAGTGTTGTATTGATATGCTGCTGTATCAGGAAATAGACGCCGTTCATCTTCGCATTTCCAGCATACCCAATCTCAACTTGACACGCTTTCCTCAACTCGAAGTATGCCTTGAGAACAACCATTATGCACCACTCTATTGACTTGAGTCTCTTTCATCCTTCCCAATAGCGGTTGTGTTTACGACAAAACTTGATCTTGGATATCGAGGGCTTTGAAGGATTGGATAAACTTGTGGAGCTTGACCTTTACGATAACAAGATTAAGCACGTGCGTGGCCTGAATCAGATCACCTCTTTGCAGTAAGTTTCTCTTACAATGGGTGTATCAGCGGGTATTAACATGATGCATGTGACAAGGTACTTGGATCTTTCCTTCAACAAGATCAAGCACATCAAGAACATTGATCAACTCACCAACTTGAGCGACCTTTTCTTTGTGAGCAATCGTATATCAAAGATTGAAAACCTGGATACATTGGTGCAATTGGATAATCTCGAACTCGGTGCAAACAAGATTCGAGTAAGCTGAAAAGGACAAATACGACATCCACATTGGAACTTAGCGTTTGTTGTCATCTACTAGGTCATTGAGAACCTGGATAAACTTGTGAATCTCACCAAACTTTGGCTCGGCAAAAACAAAATCACTCGGCTGGAGGTAAGGTTGGGATGAAAAGGAATCAAGGTTCAATAGGATTAACCTGTGTCTATAGAACTTGAGCCCGTTACGCAATTTGCAGATCCTGAGTATACAAAGCAACCGTATCACCAAATTGGAAGGACTCGATGAATTGCACAATTTGCAAGAGCTCTACTTGTCACATAACGCCATTGAAAAAATAGAAGGCTTGGAAAACAATGTAAGTAAGAGATATAGGAGGACATGATGGAAGCGTTGGCATTGATGTTTTCTTTCCCAAAAGCTCAAGTTGAAGACACTGGATGTGGCCAATAACAAGATAAAGCACATTGAAAACATGTCGCATCTAACGCAGCTAGAGGATTTCTGGGTAAGGGACAACATGGGAAGGGGGCGATGATTGGGTTGATCAAGTGACCAACTTTTGATTTCATAGGCAAACAACAACTTATTCGAGAGTGAATGCTTTGGTGAATTGACAAAGGAATTGGGCGATATAAAGACATTGGATACGATCTATCTCGAAGGAAACCCGATGCAAGCAGCAAACAGAGCAACATACCGCAACAAGGTCCACTTGGCTTTGCCACAAGTGAGGCAAATTGATGCCACGTAAGTGTTTATTGTCACAGATGCATTGTGGATTAGCCTATTGAATGTGTGTTTATGTGTATTTGCAGATATATCAAGTAAAAGAGAGAATCAAAGCGTGGCTTTTATAATATTATGTACAATGAAAAGAAGAAAAGAGGGAAAAAAAAACAGTAATAAGGTATCGATCACTTTTTTTTGTTATTGGATGAGAACTTTTTGCTGTTGAATGGTGTGGGATCCTATACATATAGAATGTCAGCGCAACCCATGATCGACATCATTAAAAGAATCCACTTACAATATGCATGCCTTCCAGGTCATTTTGCAAATCGTCATCTTTGAGCTTGAATACGAGCGCTGGACGTAAAGAAAGAAAAAAGAATAGGTTAAGGATGATGATGGATGTGTTCATGTAATATAAATCAGTAGAATAGGTTGAGGAAAAAGGATATCAGACAATTGTTTTCGCTTGTTGGTTTTGTTGTCAACTTGTTCAATACCACGCCGTCGCAAGGACCGCTTCATCATCCGTGTTTGGGATTCTAATAAAGAATCTACAGGGGGAGAAAAAGTTGAGTCATATGCCAATAGGTGCATCCAAACGTGACATACCATAAGCCAATTCACAATTATCTTTGTCTTCCTTGAGTTTGCGACGTTTTTCTTCCAAAGCAGTAAACAGCTTATCACGCATTTCTCGCTTTTCAGCCTAATTTCCATCCTGGTCAGCCAAAAGAGTAGCGTTTCCATGGCGCCTCTCTCTCTCTCTCACACACACACACACTTACCGAGCATTCTTCTTCCGCTAGCATTCTTTCGCGGTTGAATTGATTATCAATAATGCGTTCATGATAGGCTCGGAATAATCTGGCATCGTGGATTCGTTTTTCACGCGTATACTTCAACTCCTCCAATCCTTGTAAATAGGCAATATGTGTATCTGTGACAACATGAATTGGTGAGCCATGGTTGATTGGGTGGTTGGTTGGGGGGGTGGAGAGTCAACTTACTCTGGTGCACTTGCTTGATTTCTTCTTGTAAGACAGCCAACTTGTCCGCGTAAATCCTATCAACGTGACATATAGATAAGAAACACGAAAACACATCATCATCATCATCATCATGTGCCTTGTTACCTTTCTCTATTCTCCATGAAATCCATGTTGATCTTTTCCAATCGTCCACCCACTTCTTTTCGTTTCTTGGTCCTCCTTTGATCTGCTTCATAATTGCCTACTAGAAAGTTCCATTAGTATTGTATGCCTCTATATTACTGTAGCATGCGTACCTTCTACTAGCCATCCATCTGCATCATCTGCTTCATAATACATGGAATTACTGTTCATGGCTGGAGGTGGTGGTGGATGTGGTGGAGGTTGGATTGAAGTACTTGAACCAGCAGGAGCAGCAACGGTGGTAGCAGTCGTTGTTGTTGTTGTTGTTGTTGTTGGAGGTGGTGTTGTAGTAGATGGATTATAATGGTCGTCAATGACAGGTTGTGCTGAGAGAGGATGTGGAAGATGATGATGCACATGGTACGGTGGATGTAAATGTGGCTGTTGTTGTTGTTGCTGCATTCCGCGGTGTGCATATACACTTGTGATATGAGTGCCACCACTACCACCACCATTACCATTGGGTTGATATGCATAAGCTGTTGGTTCTTCTTGATCCAAAGGTGGCCGTGTAAAAGGCAAAGGAGGAGGAGGAGGAGGAGCAGCAGCAGCAGCAGCAGCATGATGATGATGGGGATGATGATGGGGATGATGGTGATGATAGAGATATGGGTCGTCGCTTTGAGTTGGCATAGGAGGAGGAGGGTGGTTGTGGTGGTTGTGGTTGTGGTTGTGGTGGTGTTGCTGATGACTAGCAGGTGGTGGAGGTTGTGGCCGTTCATGAGCATGGTAGTATTGAGTAGTAGAGCTACCATTGCCTCCCGTCGATGGAGGTGGAGGTGGTGGAGTGTACGATTGAGAAGACGGCGGTAGTGGAGGTGGAGGTAAATGAGCAGGAGTGGTAGAAGTAGTAGTAGCAGCAGCACTAGCACTAGTACTAGTACCAGTAGCAGCAGCACTTGTAGCAGTAGTGGGTTGCGTTATAGAAGACCTTGAGAAAGCAATGTCATTGGACGGTGTCATGGTGTTGCTGTTGTTCACTGGCTTGGAAGTAGTAGTACTCGAGCTACTACCAAGATCGGCCGCTGTTGCTGGTCGTCCTGTTGAGCTGGTGGCAAACATGAAAGGCTGGTCTGCTTCCAACATGGATGCAATGGGCATTCTCCAATTCCAAAGTGGAATGTGTATACAATGAGTGAAGAAGTAGTTGTGTGAGAGCACGAGTATCCCGCAACGTTGGTGGGGAAAGAAAAAAGGAAGGAGAAAAAAAAAAGCTGTCGGGCAACGAGCGATACACGGTCATCACTTCTCACACTCAGCTTAGGGCGGGCTCTACATTATTACCTGCAACAGCAGCAAAGCTGCAGCAGCAGCACTTGGGCAACCGTGACTTGGATATTGGGCGAAGGAGGGGTGGGGGAGGAGGAGGAGGAGGAGGTAAATCCATTTTGGCTGGAGTATAATAAAACCGCGCATTTATTATATAGAAAATCATGATGCGACCAGTATGTTGCTCTTTTTGTCTCGCTTCATTTGACTCTTGAGATTCTCTTCAATGGTTTGAATACTCTCTAAATCTTTCTGTAATGTGTTTGATACATGTCGCATGCCTTCTTGCTCGTGACTCAATAACTATACATCATAAAAAGTCAATCTCCTTGACAGCCCACACATCACCATCATCATCATCATCTCATTATTTACCTCTGCAATGCGTGCCATGTCCTCCTTACTAGTGGCACGCCATGCTTCATAACCATCTTGATTCCCGCTTTGTCGCTTTCTCTTGATGGCTTGTAACGTGGCCCATGATTCTCGAAGTCGGTTGTTGAGTTGCTCTGGTGTAAGCGCTTGCTCGGTCATTTGTTTCAACACCTCCATTAGCCTATGTTCATCATCATGCAGTGGGAAGCCCTTGTATCGAAGCACTTGGACGTATTTCAACATCTAAGATAGCATCATCGGTTAGTGCCAGCCCATTCCCATCGTATAAAGACTTTTTGCCATTACCCGTATTAATCGTTGTGTGAGATCGGTATGTCGTCGTCGTTGCTCATCAAGCTTTACGAGTGATCCAAGCATGTACTTTTGTTGAACAGTCTCTAGCCGCTCTCCAATTTCCTAATCGATATGTGTTATGATTGATTCCCCTTCCAAGATCATGCGCCATTCTTACCATCATTGTCTTTTTGTGTGCATCAAGTTGGATATCTTGCATCTCCATTCGCTTCAATACATCTCCAAAACCTGTCGCTAAAACAGGAACCATACTATAGGCTCACATTAATACACGTACATGGTGTCTTGATGGATGATACCTACGTTGTGGGATCGGGGTTGTTTTGCATAGCTTCATTCCATAAATGCTCGTCTTGATCAGCAGGTCGTGTGTATCGATGTCGTTCATTTGCTGGTACAACATTATAAAAGTAATGCTGGATGGATAGATAGATAGGGGTAAGCTTCGATGATGTTATGCCCGTTTATCAATGATGTTGCTTACTCGGAATTGACACAAGTGAGAGGAGGGATCCCAATGAGCACGAATCAATGCTAATTGTTGCCACACGTTTTGTTGTTGCTGTTGTTGTTGTTGTTGACCCTGTTGCTGTTGCTGTAGTTGCTGTTGTGGTTGCTGGCCTGTCATTGGTGAATAGGTAAGCATCCTGTCTCTTTTTATATTGCAATCATAGTACCTAGGAAAGATGTGGTGCCAAATCCAGTGGCTGCTTGAGGTTTTTGTTGACCTAATCATACGCAAGATGAGTATGATAAAATAGCGATCATGATCATGATAGTAGTAACGAACCGAATATGCTTGTCGTATTAGCTGATCCAAGGTTGAAACCCGTGGTAGTAGAAGTAGTGGTATTTTGAGCACCAAATCCAGTCGATCCCAATCCAAATCCAGTGTTGCTTGTTGGTGCACCAAATCCTGTATTTTGCTTTTGTCCAAAGGTTGTGCTAGGATTGGTACCTCCAAAGCCAAATGATGATGATCCTATACCCAAACATCCATGAATTCATTGCATTGTCTATAGGTAAACGGTATAAAAGTACCTGCTGCCGGTGCTGATGATGTTGTTACTGTAGATGTATTGGTATTTCCAAATCCAAAGCTGCTTCCTGGTGCAGCAGCAGCAGCAGCAGCAGTGCCTCCAAAGAGTGTGCCTGCTGCGTTGGTTGTGTTGTTTGTTGTGCCAAATGGTGTTGTTGAAGTTGTCGCATTGCCTGTATTCGCACCAAACAATGTTCCTGCTGATGTGTTGTTGGTGGTTCCTGCTCCAAAGAGAGTGCCGGCTGCAGTGTTTGTGGTTGCTGGTGTCGTACCGAATCCAGTGGTCGCTGTTGCCAAACAGATGGGGCGTTCAGCTTGATCGTCTTTCAATCCAACAAATTTAGCTTTACCTTGACCTGCATTGGCTCCAAACCCTGTGGATGGTTGACTAGAACTGGACCCAAATGTGAATGCCATGGAATATAATAGAGAGTCTTCAACGCGTCGTCGTTCTTTCACAAGCAAGAGGTCCTACAAAGCGAAAATGTTCAACAGCCGTCACGGGTGTCTCCACTGCCAGCAGACGACATGTGCACTGTGTAACATCTTCCATCCCGCCCACCATGCTATGCAACATTGTACTCGTCCAATACCATAGTCATCCATAGCCCAAAATGTCTTGTAGATACCATAATAAATAAGTTTATTGATCCATTATTACGCCTCTGGTGCAACGCACACCCTCATGTATTTGAAAAAGCTCATTCGCCATAACATTGTCAAAGATATTCAATGATGCTGAAGATTACATCCACGCTGATAGTAAAGGCTTCCATTAAATTACTGCATCGAGTACGTTCTCATAGCAAAGGCCAAGTTTTGTCGATGATGAATAATTAGTGAGCATGGAGTGATCACCAAAATGACAATGAGGACGCTTCAAATCTTCTTTTACGATTAATGAGTGGAAGGATCTTTGTAGCTTATTCATGAAAGGGATCAATCCTTCCTTCCAAGGTAGACATACAAGTTGCAATGAACCCTACCACATCAAATTGAGATTCCTTTATATACCATACACCTTCCTTTCTTTTGTTCTTTGGGTATACCATATCAAGTTGCATTAACCTTGTATGAGTGGGATGTTTGAGACAATGTCCAAAGCCTTTCTTAGAAGATTAGTTATACGACACCTTTAAACCACAGCCTTTTATGGAAAGCTCACAATGATGATAGATCCCCATTGCCACCTTCCCTGGTGACGATCCATACGTCCTCTTTTATTTCTTCGTGCTACCATCTATAGACACATGAGCCTCTTTTACTTGTACACTATCAAGCAAGGATAGTTAAAATGGCTAAAGTTCCTATACTTAAAAGCATAGTATACAACGCGAGTGCTTGATCCAAATGCGGGTTGTTGGTGGAACGCACAATGATACATCTGGTCGGTGCTCAATGCTTCTGGACCCTATTCACGTGATCCAATTTTGCACTCTTCCTTCCTCGTTCCGCGGTACACCATCACCTCCACAAAAACTCAACTTTTCACAATATGCTTGTTGCGTTGAGCTATATGTCAACGTGATGAAACGCGATTCTTTATTGTTAAAACACGAGACAACGCGACATTTATTCAATGATAAGAGCGAGTACGTGTTGTGTTCCATAAAGTTCGAAAAAGAGGCTAAGGTGGTGTCATCAACCAAAAAGTGCTACCCTCGGAAGCGTGTATATAGCACTATCCGCAAGGGGGAGGTATAGAGAGGATCATTGACGTAAGGTATGTGTTTCTCCACCACTGTCGGAAGTTCAAGTAGCGTTCCTTAGCTTGTGATCATGCGCTTTCATGTGGAGCACTTTCTCGGAAAAAGCCGCTGATTATAAAAATATAAGCATGCCCGAAACGCGTTGATCTGGTTGAATCCATCATCTTTTCCTCCTCTTTTTCATAATGTCTGTTTCCAAGGTTCACGCTCGCCAGATCTTTGATTCTCGTGGCAACCCCACTGTTGAAGTTGAAGTCACCACTGCCAAGGGTGTCTTCCGTGCCGCCGTTCCTTCTGGTGCCTCCACTGGTGTTCACGAAGCACTTGAATTGCGTGACCAAATCAAGGCCGATTACGTTGGCAAGGGTAATGAAAAGGCATTTATTGGTGTATACATGACATGTATGATTAAAACATTGGGCATTTGTGTAGGTGTTTTCAAGGCTGTTGAAAATGTCAACAAGATTATTGGTCCCGCTTTGATTGATTCCAAGCTCAACGTGATTGAACAAAAGGCCATTGACAACTTTTTGCTTGAGTTGGATGGTACTCCCAACAAGAGCAAGCTTGGTGCCAATGCCATCTTGGGTGTTTCTTTGGCTATTGCCAAGGCTGGTGCTGGTGAGAAGGGTGTGCCTTTGTATGTGCACTTTGCCGATTTGGCTGGTTCCAAGAAGCCTTTTGTTCTCCCTGTCCCTGCTTTCAATGTCATCAACGGTGGTTCCCATGCTGGTAACAAGCTTGCCATGCAAGAATTTATGATCATGCCTACTGGTGCCAAGTCCTTCACTGAAGCCATGAAGATTGGCAGCGAAGTGTACCATGCTTTGAAGGGTGTCATCAAGGCCAAGTATGGTCAAGATGCTACCAATGTGGGTGATGAAGGTGGTTTTGCCCCCAACATCCAAGATAACAAGGAAGGTCTTGAGCTTTTGGTTACTGCTATTGAAAAGGCTGGTTACACTGGCAAGGTCAAGATTGCCATGGATTGTGCTGCCTCTGAATTCTACAAGGATGGCAAGTACGATCTTGACTTTAAGAACCCCAACTCCAACGCTGCCGACTACTTGACTGGTGAGCAGCTTTCAGAATTGTACAAGTCTTTTGCCGACAAGTACCCGAGTAAGTATCGGAAGGGGATCGGAGGAGATCGGAAAGATGGTTTGTTAACTGAGGGGGAAATTTTCTAGTCGTGTCTATTGAGGATGCCTTTGACCAAGATGACTGGGACAACTGGAGCCACCTCCTTGGTACCTCCGATTTCCAACTTGTTGGTGATGATTTGACCGTCACCAACCCTAAGCGTATTGCTACTGCTATTGAAAAGAAGGCCTGCAATGCTCTCTTGCTTAAGGTCAACCAAATTGGCTCCGTCACTGAAAGTATTCAAGCCGCTTTGGACTCTCAAAATGCTGGTTGGGGTGTGATGGTGTCTCACCGTTCTGGTGAAACCGAAGATACCACCATTGCCGATTTGGTTGTTGGTTTGCGTACTGGTCAAATCAAGACTGGTGCTCCTTGCCGTTCCGAACGCCTCGCAAAGTTGAACCAACTTTTGCGTATCGAAGAAGAATTGGGTGCCAATGCCATCTATGCTGGTGAAAACTTCCGCAAGGCCCATGAATTGTAAATAGTAGTAGCCCATCACACGTGATCATTTTACCCCCCCCAACCCAACACACCTCTTACACCAATAAAAAAAAGCAGCATCGTCACTACACTTTTATTTGCAACCATGATTGTCGAAACATGCTAAATCCTAACGCCATTGAGTTCAAACCACGTCCAGCTACTACGACGACTACGACTACTACGGAGCAACAACAACAACAACAACAACCAAAAGCCGATTCGAGCCATTCTTCACGTCGTTCAAGTAAAGCAACCACGCATGGAAAGCGTCCCACCCAAGTGACCAACGCCGGTCATGCAGGCAGCAGCAATGCTAAACAAAAGAAAAAGAAGCAGCCTCAAGAGCATGGCAAACAACAGCAGCAGCCTTCTCGTCGCAAAGGACGTGCTGAATCTTTACCGGTATCCAAGGATACCCCCCAACAACATGCCTTTTTTGATCAACCAGCAAAATTCATCACCCTAGAAGAAACCATTGATCCAATATGCCAGTTATCGATCAAAGATCGAAGCGAGAAAAAGATCGTGCATGGATACGAACGATACATTGAATGGGTAATGCAAGTTTATCTATTGCTGGTGGTTGCTAAGGAAACCCCTTTTCTTATCATGTAGATTGGACAATCCTTGAAGGCCTTTGATACAGTAACCGTTGTCGGAATGGATAATGCCATTGCTGATGTTGTATCACTCGTCAACATTATGCAACAACGAGGGATCGGAGAGCACGAAGGTAAATATCAAAACACAAAAGCAAGTAGTAGTAGACTAAAGCATGTTCTTCTTTAGAGGTGGAAACGTTTACTTTGCAACCTACCCCTAAACGCTATACAAGTGGTATCCAAGTCAAGCTACATAGTATATAGTTTCCTCCATTACTCAATAAAGCGTGTTTGTATTCCAGTGACATGGCTCATCTCGGTTGAAATTCATATACGGTGATTGTTGGATGTGATCAGGTTATTCACGATGGAATGCATCCACCATTACAGCCATATGTTTTTGTGAATGAGGCCGTTTATTGCATATCGATGTATCGAGGCACAGTGAGCAATTCATTGTTTTGCATCATGCTGGTCTTTAGCTGAGGGATCGTTGTAGAGGGTGCTTCATCTGGTAAACGTGAATACCGTTTAATAAACCTATTGATATAGCTGTTCCTTTCATCACGCCCTCCATTAAGCTAACATTCATACAGTGTTCCACTTTTATCAACATCACTGCTACTGTAGCAGGTTGCTGATAAACAAGCCATCTTTTTCTTTCGACAAGGAATTCGCCCACATACTACTCTTTGCTGTGGTCGTTATAGCAATAACCATAAAGTAGCATTTCCTCAACAACACTTTCAGTTGCTATGGCAACATAGAATTAGCAAATCAAGCGGGTTTTTATTGTTCCCATTTTGAGTTGGCGGTAATTGTATAGCAATGACAGGTCGGCATGAAAGACCCGCGAGTAATTTGGTAAGGCCTCGATCCCCAATCTCGTTGGACTTCCATCTTTATTCAAATCGATATAATGTAAGGATCGAGTTAAGGGAATGGAAGGATGGATGAATCAAGGGATGGATGGATGGATGGATGGATGGATGAATCAATGGATGCAATGGGATATGGATTGGAATTGACATCTTTGTAATAGCCATAATGAAGTACCTCGCCGCTTATCTTCTTCTTACTGCTGGTGGTAAGGCCAACCCTGCTGCTGAGGATATCAAGTCCCTTTTGAGCTCTGTTGGTGTTGAAGCTGAAGACGAGCGCATTTCCGCCTTGATTGCTGCTCTCAAGGACAAGGATGTCAACGAGGTAATGACGCCATGGTGTTTGACATGTCGTGTTCTTTTTTACTTATGCATTGATAGGTTCTCGCTGAAGGCAAGGAGAAGCTTGCTTCCGTTCCTACTGGTGGTGCCGTTGCTGCTGGTGGTGCCGCTGCTGGTGGTGCTGCTGAGGAGGCCAAGGAAGAAGCCAAGGAAGAAGAGAAGGAAGAATCTGATGAGGATATGGGCTTCGGTCTCTTTGACTAAACAAGCAAATACATGCATATTGCCAATAAATCCATCACTTCATAATAATAGCTTCCATAATTTATTTGGATATCTTCTCTATGAGGGATTGAACTAGAGGCCACACTTGCTTACGTGACATTTTCACATTGCCCTGATGATAAAATGTAATATGGGCGGTATCCTTGGGTTGGAATGGACGATGCGTTAAATTGATGGATGAATCATGTTCCAATAACTCCTTGACAACGAGCAATTTATCATTGTGAACAAAAAGAGCTAGTTCACGTTCATAGCAACCATCATGATCATAGCCAGTCAAGACAATCTCAAAGTCCAAATGACGTTCCTGGATGTAGGCTTGTGTATCTTGTATCACATTGTCCATGCCATCACGTTCAACCCATGCTTTAAGGTACCAAGGCATTGAACTTGTTCCCACACGAAAGCCATCGACCACCCATTCCTTGTAATCTTTGCGTAGGAGATCGCGGGTGCACAAGTGGGTTACGCGAGACTTGACACGCTCAATCTCTTCATGTCGTTTCTTGATATCAGCGTCATCCATTTGTCCCCCCGTGATTTTGCGAAAAGCATCCACATCGGTGTCTGTCGTCTTGCCCAATTCCCATTGAAGACCAATAGTATCCACCAAAATAGGACCCAATGCAAGGTTGGCAAGTGGCGTATCAGGTACAAAGTAATCTGGAAAATGTTCAATGACAAGGGAGGTGCAGGAACCCACCATGCGAACATCACGAGGTACTGCATTCGTGTAGAAACCTTCATCGACATGATGATCAAGTACGGCCACCACCTTGTTATTCCATGCTTCGGCGAAAGGAGGCGTGAGGCGGTTGTGATCCACGAGTACTACGGATGATGTTTCTTGTGTCTCAAGAGTGCTGACGTCGATTTGGTCCATGTAAACAAGCTTTTTACATTCGATACCTGCTGAACTTAGCACGTAATCGATCTCAGGCCGTAGTTCAATGTCTGCCAACGGCACCTTAACAAGAGGGACGTATAATGTTGTTGCGTCCACCTGACTACTGCAGTAGGCAAAAGATAACGCTGAAACAACCGAGTCAAGGTCTAAAAAGTTCGTGTATGTGAATAATGGTATCTACTTTTATGGCTATGTGACCTTTACCTGCCGAGTCGTTTCCTGTTACGATGGTAATCTTTTGTGGTTCATTGGTTCTTAGGCGAGCATGGACGCCATCGAGGAAGGTGTTGATCGTCATGGCAACCGGGATACGTGACGATACGAGGGTGTGTGACCGTCGGCGTGAGGGAGAGACATATCGACTGAGTTGCAGGCGTGAAAAAACAATTGGAAGGAGTTGTTGTAGGTTGTTCCTTGCTCCAGCTGATAATAACAACATGTTGTGTCGTGCACAAGCAGGTATGATAAATACACTTGAATGGCGGCTTTGTAGTAATGCGTATTCACTTTTATGGCACTCGATAAGCTTGGCGTACTTCGACTCAAGTCGTTTCGAAATGCAATTTCCACAGCTCTGCAGCCCAATTCGCAAAGAAGCATCCAAAGCAGATCAAGAAGGAAAACCTTGCCAAGCGTGCTGCCAAAGCTGCCGAATTTGAACGCTCCAAACCATCACCCATTGTATCGCAACACACCTCCTTTTTCGAAACGCTCCACACACCTGCTAGCGCCTACGCCTCGTCTCAAGATACACAACACTTTTTAACCAAGGCCGACCGTGATTTTTTGTTTGAGCAAACACCTCGAGACACAGTGGAAGCCAGCAATTTGGGAGCTGTGGAAGGCGTTGATGAAGCATTGAAGCATGAACAAGGCAAAGTGGATATCATGAAAAAGTTGGTGGGTCTCCAGAATGGCAATGCAAAGGCTGTTCAGCTATGGAACATCCAACGAACAATCGATTGGTTCCAACAGAAACCAGGTGATACTGGCAGCCCTGAAGTACAAGGTAAATTCCACAGTTTGTGTGTATACGCTTTATGCTAATAATAGGAGGTGATCAATCATAGCTGGTATCTTGACAGTGCGCATACACAACTTGTATTCCCATCTCCAACAACATCGCAAGGATAAGCACAACTATAAGCAACTTCGATCGATGGTGCACAAGCGTGCAAAGATCTTAAAATATCTCAAGAGCAAGGATTTGGAACGATACAACACCTGCTTAAGCCAGCTTGGTTTGCAACCTAGAGCAGTAGAAGGCGAGATTACTCTGTAAATTAGTAGCAACACATAAAAGTAGTCAGCAACATTAGATTTTTTTGGTTCAACTTTATCATGTCAAGTTGTGATGCGTAGAATATGGATGCAATGAGTTGCTCAAGTGCGTTGTTAGAGATAGCGTCATGGGGTAGCGAACCATCTATTGAAAAAGTGTGTATGATATTTAATTTAGGGTGAAGCCTACTTTTTCATGACATCTTTGCTTTCACCTTTTGTTGCTCATCCAAAACTTAGATATTGGGTCAAGGTTTGATCATGTACACATATAAGATGGATACGCAAAGATGTAGAATCGAACGTTGGAAAGCCATCATCCTTTTATATCATGAAAGCTTTGCGTTGCCAGGCAACTGCAGTTGACTAGCAATGGTACAACCCAAATTTCCCTCCCAGCCTGGGATTTCAACATCTTCATACTCCCCCCATTAGTCGGCGTACCCATCCAACACCATCTTCGCATACTACGTGCAATGTACAACAACATTAATCGATGTTCTCCACTCAACAGGAAGGGTTGAATATGTCAAAGGAGGATACGTTCTTTTATGGATGACATCATGTTGACATTTGGGTGGTGGTACTATGGTCATGCGACTTGGATTCCAATTGCACGTCACTTCAGCGCCATTTTCATGCAACCAGGTTATTCCTCGGCCTGTTTCATTTCATTAGCGAAAAACCGGAGGAGAAAAAAAAAGCTATGCCACACACCACACACTGACCTCATTCCCACACCTGTCCTCTTCATCATGGCTGAAGTGCATCCAAGCTGGTCATCACCATCTCCATCGTCGTTGGGTTCACCCACAGCGCCTGATGAACTTATCAATTCCTTGCGGGACCATTCGCTATTTCAACGCTCCAACAATGCCATGTTTCTTGAGGATATTGCACGCAACATGCATATTCGAACGTATGGGCCACGGGATGTGATTATCGTCGAGGGTGAACAAGCCAAGGCTATGTTTCTATTACTACGAGGATCCGTGGATGTATGTTCAGCCGACTTTGAACGACTCTATGCGACATTGGACCAGGGCACGTGCTTTGGTGAGATTGGCATCTTGTATTCGATTCCACGTACAGCGACAGTGGTGGCAAAGAGCAAGTGTACAGTGGCCGTGCTTACAGCTGAAAAGGTGGCATCCATTCTTCCTGATTATCCCGAAGTCGAGCAGATCTTACGCAATGAAGCCCAGGAACGTTTGGCTATGCTCAACAAGTGTCCTAATGAACCAACAACAAGACGATCCAGTATGATTGCTTCCTTTGATGCCACTAGTGCACGCAATCATTTGCAAAAAGTAAGTCTTTTACTATATACTAGGGAAAAATGGTTCTATTAACATGATGGTGGTATTAGGTAGCTCTTTTCAAGGAGTGTCCAGAAGAATTCTTACATCAAATCTCACTAAAATTGGAGCCCAAGAGCTATCCACCCAATGCTCGTATTATTCGCAAAGATGATATTGGAGATGAAATGTTTTTCATTATCGATGGTATGCATATTTGGCAAGCTCTGTGACATGTTGATCCATGCTAAAAGAGGCCACACAATAGGAACGGTGCAGATTTTATCGAGCAATAATGATGTGGTTGCACGTTTGGGATCGGGTGATTACTTTGGGGAGATATCCATTCTACTTGATGTACCGCGTACAGCCGATGTACGATCCGTGACACACGTTGACATGTACGTCTTGAGCAAGGCCGATTTTATTCAAGTTTGTGCAAGTTATCCACAACTCGACAGGCGATTCAAGGACTTGGCTAATCAAACGCATCGTAACATACAGCAACAGGTAAGTGAATAGGCAACTAGGCAATGAAGACAACAACATCCTTAAAGTTACTTGTGTACTCTAGCTGGAAGAGATAACCCATGGCATGGCATCCATTGACAAAGCGGCTGTATGCAGCACCACCTGTGATCAAGATCCTACATTGCCTGCAAGGGATGATATCATGAAGCTTAGGGAAACGGGTGGTAGACGACGTAGACCAAGTATTGCAGTATGGGCTGATCCATCCTTGTTGGCATTATCACAGCAAAAGCAGACTCAACTATCACCACCTGAATCACCATCACCACCACAACAACGTAAACTATCGTCATCATCACCATTCATTTCTTCTTCAATTCCACCATCCGCTTTGCCGAGCAAAAGTCGTTTAGCATCCATGCTATTGGAGGAAAGGAATCTCGCATTACGATTGATGCATCATTTGGAGTTTGGCAGCGTATTACAATTGGCAGCAACATCACATGCGTTGCGATCACAATTATTCTCGCCTGCATTATTGACACGCGTTGACTTGGAATCCGTACACAAGCGTGTGACCGATGATGTCTTGACAGCTCTTAGTGGCACCATTGGCCCTCATGTACAATCACTCTCGCTCGCCCATTGCTTTCATATCACTGATACAGGGCTGATCACGCTACTTGAACAATGTACACAGCTTGAAGAGCTCAATCTCAATTCTTGTTGGCTGATTACGGATACAAGCTTACTTGCACTACCAGCATCGGTGAAACGACTCGACTTGTCCAACTGTCGCAAGATTACCGATAGAGGATTATATCATGTTGTGGGTGGATTGACACATTTGACATTGTCATATTGCAAAAACGTGACCAACCGATCCATGGCCTTGATGGGTGAAAAAAGTAATGCGAGGCTCGAATATCTCAATTTGCAACGGTGCACAACCATATCTGATGCTGGATTTGAGACATGGCAACAGCAACAAATGGCTGCTTTGCGTTCGATTGATTTGAGTGATTGCAGCTTTTTAACTGATAAGGCGATCCGTCGACTTGTGCATGCAGCACCGAGGCTTGAAAATGTGTGTCTCAGCTTTTGTTGTGCCCTGAGTGAATCCGCAATTGAAGCCATTGCATCATTACCAAATCTTTCAAAGCTTGATCTTAGTTTTTGTGGTGCAGCTGTATCCGATGCCTCCATATCTATCCTTTTAGCTGCTCGTTCCAATACGCTTCAAGTACTCAACCTTCGAGGATGCATTCGTCTCTCAGCTATGGGATTGATGTCAGGTCTTGAGCATGCTCGTGTCTTGAGGCATCTTAATGTTAGTCAATGCCCTGGTATCAGCAAGCAAGCCCATAGTATGCTTCTCACCCATGGTCTTTTCACTCTTGTTTGATCCTTCATTTTTGTACATATTTCGCAATAAAAGAAAGCATGTTCAGGTTTAGATATTTACATAGAGTGATCGAAATGGGATGGCTACTATTCTACATTATCATTATGGGGGGCAGTTGTATGATCATTTGGCATGTGGGAAAGGACGAATCGTCTCAGCTACTCAATGAGTGAGTGGCTGACATGTAACAACAGGCGGCCGAAATTTTGCTATTTTGTGACGCGACTACCACCTTTTTTTTTCTCGCTCTTTTACACCTGATCCGTCATTCGACTGACAGCAGCAACAGCAGCATCCAATGTCCCGCTTCTTCCGTTCAGCATCAGATAGCGAATCCGATTCCGAGACTTCTGACAATGAGTCCTTCATTTCCGATGAGGAATTGTCGTCTTCTGAGGAGGAGTCCGAGGAGGAAGTCGAACAAGAGCAACAACCAAAGAAATCGCGATTCTTGAAGGGCGCCGGCTCAGACTCAGATGAGGACTCTGACGAGGAATTCGGTCGCAAACGCCAAGTCAAATCGGCAAAGGACAAGCAGCTCGATGAAATGCAGAACTCTATCAAAGCCATTGAAAATGGTCAAAAGAACAACGATTGGGGTCTTATTTCCAATGGTACATATACATATCAGCCACACGGACGCTTGCACACGTAGACTAAAACTATAGATAGAATTCGACAAGCTTACGATGCGTGTCAACAAAATGACCACTGGTTTTGATGCTATTCCACTTCCCAAGGTGTATATCAAGGTCATCGCCGATATGGAAGAGGCATTGGCCAGCGCTGGTCAAGACAAGAAGCCCAACAAAAAGAAGGCCAGTGGTGCCGCTGCCAAGGGTTTGAACGCCATGAAGGCAAAGATCAAAAAGATTTCAAAGCAATATGAAAAGCAACTTGCCGAATACAAAAAGGTAAAAAGACACCTCTTTTTGTTATGGAAACATGTATCATTGACAATGGGATATCTAGGATCCTGAGGCATTCTTGGAGGAGAAGGAAGAGAAGCAAGCCGTCAGCGCACAAAACGAGAAGAATGAAAAGAAGAAGCTTGTTGCTGCTACTCCCAATCAAGTCGCAGAGGAGGAATTGGATGGTTTCACATCTGTTGGCAAGGGCGGCAAGGTTACCAAGGCAGCAGTTGCCATGTCATCTGGTACCATCTTTGCCAAGTTGAGTGAAGTCCTTGATAGCCGAGGCAAGCGTGTAAGTAAATCTTGTGATGAGCGGGATTGATTCATATGCAATGGTTGGTTGACATGTTACGTTTGGATATCATGTAGAACACAGATCACAAGGAACAAATTGCTATTTTGGAACAGCTTTTGGAGGCTGCCAAGTCGCCTTTCCAAGAGATCATGATCTTGTTGGCTTTGATTCCCTCGCGTTTCGATATCAACTTTAGCATGGTTGAGCATATGCAAGTGGATATTTGGAAGAAGGTTGAAAAGGAAATCAACCAAGTATTGGAGATCCTCGAGGCCCACCCTGAATATGTCATTCGCGAAGATGCTGAGGAACTTGACTATGGAGACAATGATGTTATCCCCAAGGAAGGCGAGATCGTTCACATTCGTGGTTCCATTGCCAGCTTGGTCGAACGTTTGGATGATGAATTTACAAAGTCGCTTCAAAGCATTGATCCTCACACAACCGATTACATTGACCGTTTGCGCGATGAGCCTGGTCTCTATGCTGTCTTGGTGAGAACTCAAGCCTATGCTGAGAAGAACAACATGGAGGCTATTTTGCCCCGTACCATCATTCGTCGTTTGGATCACTTGTACTTTAAGGTAAAACAAAGGGAAATGGGTAATGGTTTATTGAGTTGGATTACTTATATCATCGTAACATATATATAGCCTGGCCAAGTCATTCAATCCATTGAAAAGGCTGCCAAGTCATTGTTGCCTGATTACGTAAAGTCGGCCATTGTGGATGCACAGGAACCCGAACAGCTTATCCATCAATTGTGCACATACCTCTACAACCACGACAAGGCAGTGTTGCGTACGCGTGCTATGCTTTGCCACATTTATCACTATGCTTTGCACAAGCATTTCCACACTGCTCGTGACATGTTGCTTATGTCCCATTTGCAAGAATCCATTCATGCCGCTGATGTTTCTACTCAAATCTTGTACAACCGTACTGTGGTCCAAGTTGGCTTGTGTGCTTTCCGTGAAGGATTGATCAAGGAAGCTCATTCGTGCTTGCAAGAAATCCAAGGCACGGGTCGTGCAAAGGAACTTTTGGCACAAGGTTTCCAAGCTCAACGTTATGGTCAACAACAAGCAACGCCTGAAATTGAACAATTGGAGCGTCAACGACAACTTCCCTTCCACATGCACATCAACTTGGAATTACTCGAGTGTGTTTTCCTTACTTGCTCTATGCTTCTTGAAATTCCTGCACAAGCACAGGCTGGTCCCAACAATAAGCGTGCCATTTCTCGTCCCTTCCGTCGTTTGCTGGATTACAATGAACGTCAAGCATTCTCTGGTCCCCCCGAGAACACACGTGATCATATCATGAGTGCCGCCAAGGCTCTTGCATCAGGTGAATGGGAACGTGCTCGTGATTATATTCTTGCCATCAAGATTTGGGCATTGATGCCCGATGCTGAAGCCATCAAGACCATGCTCAAGACTAAAATCCAAGAAGAAGGCTTGCGGACATACCTCTTTACTTATGCTTCTTACTACAAGACCATCAGCCTTCGACAACTTGCTGCCATGTTTGATTTGCCTGTTGTCCGTGTCTCCGCTATTGTTTCCAAGATGATCTGGAATGAGGAACTCACCGCTTCCCTTGATCAAGTCTCCCAATCCCTTATCCTTCATTGGGTTGAACCTTCCCGTCTCCAGGTCCTTTCTCTGCAATTTGCTGATAAGGCTGCCAATCTTGTTGATCAGAATGAACGTCTCCTCACTACAGGTCGTGATAGGCAATAAGTAAAGTAAAAAAAAAGCCCACGTTTTGTCCCACCTTCTACTTTCACTCTTTATCTCTCTCTTTCTCTCTCTTTCTTCATATCGCTTGCATTTAGATAAAATTGTGTGTTTAATCATTGTTTGTGTCCAAATGAAAGTAACTAGGTATCCAATATGTAAATGTTGATTCATCCTGCTTATCAATCCAACATAATCCATCTTGTAACAAGTGCTCCTATTCCAAATATATAAGAACATGTTTGAGTTGGTATATAAAATACACTTACCAAAGCATTACTTATTCTTGTATCATTCCATCCCAACTCTGATTGTATCATGGGTGCACTCACGTAGCATGTTTTCTAGAAAAGAATGAGTCGCAAGTAGCGGCAACGGAGAGTCGACGTACCTGTGCAAGCAATAACAGAGCCGATTGATCTTTGTCCAATTCCTTGGGTACCGACCGGACCATTTTATGCGAACCAATGTGTAATACTTCGAAACCACCACTCAAGGGTTTTAGTGTGCGAATGGCTCGTACAATGTCATCCCTATAATAGCGATAGTGAGTTACAGTAGTCGAATCCATACCATGTAACTTACTCTGAAATTTCCTGCTGCTTCTTGCCTTTACTATTCGTTCGAATACGTTCCACGCGTTGTCGCAAGTCATTCATGTCCGTTAGACCCCCATCACGTGTACGCGTTGCTATGCAGCATTCAATGATTTGGATTCCCAGCTCGTAATAAAAGTCGCCCACGCCCAACAAATCGGCCCAGAAACCCTTGTTGGCTATGGATACGTAGGTACATTAGCATGGATGAAGTCGTCGTCTACTTCTATTTTCCTTACATGCCAAGGGATCGACACCAATATTATTGCACATGCGCTGAAAATGAGCACGAAACTTTGGGTCCTTGCGGATATCCTTTTTGTGCTTTCGAGCAAACTCTTCCAGGTTGGTCTTGAATACTTCCATTTGCTTCTCTAGCTGATGAAGGATGGTTGGTTGTTGTACAAATTTGATCTCTGTATACTTAGCTTACCTGTTCAAGCTCCTTGGCAGCAATACCGTCGCCAACCTGCTGGTAATCACGCTACACACATGCTGACCTTCATTAGCCATCGGGACCCATGCACACGTGTTGTTCCTACCTCAAGCTTGTTACGGTTCATGGCGAACCCCATGCCAACTTGTCGACGTCTCATTGCGGGAAAAGATAAAGGAATATGCGGGCGGCGGCTTTAGAGAGGAACCTGCCAACTTCAATTTCAAAGAGAGATGACCGATAGATCACATGACCCAGCTCCTTCCACACTAGAAGCCTTCTTTCAATAATAAATCGCTATCACCCAATACAACTAGTGTTTAAAGACAATCGTTTTTTTCCCCATTCATGGGCTCCCTGCACTACCAGCATGATGGGAGAAGATAGTAAGGTTAGCAACCACAGCTTGCAACAAACATGTAATTAGTTCTATCCGAGGTTTGTTGGGGGAAGAGTGTGGGAAGAGGATATGGTACATGAAATGAGCCCAGAAGCCTTTACAAGTTGTAAACAAGCCTACTTTGAAATAAGTGTATAAAAAGCAAGGCAACTTCGTATGAGGATGAATAACCAAGTCCATCAACCGCCTTTTTCTCTTTTCATCCCAATACAAAGAATCCATCATAATCACTCCTATGTCTCCATCTCAACCACATTCGAAAAAGGTATGTTAATCAGAATCATGATATTGGTGGCTGACACTCAAAATCTTATATTGGACACAAAAAAGTCTGGAGGAGGTAGCAAAAAGTCGACCACGACAAAGGCCGATGCCAGTCGTATCCAGTCTCATGCTGATCGTACTCAAACAAATCAAGGAATGAAGTCTCGTATGCAGTCTGCAGCTGACAAAAATGAAGGACGAAGCCAGCAGTCGTCAAAAGGAGAGCAAGCTTCCAACACCACCAGTGGTACTGGTCAATCCAATGAATAGTGTCATGTTGATTGTTTTAGCGTAATAGTAGTAGTCTTGAATAAAATATTCGAATGGATTATATGCATACATGTATTATGTTGCTCAGGCAACGGGCAAATGCAACACGTACTCAACGGTGTCCATGGCAACGACATGCATGTTGTCACTAGGCTACCAAGAATAAATACTCTTCATAACATGAAACGTTTACACGTTCAAGGATCATGATTTTTTATTGATATCAAACGAGTGATCTAACATCGGGTTGTCGGTTTGGGGGCGGGGGTGAACATCGTTGCTGCAAAATTAAGGGTAAGCTATTTCGGCTGTGGAATTCCAAATTCAAGTGACTGAACTTGCACCAAAAGGTGTAATCCATACACGGTTCACTCAACCAAACCCGCCGAAAATGGAGCAACAGATCGTCGAGGTATATAGCCAAGGTTTTGAAGCAAATCCACTACATGCACACCTGATTCATTTGTCACTCAGCTTTTGGAGTTCCTTCACCACCCAAGAACAGAGGTAATGCGCTTGTCGACATACACGCTTGGTGTTCCCGACTATGACTGACACCCAACGATCTATATAGATCCGAGCACTTGCTGTACAGCAATTGACGGCATTGACCCCCAAGACGGCTCCTACCTTTGCCTTTCTTGTCAGCAAGCGTGATACATTGGTCAACGACTTGAAGTCCCTATGTCACGAAGATACAGTATGCATTGACCATGTTTTATCTTTCTTTTTGCTGATTAATCACGTGGCAGGTTGTTGCTCATGAAGCTATCAAGAGCTTGATCAATCTTTCAGCCGATCCACGTATCCAAGAATTGCTCGACGACAAGTTCTTCATTCACCATCTTTGTTTATTGATCTTGGTAGGATGGTCATCATTCTGTTTCATAGGTGTCATGCATACCCTAACTCGGTATTCTAGATTCCCGATTCGGTATTGGCCGATGCTGCTTGTATGTTGTTATCCAACATGACAAAGTACGAGCCTACTTGTGTCCGTGTCTTGGAAGGTGAAGCCAAGCCATTGCCTGGTCTATCTGAATCGACACGTTTGCTGGATCATTTGGTTGAGGCATTCCATCGTGGTCATAAGCGAGCATACAATCCCAAGGCCGAATTCAACTTTTTGGCTAGTGTCTTTGCTAATGTTTCTGGTGTAAGTACAAATAGGCTCGATATCCATTCATTCATATCCATTGATATACCGGGATCTAGATCCGTGCTGGTCGTGTTTACTTTTTGGAGAATGCAGCTCACGACAAGCTTGCACCATTGACTAAGCTCCAAATCTTTACCGAAGATCCCAATGTCATTCGTCGTGGTGGTGTCGATGCTACCATAAAGTAAGCCCCATCCTTTCTTCGCTCCTTGTCAAAGCATGTGTTAACCATGGATTTATATAGAAATTGCTGCTTCGAGACACGACAACATGAGCGTATTTTGGATGCAGAGCAGCTTAATACTCTTCCTTTCATCTTACTGCCGCTCTGTGGTAACGAAGAATATGATATGGAGGTAAAGGATCATTCAACTCAACATGAAATCACGTGTTCTAAAGTATACAATGTCATTAGGAATTTGAGCAATTCCCTGAAGAGATTCAATTGTTGGATGATGACAAGGTAAAAAAGAAGGATAGTGATGATGGTGGCATGAATGCTAAATGGGGTGAAATGGATATAGAAACGTGAATCTGATTCAGTATTGCGCTTGTTACTTTGTGAATCCTTGTTGTTATTGACACACACTCGGTTTGGTCGAGAGTATTTGCGACAAAAGCAAGTATATCGAGTTATCCAACGATTGCATGCACAAGAAAAGGATGACAAGATCAAGGAGAAATGTGAGGCCATTGTGGATATGCTTATCCGTGAAGAGAAGGGTGCCGAAGTGAGCGAGATTAAAGAGCAAGAAGAAGAGGATGATGAAGATATGGTCATTGAAGAAATCGTTTAACGAATAAAAAAGTGGTCGTCCATGGATATTTGTTGTAAAGATATATAAACGTGTATTATATTGACATCTTAGTGGGCGTCCTTACGGCTGTTAATGTATTCTACGGCCTGTCTAGCAGACTTGATCTCATCGGCTTCCTTGTCGGGAATCTCAACAGTGAATTCTTCCTCAATAGCCATGACAACTTCAACGGTATCCAAGCTATCCAAGCCGAGGTCATTGACAAAGTGGGCATCGAGCGAGATCTGCAATGGGAACAAAGTCAATCTTGCTGTCGCTGTATGTACCTATTTTCTAAATGTCCCCCCCTTACCTTGTTCTGATCAACCTTGTCAAAGCCCTTCAAGACATCCATAATGCGTTCTTCAACGGAGACACCAGCACCAGCAGCATAGAAGCGGGTCATGGTAGGGGCGGCACGCACGGCAGCAACACGCGAGGCAGCGTTGAAGAGAGCAGTCGGGCGGAACATTTTAGTATAAAGAGTTGGGAGGAGGAACTGGAAGAGGTCTATTTTTTTGGCCACCCTGTCATGTGTTGGCGTCAGTCAGTCACAAAAAATACAAGCTTTCGGTGCTTTCGTGTAGCTGTATCTCCACATTACCACACAATAAATGATCACGTGATTCACTGGTATTGAAACCACACATTGCTCATCCATGATGGACACGGTACCACCTCTTCTTGGCAACCTGTGTTTTCCGTTTCTTCTTCTTTCTGTGAGATTGTTTCAAAGCTGAGCTATTTAAAGACATTCACGCTGATAACGTTTCATGCATGGAAACCCGCTGTTGATGGCTTGTTGTTGCTGGAAACTCTTGTATTGTTACCACCACCCATGTTTCTATGCCAACGGTTGCCATCCATAATTATGTATTGAGGTCATCATTCCTAAAGAACGGGACATTATGCGTCTCCAAGGACAACCGTTTCCTAGATACTACAATGCAAGCATGTGATTGCTGGGTTGTTCTTTGTCGACTCCCTTTTTCCAAAGCGAAAATTTGCAAATGGTTCCAGACATGCCCCTGTTGCTATTGCGCATGAAACCCCCGGTTCATGTTTCCCCGACCTAACAAATATAAATGGGTGAGCATTGTAGTATCCATTATTACTATCATCGCTTGTTCTCTCAACGCATCATAATGAAGTTTGCACTCTATACGACTTTGGGCTTGGTTGCTGCAGCTGTGACACAAGCAGCAAATAACTTTTATGGCTTGAATTATGGTGTAAACGAAGGTAGCTGTCCCAATGTGGATAAGCTCAAGCAAGACTTTGGTGCCATTCAAAAATACACCAACCGTGTGAGAACATTTGCATTGCATGTCTGCAACCAAGGTATGAAGCTCGTCATATGATGATATGCATATAGCCTAATGATTTGTTTATTATAAACATTAGCCGATATGGCTGTCGAAGCGACCCAAGCCCTTGGAATGAACCTTTATTTGGGCATGTGGATTGATCGACAGGACACGTTTGATCTTGAAATCCAGGCATTAAAACAGCTTGTAAACAACAGAGATCTTAGCAATGTGGATGCGGTCATTGTGGGATCAGAAGTACTCTACCGTGGTGATGCAGATATCGACACGTATGCCAATTGGATCAAACAAGTCAAGGATGTCGTGGGTCCCAAGGGTATCAAGGTGACTTTTGCCGATGTATACTACAAGATCTTCCCCCAAATTTTCAACGAGGTCGACTTTGTCATGATGTAGGTGACTCCTCCGGATCATGCATTTGTATGCATAGGCTTATATTTTCTTTATCTAGGAATGCATTCCCCTACTGGGAGGGCGTTGATATCAATAATGCAGCCGACACCTTGATGGATCATTATCACCAAGTGAAGCAAACCGTTGGCAACAAGGATGTCAAAATTTCCGAGACCGGATGGCCCTCCGGTGGTGATAACTTTGGAGCATCGGTCCCATCGATCGAAAACGAAAACAAGTAAGATCACTGCTACTGTTGTTGGCGTGTCATCATTGCTTACGATTATTGTTTGTAGGTATATGCAAGATGTTCTCTGCAAGGCCAAGCAAAATAGTATTGATGTTCTCTACTTTTCTGCAAAGGATGAGCCTTATCGCAGTGGTGTGGAGGGAACATTTGGAGTCCTCGACAGCAATAATCAACTAAAGAAAGGGCTTACTCCTCAACCCAACTGCTAGCTATCCGTTGGAGCATCGGGAACAACAACATCATCATCATCATCATCACAACAATCAACAAAATCAACAACGCAAGCGATAGAAACAACTCAATCGACTCAAGAACCAATTCAATCGGCTCACTCAACTCAAAAAGTAACTCCATCAACCCAAGCTGTTCAAGCATCTCAAGCAACACAACAACCAATAGAGGCAATAGCAACACGCACCATATATCGTAGTAGTAGACAAGATTTCTATTCTAGTTTTATAGTGCTTGTTTCCATGAGTGTACCACTTTTATTTCTGTGACAATATGTAATAGATTGCTGGGTTGTATAGTTGAAGCGTGTGGTCATGGATCGAGGCATGAAAATGATAGGCAATCACGTGCTTCATGGCATATGCGGAGTTGGACCAATGATTTGTACAAACGCGGGAAGCCTTTGTGGAGCGTCTTCTTTTAAGCTCAAGGTCGTATACAGCAGGTGAGTGGTTTCACATTGGAAGGATCTATGCATGGTTTACTGACTCCAAGCTGGATGTGGGTTGAATAGACGAGCGATGCAGCCAGTGAAAGTGAAATGAGTCAAAAGTGGTTTACGTTTGCCAACCTGTGTCTCGCTGCGACGCTTCTCCGAGTTGTACTCTTGTTGTATGGTGAATGGCAGGACGCCAATCTGACAGTCAAATACACCGACATTGACTATGTTGTCTTTACCGATGCGGCGCGACATGTTACTCAAGGAGACTCACCTTATGCTCGTGCGACGTATCGATACACACCACTCCTTGCGATATTGCTTACACCCAACATTTTCCTGTTCTATTCATTTGGCAAGTGTCTGTTTGCATTGGCAGACTTGTTAGTGGGATATCTTATTCATCAAATATTGATATTGCGTGGCATGTCATCCAAGCGAGCCTTGTGGTTAGACGCCTTATGGTTATTGAATCCAATGGTTGCCAACATTTCAACACGTGGAAACGCTGAATCATTACTTGGTTGCATGGTGCTTGGGACATTGTATCTTTTCATGACTCGTCGCTTCTATCCTGCATGTGCCATCTTTGGTCTCGCTGTTCATTTCAAGATCTATCCTGTCATTTACGCTGTGCCTCTACTCTTTTTACTCGACAATCGCTATGGTGATCCAGTTGAATTTCCTCGCATGATTTGGTCCTACCAGCAGTATCGTCTTTATATCCTACAACGCTATTTCTATCATGATGGGGAATTGACAAATGATACGGATTACGCAGACGGTTATCAACCACATCTTCCAGTATCACCTACAAGGCCAGCTGCTCCTTCGACTATTCCAAAAGAACGATCCACGTGGCCAGAACGTCTCACATCTTGCTCTCGTGCTACTTTACGTCAATGCATACTCTTCCTTACACCTTCACGTATCATGTTTGGTGCCGTGAGCGCACTCGTCTTTTTTGGATTGACTTGGTGCATGTATCAACTGTAAGTAGTGCGTTCATTCAATATTTTCCCGCCTATGGTATTCACTTTGGGATGGTAGATACGGTGACGAGTTTTTGCAACACACCTACTTTTATCACGTCACTCGCAAAGATCATCGACACAACTTTTCGCTTTGGTTTTATGAAATGTACCTGGCATTTGACGCTCCTGTGGCAGGCAAGGTGATCGGCTTATTGGCATTTCTACCGCAAATGGCTTTGGTCGCGATAACAGGCATTGCATTCGCCAAGGATATCTTTTTCGCTTGTTTCATTCAAACTTTCCTCTTTGTCACCTTTAATAAGGTCTGCACATCTCAAGTAAGTAAATAGGTATGTGTTACACGTGATAGGATGAGCTAAATTTTCTTCTAGTATTTCATGTGGTACATTTGTCTCCTTCCGTTGATCTTGCCATCCACCGGTCTTCGTTTCAAATGGAAAGGTTTGATGCTTGTCATCGCCTGGGCAGCAAGTCAGGTATGTAAAGAGGAGGATCATGATCCGTTTCGGTATTGAAGGATTTTGCGATTAGGGCGTATGGCTTCATTTTGGATACAAGCTTGAATTTCTTGGTCAAAACACCTTTTCTTCACTTTGGGCTGCAAGCATTCTCTTTTTCATTGCCAATTGTTGGATCGCCGTAGAACTCATTCTTCACCATCGATTTGAATATCTGTACAGTACTTCTGGGCGTATTCGTTGGGTTTGGGGAATGGGTGATCCAGGTTCCAATAGACAAGTTATCAGATAAACTATATTGTACCTAGTAATACAATCCTTGTGCTATATCATTGTGATTAGTAACGTTTGTTGTTATCACCATGTGTAAATCTAAACCTCCTCCTCACCAAAGTAGGATGATTGTCTCCTATAAAAGCTTCTATTTCTCCTTTCAAAAGTCACACGCTAAAGGAGCAACAATGTCAAGTACATATAATTGTTGAACCTTTTTCTTCTCTTCCACAACGATCGTCAACATGAGTGTATCTTTATGGCATTCAAAGCATCCCTTTCAACGACTCGAAGACGAAAACGACAACGAAAATCAACTGCTTGGTGGAGGAGAACCAAGTCGTCCAAAAGGAGTGTCGGCTGCCCCACGTCTGGATCTGAACTTGGATCAAGCATCATGTCATGCAGCCGACAAACATATCACTGGATCCTTGTATATTGACACAACAGGTGTACCATCAGCGGTTAAGGTGCTGCATTTACGCGTGCAAGTCGTTGGCACTGCACGTATCCATGGCGACGACCCTACACAGCCTTTGAGCTATGGTCTATTTGACTACAAAAATGACATCAAGCTGTTATCCAAGGGTATACGCATAGTCAATAAACGAGCCGGCTATAGCAATGCAAATGCATCAGGTAGCAACTTGTCGAACGAGGATATCATTATTATGCAACCTTGCCAATCATCAAGCGATACTCATGGTGGTATACATCATCAACACCAAAAAATGGATCCATTTTCCTCTACAATCTCATCAATGGATCAGTCATCGGATGCTGGTGGTGCTGCTACCAATGAAAGCAAATCTCAGCAGTCTCGTGCAATTGACAACTTTATTATCGATCTCGCGCTCGACAAATACCCTTTAAAGCACAGCAGTGGCTCCCTGCTCGAGCAGCAGCAAGCTGAACTATTAGTTGAAGACAAGGTTTATAGTTTGCCGATCGATACATTGCAACGTGTGCGGTTTGCGCTTCCTATTCAACGTAAGCGCCCTCTCCCAGGAACGTTTGATAATCCTCATTATCCAATCAGTTATACGGTTGCTGCCGTGATGATCTACTGCACACAAGATAACAACAGCGACAAGCGATATCTTTCCCACACCATGACACCCGTTATTTTTGAACCATCACCTATCACACCGCCGTTTGACGGGCAAAAAGGCGACATCTTGAGGTGCTCCTCCAATGATTGTCATTATATTAGTCAACGAAAAATCGAGAGAATTTTACTCGGCATGCTTCATAAGCATCAATACAGGTATCGACAAGGACGACGATGGATACTTGTCCGGTTCCTAAGTGCTCTGAAAAGGTCATCTACTATCTTTAGCACGCCTTACGTAGCCTGTTCTTTGGAGCTTGAAAATGATCAAATGGTATTTCAACGTGGTCAACCCATTCCATTACGCGTACATCTAGAAAGCCATGGCTTTGCTCTCGAAGAAATTGTCATACGTGTCAAGATACGACGTACCATCCTGTTGACGTGTAATGTGGGTGAACAAGGCGAGAGTGATGTTGTGAGCAACATCGATTTGGCGTTTCCATTGAATGCTGGTGGTAATAACATCATCAGTGGTGGTGATGCATCATCTGCTGACTCTTCAGGACAAGATTCAGCTTATCTTGAATCCAACCCGGATGACGATGCATGCAACAACAGGAGTAAGCAACCATCATCATTCGGCCATAACGCAACCGACACCAAGGCTGTGTTTGACCTATCAAATGTACTCTTTATCGGTGAAGATTGGGCATATACGGTCATACCGGAAATGACAAGGCGCATTTTTGAATTGCAGTATGATCTCGAAACCAAAATTTATATCAGAGGATCCAAATTGGATGATTCAACAACGCCTCGCGAGAAAGCTCATACCACGAAATATTATGTTGCAACGGAAGATAGCCATCGGATACCCAGCATGAATGACAAGTCATTGTACCAGCACACACTACGACCTACATCATTACCTCTCATTGTCACTGGATGCCATAATCGTACCCATTAATGACCTCCTACCGTATATATAAAGTAATAAATATCACTCCTCCAATCCTGCATGAATCTTTTTATAATACAATGCATCAAGTATCCACAATGATGAAGTCCAACTCATGGAGAATGGAGATCTCCCACACTATGGACGCTTACGAATGGTTAACCAACGCAACTTTGTGTTCGTTAAAGTAACCCTTTAATCCAACAGCATCATTCACAAGAGATGGATTGTACAAAGAATTGCTTCAATGTGGAAGATACAACGATATGGGAGGCTTCTATCTTTTGGGCGTGCATTTTGCAAAGGTGATGAATGGACGTGGGATGGCACTTGATGCGTGGTGGTGAATTCAGCACAAAATATAGGGTTGGATGATGAAGGTTATACATGATTGACAGGCTGCACCAAGGATGCTGATCGTATATGCCATGGAATAGTGCGTAAAGTAGATCATTGGATACATCGTACGTTCAGGATGATACTACCATGCATCATGGTCAAGTTGTCAACGGATACTTGAAGAACAAAGGCTCTTTTTCCATGAGTTGGTTACATCCAGACCCTTCCATCCCATATACAATATCAAAGCAATAATCAGATCCATATCCATAGAAACTCGTTCGTATTGAAAGCAAGGTGCTACACGTAAATAAAGCTGCTTCTATACAATGGCTATCTGCTGTTCACGTAACAAAAGGTTGTAAGGCAAGTTGCTGCAAGCAAAGAACGCTGCTTGAGACAATGGAGAGAAGACCTTGCTAATAGCAACTGTTGGAATGAACGCTGTTACGCTTGATGGGGGTAGAGGAATGTGCAAGAGCGTGTTGTAGCAGGGTGACAAGAAGACTGTGTGCATGCCATGGACTTGCCATTCAGTCAAAGACAAACGGATCAAGGCAGTTGTAGCATTGACATGATGAGCTGAAGCGGGACAATCGTTCGCAGGTGGTAATTGTGCTTGAATGCGCCAACTGTTGAGATTGGGAAGAAGAGGCAAGTGGAAGAACTGGAAATCAAAATGGGTTGATCTGTTGTTGAATGATACTTCTTTGTTTGACCGTATCTCAGTCAAAACCTCTCGGATCAAGAAAGTTGAATGATGGTCATGCTGGGCTGGAGCAGGACAATCGTTCACATGCATTGGATTGGGCAACAAAGGTGGATTCAATGTATAATACTTTATGGATTATCTAGGAATAGGCATGTATTGCCTGCTAACAGCCACTTCCACCCAATCCCAACTTTTATCTAATCCATTACGATGGAACGACGCTCCTGCTCCATAGATTTATTTCCATGGTTCAAGTAGCTTGATCCGAGTTGATTTGGTTGAGCTACGATCAAAGAGAGATTACATCCATCCATACATCAGCATACATTCGAATGTCTCAGCTGATTAATCCTTGTTTGGCCGTAGCTCGGTCAAATCAGCTCGGATCAAGCTACTTTAATCATGGAAATGAATGTCTGCAGCAGGAGCATCGTTCCCATCACGTATATTTTGCAACAATGCTGATTGGATAAAGGTAGCTGTTAGCTGCCAATGTATGTCCTGAAAATGAGGTATGCGTACCTGTCATGCATTGTCCCTGAAGTCCGGACTTTTTAGCTTGGTTACACGAAGAAGTCCTCCTGCATCTTTGGCTCTATCATGCCCAGCTACTGGACATTAAACAAAGACCACCTTTCATATACCATCACGCTTATAACATAGTAAAAACATAAAGACAGTCGTACCTCAAGATTTCACAATCAAACGTAGGGTTTTTATTAGAGCAATGGGCTCGGCTTGGCCAACAGCACCTTGGGTGTAACTTTCACGATCAAGCTTGCCAATCCCAGATTTCGCAATGTCGCCACCAGCCAAACTGGATCTTGGGTCGACCTCTTCGACGACGACGACCAAAAAATATTTTTTGGGCTGTTTGCGACATTGAACGTGAAACTTTCACACAAGGTGCTGTTGGCCAAGCCGAGCCCATTGCTCTAATAAAAACCACACGTTTCATTGTAAAGTTTGGAGATACAGGCACCTTTATGTTTGTAAGCGTGATGCTATATGAGAAGTGGTCTTTGTTCATTGTGAAGTGGCTGGACCCTGGCGGAGCAAAAGATGTAGAGGGTCGTGTTGTGTAACACAGCTACGTTTACATGAATGAAAGGGTCAATGTATAATTACTTTATGGATCATCTAGAAACAGGCATGTATTGCTAGCTAACGGCCACTTTATCCAATCATCATTATTGCGAGATCCACTGCATGGCAACGATGCCCCTGCTCCAGACATTCATTTCCATGATTAAAGTAGGTTGATCCGAGCTGATTTGACTGAGCTACGGTCAAAGAGAGATTACATCACTCTGGACATCAAGCACGCTCGATGTAGCTCAACCGATGTAATCTTGTGTGAGCGTAACTCAACCAAATCAACTCGGATCAACCTACTTTAATCATGGAAATGAATGTCTGCAGCAGGAGCATCGTCCACCTACAATAGAATGCACAAAAGTTGGGAATGCACAAAAGTGGCTATAACTGCCAATGTATGACATAAAAGTGAGGGTTGTGTATCTTTCATGCATTGTCCCTGAAGTCCTGACTTTTTAGCTGAGTTACCCAAATAGGTCCTTCTGCATCTTTGGCTCTCCAGGGTCCAGCTACTTGACAATGAACAAAGACCACTTCTCATATAGCATCACGCTTACAAACATAAAGGTGCCTGTATCTCCAAACTTTACAATGAAACGTGTGGTTTTTATTAGAGCAATGGGCTCGGCTTGGCCAACAGCACCTTGTGTGAAAGTTTCATGATCAAGCTTGCCAATCCCAGATTTCGCAATGACGCTACCAGCCAAACTGGATCGGGGGGTTCGACCTCTTCGACGACGACGACCAAAAAAAACTTTTTGGGCTAGTTGCGGCATTGAACGCGAAACTTTCACACAAGGTGCTGTTGGCCAAGCCGAGCCCATTGCTCTATTCAAAACCACACGTTTCATTGTAAAGTTTGGAGATACAGGCACCTTTATGTTTGTAAGCGTGATGCTATATGAGAAGTGGTCTTTGTTCATTGTCAAGTAGCTGGACCCTGATAGAGCAAAAGGTTTATATGGCGTGTTTGTGTGGCAAAGGAGACTTGAGGGGACAATGATATTGGTCGAGAGTGCATGATGGTGTTGTGGTTGTAGATCCGACCATTAGTAGCTCTCACATGGTCTAAGCTTAGATGTACATGCAGCTTATAAACCAGTGAGCAACGATGAATAAGCATAAGGCTCTCTTCCCGATTTCATATCGTAGGGTAAGAATGGACACAGTACTTGTCAACGCGCTTTTACCCTATTGGTATGGAATGAAGGATGCGTTTACGTACGCTCTTTGTATACTTATCTACTACGTGAGAGACTCCCTTGTGCATCTTATCCCATGTACATTGTATCCCGCGTTCATTGTGTATAGTGCTTAGTTAACGTACGCGATGAGCATCACTGCAGCTAGACGATCCCATACAACGATGGAACTTCACACTGCCCTTAAGACGTATGTTGAATTAGTAAAACTCAAATTAAGCTTATAATGAACCAAGCTTATAACAAGCACCATTGTCGGGCAACATCGCGCTCGGCTTTATCATCTTTGTATGTAGTCACGTAATTGATAATAAAGGTAATCCAACATTGAATGGCGTTTATTCTTAGCATATGATCTTTGTACATACTTTGTTTATCTCCCTTAAACATTACTACATATGGGTGTACATGATTTTAGGAAGAGAGGTTCATAAAAACCCTCATCACAATGATACTTGATTGGGGTCGCTTGTAATTATTCATGCCAATGATTGCTGTTGCACAAGTTCTTTGTATGCACCACCAAGCTCTAGCAATTCCCAATGGGTTCCTTGCTCGATAACACGTCCACTCTTGATCACACAGATCAAATCACTGCCTTGTATGGTAGACAATCTATGAGCTATCGTGAAAGTTGTTCTATCTCCATGCTCCAATACATTATCAATGGCCGTTTGGACAAGCTTTTCACTTTCGCTATCAAGAGCTGATGTAGCTTCATCCAAAAGAAGTACACGTGGATTGCGAATAAGAGCTCTGGCAATGGCAATGCGTTGCTTTTGTCCACCAGATAATTGAGACCCACGATCGCCTACTCTCGTGTTGTATCCATCGGGGAGAGTGGTAATGAATTCATGAATATTGGCTGCTATGCAAGCTTGTTCCACTTGTTCTTGGGTAACTTTCACATCCTCAGAGACACCAAATCGAATGTTGTCACCAATTGACATGTCGAATAAAACTGGTTCTTGACTAACCAAAGCCATGTGACCACGCAAGTTGTCTAGTGTATACGCTTGTGTACTATGATCGTCCACTCGAACTGATCCACTTTGAGGATCGTACCAACGTTCCAGCATGCCAATTACTGTTGATTTGCCACATCCAGAGTGACCAACCAATGCTATGGTGCGTCCAGCTGCTCCTTTCAAGTTAAAGTCGCCGTGAAAAACTGGCATGTCGGGTCGACGAGGATAGGCAAATGATACATTGTCAAAAGCAACATCGCCACGAATAGTGCTAGGTTCAATGCCTTCCAATTCTCTGTCAATAGTAGGTTTCCGCTCCAATAGCTCAAACGATGAAAGTGCTGCATACTTGGCTTTGACAATGTGCGACACGAACATGCTTCCTCGACCGATACCCATGGCTGTCATAACAACCGCCATCATGACCACCATCATTTGCTCAATAGTCATCATGCCCTTCTCGAGAAAACGTATACCAGCATAAAACGAAACGGCATTGACGTAAATAACCATTCCTTGGCTGAGAGCATATCCGATCGATCCTAAGTATGCCTTGCGTATGGCAAGCTTGTGCGGGTAGGCTGTAGCTTTGGCATACCGCTCCTCAAAATGATGTTGCTTTGCCAAAGATGCAACCGTACGAATTTCCTTGATGGCTTCACCTGCCACTTGTCCTGATTGCATGCTTGCCTTTTTGGTATCATCGGCAAAACCCATCTCGATCTTTCCTTCGTATGCACTTGCAGCAGCCATTAAAGGTAACATAGCAATGATCACAAGAGTCAATGCCCAGCCGTGAATGAACGCAATCACAAAGCCTATTGAATATCCATGACAATTAATACACGTTGCATGATGTACGTATTATGTATATACTTGCCTACAATGGCACTGCACACAACACTTCCAATGTCACCCAAGACCTTTGTGATCATGTCGTTAACATTCTTAGCATCAACAGCAAGCGTTGATGTCAATGCGCCTGTACTATTATCCTCTTCATCGAAAAATGCGATCTCCTGCTTCATGTATGCAGCAAACAGCTTTGATCGTAATCGTTCGGTATAGAGTTCACCAGCGGCTTCGAAGCTTCCCAGCTGTAATAGAAATCCAAAAAAGACACCAATACCACAAATGAGAAAAAGAAACGCATACAGGTTTGCACCTTCCATAGGTCCCGGTGTGGTTGACATGGTTGCGGGATCAACGAGCACTGAGAAAACTCTGCCAAGCAATAACGCTGACACAGGGAATGCAGCTCCTGAGAATAAACAGCCAACGAGACCAACACCAAGCAATGGCCATTCTGGACGCATTTGTTTGAGCACCTTGAAGAATGGCGTTCGGACGTGTTTGTATTTTTCTTCTCGCTCACGCTCTTTTTTCAGCTCACGCATATCATCTGGAATAGCACCTTCCACTGAGGATGCTATACTTTGCTTGGTTGAAAGACGACGGATACTCAAGTCGTTTTGCTTGGTTTGAGATTGATCATGTTCTTCATCCTCTTCCGTCATTGCTGGAATATCATCATGTTCATCGGAGCCATTAAGCTGGTTGTTTTCCTTTTCCATAGCAATTTCCTGCTTGTGAACAAGATTTGCATAAGCTCCATTGGCGGCAAGTAGTTCTTCATGTGTCCCTTGCTCAACAATCTCGCCTTGCTTCAAAACAATGATTTGGTCAGCCGATCTAATTGTAGACAGTCTGTGCGCGACGACTAAAGTGGTACGGTTCTTGGCAGCTTCTTCAAGGGCCTTTTGTACAAGTCTTTCAGATTGTGTATCAAGTGCAGATGTTGCCTTCAAAAATACGAGTGAATACGGATGTTTCGTACATGAAGAAATCCATGATGCTATATATTACCTCATCCAAAAGCAGAATGGCTGGATCTTTGATGATGGCACGTGCAATAGCGATACGTTGTTTTTGACCACCTGATAACATGGAGCCATGCTCGCCAACATGAGAGTCGTATCCTTTTGGAAGCGCTGAGATAAAATCATGGCAATTGGCTGCTTTGCATGCACGCACCAAATCCTCGTTGCTGACCTTGTCATTATCGGCACCCAAGAGCAAATTCTTGCGAATCGTTGTGTTGAATAAAACGGGTTCTTGGCTTACAACACCGATTTGACGTCGTAGCGATTGCACAGCCAAATCTTTAAGTGGGATCCCATCCACAATAATTTCACCATTATCGGGGTCATAGAATCTTTGAAGTAATTGAACAATCGTTGACTTGCCAGATCCAGACGCACCTACAAGTGCCACTGTTGAACCTGGCATAATGCGTGCTGAAAATGAGCGAAGAATTGGAATATCAGGTCTTGTAGGATACTTGAAGTCAACGTTTTTGAATTCGATATCACCATGCAACGCATGTTCCTTTCCAGGTGCGTCAATGTCAATGGCTGGTACACGATCAATAAGTGAAAAAATACGTTGTGCTGCTGCAGTGGCACCGCTAACAGCTGAAAGGTTCAATGGTAAACCCATAAGTGCCATAGTGCTGATCATCATGGTGTAAAACACAATGACCACCTATAGAGAAAGAAATCGATTATTATTTACTAGTAATTGTAATTGCAAGTTTACATTCACATACCTCGCCACCAGACATCCTGCCTTCACGTATAAGCTTGCTTCCATACCAAAAGCTAAGACCATAAGAGGAAAAGATGATGCCCATAAAAGCGCCAAACATAATTGCCACCAAGACACCTCGACGACATCCAGTTTTACGTGCTTTCCTCAGCTGTTCCTCATAGCGTGTTTGAAACCGGCCTTGAAGAGAAAATGAGGATATGGTGCGGATACCACTAATCATCTCTTCAGCAATGGCTCCTGCATCGGCATAAACGTCCTGAGTCGATTTTGTGAATTTGTCGTAATAGTATCCCATCATGGTACCGGCACCTGCAACGAGTGGAATGGTTGCCAAAATCACAGCAGCCAATACGGGACCTTTTACAAACGCAATGACAATACCAGCGATTACTTGTCCAGTCATTTGAAGAATCATGCCGCATTTTTCTGATATTCCCTGTGTTACAGTGGGTTAACAAAGAGAGATGATACATAATAGTACACGGTGGGAAAAGGTAAATCAAGTACCTCTTGAACCATTTGTATATCTGTTGCGAGGCGTGTTGTCAATGATCCTTCTTCAGCTGCATCAAACCAGCTCATATCTTGACGGTAGATGGCGTGGAGATACAAGCGGCGAATGGTTTGGATTTGTCGTTCTCCTGATATAACCCAAAAGGCGTGCGAAACATAGCTTGCTACCAAGGATGCGGTACCCATGTAAACGAAAATCAGGATCATTTTCAATGTCATTGACAAAAAGTCGATGTTGGTCGTCGTAGTAGTGGATTGTGCAGTTTGGCCTAATGATCCAAGCAAGTCGCCAAAGATAATCATGGATGCTGGCATAATAACTCCCACACCAATCGATCCAATCGAAGCTGCCAAGATCATGAGTAGATCAATTTTTGATGCAAATCGAAAGAGCTTGTGTAGTGGCACCGTTGGCTCCTTTTTCTTCTTTTCCTTTTCCTTCTTTTCACCAGAGGAAGAAGTCGTATCATCCATGTCATTTTCCTTCTTCATGTCGCTGCCACTCTCAACTCCCTCATGTTGTGCTTCTACTGCGCTGGTCACCAAAGTTTGCTCCACAACCACTTGTTGATCAACAAGTTCTGCCTTTTCGTTTCCCATGTTGTTGTATGCTATTTGCGAGTCAAATCAAATTAAGGGACACTGGACGTGGCGATGAAGGCTTGTCAAAAGGTGCAAAACAAAAGGAAAAGGAAGAGAGTAATAAATACGGGTTGATTTCCCTTCCCATCACTCTTCCGCAGCAGAAGAGAAATCAGGGAATGCACACGTGATTGGTTACACCACATGTTGGAAATGCTTACCTCAATGCCTGGATAAGGTCACACAGGTAGTAGTTGCACACCTTCCATCGTTTGTTCAATGTGTAAACAAAAAGCCCCCATGATGTCTTCTCCAGTATATGACTCAATCGTTGTGGTTACATGATCCATTTTACGGCATACATCGGCAAGAGCTATATACATGGGAACAAGAAGTGAATTATTATGGGAATTGCGCCACAGATGACTCGTTTACCGGAATCGATGTGTCAAATCAGAGCCGAACATCCCCGGATCAAATCAAACAAGTCCACCGCACTCCACCTGATCTTGATGTTTGTTCTCATCCCATTTAGGTGATCATTCATGTAAGTTACACCACTACTTGGATGCCTTCACTCGCTATGTTGCTGTATGAGATGAAATGATGGACGGCAGCATTATGTTGCTGCATCGACTGCCACTATGAAGTACGCTTGTACTTGAAAGGTATGATCTCCGCTATTTATCTGATTTGTGTACCCTGAGGCAAATGTGCCTTGCAGCGCTGACAACAGGCACGTGTACCAAGGATTATGGATCAACAGCTATCGTGGGACTCATTTCTAGTATTCACAATGACCAAACAACATGCTGATTTACTCTTTACATAAATGAATTCTATTTTGAGGGAAGAAGAGAAATAAAAGAAGCTCTTGATACGAGATAAGGAGGGGGGTATCATCAAGAAGCTACGACTACGCGTTCTTTGCCAGCCAAATCCTTCCATGTAGACACGTTTCGAAATGACTTTGTGAGAATCTCCGTGAGCACCGGTACTTGATGGCTTCCACCAATCTCCATAAGCAACCTTGGATGTCCTTTATCCTCTTGACACGGCCTCAAGAAATGGGATGCACTGCACAAGGTAGCAATCCGCTTATGTACAGCCAAACCATGATCATCCGCCATCAGGGCCCTTTGATCCTCCCAGTCCTTGACACATGGCTCAAGAAGTGCATACTCTTCCTCCGTTATATAAGGTGGATTGGCCACCACCATATCAAATGGCTGCTTATGACTGAATGGTACTTGCAGATCGAATACATCCATCTTGTAAAAGTCGACTGATTGAATCGCATGAATACGTTGGTTATGGCGTGCCAGGTCGATAGCTTCATCCGCAATATCGATTGCAGTGACATGGACATTGGGTAGTTGAGAAGCAAGTGCTAAGGCGATGCATCCAGTGCCTGTGCATATGTCCAAAATGCGAAAAGGGGTTGTTGAATCTTGTAACCGAGGTTTGAGGATATCAATAAGGCGATGCACCCATTCTTCAGTCTCCCATCTAATAGCATACCCATATAAGCTCTTCTTCATTCTTTGACATATAGCAAAATGCATACCGAGGAATAAGAACAGGGGGTCGAGTAACAATATCGAGTTCACCAAAAGGTTGCGTACCAAGAACATACTGAAGTGGTTTATCGAACAAGACCCGATCACGAATGGCAGCATTGACAACAGGAATGGCTACAGCACCAGTAGCTTGATCGGAGGCTTTCTCCTTGATCCACTGTAAATGGCGACGGGCAAGCGAGACATTGTGTTCACATGTGGGTAGCAGACGACGAATCCACTGCCGATCCAAGCGTGGCCAGCGTGGCATAAAAAAGCAAAAGGAGAGAGAACATGCGTCAAAATCCAATGCAACAGAAAACTACAGGTCCAACAGCGGGGATTGATTGATAGACAACATCTTTATAATAAAGGACTTTGGAAGAGCATGATTTACAATGATTAAACAGACACTAAGCTACCATCTTTGCTATCATTGTCAGCAGGGCGACCGACATTGAGAGATTTGAGGCCGTTCTCATCAACATTTGCTAGTAATTCGGCTGTGGTATTGACGTGGGGATATGGTTCTTTGGGCACTGGTTTGTTTAAAAACTTGCATAGGCGCTCCCAGCCTTCTCCCAATTGCATAACAAGCAATTGCTCAGGTGGCACGTTGGCTTTGACCCATTCATTGTGTTCAACAAACCTGCGCTTGATAGCCTCTTCATCTGCAAAAAGTTCTGGATCTTCAAATGCACCATCCAAGTTCACCTTTCGGCTCATAGCCCGCACACGCCTAATGTGATCGGGTGTATTTTCACCATCTGGGATATGTGCAATCTTGAAAATGCTGTTTTTAGCCGACTTGTACCAGCTATCAGGATCCCGTTCGGTTAGGATAATCTTGGCATCTGGGTAGTACTTGACCAATCGTTTAATAAAGGTCGCCGTAGGCCTATTGATTCATTTGTTAACTTGCTGGTGCAATTTAAAAGTTGCCAAAGTACATAAAATAAGGTAACAACATACCAATCCACAGCAGCATTGAAGCCTTCGTACACATTATCCCAATCCACAGGTTCCTCAGGGTTTTCGTAAGCGTTCTTGAAGTCATCAGGATTGGTTTGGCCCCAATAAATGACTCTCATATGGTGTGTGGAATACCTGCAAGTATCATGATCCATGGTTAGCATACATAATCGAACATCGAATGCATATCAATGTATACATACCCAAGTGTGTTCAACGCAATTCGCAAGCTATCAGTGCCTGTACGGCCATAGCCAGCTCCAATAACTTCGAGGGGTGCCATTGTATTCGTGTATACTTGTTGTGTTGTTATGTACTATGCTCAGGAGAACGAGAAAACATCGTGCCTATTTATTGAAAATGCCAAAGCGGCCGACTTTTCATTCATTGGATCAAATCTCTTTAAGCAGCTTTATAATGCAAAACACTGTGATACCTGCCATAACCGTCATAACGTCACTGTCGTTCAAAGTCCCGAGGAGAGGGAAAGATCGTGCGCTTTTGTTACTCTTATGATCATGTTACTATCCTACTTACTACAAAGCACTACCTATGCATGGCTCTTTAGCACATTCATTCAACAATATCCTCGCACTAGAGTATGCTCATCGTTATGACCCCTCGTCTCTACTCGTTTTCATTTCTCATGTGAGGTGTGCCTTATTGTTCCTGAGTACCCAATTCCTGCATCTGAATCCATCTTCTGAAACACCTCAAACCAATGACGGACCATGCGGTGCATGAACGAAACAAATTTTTCTCAGAAGAAACGAGGTGAGGCTTTGCGGATAGCCATACATTGAGCACATGTTGACAACGTGCGATTGCTATGATAGGGCCATTTGGGAATATCGTTTTCCCAAGAGCGATGATAATGCATTGCTGGTCGTTTCTCTTCGTCATCACCCATGTTTTACGTGAGAAACTACCCTCCTCCTCTCTTCCAAGTCATAGCTCATTCTTCTTCTTCAGAGGCAATAAGGTATCAATTGATCAATAATGATTTCCTATGACGAATGCCATTCGAGCGATCTTGAGTAGCTCTCTCGTTAAGGTACAACATCAACTTTGCAGTAAGCAGTAGTGCCGGCAAAAGCGGACCGATAGCACCGTTCTAAAAAAGGTCTGAATCTTAATACCCAAATCCAGCCATGCAGGTACCAGTTTTATGCATATGGGTCACACCACTAACTATGTTTTCTACCTTCCATCGCATTATACCTATCAAATTCGTTTCTTCATCTGAGATCAATGCAAGGAATGTTTAACCTTACTCACTATCTTTTTGATGGGTTGCGTTAGTGTGTTATCCAATGACCCCGACCCTCATGCGATGATCGAGATAGAAAGTTCCTTGCATATGGATCATGATGTAAAGAGAGCAATAGAAAATGGGAGGAGGTTGCGCAATTGATTCGGGTAGTATGGATGTTGACGTGAGGACATTTTTGTATGACGCAACCATTGGTACAGTAGCCACTAGATCAACATCATACATCATCTTGGCTTATAAAGAAAAGAATGACATCACACCCACACATCAACGGCTTCAGGATAAATGTTCAAACCAATGCCAGGTAAGTATGATACAATGGCCCTTGTGAGTATCCTGCTGCATATCAAATGGATGGTGATAATCCCAGATGCAAAGAATCTCAAAAGCAGGTATAATGGTGTGATCCTAATCCTTCACATGACCTTTTAAAATATGTACACGATCTCTTTGTAATCTTCTTCTACCATAATCCAGTTACATAAATGTCCATGTTTTGAGGAGCATTGATAATCCAAATTGGTCAACATCATCACATAAAGTGATATTTATTATGAGAGATGGGAGGGGCACTACGCTTGGTGATCGATTCACATAGTGAAGAAGACGTATCATGCGAGCTGGGATATGGGTATCATGGGCAACCGATCCACGTGACTCAAATTTTGGCTTCAGTGTCCAAGTCCGAGATGGAGACGGCCTCAAATCTGGCTTGAGCTATTTACACCATCCATATCAGTCACTAAATCATAGAGCTAACAAAATGGCTTACCCATAATTTTAGTCCACATATGATTGTGGTCATCAATGATGGCCAGTACTGGCCCCACTGGTGGTTAATTGTTGAAATGGTGTAGCAAGTTCATATGCTGTGGTATTGCCTCCACGCTGAAAAGCAGGTAAGGGCTTGGAATCCTTCGACATAATACGCGACAATCCAGACAAAGCAATATTTTCAGCTCCAGATGCGTCTCGACTCTTGGTAGTTTGATTGCTGGCAAGTCGACGTGGACAACGAGGATTGGGACAGTTCACTGCTCCTTTGCAACGTTTGAATGTACCATCCTTTTTACGCTGCCATTGTAGCTCAACACCATGAAGACAACTTCCGCAAGTCTTTGTTGTGTTGTACTCATCCACCACAAGCAAGTGGTCGTTTTCCGGTGCATTCATTCTTTGTTGCAGCTTGCTTTGACTTCCACCACGTGCATGCCCTTTGATCCTGCTGTTTCTCCCTGTCCATGATCCATAAAAGTTTATGATGCTCGCAGCCTTCTTCTCACCATCGGCAGCAGCTTTGTGTCGAACATTTGATCCAAATTTGCAATAAAACCGATTGCGTCGAATTTCACGTGTTCTGGTCTGCTTTGCTTGTTTGGTTGACGATGTATCCATTTTGTGCCGTTCTCTCCATTCACGTTGTCGCCGATGAATGGTGCTAAACGTGCGATCGGATACCAGCTTTGTTGTGAGATTGACTGTAGCTGTCTTAGTTGGTTGGGATGATGACTTCTGTTGGGTTGATTTGGTTGTTGAAGGCTCATCAAATAGGTGGGGGGAGTGCTGCGGTTGTGTAGATGAATGTGATGGTGTAAATGAGGTGGCTAATGGCTCAACAGCATGCTGTATTGACAATGGTAGTTCCACACTTGGCGATGAGAATGATGATGGGTCATGTTGTGCTGATAATGGTAGTTCCACACTTGGCGATGAGAATAATTGTGGTTCATGTTGTGCTGATAATGGTAGTTCCACACTTGGCGATGAAAATGATGATGGGTCATGTTGTGCTGATAATGGTAGTTCCACACTTGGCGATGAGAATAATTGTGGTTCATGTTGTGCTGATAATGGTAGTTCCACACTTGGCGATGAAAATGATGATGGGTCATGTTGTGCTGATAATGGTAGCTCCACACTTGGCGATGAAAATGATGGTGACCCATGTTGGGATGATGATGATGGATCGACGTGTTTTGATGGCGACGATGATTGCACCTTTTCCTCATCCGAAGTCTCAAGCGAAGCGATATCTTGAATATGTCTGATGTGTTCGGCAGCAGGTACGATTGCGATAGTGGCAGTGGTAACAATGCCTGGGTCGGTGCCGGTGAGTGCAATTGTTCTTTCCCCCTTGATATGTTGCTTAATCATAGATGCCGCCTTCTATTAAACATGTAAGCAACCTTTGCTATCAAGAACGAAATGAGATGATGATACATACCCTTTTGGATCCATCAAGTTTTGTTTTTGTCTCTGTATTTCCTGATCCTCGTTGCATGTTATATAGCTGTTGGGCAAGGCGACTTGATTTCTCCTTCAGCTTGTCTATCTTGACATAATGATCGTTCACCGCCTTCCTTGCTTCTTTCAGCTGTGAGTACAATGCTGAATTCCAACGCTTCTTCTTCTTCTTTTCTTCTCGAAACGCTCGCCCCAGATCTGCACGCTCTCTTTCCATCTTCGTATGCTCTCTTCTTGCTTTGGCTAGTGCTAGTCGTGTCTCCTTGAGTTCTTGGTTCACGCCTTCCACTTGGGCATCATCCATCGCTTCTCCTTTATGTCGCTTTGAATTGACACGACGACTACCACCAGCTTTTCTCTTTCCAGCAGATCTCAACACCTTCTTCTTTTTCTTCTTCTTGCGTGTCATCATTGGATCGCGGTATACAGTCCTTCTTCCAACAATTCTTATCCGCCATTGATCAACGTATATGATTCGCCAATAAGGAGTAAGACCACGACTGGAAAGAAATTGCTCCATTTTCTCCACGTCGAAGAATGCTTGAAACAATTCTTTCTTTGCTTTTCTTGCTTGATGGACACTGCTGATATATCCCCCCGAGCCACCACGTGGGATCTCGTATTCTTTGCGTAAAATTTGATACAAAGCAGCTGAACTTAGTGGTAGCCCTCTTGATTGGGATGATGTTGGGGTCAGCTTCCACTGATTTTGCTGAGGTTGCACGAGATTAACAACAACATTGGCGATTGTTGCTATTGCAACTCCATTAAGCACGGTGATATCTTGTAACGCTTCGTTCTTGGGTACGAAAGGATTGAGAAAATTGGCAATGTCTGCCGCAGCTGTTGCTTCTTCGCAAGAAAGTGTCGTCCCTTTGAATGCTGCTTTGGTAATATCTTCTTTGGTAAACACCTTGCCTGTTGAACCAGATTGAAGAAGTCGTTTCAATATTGCCACCAACGCACGAAGAGTCTTTGATGTTGATTCTTTGCTTTTTTCACCCTTATCCTCATCAACATCTTCTTCAAATTCTTCTTCTGCATGTGGCAAGTTGAAGGGATCATAGCCGTCATCTGCTTCTATTATCACTGAGGTTAGCTACGTGGGTCTAATGATTCCATATAAATAATAAAGATACATACCTCGTTCACTTTGGCAATCCGATTGTGTAGAAGTTGTCATTGAAGCTTCTGTGAGTTGCACAAGTCTGCCATACAGCTTCTGGATGACTTTAGATGGCCTTCCTTTGATCACAGCAGCACCAATACGACGCATAAGGGACCTTTGTTGCTTCTTTTGCTGACTTTGTGATAATGAAGCATTGCTTGAAGCCTCCTTTGCCTCACTCTTTTTCTTGCCTGCGTTACGGCGATATTCAATGTATCGTTGTAATCGTTGTGGTGCCAACCGTACACGTAGCAAGCCCAGGATGGAAACACGGAGGTCACGCTCTAATCGGCTCCTGGTCCACATCTTCTTGAATGATGTTGTGAACTCTGTCAGCATATCAGCTACGGCTTGATTGAACCAAAATTGCTCATGATTCTTGTCCGATTGATCAAGCTGTGGAAGCAAAAGTCTTCGAATCTCCTTGTAAACCGATCTCTCTTTCCCCTCGTTAATGGAGTTGCTGACACAACCGGATAATAGATTCGAAAAGTGGCCATGCTCGAATAGCTTCTGGTCTTGATAGCTGGAGACATTGCTTTGAACAGGAACGACAGCAATAGTTGTTGTGGCACCATCACCAAAATCGAAATCTTTCGCCACATCTTTGATATCGATCTCACTTGAAACAGGCTGAGCATATCCACATAGCTGATTGAGCTCTCCCTTTGATAGCATGTCCACTGCCTTGCCGACACACGTGCTTAGAGATTGAAAATCCATTGCCAGTCGAGACTTTTCTTCTTCAAGTCGTTGTTTGATATCATGAAAAGAGACATCTTCTCTTAATAACGCCTTCAAGGACATGGTAGCTGTCTCGATTTTGGTCTCCTGGATTGTCTTTGTGTTGCCTTCTTGCTGTATACTGCCACCCTCATCATCAGAACTACTCCCACTGCTGCTGCTGCTGCTGCCACTGCTGCTGTTGCTGTCACTGGCTCTCTTCTCCGATCCCTCCTCTACTTCCATTTGCTGATGCTGGAATGCTGTCACGATCTCACGATATCTGCCGATAGCATCATATCCATCAATCTTCCTCAGAGCGCTAGATAACCAAGCTGCTGCTGGATGCTTGTCTGTGTCATCCCCAAACAACTCGTCGTATACGCCTTGTTTGACCATAGGGAGGTTCTTCAGCTTGAGTTGTTTTTGGAAGAAGTTATCGAACTTCTCTTTCCCATTCTCCACCTTCGTCTGGTACAAGTTGCTGATATACCTCTTGAGATGTTCCTCCAAAGTCGATATCAGTCGTTCGCTGCTGATGTCAACCTTCGTGTACGCCTTTCTTGACTTTGTCGAACCAGTCTCAGATCTTGAAAATGCTGGTGGTGTTGGATACGGCTTGCTTACAGACGATGCTCCTTGGGGGGATATCTAATAACATGATGGGTGTATATTTGATATGAGTATATGGGTATATGTCAAATGACGAAATAAGGAAAATCTTACCAATGGTACATTCGTTTTGCTTTCATCAACACAAATATTGAACCACTGAGAGGTACCAGCATATGAATCAACATGGTGCAGTATGGCAATGCAAGGGCGTTCATGGGACGAAGCAAGTGGATTTCGTGGGGTGATCAAGCGAGGTTGCGCACGGGTTGAAAAATAGAAGATGTCCACTTGCATGAGGTTGCTGATAGCGAAGACGAGTTGGTCACCATGAACGGGGAGTGCCGTTTTCCCAACTGCAAGATTGATGGCACTTGGCGTGCTTCCGTTGAGCATGGATATGGTTGTTGATGCACAATCTTGGGTAGCTGCCTTCTCCACACGTAATCCCATCCTTCTTAGTCGTCTCTCCTGCTCCTTGAGAACTTCATTGGTGCCAGGCATGCTTTGGAAAGCGAGCATTGCATTGCCACACCTTGTCCTGAGATCGGCGACATTCTTTGGAAACACCTTCAAAGTTTCAGGGTACTCAGCCCATTGGTACATGAGGACATCGTGGAGACGTTGGTTGAGTGCAGACATCTATTGAACGTGTTTAGTATGCACTTTGTGGTGTGACAACATGCACTTACAGTGGTCGAGAGAAGAAGAGTATGCGGTGACAACTTTGATGGGAATAATCATTTATGCATACTGGTCAGCTGTCATCTGTGAGCCTAACACGAAACCACGTGATATTGATGGTGCCCTCAGCCAAGGCACTCCACCAATATAAAAGATGACTTCCATTTAGAACCATATCCTACAAAGAAGATACATAAATGGCTATTGAGAAAAGAGTTGTTATTACACGCCTTATTCCAGTAATTTTATTCATGAGGTCTATAATATTAATAGACTTTGAGTCACTCAACTTGAGGATTTGATGAAGCTTTGACTAAGGTCCCATCGCATGACAGGTGATAAAATACATTGGAATTGTAGTTGGAGTTGTGATGACGCATAGCACCGAGCAGCGATATGGGTGGTTATAGCATGGTGATGCGTGAAAGATGGCATGTGGCGAGGGATGGTGCATAGGCGTGAAAGTGCAAACTAAAGTTGTGCATCAACTGAGTCTGTTCGGCTATTTGCACCCCACCTGGTGCACCCCACCTGCTTAAAACTCAGTTGTCGCACCCTACCTCTTCGTCTTTTTTTTTTCGTTTGCTTGACACACCACCCATTCTACCATGGAATTGAACATTCTATCACCCGTGGCACCCGTTCGATCGAAGCAACGTGCCGAGCGTATGGAGATTGACGATGAAAGCCAGCCGCATTTGGTGAATCCAGGCGAAACAGTGACGACCGATCAACAGTTCATGAGGTAAAAAAGAAAAACAAGGCGATCGATCTGATGGTGGTGTGGGGTTCTTGTGGCTGACAAGAGGTGGATAATACTAGGGGTCATGGTACATACTCGGATGGAGAAGGCGTGGTTGTATCTGCAGTAGCTGGTGCTGTGGAGCGAGTCAACAAGTTGCTTTCTGTACGGCCACTCAAGACGCGATACACACCCGAGATTGGAGATATTGTCGTAGGTCGCGTGACCGAAGTCATTACCAAACGATGGAAAGTGGATGTCGCAGGCCGACAAGATGCAGTATTACTTTTGAGCTCGGTCAATTTGCCTGGTGGTGTTCAACGACGAAAGAACGAATCGGATGAGTTACATATGCGTCAATTCTTTGCTGAAGGAGATGTCCTTGTGGTAAGTAGTGAAAATCCCATTGTGTTCAAGGTCTATCTTGTTTACATATCCATGTGGTAGGCTGAAGTACAAAGTTTCTATCAAGATGGTGCAATGGGTCTTCATACACGTGCGTTCAAGTATTGCAAGTTACGCAATGGATCCTTTGTCAGTGTACCTCCTGTGCTTGTTCAACGCTGTAAATCGCAATTCCATAGTCTGCCATCAGGTGTCGACATTATCTTGGGTCTGAACGGTTACATTTGGGTCAACAAGAAGATGCAAGGTATTGCCAACATCAATGCAGATGACATCGATACCAGCGTCTCCTACTCGAATGAAAATGACGAGATATCCATGGAAGAACGAGAAAGCATCGCTCGCGTCGTCAATTGTATATCAGCACTTGCAAAACGTTACATGTACATCAATGACACAGTTATCGTTTACACATATGAAGGTGAGATCATCCACTATCACGATGCTTGATATATCATTGTGCTCATATTACAATTGTATAGCATCATTACCTTACACCGTCAAGGAGCTCTTAAAAGAAGATGTGATTGAAGCCATTACTTCTGAAGCAAGCGCACGCATGCAAATGCCATAGATTTTCCACGTTGTAAATACTTCCCATTCTAATCCACTATTAAAGCATCATTACCATCTTCACACAAATGAATCAGCGAAAAGAAGGAAAATGTATTATGAATGTTATGCTACGGTGGTTGAAAATGATTGGATTAGGTTATTGTAACTTTTGTCGCATGTCATCTATAAACTTTGAGACTTGTTCTTGGTCTGTCGGGCTGAAATCAATCTTGGATCGTTGTGTGAGAACAAAGTTGGCCTTGAGCTCAAGCTAAGAATGCATTTGTTAATCACTCTATCAATGCATTAAATGTGTTATTGTTACTTACCTTGGATGCAACATCCAAAAACTTCTTGTTCCCTTTAATGTTGGCGGTCTTTGTAGCGTTTCTCTTTTTCACAAATCGCTTAATCTACAATGCATGAATGATATTAGTCAACTCCGTCTTTCATATATATAGAGCGATCCAATGTATACTAACAGCTACAATGCCAGGAATGACCATTTCAGGGAAGGAAATATGATAAGCATAGCTCTTGTAGTATTCGCTAATGCATTCACAGAGTTGCTCAATGATACCATCCTATCATTTAAAGTATGTCAGCATATATCTAGACACACACACGCTTTCCTTTTCCATATTACCTGGTATACTCGACCATGAAGATACTGCTTTGGTGCACGCAAATGGATATCCCACATGATAGGTTTGAGAGTAGAAGGTTTTGCCACTGCTGTCAATTCACGAGACTCCAACAACTGCATAAGATAGGGTGCAAGTGGGATATACACCTTGGTGGAACGACCCAGGGTGATCATGGACCGGATGATATGGAATCGAGCAGGGAAATACTGTGCAGTAGGCACCAATTGAATAGCACCCAATGCAACCTGAGTCAATGGATAAATCAGCGGGTGGAGTGGCGAGCTTGAATCGGCGCAGTTGGCTGCTAAGACATTGGACCAGAAATCGATACAGTGCACGAATTGCCAGTTGTAGATCGTTTGGTAGCTTTCCTGTGAGCGAGTAATTAGACACCTTTGGTCACTTTCTATCTTCATGCACCTTACTTTACCTTATTCTTAAGCTGCATAGCATTACGTAGATGGATAGCCAACTGACGGATATATACAAATGCTTGCTGATAGCTGAGATCCAAATCGATGGCATAGAGTTGTGTTGCCAAGTTACGCATGAGATTGATGCTGGGTAGAGTGTGTTCGTTGGTGCCCTTGCAGTTGCGGACAAAGGTGAGATAAATGTTTCTAAGACACAAGTCGAGGTAGGTGTTGGGTTTGCCTTTGTGGACACGTGCCACTGCCAACGATCGAATGGCTAAGAAACTTTGGATACGCAAGTTGTCGGATGAAGTAAAAGTGGACCACAATTCCAAAAGAACCTAGATGGGAATATTGTTATTATTATCAACATTGTCAATATCAAGTCCACATACATACCTTGAGGTAATCCTTGGCAATCTTTTGGTAGCAAACCCAATAGGCTGAGCACTTTTCAGCTTCACGTGTGGCCAAATACAACATATCCGAGTCCGTCAAACCACGCATAAGATGAAGCATATTTGTGAGATAGGATTTGATAGCACCTTCAGCGACATGCCACCTTGGAGATGCACTTGGGGTCTTGTTGGATTTCAGGAAATGATTGAATACCATTGGTGCACAACGCATGGTACCAGTGACAACCATGTTGAATACTATCAACAAATGTTAGTATCCTTTCCTTCGACATTATACTCCTGATCAATTACCTTTTGGATCTTGAATCTTGTAGACAAAAGATACGCCTTCCTGTTGCTCCTCATCCGACATCCTTGCTGCAGTCTTGAAAGCAAGCAACAACTTTTTCATGGCTGGCAAAGATTTTTTGGTGTCAACTTGTTCAATCATAGCGGCGACCTTCTTTTTGGTCAAGAGCTCAAGGTCGTCACCAAATGGATCAGCTTGTTCTTCTTCTTGATCAGATGCTTCGGACTCGGATTCTGAAGCTTCGGCATCATCCATATCAACATCTTCATCATCCTCTTGTTCTTCATCATCGGGAACGTCGTCGGCTGATTCATCGAATTCCAACAAGTTGTTCTCTTCCTTCTGGAGGTACTTGTAAAACTCGGGATCGCTCTTTTTGAGTTTCTCCAATTCCTTCTTGTGCTTTTCAATATCACTGACAAGTTTCTTTCTGCTATCCTTGGTGTCTTGTTCATCGTCATCATCATCGTCATTATCATCGGATGTTGCATTCTCTTCGGCAGACTCGCTGTTTGCGTCGTTCTCTTCATCTTCATCGGATTCTTCTTCTTCCTCTTCTTCTTCCATGTGGTTATCTTCCTCCATAACTTCATCCTCCATTTCTTGATCGACGCTCGATTCATCATCCTCATCCTCATCCAACTGCTGTTGTTGTTGTTGTTGCTGTTCGGGCTCAGAGTCGCTGACGTCTTCATCGGGCTGCTCTTCGATCATTTCCATATTCTCCAATTCCTGATATGGCCATGTAAACATGATGCATGGTATACATGTATATTCTCTTTCCCAATCATACCTTATCGAGATCGTCATCATCGTCTTGGAAACCACCGTTGAAAAAGTCCTCGACAGACATCCTACAAGCCGTGGTCAGGAACAAGGTGTTTTTATAATCGAAATACACATACTTTGACTTTTTCTTGCTCTTATCTTTCTTGTCCTTCTTGCCTGTCTTGGCTTCTACGGCTAAATGGTATCGGTGGTTGGTTACCAATGGGCATTGTTCGCTAACCGATCTCGAGTTTCAGCTTTTACTCACCTTTGCTGGCAGCCGTATTCTTGTTGTTCTTTTTGGTGACTTTGGTTGCTTTTCCATTGTGAGGACGATCGGCCTTTTTGTCCTTTGACTTTTGCTGGGGTCGGTGCTGAGCCTTTTTCGATTTGGCCATGATCAAGATCTGTCAAGGGAAAAAGTTGCGACTTGTTGCTGAAACCAAAGTGTCATCCAAATCAGGCAGTGGCTTTTCCTTCCATCCAACCTCTTTGGCTCCGAGGGCACGTGATCGGAGATCATGGATCATGTGTGCGTATACACTTTAAGCACTTGTCATGCAAATAGAAAATAAATGAATTGTTTACTGCTGTTGAAATAAAAGGAAGGGGAGGAATATGAGGAATAGCTATAATCAAATGCATGTATGTAATTCAAACAGAAATGAGAGGGGTACGAGTAGTAGTTGTAGTTGTTGTTGGTGTATGCTGCTGAGGGGTATCTCCATGACGACGTGTCTCGTTGCTGTTGCTCCTTGAAGGCTTGCTCATTGTCTTTTTGGCACGCATCACCGCATCCCATAAATAATTGACAGTCTCAGCATGGCGCTGCTGTTGCATATCATCACTGGCATCATCTGAATCATCAAACGAGAGATCGCGTAGCTTTTCCAAAAGACCAGCATAAGGTGAATCCTCTTTTGTATCCTTGTCATCGTCCAATACTTTGAAGACTCCACCAGCGTGGGTTGTACATGGTGAATTGACCATTGGACTTGCGCTTTGAGGGGCATCCTTCTTTTCATCCTTTTTGATGGGTGATTTTGTGCTGCTATGGTTACTATGGGTGGTGATTGTGGTTGTCGAAGATGATAATGTCTGCTGGTTATTGGCATCATCATCAGGGGCACTGAGTACATTCAGCATGCGAATGACGTTACGTTTATCTTCATGAGACATGGGATTCTGACGCTGCTTCGCCTTTGCAGCAGCAGCCATTTGTGTCTTTTCACTGCTCGATTCGAATAAATGGATAGGCTGTTTCTCACTGTAAACCATGACGGGTGGAGAAAAGTCGACTGAATCAGAAGGCGTTGGGCCATCGATAGCCTCGTTCTTTTCTTCTACTGGTGGTAGATCAGATGCAGGTGTCCAAAAAGAGGCGCCAATAGTTGTTGCGGCTGTTGCTGTAGATGATGATGGGTCTTCGGGTGGTGATGATGGTGATGTAGATGATGGAGGAGATGGATGATGTGAAGAAATGGAAGGTGGCGTATGGCTGTTTTGAGAATGATTCAATAACACAGATGCTGCCAGGGGATTCTCAGTGCTTGTCATCATAAGCGTCTTCCAATCAGGTGGTGAAGGTGTATTGGAAATGTTGTCAAGAAATTCATTTGAATACAAATACAGGTCGTTATCGGATGCTGATGATGTGGATGGTGGTTGTGTCGTTGTTGCTGTTGCTGTTGCTGTTGTTGCTAAATCAGGATACAAGCATGTGTCTGTTTGAATGTTGGCGGATAATTGTTCTAGCCATGATTGCAATGTATCAAGGTCATTTGGATTGTCCACGGGTGGGATCCATTCATTTGATTGATGTTGCACAGCTGCAGAAATATAATCTAGTCGATCCATCATCTCTGTAATAATCATGTTTAGTTTCCTATATTGCAAGAATGTTTGGACATAACCTACCGTCATTGTACTCTGGTGATAAAGTATTATTATCCACCACCTGCTGGAAGAGATCTTGTACAGGGTTCATGGAGATTGGGCTCTGTCTGCGGATGAATAATGACGAATTGCCCGAGTTGGAAGGAACATGGCTGCCGCTACCCGAGAAATCGGTATCGGTCTTGTTCGAGCTTGGGCTGGTTGCTAATAGCAAATAGGTTATATTTGGTCTTCACTATGAAAGATACGTTCTCTTTGCTTACCTTGCGTGTGCCAATCGGTATTGGACTTTGAAGTTTGCGATTGATGTTTTCTACGTCGTACGGCTTTGTATCCAGGTTGTTTGCTGATAAGTGACGCTATTGACATAACATGAGTACCTATTGCCTATAAAGACGTTGCCTCATGCATATACCTTTATGTTCAATAGTATGGATCTTTTCATGCTTTTTCAAATCCTGAGGTCGCTTGAAAGCTTTCTTGCAAGTCTAATAGCACATGAGTTATAAGTACATCTTCATCCATGCGTCCTTATCTGTGACCCTACCGAGCATTGATGGGCTACAATACAAATAGATGTTGTGTAGCGTTAGTAACCGTTGCTCCTCAAGAACGATCCTCCCCTTTTTGCTCCCTACGTTTCAGTGGAAGGTGGACAAGTAAATGGCTGGCGAGATGATCGCGTTTGGCTGCTTGGGCACCACACTCGTCCCATCGGCATTCAAGGCACAAGTTGTGAGTTGCTTTACGACCAATGTGTTCATTGCACAGGTGCTCATAGAGAATCTCGACCGTTTCAAAAGCGTCATGGCAACCGGTCCATTTGCAAGGGCAACAACGCGTCTGTTTTGGCATAAGTGAAAGAGAAGTAGGGCGTGGCACATTTTGCTCCCCAAACCGCATCACTCTCATATGAAATTGGGGCGTTCATGGTAACACAAATACTGTTAATTGATAGTAGCATTTGCTGTACACTCTTTTTAAAAGACAAATTCTGATTCGTAACCTAATAAAAAAGTGGCCTAATTCTTATGTGAAGAATGACTTATAACGAAGGACACCAACATGCTATGTATTTGGTCTGTGCACATGCCTTTGGTTCTTGTTACATCTTGTTGGATTTCCACTTTTCTTTGGCATCATCCACAAAATGGAGTTGTTGAAGCGCGTCGGTGCTTCTGTTATTCATCGGTATCCTTGGGTTGATCAATGCCGCAATATTGTCTCTTTAGCGTTTGCACTTTCTTGCTGTGGTTCGTGATCGTCCATGTGAATGCTTGTAGGATGAATATACTCAGAGTTGTGAAAACATACTGGTTGTGGATTCAGCGGCTACCGCATGAGAGTTGCTTAAAATGACCTTCTTGACTCATACGAAGCTGCAAAAAAGTTGGATCCGTTGCCATGGTCTACCATCGGATGCCTTGCACGTAGCATAACCAAGGTGCGTCATCTGAGTTTGAACAAAACTTTGGTGCATAAAACACACGCCCATTTCTTGAAATGGAAACTAGTTCCACCTGCTCGTCGGCAGTCCCTTTCTTATGTCTTTGAATACACCTGATCAGGGATGATACCTTAAACGTGCTTGACAAAGATTGGGTGTGGGAGAAACAATGGTTAGGATTTTCCTCATCACAAGTATCCAATAACACCACAATGAAAGCATGAAAACAATGAAGCGCTCAAATATCATTACAAAGGACTTGGACATGTCTCAGCTCTATATTTTCACAGGTTGTAAAAGATAGCTATCCATCATAATGATACGCAACTTTTTTATTCCAGTGAGAGAGATTATTATCTATACGTCTCGTTTTGGATTGAAAGATGATGCGGGATACTTTAAAAGATTGAATGCATAGTCGTCTTTTGGAGGAGGGGCGTTGACTAATGGATGCCGTTCCTGATTACTTTGAGTTAGATTCCGCGTTATGAAATAAGATCCTTTGACACTTACTCCCAGCTGATCGTGCTCTGCATTGAAAATAGCTTGTTCCTCACTCAGCTTGGCATGGGTTTCCTTTAACTTTTCCTTGTCCTTTTCATGTTTGTATTCTGCCGCGGCAAGTGCAAGTTGAACCTCAATGTAGTCATCCACTTCCAATTTGAGTTCTTCTCGAAGTTTATCCTATATAGCATATACTTAGTATTCCATATGATCGAGATGAAATGACCATACCGCTTTCTCCTTGTGTAAATTGATATCAAAGACAGTATCTGCCATCTTGGGTGGTACTTGAAGTCGCTTCAAAACGCTCATCGCTTTCCTTTTTGCATTAGCCACGACACGCTTGTATGCCTCCTCTCGTTTGCTATTGCTGTCTTCCTCTTCGATTTGGTGGATAGTTGTACTAATAAACACAATCTATTAGTTCTTGTGTAGTGTAGATCAAGTGGTTTGCTTACGTACTTGAAAGCTTCATGGATGATTTTGGAAAGATCCGCATATTGCTTATCATTGAGACCAAATTCTGAGGGGGTTCCTTCTCTGTTGTTGCGTTCAACTTGTAAAATGGAGTCAGTCCCCATCCTATTCCACATCCTTTGCTAGCCATAGCCATACGTACATAATGATCGATCACGCCGTAATGATACGTTATTCATGCGTGATAGGTCTTGTGATGATGTATGTTCGGGGGGAATAAAAGGAGGAAGAGATTGCTGCCGTTGTTGTTGACTGATATGTGATGGAACAGGAGATGCTGGGCGTTGTTGTTGTTGTTGGATATGTGAATGATGGCTGACATGCGATAGTGCAGGTGAACGACGTTCCTGTTGAGGCAATTGACTATGCCGTGAAATATGAGTCGCAATGGAATCTCGTTTCGACCTTGAAGGGACATTTGTTGGAGGAGGTGCGTGTTGCTGGCGGACACCTGATAGTTTACTTTGTCGAGAGACATGCGTGTGATGTGATGCTACCGATTGCTGATCCACAGCTGCAGACGCTCGAGAGCGCTTGGATGTTACTGAGATTTCACTGCGATTGTCGTCTCCATCAAGAAGAGCCTCCTTTATTATTTTACGGCGTTTGTGTAAATTGGTCATGCGATCGGTATAGTCTGTGTAAAAGAGGAACAATGAAAAAACATAAACGCAGCTGGCATTGATCTTCACCGTGGATACAGGCGATGCTGATAATCAAGCTCCGTGTCTCGTGATAAGAAAAGCAATGCAATTACCTGCCCTCTTCTTTGACCAATTCCATAGCAATAGAACTAGAATCTGCTAATAAAGTTCTGTATTGAAAGTTATATTACGCGTTGTTGTTTCAAGTAAATTGCTTGCTGATGATTGCTGTGATGATATTGCGCGAAGGGTCCAGCATGCATATGCCATAACACTAGGATTGGCTTTGACGACATGTACAAATCATTTATTGGTATTGTCGTATAAGCTGTTGGTGCATAAGCTTCCCAACAACCATCAGGACGTGTTACAAAGGGGGGTTGTTAGGGACACCGCTCCACTAACCGAAAGCCGTTGAATGCTTGTATAGGCATGTTGAGACCTCTAAAACGAAACTAGAAATCAACGCTGTGAGTATAAGATCCAATGCATGTTCCATATCAAACCTTTTCTAACGTATGAATAACTGCTGCAGGGTGTCGTAATACGTCATAGCCACGATTTTTTATACAGCCAAGCATACAAAAGTATTATAAAACTCGATTTAGAAATAAGGCGGTAATGCTATTGTTTCACCCGAGAAAGAGAAAAAAGAGATAGCGAGTCTCCTGAGGTGGCGGAGAAAATGGTACCAAACTCTAAAGCAAAAGGGATGATGACTTGCAACGGATGCGACAATGATAGGATGGTGGTTGTTGCACGAATCGTCATTACGCATATGCATGAACCATCAGACGATGACAAAAAAGAAACGAGGCTGAGAATGATGCCGATATTTGGCGGCAACCGACGACGACAGCACTGCATGTGTGATGCTGGGGGGGGGTGTAATGTTGATGAGCAGGTGAAGATGCAAATGGGGGAGCTTTTTTTTTGTGTAATGATACCTTGGCCAAAGCGTCTGTCACACACACACACCCACACCGTTTCCACATATATGATGTGTGGGTGCTTCGGAATCTACGATTTTTTTGGCGGGAAAGAGTGATCGGTTGATGGTGCAGACATCATGTGCTGGTGGTGGTGATGGCGAAAGAGCAGCCATTGGTGTCGTCTTCATTCCTTTATTCTTCTTCTTTGTATAATGCTATGTGAATCATGGCTTTTCATTTTCTTTTTTAGACATGAAAATTAAGCTTGCTGTGCTGTTGCATGATGAAAGAAGCTGGGGTTGATACACCAAAAAGTAAAGGAATCATGTCAGAACTTAGAATACAAAATGATCAATGTGACCCGATCAGCAGTCGTTGCCATGGTTCATCGTGCTGCGTATATCTCGCAAGGCAAGAACAATGCATTGAATACTCAAGTTGCCTCATCTGCATGTGTCACAGTGGGCAACTTATTAGGGGGGAGGCAACGATGGTACCTGAAATTATACAACGTTGTTGTGTGTGAGTATGTGTGTGTGCGTGTGCGAGCGTGTACATACATATGTGGTCGTGGTGGTGATGGTAACCATGACAGTACGACAAGGTACACACACACGCACACACACGCACGCATCTTCGCACGCAAAAAAAATGCTTGTGATGATGATGACCCGGGAATAATGACTCAGGCATAGCGTGCATCCTTTGCTTTCCGCGTGACGCCGTGCGCGCACACAAGTTGCTGCTGCTTTATGAAAAGCGTGGCAACCAGCACTCTCACTTCCGCTATTGCTTCCTCTTCCCCTTTCTCTTTTTCATATTCACATACCACACAACTATGGTGGCTCGTTCTTTTGAAGACTGGTCCCCAAGTCCTGATGGCACGCATCACGTCTTTAACAGAGCTCTCGAATGTCCAGACAGCGATGACCGAAGCTACCGATTAATACGTCTTGCCAACAAGTTGCAGGTGCTCCTCGTCAGTGACCCAGATACAGACCGTGCTAGTGCTGCTCTCGACGTTCACGTTGGCAATCTAAGCGATCCCGTAAGATGAACAAGTAGACCGTGAATGACGTTTATTATAACACAAGTGCCTTTATTAGGATCAACTTGAAGGCCTGGCTCATTTTTGTGAACACTTGCTATTCATGGGCACTGAAAAGTATCCAAAGGAAAACGATTACTATTCGTATCTTTCAGAGCATTCTGGTAAGGGTGTATATACAAGGCATCTTGATCCAAACGTTAACTTGATTTGCCATACGTTACAGGTTACGCAAATGCGTTCACAGGCACCGAGAATACAAATTACTTTTTTGAAGTGGGTCATCAATGGCTCGAAGGTGCTCTTGATCGGTTTTCTCGTTTCTTTATCGATCCTTTGTTTTCTGAGAGCTGCACTGAAAGGGAATTACGTGCTGTTGACTCGGGTAAGTCTGGGAATAATGCATGCATGTGCAACGACATCTTTGCTGAATACGCACACACACACACACACATGCATAGAACACAAGAAAAATCTACAGTCCGATTGTTGGCGAATTGCTCAAGTTGAAAAGACACTCAGCAATCCAAATCATCCATGGCGCCATTTTGAAACGGGCAATCTTGAAACATTGATGGATGCTCCCAAACGACGTGGTCAAGATGTGCGACAAGAATTGCTCAAATTTCATGAGACCTTTTACTCGGCCAACATTATGAAACTTTGTGTGCTCGGCAAAGGTAGACTTGAGTGATGGGTGAGGGACGTACAATTGGCTCATACATAGAAAATAGAATCCTTGGATCAGTTGACAGAATGGGTGGTTGACAAGTTTTCTCATGTCAAGAACAAGAATATCCCTGTTCCTGAATTTGATGGTCATCCCTTGACAACAAATGAGCTCAAAGTAAGTGCAAAGATGGATCACAAAGATCAAGTTACTCAATATGGTGTTTATTATAGACGCAAATATTTGTCAAATCTGTCAAACACAATCGAACACTGGATGTCACGTTTCCTTTCCCTGATCAAAACCCATACTTTGAAAGCCAAGTAAGCTATTGCTAGGAAACAACGACATGATCCAAATACTGACATTGCATGTTGTTGCATAGCCTACCAATTACATCTCGCATTTGATTGGTCATGAAGGTCCTGGCTCTATCCTGTCATATTTGAAAAAGAAGGGATGGGCGACTTATTTGAGTTCTGGTGGATGCTTTGGTGGTCGTGGTTTTGGATTCTTTCATGTGAGCGTTGATCTTACAGAAGAAGGTCTTGGTAAGCTATAGCTATAGTGTTTAAAAAGGTAGTAGGTTACTTATACATTCCGACATAGAACACTATGAGGACGTGGTGATGGTGATTTTCCAATATATTGAGATGCTCAAGAAAGTTGGTGTCAAGAAATGGATTTTCGATGAAGTTCAATCGCTTGCAGCCATCGAATTCAAGTTTGCTGAGAAATACCCACCATCTCAATACACCTCCTTCCTCACTCAACAAATGCAATCGGATTATCCACCAGAATGGACAATCAGTGGTACAAGCTTGTTGCGCAAATACGACCCTGAACTCATTACAAAGCACCTTTCATTGCTACGCCCTGACAACTTCCGTCTTACTCTCGCCAGCCAAGAATTCCCATTTGGCATCAAATGCGACAAGGTTGAACGCTGGTATAATACCGAATACGGCATCCTTCCTCTCAGCCAAAAGCTGGATAATGTATGTGAGCTTGTGTTTTGTTCTTGATCCTATTCTCATAATGGCAAATAGATGTTGGCTCATATCACTCCCAATGATGCCCTTTCTTTACCAACACCGAATGAGTTCATCCCTACCAACTTGGACGTCAACAAGATGATCGTTGAAACCAAGCAACGCAAACCGGATTTGATTCAGGAGACATCCATGCTCCGTTTATGGCATAAGAAGGATGATACTTTTTGGGTACCCAAAGCCAATGTGTGGATCCTCTTTCGAAATCCATTGACCTATGCAACACCACGCAATGCAGTCATCTCCACGTAAGTAAATGATCCTACATTGTAAACAAAAACTTGGCTGACAATTCTCGTAATAGCTTGTACATAAGCTTATTGGAAGACTCTTTGAATGAATATTCTTACAATGCAGACGTGGCAGGTTTATCGTATCACTTCTCTACAGACCCTGATGGATTGGAGGTATGATTTCATTTTGATACCATTACGCGTTCCTATATCTCATTGTGATGTGTGTGTAGCTTTCCGTTGGTGGATACAGTGATAAGTTGCCTTTGCTATTGGAGAAGGTGGTTGAACGCATGAAGAATATCCGTATCGAGGCGGATCGCTTTAAAGTGATCAAAGATCAGGTACATAGGAACACATAGGGTCTTTGATATAAACTAACTATCTTTTATTAGGTCCATCGATTATACCGCAACTTCTTCTTGGAACCTCCTTTCCAGCATGCAAGCTATTATTTGACATACGCTATTCGTGAACGCATGTGGAAATGCGATGATCTTGCTGATGAACTAGCCGATATTCAGCTGCAGGATGTGCAATCATTCTATCCTACTATCCTATCCCATTTGCATATCGAAGGATTGGTCCATGGCAACCTTGATCAAGATGAGGCGATTCAAATGTTCCGCACTGTTCAAAATGTATTGTCTGCCAGACCATTGATGCCGAGCCAATTCATCAGCTCCCGCAGCTTGAATCTACCACCGGGTGAATCATTTGTGTATCAGCTGCCTGTCCGCGATATGGAAAATGTGAACTCGGCTATCGAATACTACTCACAGGTGTGCGACGTGACCGATATTCCCTTGCGAGCACGTTTGAGCTTGGTGGCCCAAATTGCACAAGAACCTTGCTTCAATCAGCTTCGTACCCGTGAACAACTTGGCTACCTCGTGTTTAGTGGCGTGCGTCGACATGTGGGCACCATGGGCTTGCGTTTCATCATCCAAAGTGAACGTGATACAGTCTATCTCGAGAATCGCGTCGACGAGTTTTTGGACATGCTCCGTGATATCATTGTCAACATGACACCTTCCGAATATGAAGCACAAGTGGATTCGCTTATTGCTGACAAGCAAGAAAAGTTCAAGAACATGGGTCAAGAAGGAGCCAAATATTGGAACGACATTGATTTTGGTTATTACGAGTTTGATGATGTGGACAAGGATGTGGCCGAATTGAGGACTGTTGAAAAGCAATCGTTGGTGGAATTTTTTGATCGTTACATCCACCCTTCATCACCTGAATATCGCAAGTTGTCGATCCATTTACAATCGCAAAAGAAGCCTCCTTCTCAGCCGACACAGCCCACTCATACAGTTGAATCACTGCATACATGTTTGACTTCTGCCACTACTCAGCAACCATTGATCAGCCTGGATGAACTCAAACGTGCCGTGAGCACAGATATTCATGCTGGCCTTCCTCCTGAGACCGTTCTTAGAAAATTGCTGGTGGATGAGCTCAAGGCCAATGAACAAGATATCGAAAATGTCATGGGCAAGTTGGCTCAATTACATAGCACCACGACTAGTAATGGACATGCAAGCACTTCAAACCAACAAGATGACCGGCCCTTTAGTAATGGTACAACAGGTTCCGATACGAATTCGGGAAAGAATTCCCCCACACGTGATCACAGCCAACTTCCAAGAAACAATCAAGCTGTCACTGACTTGATCAAATTCAAGAACCAAATGCCCCTTTCTCCCGCTGCAGTTCCCTTCTTTTTATTTTCCCGCATTTAACGCAACATGGCCATAGAGCGCTCTATTTTGTATATTCAAAAGCGTGTTGTAATTGATTTCCCACCCTGTATTTCGGAAAAAAGAAAAAGCCAAGGTTTCATTGGTCCATTGTAATGTGTGTGCTGTTATGGGGGGGGCTGGGATATTACGTTATGGTTCGTCGTGTCGGCTTCTTCATGAGAAAGATGAAAATGAAAATGTCATACACACACACACACGTTCTTACGCTGTGGCCTATGCGGTCGGTGATGACATGATGGTAGTAACATGATCTTTATATCCGACCCACAACGCTATGCTATCCAATCATGCAAAGTTTTCCATGATTTCCGAAAACCTGGCTTCTGCCAACCCCTCTTTCCGGTGTCAAGGATGTGTGCAAGGTACAAGTTGAATGCATGAATCTAAAAGCATATCAACAAGAGATACTTGCGCCCAATCAATCGGGAATCTCAAAGTCCGCATATAAAAGGCAAGCTCGTTCGGCTTAAACTTTCCCTTACTCTCTTCTTTTTCCCCCTTGCACTTTTATTATGCTTCCCAATATCCCACTTTTTCAAAACGCCATTTCTTACGCAAAGGAAGGCCTTGGCGCTGCTATTGCTGATATGATTACTGGCAAGGACTACTCGTATTCAGAGCTGGTATCTGCTGTTGACACCTTGCAACAAAAGATCCTCGGGTCGGAAAGGTAAAACGTGGTTCCTTGGCAGGAAGCGGGCATACGTATCGACTCATTTGATGGTACTATAGTGATCTCAAGGAACAACGTGTTGCTATTCTCTGTCCAAGGTATAAGGAAGGACATTGTCAGGGGGGAACAAGTGTATTGACGCGTGTATGCGTGTAGTGGATTTTCGTATGTTGTAGCGCAGTGGGCTGTGTGGGCTGCAGGTGGCATCGCCGTTCCATTATGTAAGTTTTTATACATACTTGTTTATTTCATGCATACATTTACATTGATGTATGGATAGGCAACACACATCCCCTTCCCGAGCAATTATATACACTTGAAGACTCCCAAGCATCTCTCATCATTGGTCATCCATTGTATGCTGATCGAATCCAATCCTTGGTCCACGAGAGCAAGTTGCCAACTCAAATGATCACTGAAGAGGACCTTTCCAAGTGGGCTCTCCAGGTAAAAAAGGAAAAGGAAGAGCAGTATGGGATGATGGTGATACTCATTTACTGGCAAAGGGTGTCATTCCAGATACATTTGAGATGGATATGAATAGAAAGGCCATGATTTTATATACAAGTGGTACAACAGGTAAAGTATAGTACTACGCGTATGCGTGTGTGTCGGATATCCATATTCATGCGCTCTATAAGGTAAACCCAAGGGTGTCGTGACAACCCATCGCAACATTGACGCTCAAGCTTCTGCCCTGGTGGAGGCCTGGTTGTGGACTCGCAATGACCGCATTCACCACATTTTGCCGTTACATCATGTCCATGGCATCATCAACGCATTGACCTGCGCTTTGTACGTGGGTGCTACCGTGGAAATGTATCCTAAGTTTGACGCAAAACAAGTGTGGGATCGATGGTTGGCTAGCAGCCCTGACAATGCATCTCGTTCCAAGCAACCTTTTACTACGTTCATGTCGGTGCCTACTGTGTATGGTATGTCATTGTGTGTTGAGCGTGGGCCTTTTTTTATATAGGTTACTAATATACACATACACACATCTTACAGCCAAGTTGATCAAGCAATATGAGTCGTATGGTGAAACAGAACGCACAGCTTATTCGAATGCATGCAAGCAATTCCGTTTCATGGTATCTGGATCAGCATCATTACCCACACCTTTGCGTGATGCTTGGTGCCGTATATCCAATGGACAAGTGTTGCTGGAACGATACGGAATGACAGGTACGTTTGGATGATCAATCTTTTATTAAGGTGGATAAGGTGCTCAAATAAGGTACTACTATAGAACTCGGTATGGCGTTGAGTCAACCTTATCCTGTATCCCAACGCATTGAAGGCACTGTTGGTTTCCCTCTCAGTAATGTACAAGTGCGCTTGATGGCCGAGGAAGAGGAAGGCTCTGGTGTCTTTAGCAAGGATATTACGGATCAACGTGATGTATCTGGTATGGTGCAAGTCAAAGGTCCCAATGTCTTTCTTGAATATTGGCAACGCCCTGATGCAACCAAAAAGGAATTTACTGAAGACGGATGGTAAGCGTACATCACATCATCACATTGCATAGTAGATGGTTGACTCTTGCACCCTTGTGATGATAAAAGGTTCCAAACGGGTGATTATGGTATGCGTGTGGATAGTGAGGGATATTATCGCATCCTTGGTAGAGCAAGTGTGGATATTCTCAAGGTATGTAATAACGCTGCATTCGTTTATGATTCTCCTCCTTGTTAACAGCGCATGAATAGACGGGAGGTGAAAAGGTATCAGCACTGGAAATTGAGCGTGAGCTCTTGTCATGTGACCTTGGTGTCCACGATGTTGCTGTTATTGGCGTACAAGATCCAGAGTGGGGCCAACGTGTAGCTGCCGTGGTGGTGCTTGATGAAGGACGCGTAAGTCAAAAACAAAGTAACGCTAATATTATAAATCCATATCTCACATTCTACTTGTTAGACGTTGGATTTACCGACCATGAGACAAGCTCTAAAGTCGCGTCTGGCTGTGTACAAGGTTCCACAATTGCTATCTGTTGTATCAGAACTCCCCAAGAATGCCATGGGCAAAGTAACAAAGAAGGAACTAGTCAAACTTTTCCAAAATTAAAGCATGATGAAAATAAAATAGAATGGGACAATGTTATTGTTCATATTACAAAGGATCGTATCATTATGACTATGAGCTTCTACTAGCGTGGCGGGTATTATGTAGCCTAGTGTAACTGTTTCGTCGTCGCAGCTTGCTCTCTCTCTCTCAACGATTGTGACTGATAGCACAAGCCATAATTTTCATTACACTCTCAGGTCTGAAAAAACACGCTCTCTCTCTTTCACTTTTTTTTATATCATGTCTGTCACTCTTGAACTTCCTTTGGCTCTTGCTATCCTTGACGGCTACCTCGCCGAGAACAAGTACATCCAATCGTAGGTGTTGTTTATTGTCATCGTTACAAGCTTGAGATTTGCATATCGCTCACATGGCAACGTTGCTGTTTGACAGGGCTGAAGCTGATGCCGCCGTTGCCAAGGCTCTCGGTTCTGCTCCTGCTGCCGAATTCGCCAATGCCAGCAAGTGGTACGCTGATGTCAACAAGTAAGTGTAGATAGGATAGGCTCATGTCACATGGACGTGGATATCTTACTTACGGGATGATGATAACACTTAGGTCTGGTGCTGCTCCCGCTGCTGAGGACGATGATGACATTGATCTCTTCGGCTCTGATGATGAAGAGGTTGATGAGGAAGCTGAACGTATCAAGGCTCAACGTCTTGCTGAATACAACGCCAAGAAGGCTGCCAAGCCCAAGCCTATTGCTAAGACCACCGTTACCTTGGAAGTCAAGCCCTGGGATGATGAGACTGATATTGATGCCATGACCAAGGCTGTCCGTGATATCGCCATGGAGGGTCTTCTCTGGGGTGGTTTCCAACACGTCCCTGTTGGTTTCGGTATCAAGAAGCTTCAAATCAACTGCGTTGTTGAGGATGACAAGGTAAATTGGAAATGTGTTGGCATAGGATCATACAGGTGACTCACTCGTGTATTAGGTTTCCATGGATGACTTGACCGAAGCTATCGAGGCCTTGGAGGACTATGTCCAATCCGTTGATGTTGCTGCCATGCAAAAGATCTAAGCACCTTCCATTTTGTTTTTATATAAAATCACTCAATTGTATAAAGATCAATTTCATCATGTTGAATAAGATATGTCGAGTTCATTTGGATTGATTTAATGGGAGGATGAATATATAAAGAGGGAGAAGGAGGAGAAGGAGGAGGGAAAAAACAATTACACGCGAGGATCATAAACACCCCATCGATTCACAAAACCATCGATCAAATAGTTGTCACCACAGTAGGTATCGGCATGAGAGGAACGGGTCAAGAGACCTTCAAAGAATTGCTGTAGACGAGGGGATTGATCAATAACGTCAAATTTGACGTCTTTCAAGTAGGCCTTTTGGATAGCGAGGACACGGGTTAGGAAAGGAGCAATGGCAATATCAGCGAGCGAGTATTGATCTCCCAAAAAGTAAGGACCTGAAGTTGCTTGTTCAAGCAAAAGCTCATTCAACTATTATAAACCGATATACGTGAATACATGCATCTGTGTACAGCCTTCCTCATGCAAACACTTACACGCTTGTAGGCAATGGTGATCTTTTCAACATACTCCTTCTTGCCTTCTTCATTCATATTGCGAAGTACGAAATAAAAGAGCGGCGTGATCTTTGAGGAAAAGTACTCAATGACGAAGCGGACTTCAGCGCGTTTGACAGGATCTTCGGGCAGTAAGCTACACAAAGTGTCATATGTCATCAGCCAACAAACGCCACATACTTGGATCAAGCAAGATTGCTGTGCCTTGTAGCATGATGATTGAGACTTACCCTTTTTCAGGATGAAGGTCGTTGGCCAGCTCCACGAGCACAAGCGATTCGGCAATGCTCTTTCCCTTGATAGACAGTGCTGGCACCTTCAACTCAGGGTTGACATCCTTGTACCTTTTATATGCTATCTATCAGCATGACACGCGCATGCGGCCATTGTTGACATTGGGTGTTTACCATGAGGGCTTGTTGGTGAGATCAATTTCGACTGATTCATACTCGACGCCAGCTTCACGTAAAGCAATAGCAGCGCGTTGTGCATAAGGGCAAATCAAGGCAGTATATAGAACGATTTTATCTACATAGCAACGCGTGTATATGAATGACCATGTTGAAATGTATGATGACTAATAGTATTACTCACCTGTCATTTATGTAAGAAAGAGAAGAGATGGATATTGAATAACACGTCGGAGAGAGAGAGAGAAACCCATATTATATAGTCGCTCTTGCTGCTGACAAATCCTGCCATAATCCCAGTAATCCGATACACATTAGGAGAGTTGGGGAGACGTGGCCGCTTATCCGAAATATGGATTAATGCAACACTAAACTTGTATTTCGCAATTCATTCATACACACTAAATCAAATGATTGGGCTACACACACATACACATGTGAGATAAATTCTAATTCAAAAATGGTATCTGGTCGGGCGCCACTTGTAGCACCGTCATCATGCCTTGGATCATATGACCATTGATATGGCAGTGGAATGACCATAATCCAGGATTTGTCTATCACCATCGAAACCACAGAAAATTAGCATGTCATCCAATCCATCGATTGCACCATACAATAGCTTACCATAAAGAAGCGCATCTTTGTCCATCCACAAGGTGTCCCTGGTTGAACATCCGAACCTGGGTCAACAGGATACACAAACGTTGTATCTTTGCCAATTGGGGTGGAGTATGTACGTAGATCCTTATCACGCTCATGGATATACTCGCCAGGACCATTAGCAATGGCATAGTGTACTTGACCGTGGGAGTGCCATGGATGACCAGCACATAAACCATCGTTGAGCATGACTGTGGTATGCACCACAAAGTCAACCACCTCGCCATGAAAGAATGGAAAAGATTGCGTCGCCTCATCAAACCCATCACCATTGCCTTGCTTGCTGAGCTCGATGGATGTGTGATTCATGGCCAGATTCTTGTTTTCCTTGAGTTGATATAATAATGCCGTATCCCACATGGGTGGTTCGTGTCCATTGATGTACCATCTTGATGAATTATCCGGCATACGTTCCTCTGTAGGTGTAAGAATGATAGTACGATCAGGTGCACCATCAAAGCCATTAGGTGATTCGCCGGCAGGTTCCATAGCAGGGAAGTACCATTCGTTGGGGCCTGGTGGGAATTGTGGAAGTTCTTGAGGCATCTCGTGCTTCTCCTTATTATACTGCAGGATAGCACGACCATTGCTATAATCCGATTGCTCCAGTTGATAGGGCTTGGTATCGATCCAATAGTTTTGTGAAGGGTCTTGATCAGCAGTGACGAGAATAGAGAATCGTTGACCAGGAGCAACTTCAAGATATGGTACTTGATATGGCTTGATGGGTGTCCCATCCACTTCAATGACCGTCATTGTGTGTCGTGCAATTGCCACACCCAAAGATGAAAATGTCAGCCCACCAATGACTCGCACTCGATATGTTTTGCCATGTTCCACAGGAAGAACGGTATACCCTTGACAATCATCCTCATCCTCATCATCATCTCCTCCTTTTTGCTCAAACACCGTACGGCCATTCAATAGATAGCTATCAGCAGCAATCATGCCAGCGTATTGTGGACCCAATACATAATCAAGTCGCTCATTGTCATGCTGATGCCAGTGCTCGCCCAATAGCAAAATGTGCTCGTCGTCGTATTCTTGACCGTATTCACATAGCTTGTGTTCTTTGCCAGGCCAAGCTTCATCCGATTCGTAAACAATGAAAGCACCGTGAACAGACTCATCTTGAAGATCATTATGAGCGTGGTAAAAATAGGTGCCTGTTTGTTCGGAGACCCGAAAACGATGTTCAAAAGTACCACCAGGAGGGATATCATTTTGGGTCACGTTGGGCATGCCATCCGCTTCAGTTGTTCCCAGCTGAAAGATACCATGGAAATGAATGGAGGTGGGCCTATGACCCTCGTTGTGTACTTTGACATGTAATTCATCATCCTTGTTGACACGGATTACTGGTCCAGGGTGCTCCCCATTCACCAAAAGTCGTTGATAGCCTTGTGAATAACAATCGGGATTGATCTCCTGCCTTGATACTGTAAGCTCGATTTCACGCAGCTTGGCGTGCGTGAGACAGCTCAAGATTAAAATGGATAGTAATAGCAAATGAATAGGATGCATTAAGGTATGGATTTTTGCTCATACTCAAACTTTCCATGAACCTCATTCTTATATATGTTGTTGTCTACTATACTCATCTATCTCCTTGTTGGGTTCGACGGCTTTGGAAGATATTAAAACGATCATCATTGATTAAAAAAAGGATGCACAACACAATAGCCAAACTGACCAAATGAGAGGATACAGGGCCTAAGTCAATGCACGTGTGCATGTGATGTACCTTTGCAGATGTACGTGGAAATACATTAAGGGGGGACGGCATCACCAGCAGTGCTGCTGCTGCAGTAGGAGGAGGAGGCCGATCGTCAAAAATAGTTATTATTACATAGGTGCCGCTCTCCCACCCTTGTGCTTGTACACTTTTGTTTGACACTTTGCCCCCTACCTCATGCAAAGTGTGACAGACAACAAGAACGACAGAAAAAAGAACATTTTAATGGATTTGTTTTTGTCACACTGAGATTGAGCGCACTCACGCCACTTTACTTAAAAGTCAAGCTATCGCCGAGTATGGCCAATAACATGACGACTTTGGTTAGATACTACATGCACAGTGTAAGATAATATAATCTTGAAGGTAGCAGTTGACAGTCATGGGAACAGTGTTGTGCCTCGATTTGACACGATGATGATGATATGATGGAGTAATGAGTTTTTCAGACAACACCTCCACAACTTGTTGTATCCCTTGAGCAGCTATAGATCAATGAACGTAATCCCCCCTTTCACAATTAATATCCAAGTTGTCCATAGGAAACAAAGACAACATCTGGAGCTCACATACATAATAAACAACAAGGGATACATTTGAGCTGTTGCATATTGTACCACCCTATCCCTTGTTCCTCCTACCATCGTGTGTATGGCATCTCCATGTTATGCCATTATGCCTATTTTGTGCACTATACTATGCTCCTATTATCCCACTACGAATGGTGCAGCTGGCATAACGTTTCCCCAGTTGACTGCAGGTGATAGCTGTGTATCATAAATGGCTATCATTGATTGGCCAAAAAAAAGCGATAAACTCCAAGACCGACTTTTTGCTTCGCATGATGGAAAAAGTGTGTGTATTACAACGTTAGTGGCAATGGGCCAATGCAAGCACAAGAAGCTTAGATCGAATGTATTTGATGTGCACATGGCGATGAGACTGATTTCTGGATGGCCAATCCATGTGACACAACTTTGGTTCAGATTCGGTGTAACATGACTGCCATGCGACCATGTGCGGCATGCCTGGCTCTTGGTTTGATCGGGCAGATTCCCAGTGTTCTACAAGATGTATACCTGTGTACGCATTTTATTTCGTAGGTGTATGTGGTGGCATATATAAAAGAAATCTTCCATCTAATGCTCGTGTCGGACGTGCGTCGTCGTTTTTAGCCATCATCATCCATCATGAAGATCTCGTCAGCCATTGCCACCCTTGCCGCTTTTGCTACTGTTGTCAATGCAGCTCGGCCTTCTTACAAGCTCATTCCCGATCCAGAGGGACAATACCCTCGTCTTGGTGCATGCCCTGATGAACATGCTTGTATTTTTCCTCCCGATGTGTAAGTAGTGGCGATATGAGTTGTTGTATCATCCCATCAAGCTGATCTTCGATATTATTAGCTCAACTTTCTTACCTGGTGCCTACTTTGATTTGCGTGTGGAATTGCATGCTTATGATAAGGACAACAGCACGGTGCCTGAGCCATACACATCCTTCAAGACTTTGGTACGCAAAGATGGCAAGGGCAAATGGCAAAATGCCGACGACTTTTTTGGCTTTGAGCAAACACCCGCTTTGGAGAACTGGAACTTTACATGGGCCAACACTATCGAGGCCACTCTGAAGGAGGAGGCTGGTGTTGATGTTGCTGTTACCTCGCGTATTTGGCGTAAAATCAAATTTGATGAGCCGGGTACATATGACGTAGCTGTGCAGTATGGTCCCAAGGATTATTACACCGTGCGCTATAATGTTGTTCAGGTACATGGCAGAGTATATGTGTAATGGTGTGGCAGCATTAACCACTTATTGTTTTTTACCATCACAGCCCAAGGCATCAAAGAAGAAGGCTAAAAACGCCATCCTTTTCATTGCTGATGGATGCAACGTTGGTGTAAGTACAAAGCACGTTTATTATTGAATGGGTGGGGTAGATGATTGAATGTATTTTAAATAGATGATTACGGCTGCTCGTGCTCTTGGTCGTATGCACACATCTGGAAAGTACCACAACCTGTTATCCTTTGAAGACTTTGACAACCTTGGTCATGTGCTCACCAATTCAGTGGATGGTTTGGTCACCGACTCTGCCAACTCGGCTTCTGCTTATGCTACTGGACACAAGGCTAGCGTCAATGCTCTTGGTGTTTACGCAGACTCGTCATCCGATCCATTTGACGATCCCAAGGTTGAGCTCATCACCGAATTGATCCGCCGTCGTCAACCAGGCAAGGCTGTAGGTGTTGTCTCTACCGCTTATGGCCAGGTAAAGAAATCATATGCAGCAGCCGCAGCTACAACAAGGTGTATATTAACTTTTATGTATGCTTCGTTTTAGGATGCAACACCAGCTGCATTTTACGTGCACACTCGCAGAAGAAGCGAATCAGGCCATATTGTAGATCAACTCGCTAACGGTGTTGCAAATTGGACTGATCCTGGTAAGATACACACACATTAATTTCCCTCCTTCCTCCTGCATGTGATATCCATCCCTTAATAACGGACGTTAACAGTGGCTCCTGATGTGTGGCTTGCTGGTGGTGCCGAATACTTCAAGGGTGAAGAAGCATTGAATGAGACAGACTATTACGATTATCTCCAAGATCATGGCTACAAACTTGTCTTGAACAAAAACGAGCTCAAGAAATACAAGGACGATGAAAAGTTGCTTGGTGTATTCCGCACTGGAAATCTTGATACGTAAGTGGTCCTTTTATAGCCGATAGGATGGTATTTTCTTAATTTGCCCTGTACGTATAGCTGGATGGAGCGCAATATCCTCGTCAACAACACCGTTGGCAATGGTGCTGCCCCTGATTTAAGCGGCAAGGATGCTCTCGGTTCCGATCAACCTGGCTTGACTGATATGACGCTGAAGGCTCTTGAGGTGTTGAAAAAGCGTGGTGGTGATGATGGTTTCTTTTTGATGTCTGAAGCTGCATCGGTTGACAAGCAGGTTAGTCTTAATTCTCTCCTTTTTCTTTTGTTTATACATGTCGAAACTCACACCCTCACAAATAGCTTCATCCTCTGGATTTCACGCGTGCTTACGGCGAGCTCTTGGAAATGGATGTCACTATCGCCAAGACTGTGGAATGGCTTAAAAAGAATGGAGAATACGAGGACACCCTTATCTTGTTCACCGCTGACCATGCCCATCCATTTGATGTCTGGGGCTCGGTTGACCAAGAGTATATTCAACGCAAGACTTCTTCTGAAAGAGAGATGCGTGATTCTATTGGTCTCTATGCAGCTTCTGGTTGGCCTGGATACTATGATGAGGATGGTGATGGTTTCCCTGACAACTGGGTAAGTAGGCGCAATGGCATGTTGCAACATGGCATTCACACGCTTATATTTTTTAGCACCCTAAAATCACCTTGGCTGCCGGTGTGAATGATGGACCTGATCATTATGAAGCATTTGCATTCCCTGCTACTGGCACTCGTGTTCCTGCTGTCAAAGAGGATGGTATCTATGTAGCAAACAAGGAAGATCAAGCTGGCAATTATGGAGGTATGAACATCACGCATTATACCAGGACTTGTTTTCAGTATTAACTCGGGTTGTTGTTTGCTGCATATATAGCTGGTCTCGAATGGCATGGTAATCTTCCTGTTTCCGAGTCCCAAGGCGTTCATTCAATGTCTGATGTATTTATTTACTCAAATGGTAAGCCTACATCACATCGCCGAAGAGTCAGCGATCTCATTCTTGTTTTCTTTTAGGCCCTGGCTCTGAGCTCTTCAAAAAGACAATTGAAAATTGGCAGGTCTTTTTCGGTTTAACTGAGGTAAAGTTATTTGGCATATACATACACACATCCATTCAATCACTGATACACTGGTTTCTTTCATCCAATTATAGGCGCTTGGCCTTCAGGAGCCTGTCGAAGGTGAAAACAAGAATTAGACTAGATATCAACCACCATCTCGCTGATTATTATATGCTGTTACTGTAATATCCAAGCTCTTGATGAGCACTCATCTGAATCCATATATGTATACTATACGTAAATACGATTGAATGCAATTTATATAATCATTTTGTATCAATGTTACAGGGAGAGTGAGCTATTGTAATTGTCCACTTTACTCGAGGTATTCATAAATGTCGTTGTCACCCCGTGCCAGGTATTGTCTACGCGATCCTATTAGCTAATAACAAAACACACATATGCATCACTTACTTTTCAATGAGATACTCGATACGCTTTTTAAAGTCTTTGGCCTGTAAATGTGTGCTCCACGCTTAGTAACCCGGCGTATCTCCAACTCTCTCTTCCTACACCTACCGTAATGGGAAATTGGATTTGTCGCACCACGTCACTCAATAGCGCACCATGACTTAATTGCCGCTTGGATTTCATGATTCTCACTATGACAGCATCCACCTGTATTTAAAAGAGGATTAGAACAGCGAATCACCCGAAACGGTAAATGATGGCTTGCCTGGTTTTCACGATTCATGAGCACAGCCCGAGGGACGTTGGCATTGCTGTCAATCACTTCTTTGAGCTTTTCAGTATTCATTCGTATGCGCTGGGTAGATGCTGTATAGTCTTCGTTATAGGTAAAGGTGTCGGTATCATCCACATCTTCAGTATCGGGCGATTTCCTTAGCAACTTTTGATCACCACATGCCAAAGATTTGAGTGTGCGTCGCAATTCAAGCTCATCTACAGATAACACATGAATCGCATACTCTATTAGTACCACCTTCTACCTCTTACCAAGATTCGTTGCTTCAAAGATATTTCGAAAGCTAAGTGATTCCATCGATGGGTCGTTAAATAGTAATACTACCACCGTTTGTAGCAGGGTCAATGTCAATTCCTTCGTCCCCTATGTAATGGATCAATCAGTATCTATCTACTGCTTTTCCTTTTTCCTTGACTTACTTTGGGGTAATTCGCCGTGACATCACACACACCCAATGAATTCTGCCATGTAAGCTTTCGACCCGAGAACTTTGTATTGTAAAACTCTTGATATCGACGCTCCACATCCGCAAACTAGCATGCATTTTGTTAGCGATCACTCTTTGGATATAGCGTCAACGTATCATAACTTACTTCAGGTGGCAGGTTGATTTCCACAGGTGTATAAGATGGCCAGAATCCATATGTGAGTATGTTTGCTTTGAAATTGAATGGGATAGCTCGGCCTTCTGGCAGTGACTATTGGCATGAACTTGTTCAGTAAAAGTGCTAAATCATACCTATATGCGTTGAGTACCTTGAACTCGTTCATGAGGTCATGCGAATGCTTGATGTCCCGTAACATGCCTTCGAGCTGACTGGTGTAAGCCAATCCACATTCTATGTATAATGGTTAGATAAGGTGACCACTTTTCGCAAAAGAATACTTTTACCTTTTCTTAGCTTTGTCAACATGTTTTTCTCGGCATTCCTGCTCTTCATATCCAACAGCAATCGTTTTGAAAGATCCCGACGATAGATTGACTGGAAAACGTCCTTGCCTTTTTACATTCTTTGGTAAGCATTCTCCACGAATCAATACCTCGAGTCGTTTACCTCGCAAATATCTAAAAAAGAAACATAAGTAACATGTATGCGTAATTAAGGCACCATCTCACCTGAATAAACCGATTCCTTGCTCCAGACCCTTTTCCATTTGATGTTCATCCATCTACAAATATCTTTAGCATTACTCTCTTTGACGATCCTTATATAGATATCCTTACCCGATCATAGTTTCTCAATAGGTAATCGGTATAGGCTGCCAATAATCTCGTTGTGCGATTCTCTTTGAAATTGATAAAATAGTCAAATCCATCTCGCCGTGCCTCTGCAAATCGCTCGTCGCCTTCAAAGCTGTGACCCATGATGATATCGGTCTTTTTCTTGAAGCTGAGGATCATTGAAATCACTTCACGGTCCGCAACACCTCGTTTCTTTTGGAGTATGGATATGCCTTCCTTCTATAAATGATTGCTTTCGCTTTAACATACATATAGTTCCTAGTATCACGCACGCTATTTACCTTTACATATTCACGGAAATGCTTGACGCACAAATCCAGAGCATTCACTTTGCGTAATAGGCGGTAAAGCATGGAGAGATCATCCTCACAGTCGTTGTCCATAAAGAATGCAAAGCCTGAATACGTACATGTCAATTGAAATGTATCTTTATCTCTCTCTCTCTCTCCAACTTACTCTTATCCAGAATAACTTCCGCACGCTTAGTCAAAAGCTCTTGTTCGACGATCGAGTTGAGGGGTACCTTGGTTGACTTGTCGAAATACTTCTTAATATGGAGTACGGATTCCTGGTGTAATCGATGGGCAGCGTGCTGAAGATAAATAGACATATCCATTTCTTGGACAAGGCGGTCTCCTTCATCACTGTAGTATTTCCTTGTCTCTGCTAATAAACGTGGCTCAAAGTCAGTATGATAAACCTGGAGATCGATCAACATGTGGAGCAAGGATTGCAGCAAGGATGAATCGGCATTGATATCGTCACTTTTTTTAAGGATCATGAGTGGGGATACTGACCAATACATTGTCTCGTGTACCTACCGTTCACATTGGACAAGCACAAGAGCATTCTCCACTACTTTGTCACGGATGTGTTGATGTTGTTGGTATTCTCGTCCAAATAGCTTCATGCCAAGACTCCTATGCTATATGTGTTAATAATGATTTAACTCAAAACCAAGTCTCACTTACCATAGCGATCCATGTAGTGATGAAACAACTGAACGATCAAGGTACAAGAAGATTCCTCGGATCTGAGACTATGGAAAACAGCATGAGTATACGTTATACACTACGCATGGATCAATAACTTACTAGCTGATTACAATAGGTCTTCCACCATGTATCCATTGCCGTTAGAAAAGATCTTCCATCCATTGTATTGACACTAAAAGAGAGTGAGTTGCCAGTAAGTATTCAATGCTTGCACAATCACTTGCCTTTGCTCTAGGTTTGCGAATTCCTGCTGGATGTAAATGCTGCATTCGTTACACAATTGGTCGCAGAGCTTAATTCCCAAGTTGTATTGACAGAGGTTCTCGCAGAGCTAGACGTACGCAAGTCAACTTGGAGTATTCGATGATCTTGTATTTGTAACTTACTTGGTATAGCACTTCGAGACTCTCTTTGGGCTGTTGATTTTGGTGAATAGCATGGATAGCTTCTTCAAGTCGTTTCCAGGCATTATCCTCATATCCTTGTGGTAATGGGGGTCGTTCGACTAGAATGGGTATCTCTTTTTTAGTCGTCTATCCTAGTGAACGTCCATTATGACACACCTCTCAGGTTGTAGACGATCAGCTTTTTGTCGGAAAGAACGGGATGCTTTTTGGATCTTCGAACCGAGTTGAAGAATGCACTGAATGGTCGGTTTTCGCTGCCAGTACTTGAATCGGCATTTTCGAGGCGTGGTCGTTTGAAAATTGGCTCATCTTGGTATTCGTGAGAGGACATGAGTGAAGAGGAACAAGGTGAAGAGGTAAAAGAACGGGGGTGACTTGGGCGCGTATCCGCTTGAATTCTGTGGTCAGTGATGATTTTAACAGCGCCAGTGGATCCAATGCAGCCGCATCGTGTTTTATTGCAGAGTCGATAACTTCATCCAGTAGCCAACTTCATATATTACATTACATACAACGATCACCCTTGTCATGTAAAAGTGATTGATAACATTGCGCCCCCCATTGATTAAAGCCTCTCATCCAAATGTCCCATCCCATCATCGAGCAATCATATATAATACAAAAGCACATGCTGTTTATTTCTTAATACCATATTGGGCCTTGTATTCACGCATCATCTTCAAATGTTCCGTATAAGTGCCCTTTTCTTCCATATATTCCATAATGTGATCCACAGTGATGATAGCACGGATTTGGATGTTGTTAGCCTCTTCAATGGCTTGAATAGCTGATTTGCCGGAACCATCAGGAGCAACTTCGGCACGATCGACTGCAACCAAAACACCCTTCAATTCGGCATTGCTTTGCTTAATGATTTGGATCGATTCGTTGATAGCAGTTCCAGCAGTAATCACATCATCCACGACAACGACCTTGCCCTTCAAAGGGGTACCGACAATGTTGCCACCTTCACCGTGATCCTTCTTTTCTTTACGGTTGAAAGCAAAAGGTGCTTCTTGTTGATGCTCGGATGATAACGAGAGTGCAGTAGCGCACACCAATGGGATACCCTTGTAGGCAGGACCAAAGAGAACATCATAGGGAAAACCAGCATCGATCAAGGCAGCAGCATAGAACCGACCAATGGCACCCAAAGTCTTACCACTGTTGAAGAGACCAGCATTGAAAAAGTAGGGAGAAACACGTCCAGACTTGAGCGTGTAGGTGCCGAACTTGAGAACGTCATTAGCAAGGGCGAATTCAATAAACTCTCGTTGGTAGTCTTTCATGTTTGTGTGTCGAAGAAAAAGTACGTGGCTTGCTGCCTGTTTCCTTGGATACCGATGGCTGACTTTTATGTCACACACGCATACTAAGGTATCACCGCCGCATGCTCTTTCAATCAATCAAGATTGGGAGTCCCTTTATCAAGAAAAGACATGATGGGTGCTACTAAGATGACTTTTTCTATATCATTCAAACCTGTATGGCGTAATGCTAGATCCCTTTTCATTGTTGATATCATGTAATTGTATCATTGCTGTTACATCAGTATACTCGAATGCACAAATATACACGCAACGCATACCACTCTACTACTTTATTATCATAAAAGTATGAAATATAGCAAGTTTCTTTGGTGGCACATGGGTAAAGATACTGTGATTGCAGGTGAATGTCATTGTCTGATAATGATGGATATTCCCAAGCAAGCTCAACTGGATTGTGTCAGGTTGCCCGATTTATGCATGATGGAAAACCATTATTGTACCAGTTGCTCTTGAGGGAAACGTATGTAAAGATAGCTTCACATTGTCATGTGACTTCCCACGATTTGGGTTGAGAACCATTTTGGATATTGCAATGCTTGTATTAGTCGCTTGGAGACAACGCTAGGTAACCTTGCAGACAACTTGGAACGACAAAACATAATGATGATATCTCAAAATGGCCGTTCACAAATGTTACGCAGCTACATTGAAGCTGCACCCGAGTCAGCACATAGCCAACCTATCCTTACAACGTAAGGATCCCCATTTTTTTAAGATTCCATCCTATCGTTACATATTCCAACGCCATTCTAGTTTTATTGCTATCCAAGAATTGACATGAGGCTGCAAGTGGGTAGATGGTTCTAGGTGACCGACCCTGAGAGGAGGGCCTTGTGACTGTCCGATTAACATGAAATTCAGGCTGAGAGATCCATTATCCATTCAGAACATCTTTACTATGAACAACTTGCTTGAACGTCAAAGAGGGTGAGTAGCTATTCTCTTTTTTTTGCTATGCCCTCCTTTACTCACGCTATAGCACTAGCTCCCATGAAGAAATCGAACGACTAGAACAGGCTATCGTCGACCAGTATATGCACGAGCCAAGGACACATCGTGAACGTCTTCGAAACGAGCATGTTGTAAACAAGTTGCTGACACGAATGGCGGATAAGAGTGAATCACTATATGCATTATATGAAGACAATGACGGGTAACTATTGAGGACGATCTTGGGTAGAAGTGCAAAGGTTTAATACCAATATACATAGTCTACGTCAATCCGAAATCGAAGCGTTGTCAGGATCGTCAGAGTTCAGCGAGTTTTACGAACGTCTACGAGTCATCAAGGATCACCATCGCAAGTATCCCAATGAGCCAGTGGAGCCCCCAGAGATGGAATTCATACATGCACAGCAAGCTGATGACGAAAATCAAGACGATGGTGGGTACTACATAGGGTGGGTGGGTGGAGAGGATGGACGAGTGACTCTAAACATGAATGATGGATATAGAGTTGGAAAAGTTATTCTCTGGCGAAGAGGCTTTTGGAAGGTATCTCGACATGAACGCATTGCATGGGCAATATATCAACCTGAAGGGTGTCAAAAAGATGGGCTATCTTCAGTACCTGAGCAAATTCGATGATTTCGAGCAATCCTATCCAAAGACGTTACGATCCAGTCCCGAATACAGGCAGTAAGGAAATATAGATAGGATGGATCAGGAATGTCATACTCATCGTGTGATAGATATTTACAAGACACTTGCGACTACCTTTGTTCTTTCTTTCGGCGTGCGAATCCCTTGTTTGATCTTGATGAACTTGAAAGAAAGGCACAGCAGGAATTGGAAGAGAAGTGGAGTGCAGGAAAGCTACCTGGATGGGAAGAAATCGCCAACGAATCCAATACCCCAGAATTGTATTGTAATGCTTGCCAAAAGCAATTCAGCAAACAGACAGTGTACGACAATCATTTGAAAGGAAGGAAGCATATCAGCAATGAAAAGAAGTTGGCAGCAAACGGCACACAACAAAACGGCGACAAGCAAGACAAGCGGAAGGAAACAGCATGGAAAGAGTTACTGATCAGGAAATATGCCGAGGCTTTACAAGAGGCATTGAATGAGACCAAAGCCAATGTGGAAAGAAAACAAGCTCTGACTGATAGGGAGCGAACGGTAAGAAATGAATGGAGGCTATGGTCAATGGCATGACATTGATGATATGATATTTTTTTTAGTTGGAGCAAGATCAAGAAGAAATTGAACTCGATGAGCAGGAGAGCGACGAAGAAGATGATGACAAGATTTACAATCCTTTGAAGCTTCCCCTGGGATGGGATGGAAAACCGATTCCCTATTGGCTGTACAAACTACATGGCTTGGGAGTGGAGTATCCTTGCGAGATCTGTGGAAATTATGTATACATGGGTCGCAAAGCATTCGACAAGCACTTTCAGGAATGGCGTCATGCTCATGGTATGCGATGTCTCGGCATTCCAAATACCCGACATTTCCATGAGATCACAAGAATTGAGGATGCATTTGCTTGTAAGTATTTGGGATATAGAGTCAAGTTTGGTATACTGACTTATTTTTTCTTAGTATTTGAGAAACTCAAGAAGGAAGGAGCAGCAGAAGAATTCGTCGCTGATACAATGGAAGAATACGAAGATGATGAAGGCAATGTCTTTAACAGGAAAACATATGAAGATTTACGACGACAGGGTATTATCTAGGATAGATAGACTTTTGATTTTGGAATACATTGTAGCAACTTTTATTCTTCATGTGTTTCTTGAGCATATGCACTATGTCTTTCTTCCTTAAGAGCTAAGGCACGACGCTTTACGTAGTCATCGGATAAATCTGTAACATGGCTTCTATCTTCCAAATCAATCATCCTTCTCTTCATACGATTAAGCGATTGATCAACATAGGATGATAACGCATTCTTGTCGTCCTTTTCAATAAGCTTTTGCACCACATCTTGAAGTTCGTTCTCAGGTAGTACGGCAAGGTTGCGTCCGAGGATTTCACCGACGAGATTTTCAATCTTGAGCGTATCCAATCTTTCAGGTACAGGCGCTGGTGAGGTCCCTGTTGTATCACGGACGTTACGTTGTTGTCTTCCTTTTGTCACACGACTGAATTTCAGGATATCTTTCGGATTTGCAACACGATTGATGAACTTTTTTCCAAAGACAACGACGTTGAATGCTTCAAACTCGGGAGTATAGTAGACACGTACGCGAATCAATGGCAATGGTGTATCTCGTTGTTGTTGTTCCTCGGGCTGTTGTCGTTCTTTCCATTTGGTCTCTGCTTTCTTGATAAGATCTTCAATCACTGATGTCAAATATTGTTCACATGCTTTGGGATCTGGTGTAAGATCAGGCACCTCAGCAAGGGAGACTGATGTCCATTCAAAGGGCCGAACTGTATTAAGAGGTATCTTTTGTAATGTGTAATCTGAGCCTGTCACCTCCAAAAGGCCAACGTGCTTTGGAATAGCTTCACCTGCAGCCAAACTAGTAGCCACCGAAGAGCCAGGCTGTATAATATCAACACCATTGCATGCTTCAGGATCGATTCGACAATCGTGTTCATGTCCCCAAACGACAAGATTGAAAAAATCCGGGATGAAGTCTTCTGGAATATAGGATGTTGGACCATGCTGAACGCGATTTTGATGTAATACAAGGAGATTGAAAGCATTTCTGTACCATTCGGGCTCCATCTCTGGATCAGGTCTTGGGAACTTTACATTGCCGTCACCCCATGCATGATGCAATCGTTCATCACGAATATTGCCGAGTCCATACAAAAGTAACTTTGTTGCTCCTTTTTCAAATAAGATGGGATTCACTTGGATATCACGAAAGTCGTATGCGCGTCCGAAATAGTTGATATGACCACCATTTGCCAATACATCCAAGACACAAATATTTCCCAAGCCTGATGGATCATCGTGATTGCCGTGAATGGAGAAGATAGGAATACTGATATTCACATTGGGATCATACACGTTGGCACCGTGCCCGCTGCGGCTTTGAAAGTTGACACTCTGATCGCTGACAATGTAGAATTCGCAAGGCTTGCTGCCGTAACAGTGCTCTCGAATCAACGTTATCACTTCATTCATACAATACAGTGAGGGTCGATTGTCGTGAAATAGATCGCCACCCAAAAGTATAAAGTCGGCATGGTATTCTTTGGCAAGAACGAGCACTTCCTCAAATGCGTCAAACGAATCGCGTCCTCGAATCTGATCGTTCTCGAGATAGCCCACATGGTTGTCTGTTGCAATAAGGATTTTGAGCGTATCGGACATGTGGAATAAGGAGGTATGATTATCATGCAGGCATCCAAAGGAATTCATATACAAATCGGGACTTGTTCTTGAGCACTTGACGCACCAGCAACAATCAGCCCATGGCATCCTTCCAAAACCCAAAAGCTGCATAGGCGGTCATGGTGGATCTGTTATTACCCAAAGTACAAAGCCTGAGACGTGAACACAATGATTGCCTATGTCCTATGCTGGCCGCCTCCCCGCCCCCTCAAAAAATGGTCGCATCATGTTGTAATATAGACAATGAGTATTATTAGAAAGGTTCTTTATATGGACAAGTTCAATGAAATGGTGTTTGATTGTGAAGGTAAATGGGGGCATGATGAGAATGAGACTCTTTTTTGGGTGCAGTTGTAAGCTGCCGGGGTGGTGTGTTGCGGGATTGAATATACAAACTATAAACCATCCCATTGAGTAAAGGGGGGAAGGGATAGAGGGGGGAATTGTAATGTTGTCAAGGATACAATCTACGCAACCACTTGTATTCCCACACTTCTTGCCACACCAATGATGCTTCCACAGATACTTTCGAGAGACAAATGCTGGAGACTGGCATCGGTTTGCTTGATTTTGGCGATCTCATAAACATGCTTCAGACTGACTTTGCCAACAATTTCCGTTCCAGGCTTGGAAGCACCTTTGCTGATGCCTGCAGCACGCTTCAAGAGAAAGGTGGTAGGTGGTGTCTTGGTGATAAAGGTAAAGGTACGATCGGGTTTGATAGTAATGACAGTGGGAATGGGTGTCTCAACCGCAATGTGTTTCGTTTTGTCGTTGAATTGCTTGCAAAAGTCCATCGATTTGACACCACGTGCACCAAGTGCTGGACCGACGGGTGGTGAAGGAGAGGCTTTGCCGGCGGCAACGAGAATACGCACGATCGCTTCGGCCGCTTGTTGCTTTTTTGACATGGATACGAAAAGGTAAAGTGTTAAAACAATATCAAGCCACTCGAACGAGGGGCATTACAAAAGCGTCGGCCGTCTAGTAGTCCGACAATTGTCATGTCATGTGACCGCACATTCGATACGGGCCATACATCTACAACATTTACATCACGATGGGTTCCTTGTAGCCGATGCGTTGGATTGATAGTAATTATCATTGTTATTCATTAGAAAGTTCACCAAAACAGCTCACTCCAGCAATAAAGATATTGGATTCACTTTGTATTGCCCTTCAACAACAACACGTACAAAGGCCACGTTTTCCTTGTATTTGATACCCATCGGCTTCCATTAATGAAAGCTGTCGATCAATAAAAGCAGTAGCTCTTTATTTGGTCACAATGATAAGAAGCATATAGCATGATGTACCTTCTGATAATGACAATGCTGGTAGGACCATTATCACAAACATCACTCGAAACTCAACTTGACCCTGTCAAAGATCAATGTCTAGTACAAGTAAGGATCTCGCAAGGCGTTGTACCTGGTATTTGCCCCTGAATATGACATGTAGTTTAGAAGGTTACATAGCAGGCTAGCACTTTCATCTCGCTCTTTCTCATTATGGATACCCCTTGTGTCGTTGTTGCCCCGCTGAAAGACTGCTGAACAACGTGGTGGTACCCATGCCAACGTTCATATAGAGTTGCCATGATAGTACTTGGACGGCCTATGGCTTTTTACACAAGTGGGAGATTGCGGCTCAAATACGATATGTGGAGTCGAATGACGCCAACCAAAAAGATGACTAGAAGAGAAAGAATAGAATACTATTGCCACATTGTTGTAATCTGCAAAGGTGCTAGGTGCCAGCATATCATTGGTGGAATATGGTCGTTCAATGACCGAAAACTGCAATTGCCAACTCATTCCTCATATCTCTTTCATCCGCCCCCACCTCTCTTCCAGCACACACATACACGCTTGTCAGCACAATGGCAGAATACTCTTACGATGAGGAAGGGTTCAACTTTTATTATTTCCTCATATCAGTCTTACTGATATGCTTGGTGCCAATGACTTCGTACCTAATCTATTCGGCCGTGTCGTCAACGAGTAAGTTGCCTCATGTTGTATAATCCTGCAGCCTTGCCAACCACCGACATCGATAGGATCAAGTAGCGACAAGAACCTTTGCCACTGTCAGACATGCACATTGGAACGACAACAAGTCAACAAGACTTCATGCAACCGCCTGATGAACCAGTTGATCCGGCCAAAGTATGTTACCCATTGACAGGGATGCCAAAAGTTGCACAGGCTCTCTCCTCGCGCGCATACAATGTATTAAGTCTCTAATTTGCTTAGGTTTGTATTCCTCGTGGCAGGCTGGTTGGCAGTCGCATTCCTGGCATATCAAGTTTCTTTTGCTGAAGCTCCAAAACAGCATTGGGATCCTTATGAGATTCTTGGTATCAGCGAGGTAATTCATCAGATGAATGGACACGTTTAGGACACATGGATGCTTATTATCCACTCAATCATCAGGGTGCCACGTTGCCTGAGATCAAAAAGGTGTACAAGAAGCTGTCATTGATCTATCATCCTGATAAAGCACAGCCTGGTACCGAGAAGGAGTCTGAGGAGCAATTTATTCAAATCAGCAAGGCGTATCAAGTGTAAGTTGTGTTGTGATCATGGTTACTGAGCTCGAGGTATTGATGGACGTACCATACTTAGATTGACTGATGAAGATGTCCGCAAGAATTACGAGCAATACGGCCATCCTGATGGCAAGCAGACGTATTCTGTGGGCGTAGCACTACCAAAGAAATTGGTTGAATCAGGAAGCAGCAGCTGGGTCTTGGCCTTTTACGCATGCATCTTCGGATTTGGTTTACCCTTTTACACTGTACGTACCTTTTTCTATACTACCCTGTCAATGGATTACTGAGTTTCTATATACATAGGCTCGTTGGTGGTATAACTCCCGGAGACACACCAAGGACAAGATCTTGAATGCTTCTATGCGTGTTTTTGTCAAGGAATTAAAAGAGGATACGGATTTCAAAGGTAGAATGGCTGTTGGATGGGGCTTACGAATGCTGGTATTGACGTGTCTTTTTTATAATAGCTTTATTGAATATCTTGGCTGGTGCACATGAGTTCAAAGAAAATTTATCCGTGCAAGCTAATGAACAAGAGGCTCTCAAAGCTATTGACAATGTTATCGTTGACGAATTGGAGCACCGATTTGGCGAGCGATTTGAGCGTGCAGTACGTGATATCGTTGTTGGTTATGGTACGATGGCTCATCATGTTGTATAGGTATCGCCCAAGGATCGTCACAAGGCACGAAGTCTTTTGTATGCTTATTTCCTCCGTATCGATATCAACAAAGCTTGCCCTTCTCATGCCAAAACCTTGTTACGAGGCAAGTATGACGTTACATATGAATGATGCACAGTTTATTCATACCAAATCCGTATATATAGAACAACAATACATTGTGGAACGATCCATTCATCTCCTTCAAGGATTGCTTCAAATTGCTATCGTCAAGCAATGGTTGAGCGTTACGTCGTGTATCATGGAAATGCAACAGGAGCTTTTGCAAGCCATTTACCCTGGCGAATCGTCCGTAAAGCAGCTTCCTCATGTCACCACCTCTTTATTGCGTCGTTATTATCGCTCTAAAAAGAAGCACATCCACTCTGCCAAGCAAGTATTGTCTCTCAGCGAATCAGAACGCAAGAACTTCCTTGAGGGTCTCTCGAATGAACAATCGCTTGACGTCGTTGAGGTTGCCAACCGTATCCCACAATTGACTGTTTCTAAAGCCGTACTTAAAGGTATTCATTTATATGCTTTTATGATTATACATGATCTTTGACTAATATCGTTGACTAGTGGTGGGAGACAAGATCGTTACTCCTGGTGCAATTGTCACGCTTGTGTTGAAATTGAGAAACGGCAATGCTACTATCAAAGAAAATGAGGATGAAGCTGACGACGAGGATGAGAATGACGATCAAGAAGAGCTGTTGGATGAGGGAGGAAAGGCCAAATCAAACGACAAGAACGGCACATTACCTTTTGCTCATGCACCTTACTACCCAGGGGTAAGCCATTACCAAATCAAACAGTGTCCTTTTGCATTTATTGACGTGAATTTTTATAGGAGAAAAAACCATACTGGTGGATTTTCCTTGGTGATCCAAAAGTGAATCGTATATTATATGCTCCCAAGAAGGTCACGGATGTCACAGAAGAGCAGACTGTTCAAATCTCATTCCCAGGACCACCCAAACCAGGAACATACACCTTTTCGATTTATGTCAAATCTGATACATACGTTGGCACCGATATTATGCACGATATCAAGTTGAGAATCCATGACAAAGCTGATTTACCACCAGAAGAAGAAGTCGATGATAGTATATCAGATCCTGAGGAGGATTCGATTGCAGGTCAAATGAAGTTAATGCGTGAACAAGGACTTGCTGGTGCATTGGCTGGTGGAAACGCTCAAAATAAGGCTGCGAAGCCAGCTGATGATGATAGTGATTCAGATAGTAGTGACGACGAATAAATCATTTGCACATTCCTTTTTATAAAAGCAAAAGAAACCAATCAATCATAGCGTACAATGCTCATAGAATATGCATGATAAAATAGGATCATCGTTGTTGAGGAAAGGGGGATCTAGAATGTAAGGTGCTTGGTGTTGCTCCAGCCTTGAACAGCGGGGTGGAAGAAAACTTTGATCGAGGAGTAGCCCCATGACCATACGATGACCGTAACGCTTGTCCAAATCCCGTACTTTTTGGTGTACCGCTTCGTCTCAAAAGCTGTTCTGCTGCTGGAGACATTGTCCTATTATGTCATTAGTATTTATTGATCACTCTCCTCACATGTGCGTATATATATAGTTACCCTGTGATTGGCGTTCTCCTGACGGATTTTTCCATTGTACGCTTTCGGCGTGCACGTGATGCTTTTTCTGATAATTTCATCCCTAATTCTTCTCGCTTGCAAACCTTTGGTAACGAAAATCGTGGGCCTATTGTATACATAGTTATATAGCCATTCCATAGAGAGAGATCGTATATGATTTTACCTGGTGTTTCTGAACTATTTAACAAAGTAGGACTTCCTTCAATGGAGCCCCAAGTCATGATGGGTGTCCCTATCCTCGAAGGATTTGGAGATGGCGTCGCGTCAACCAAACGATAACCCCGATAACCCATGGTCATTTCTGATGTTATGGACTCATTGTCATCCTCCGGTAATATGGTTCCAGATGCTGGTATATCACGTCCATTGGAAGAGGTTACGCCCTGCTACTTTCAATTAGTACTCGTTGATGGATGATACATCTTTATAGGCTACTTACTTGGCTTGATGTAAAATTCGTATTGTTGTAGCTGATGGACTTTTGGGGTGCTCTCGAATCTTTTTCATTCAATAAGGATTTGCCGGTGCCATCTGGGACGTACATGAGCGCATTCTTTGCTTTGTATCGCCACATTTCTGGTGGTCGCACAAATCCATCATCGTCAACCTCCAGTCGATTTGCATGATTTTCAAGCAGCCGTTTTGAACTCTCGATTTGAGCCTCCTTGTCCAGTAACCACCGATACTTTTCCCTCTGCCGTGCATTCGTCTTGTCGATGATATCGGTAAAAGAAGCGTTGTCTTCACTAAATGGGGTATTAGAAGAGCCGACAATGCCATGGTTTCCTATACTACCTTGTATACACTGTTTGAAACTGATCCAAAGAAAGATCGAGATTCACCCGATCAGCAAGTTGAATGGCATCCGGATTGTAATAGTTGACGGTCGTCTTGTCTTCTAGAATGCCCACTTTAGTATTAAGAAAAAGTTCTATATAAACTGACTATGTATATACGTACCATTCTTGGAAGTGTTGTTCGATTGCACCATTGGGGTTCCAAGATCGCTGAGTCCATCTGTTTGCAGTGCTGCTCCAGCATAGTTGTGTCTCTGGTTTAAAGCTGATAGCTGTGGATAGAAATCACGTTCGATGATAGCGCTTAAGGCTTCGGTATAAGTATCTTCGTCCAAAACCACAGGTGTTGTTGTCATGGTTAACAAAGAGTAAAAGAGGGTGCTGAGTCGGATTCCATCTGCCTTGTGTTACACATAAGCTCTTATCGAGTCGCTTTCTCCCCAATCCTCGCATGTCCATAATGCATCTTTTTACCTCGACCCCAATTTATCATCAGGATATCCACGTTGTGACATCACGATACGCTCTTAAAGTAATCAAGTTAACCAATTTCGCTTACTAATAAAGGGGATCACTCACAAGTATTGGAAGACGTCAAGTTGTTGTTTAATAAATGGACCTTTCCATAGCCTGATAGCTGCAGGTAAACTCAAACTACTCATAGTGAAACGTAAATAAAGAGCTTGGTACGTTCAGGTTACATGCTCGTCCTTGTTGCCTATTTACAAGTCGTATGGAGTCTGCCTAATTAACAAGAAGGTGTGTACGGTTTATTACTGGGAACGTGCTGTGAGAAGCGTATGATCGAGAAAGTGCAGTATCACATGACCACGTATCTCTACAACTACGCTGAGACAACGGAGCTATGTAACAATACATTTCCGAAACAGCACTACTGCTTCCTCTGCGTGAAAGTTCGCTATTGTCGACTATGCCAGCTAATCCCACACACGATTGGATACAGCTCCATGTAAAGTTGAAACAAAAGAACCCGAAAATTGAATTCGCTTTATTGACTTGGAGTCATATCTTGAATAGGATCGCTTTTATCGGTATTGCTTTTGGGATGCGTGCGCGTAAAGATCGCGAGTGGACCTGACAGAACCATCTACTTGCAGGAAACAAGAAATCTACTCACTCTCATGGGACCAGAATGACCTTTCCAAGTATATGATTGCTGGTTCACAGTTTGGTGGTCCTATTGGTACGTGTCCTTGTCCTTCGATATGGATGTATCTCCAGCTCTTGTAACTCGAGATATCAATTTACAGCCATGATTCGCGACGATAAGAAGGTGCTATTGCTACAGAAACAACAGCCGATCAAGCCCACTGTTTACATGTATACCTCGGCAGGAAAGCTCATTGATCAAATACAGGTATGTTCTAGTGCTATCATATCAGCTGCAATTTAGGAATCTTACACGCAAAGTAGTGGGAAAAAGGACGAATCATTGCATTAGGCTGGACGAAGCATGAAGAACTTGTGATTGTTACAGAAGATGGATTTGTGAGATTGTATCCCCTTCATGGTTCATATACGCAATTCTCGCTAGGAAAGGTACGTTGTTTAGAAGGCGAAAAGTGGAAGCCCATTATAGTGGAACGAAAATGACTTGTGAGATTTGTTTAGGAAGCCAAGGAGCAAGGCATCCTGGATTGTCAGATCTGGAGCACAGGCCTGGTGGCAATGACAAACAAGTACAAGCTTATTGCCGTAACCGATTTTTACGAGCCTCGACCCAAGCTTATGGCTGATACTGGTATATAGTAATATGCTTATGGATATCGTAGATAGGGCCACTCATATATATATGGATAGGCCTTGATGACAAACCGCATAGCTGGACCGTGATTCCTCCGCAATATACCCTTAGCAGACACGTGGAGGTCCTTATTGCCACTGGCTCAACGATCATTGTGGTTGACAACAAAGAATCTGTGGATCAGGTAACGCAACGATAATCATGGCTCGAATGTGGGTCTCATTTAACCTGTTAAATGCATCATAGAGATTGCAGCAAGGACCCTTTACCAAAATGGCGATATCTCCAAATGGAAAGTTCTTAGCACTCTTCACATCGGATGGGAAGTTATGGGTGGTTTCCACGGATTTTCAAAAGAACCTTTCGGAGTACGCGACCAAATCCAAAATTGCTCCTCAACAGCTTGTATGGTAATATGCGCTATACGACTCCAGAAATGCATACTCTAACTCATACCTTGATTAATTAGGTGTGGTACTGATTCAGTTGTGCTCTATTGGGACAAGATTGTCTTAATGGTCGGTCCTTTTGGAGATTGGATCAAGTTTTCATACGAAGGGCCGATATTTTTGATATCAGAAGTGGATGGCGTGCGTATCATGAGTGCCGATAAATGCGAGATGCTACAGCGTGTTCCTGGTAAGATCCAATAGAACAGCATTTCGGATGCCAATGCTAACTCTATGATGTATACAGCTGCAACAGAAGAAATTTTCAAGATTGGATCAACATCACCAGCAGCTTTGCTTTTTGATGCTCTAGATCATTTCGAGGTGAGTAAAACTGTTGACATGCTCAAAATGTTGTTCAAATGCTCACTCTTCCCAAAGCGCAAGAGCCCAAAAGCTGATGAGAATATCCGTAATATCAAAGCCGATCTTGTTGATGCAGTCGACTGCTGTATCGAAGCTGCTGGATTTGAATTCCATCATTATTATCAACGATCATTACTCAAGGTAAGCAAAATATAGGTTATGAAATACAGCTACTCATCTAGGATATGAATTTCAAGGCAGCGTCTTTTGGAAAATGCTTTCTCGAAAACTACAATGCGGATCGTTTCGTGGAAATGGCACAATCTTTGCGTGTATTGAATGCTGTTCGAGATTACCATATCGGCATCCCATTGACTTACGCTCAGTATGTTATGATTGGAATAGCGATACATTGACATGATCATTCATTCCATTGATTCAGGTTCAAGCGTCTCACACCCGATGCAGTCATCGACATACTGATCCGCAGGAATCACCATTTACTGGCCGTTCGCATTGCCGATTATCTCAAAGTCAGGTCCGACAAAATCTTAGTTCACTGGGCTTGTGCAAAGGTAGGGTAGCCACATGTTGGGTCAAGACCAAGAAGGCTTACAGTTACGTTGATAGATTAAAGCTTCAAATGAAGATGAAGAGAGCATTTGCAGAACGATTGTCGATAAGCTTTACAAGAAACCCGGGCTCTCATATGCCGAAATTGCAAAAACGGCGTACAACTCTGGACAATCAAGATTGGCAACAAAGGTAAAAATAGCAATGACATTGTCATCACATCTTGTTATTCATGCTGATGCCTCTTTTTACAAGTTAATCGACCATGAGCCACGGGCTGCAGATCAGGTGCCTTTATTGATCTCAATGCAGGAGGACGAGTTGGCGCTTATGAAAGCAATCGAAAGCGGTGACACGGATTTGGGTAATTGACTTTATAGCATACATTGAGGAACGCTGTTGCTAATCTTTTCCAAAAGTTTATTTGGTGATATTCCAGTTGAAGCGCAAACTACCCCTTGGTGAATTTTTCAGGGTGATCAACAACAAGCCATTGGCCTGTAGCTTACTTGAGGTCTACTGCAAGGAGCAAGACAAGGAACTGCTCAAAGACTTTTATTATCAAGATGATCGCAGGATTGATAGCGCGAATACAATCTTATCAGAGGGATTTGAACATCAAGTAAGGGTTTAGGCACGCAATCTTTTTTCTTCCTCTAAACTTCCCCGTTGGATATTAGGAAGTCGCAAGTCGAATAAGCGAGCTCAAGGTCGCTGCTAAAACCTACCAAGATGACAAGGAGTGTGCATTCGAAGCAAAGGTACGATATTGTAAGATTAGGAGTGTATATTTGACAGATCAGTGACAGCTTGAATCTTCATTTAGGCGACGGATGAAGCGGTCAAATTGCTCCACATGCAAACTCAATTAGAGAAGGATACGCATCAACCATTTGTCGGGCTATCTGTAAGCGAGACGATTTACAAGTGCACAATGCTTGGCCAACAAAGCAAGTCGTCCAAAGTGAAAAGCGAGTTCAAAGTACCGGACAAAAGATATTGGTGGATCAAATTGCGAGCACTGGTCGAAGTTCGAGATTGGGAGAATCTAGAGAAGCTCGCTAAAAGCAAAAACTCGCCCATCGGCTACGAGGTAAGAACAGAGCGCTTCATCTATATGCGTGTTAGGTCACTAACATATCAAAGCCTTTTGTCGAGGAATGTATCAAAGCCAAGCAGTATCAAGAAGCAAGCAAGTACATTTTGAAATGCGACACATCAGTGAGGCCAATGCTATTTGTCAAGATTGGAGCATTTAAAGAAGCAAGCGAGCAGGCATTCCTCAACAAGGATACTGAGGGCTTAAAGTAAGAAAGGATGAGAAGTTTTATTTGCGTGATTTACTCAATGAATTCGATCTTTGTAGGCAAGTTCGAGCCAAATGCAACAACCACATTGTAGCTCAAGAAATCGATTCATTACTTGCTCAGCTTAATGCCAAATAAACACCTTGTTCACTTCCCTATCACAACATTGCGTGCTAAGATAACACTATAACCAGTAACATAAGCCATTATTACGCAGTCATTCATCAGCGGAGGCTCATCGTCAAAAAGGGGTTGACTCTCTACAGATCACGCTCGCTGGGTCATCTATGCCACAATGAATCCCTTACAAAGTATACGAACCATAATCACAAGGATTGTTGGTTTTCACTCCCTAATTGCTAGGCATTGATCCTATAATCGTTTATTTAGGCATTTTAATCTTGCATTTGACAGCTTGGTTACACACGTGTAGTAGAAACTTGAACACACACTTTCTCCCACCAAACGTTTATCCAATTCACTTGCCCGTTAAAGCTATAATCCATGTATCCTATAAGCTCCCAATCCAACAACCCACGTTTCTAACATCAAACAAGGGAATTCGGCTTACTCCAAATCAAAGCGTTTTGAAAGTACTGTTTTTTTAGGAAATAATTCATAGCTATGTATGTGTATATCAGGGCATCAAACGCTTCAGGTCATTCAATCGACGATCTAGGCTATCACGCTCGTTCTCGCTTTCTAAGAATTGGAGTTTCATGTCTATCACCGTTTTTTCCATGGATGCCAGCTGCTCTTCGAGTTCAACGTTGCGGTCCATTAACGCGGCATTTTTAGTACTCAATGCTGACATTTCTGTTTTGATTCGTGATTCAACTTCGACGTGTAGGGCTTCCAATGCTCGTTTCAAGTCAAATGATTGTTGACGTAGTGCATCATTTTCATCATGGACTCTGGCAATTTCCATTTTTGATTCGATAAGCTCCTTGGCAATAGTGTCGTGTTCACGATTAAGGCTATTAAGGTTGCGTTGCAATTCTCGAACTGTCTCCGAAAGTGTCTTGTTCTGCCGACGAAGCGACTCGATAGCATTCGCATCAGAGCTGCTACTGCGTGCTGCATCCGCTTGATATTGTTTGGCAAGTCTCTCTAGACGACGAGGAGGAATACATAGCTCTGCCGTATAATGGATTATGTTATCCACAGCTGTCTAGAGAATGTACATATAAGAATGAATAACCATCGTTGTCTACTACTACCAAACTCTGCTGGCAGGTTATTTTTACCTCGGATAGGTCAACAAGATCATTTTTGAGGAATCGTAATAAGTTGTCATGCTCAAGAGCAAGGATCGTAGCCTGATGCTGATTCAACACTGCCAACGCAACGCGTAGTAACACGTCTTGGCCTTCGGATAGGAAAAGATCGTAAACTCGAAATACAAATTCAAAAGGAAATTTGCATGCAAATAAAGATGTAAACCAGCGTGCTGCGTACATGTTATCTTGGATCCCTTGGAACTCCAAATGACGGCTGATGTGTGGTAAATTCTCGCTAACAAGAACCGAAAATTGGTAGAGCCTCTGTGAGAGGAAGTTGGATTGTGGAAGGAAATAGTCCCGAAGACCATATCGATGCATTATTTGTACCAACACGCAAAAGGTCTCTTCTTCAGGCATCTGTAAGGCAAGATCGGTTACAAATGGATTATGGAATGATGATCCGATATATACTTGCATTCAACAGCAGTGGTCCAATAATACAAAGAATGTCTTGACAATAGCCGACAGCTTGATCGTACAATGAATACGCCTTGGCCACATTGAATAAGGAGTCTTTTCCACTCGTTGACTGAACAAATTGATTATGCGGAAGGATACGTGACAAGTCTCGGGTAATCGCCTTTTCATACACGGACTCCTGTTTCAGCAGCTGCATGTATGTTTGCTCCAATTTGCCATCCTTTGATTTTGCAAGCAATTGCCAAATGGTTCCTCGAAGCGAACTAGGGATTCCTCGTCGAATGCAGGATGACAGCTCTTTGGCGGTGACGGACTTGAAATCGGATATGACCTTTGCCCAGAATTCTACATACATGCAACAAACCAATGTCAGGAACGAGCGTATCAAACGATTATTACTACTAGATTACCCCAATCAGCATCTTCGTCATCTTTGACATCCTCCTTTACTTCATGCGAAACTCGAGGTGAATGATGGTTGTCTTCATCATCATCGATTCTCTGATCCATTGTCTCGGGCCTGGCGAATGGATCCACTTGACTATTGCCAAGTCGTGACAGGAGGATATCGTACGCTGATGCACTTGAGACATACGATACCATCGAAGATGTTGTGGATAAAAGGCTCTTTGGGCTAGCTTGGCCAGTGGTTGGTACAGCACTTTCATCATCACTGTAGTCGTCTTCGTCTTCCAAGACCTCCTCGCTAGGCACCATGAGGCCTTGAATTTGGTCGTTTATTGTTGCGAGATCATCTGTTGTGTCAGCAAAGTGTTTGGCAGAATCGCCTTCTTCGACGTTGTCTGGTGGCTCTGCATGACCTGCCGATGGAATCGTATGCCGAGTTATAGTATGTGATCTCTCACGAAAATGTCGCTTTTCTTCTCGGTGCTCGGTGGTGATAGTGGAGCCGTTCATAGGAAGGAGATAACAAATATGATTGGTGGCGTTTCTTACGCTCTTAATGCAGTGCCTCAATGTAAGAACCCCTTGACTAGGGTTGCCATGGTCACCAGGACCCTCACTTGGATACCATTATCGAAGATACCTTCTCTTAGCTGGTTTTAACCGCATGATAATAGCATATCTCAGCATCTAATAAATCACTATCCTTTGTGTACTTGAGCAGTGTTTAGGCATATCCTACATTCCCTGCACGCGTGTACCAAATACGAATACACACCACATCTTGCACAACCATCATTGCTTCCTCTGCTTAAATGAATGTGTGGTAGTAATCTATCTCTGATACTGTATCATTTACCTTCATGTCGTGGTGCTCATTTTATACGGAACCCCTTCTCTGCGTCATTTCTCCTCCATATTATGTGTGATGCAACGACGTTTCTTCGTTATGAAGAATCATGTAAATAGCTGAATGTGCTTCTGTACAAGAGGTGGTTGTGTATAAAGCATGCCGTTTCTTTTTATTAGAAGCTAACTATGCGGGAAGTTAAGCTCCATGAGTATTTCTATTTTCAACATCTTCCTCCCTTGGATGGACGTGTGGATTGGATGCGGGATTTTTGGATGGGTCGTTGACATCATTTTCATCTGCGTCCACGTTAAGCTGTTGTTCGGATCCTGTGTCTGAAAGATCATCCAATTTGGGTGTTGCTGAGCGACCTTCCTCTTCCTCCTTGCTTTGTAGTATTGCAGACATTGATGGTGGTGGCTCAGTCTAAAGGACAGCATCGATGTTAGGAGACATAGACGTACATACAAAAGTTACTAGTCATCCACCTTCTCTACTCCAGACATTGTATCTTCTTCATTATCTTCCTCCTCCTCAAACACAATAGATCGCTCAGCTATAAACATAGAATGAGTCATGATTCGCGATGAGAAGCACCAGCAGCACCAGCAGCAATACCTTCACTTACACTTTATCCATTTATACACCTTGACACCTTTGCCATTGGACACAGGAGACCATGCCTTCTCCCTTTAGTAGCTTTTGGTTTAGTCATTGGGATCACTCTCTTGCTCAACATTTACTTGCCATGCTTGTACAGGTTGTGATAATGCACGTGCAAGACGGTCATTGTCGGAAGAATTGAACTTGCGTTCGCGATATCTGTTGCTCATTGCCAACCAAATAGGCCTGTAACAACCTTAAGATCTCAAAGGAGCCTTAACTCTTCCAAATTCTATCTCCGACGAGCCATTGCATGCTGCATGCTACTTTCTGCTATACACAACAAGCTGGTGGTGGTCCGTGGTTCACGCGTTGTACAAAGGATGGGGTGTAAATAGAATCATTGTATGGGTCATTAGATGTATCAAGCATTTAGGATGATGACAACAAGCATAGTGGCCAAGTAATAAACGGGATATACACACAAAGTGCTTGGAGAGATGACGTTGATACAAGAAGAAACTTAAAAGGGAGGCAGCAGCCATGAATTAGATGGATCCCTTGACACATTTATGTTGAGCTTATCTATTGGCTGCCATTTTTTACATTGTTCCAGGGCTGGCCATGTAAAACTTCCTGTTGTTGTAGATGGATGTCAAAGGAGGTCCGTAAAAATGGATATAAAAGGAGCAATTTTATTGAAGATCGTTGCATACAGCAGGCGTAAGCAGGTGGTGATAAGCCATTCAATGAGAGATCGAAATTTACGAATGAAGGCTACTACGACGACATTACTAATAATTGACAAGATACGTGGACGAATTCATCTGTACTTGTTACATTAGGACCATTGTTATCAACATCCCCCATGTAGATTTTTCTATCTCTTAAGTATGCTCCTAAAAGAATACTTGATTCCATATACAATACGCAGTCCAAAGCATGTGAATCGATCATCATGCGTCAGATGCTGAGGATCTTGTCGGTATCTGGAATGCCTGCCCGCTATTTCTTATTCTTCTCTTTTCGGTTGTAACGCTTTTCACTCATGGCCGATACAAATCTCTCAAAGATCAAGCACATTGTTCTCGTGTTGTCGGGAAAGGGTGGAGTTGGCAAGTCGTCAGTAACAACACAGCTGGCATTGAGCCTCATGCACAAAGGATTCAAGATCGGTATATTGGATATCGACTTGACGGGCCCTAGTATCCCACGAATGCTCGGATTGGATGGTCGTCAAGTACATCAGGCTTCTCAAGGGTAGGTTCCAACCATTTTTTTTTATTTCAATGATATCTTACATAATGCATCATGCTTTAGCTGGGTGCCTGTATACGCTGACAAAGACAAGAGACTGGCATGCATGTCGATTGGATTCCTACTCCAGGATAAAAACTCATCTGTAGTATGGCGAGGACCGAAAAAGACTGGTATGCAGAGATCCGAATCACATTAATAATAGTTGGCTTACTAATGCTGGGGATCAACTTAGCTATGATTAAGCAATTTCTACAAGACGTATGCTGGGGTGAATTGGATTACCTACTTGTTGATACTCCGCCTGGCACTTCAGATGAACACATCTCTATTGTCGAGAATTTGAAAGAATATCAACCAGATGGTGCCGTCATAGTTACAACGCCTCAAGGGGTCGCTATTGCTGATGTCCGAAAAGAGTTGTCATTCTGTCGCAAGGTCAAGTTGCCTATCCTGGGCATTGTCGAGAATATGAGTGGTTTTGTTTGCCCACACTGCTCGGTACGATTTATGCCAATGGAGGAACATGGCATAATCTGACGCCTAAATTTGATAGGAATGCACGAATATCTTTGCCACAGGTGGTGGTGAATCCATGGCTCAAGAGTTCAAGGTTGATTTCTTAGGGCGGGTGCCCATTGATCCGCACTTTGCTGCTATGGTGGAGACTGATGGAGATGAGTCATACATTTGCTCGTTTGAGAAGTCTAGCTTATTTCCCATTTTCCAGAACATTGGTAAACACATAACGGATGTTACTAGTAGCAAGTAAAGATTCTTAAATTAATTTATTGACGTCTAATCCCCAATGCTCTTCTAAATGATCAAGAATTGCTGGAATGCTGGAAAGTGTGTTGAATGTCTTGCGTTCAGCGTTACTCATGATATCCTCGAACATGTACATTAAATGATGATGGAAAATGAAATGATTGGTGCCATAGCCGAGAGCCAAATGAACATATTCCTATAAGGAGCCTCAATAAGACAGAGTTTGGCATGGAGGTTTTTGTTACTACATACCTCAATACACTCCCATGGTGTATACTCGTAACCAGAGAAGAATGCTGGATTCTGTAAAAGACCTCTTGCCGACATGACACCATCAACACCAGTCTTCTCATACATTTCTTCTGCGTCTGCGTTCGAAAATATGCTGCCATTGGCAAATACGGGCATGGACACGGACTCTTTCACTAGTTTGATGCCTTCAAAGTTTACCGGCTCAGTGGATTTTTGATTTCTTGTACGACCATGCACAGTGATATAATCCACACAAACTGATTCGGCTCGTTTAACAAATTCATAAGTCTCCCTATTAATGTACCATTAACCTCTGATTCCTTAGGTACGCTGTTTTACTCTTACCTTAAATCTGGGTGGACTCGGATCTTTATACTGCATGGAATGGATACTCGATTTTTGACCGTTCGCACCATATCTCGCACTGTTTCTGGATCTGACATGAGGTGGGAACCAATACGTTCTTGAATAGCCCACTTTTGAGGACAACCACAATTGATATCTATGATGTCTTTTAGCCATCACTAAAACTATTGGCCTGCATAAGTTTCATCTTACCGATACCGCCAGCAAAGGGTGCCACAAGCTCAGCAGCAGCAGCCAAGTCCTCCGAGTTACTCGCTGCAAACTGGACAACCACCGGATCGTCACCTGCATTCGTCGAGTAGTCAGTTTCACGGGCAAGATCCGAGTTCTTGAATACGTCGGCGAGGATCATTGGCGTATAGCAAATATCGACATTGTACCTTTCGATTCATGTCAACATGTCAACCCCTTGACTACAATAAAAAAGGAAAAGCTTACTTGCGTAGCAATGCTCGAAACGGCAACTTGCTATATCGCACCATGGGTGCACATATGTTAACATGTTCCTTGGAGTTTATAACATCGAGAACAGAGGTTTTCATGATAGATAATAAAGGAGAGGAAAAGAAAGAGAAGGTAACCAGGGATTTTCAGCCAGCATAGTCCGCATTTTTGGCATTTTGGATCCGAACGTTAATTCATCAATCAGCTATTTATGGGAGTTTTTTATTCATCATCGAGGTACTAAAACTTGGGAAGAATCTAAACCTAGAGCATGCAAGAATAGATTTACATTAGATATTCTGTGGGCCGCTTGAGCAGCTGGAAGTCTGTTGCTGTGGGCCAATACAATATTTTCCATGACACGCTCCCTACACAGCGTACGTTAACAACATCTCAATATGATAAATATCCACATCTTACCTCACTTCTGTTACCAATGCATGCTGCTGTTCCATAGTGGCTCCGACTGCCATGGCTGCCAAGAATTGCCAGACGTACATTTCGTCAATTGTAAGTGATAATTGCACAGCTGTGACATTGGGTTGCATGGGAACAAGGTAGTAAGTTGATGGAAATAGCGAGCTGTAATGGTTCTTCAAAGCGTTGAACACTTTGATGTATTCTTGCTGCCAGTCTTGGAGGTCATCCGCAGAAGTAGCCATATCTCCTTGTTTCAAGATCTCGGCTCTTGATAGAATCATTGTCAAGAATGCAAGTCCAGGCTATGATAGATACATGGTTTAAAGATGGATCCTCAATGGCACTTGATATCCTTACCTTTGTTCGTGCAACTGACACAATATCATTCCTTTCAACAAACGCTCTCATGAGATAGTTGACAACCTTTAGCGATGACTCAGAGATAAGATTCAAGAGAGGAGGGGCCACCGTATTAATGAAAAGTTCCACTTCATCGAATGATACAAATTTTTGAGTTCTGGCTTCCTCTACGTTGGCTATCGTCGAGCCTGGATATATGACATTTCGGCAGACATTCAAGTGTGAGAAGTTCCCAAGAATGACTGAAACAAGTGCCAGGTTCTCTTCGGTATTGAAATGACGGATAATGCGTGGCATCAATTTCATTCCCTTGGCTACCGATAACAATGACAGGATCGTGGTTGAACTACAACACCCACTGTTATGTCTTGAAAACAAAAAAAACCCATACAACAAGTAATTTTACCTCTCGTCCGATTGATCCGACAATCCCAGAGCATCGTACAGCTTCTTGGTTTTACTTGCGTACTGGTTGTTCCTATTTTCAAAGTTATTTTTGGTTCACAGCAACCCGTATCACCATAGTTACCACTCTTGTGCATCATTTTCTTGGCCATTTGAAGCTTTCGATGTTCCTTGTCTGCGTAATTGCTCCAGGTCAAGAACAATGAGATATAAATTCTCCACGATTTTGAGTGTTCGCTTTCTGTCATTCATCGAAGACATATTCGGCTAGTCGTTTCATCTCAGTCAACTTTTTCTCTTTGATGATTCACACAAACATACCATGCTTTTTTGATTTGGAAGCGACCCTTCTTGTGTTGCATTATTCGACTTTTTGTCCGTGACTTCCAGAACTTGACGTGGGTTGCGAACAGTCAAAGATGTAATCTTTCCCAATGCACCTTCCAAAGAAACTACACATTTTTCTTAGCCTTCCTTTGATCCTTCTGCTGTTGATGTTTACATACCTTGTGTTTGCCTGGGGTTTTTCTTTGCATTGTTCACGACTCGTTGAAGCTGTTGATGGAAACGTTGCATGCCGCTTTCCTCTTTCCTTCCACGGACATTCCTACCCAGAGGTTCATGGGCTGCAGACCACGTTGGTATACCAACACGTTGTCGAAGAGACGAGTACACTTGATAATAAAAGTCATCAGAGAAAGGATCACTTGATGCCAGCTGGGTCAATTGAATACGACTGATAAAGTCTTTTTCATGTTGTGTCATAAGACCATCATAACGAGCCTAGTAACAAAAATAGTTGGAATGATATCCATTGTATAGGCATAGTATGATATTTACCTTGCGTTGCTCTTCTTTCTGATGCTTGGCCAATTGCTCCTCTTGTGATGCAGCTAGCAATCGTAGCGATTCGGCAGTTCCAATATCCGTTGCATGCATCGAAGGATTGTGAAAAGCTTGAGGTTGATGGAACACGAGTGGATGCTGGTCAAGGCTTCTGGAAGTGTCACGACCATTGTTTGTAAGCATCGTCGCCTCTACTTCAGAAAGGCTCATCACTTTGCGATTGTCTGGCTCGGCCTTGTAAGCTCCTGAAGCTGGATGAAGTAGCAAATCAGCCGCAATATCCTCAATTCTCACTCCTCGACTATGACGTTGCTGTTGACCAAACGAAGCTGATGGCGATAGTCCAGGTGGTGGTGATGGAGCATAAACTGGTTGATGCTGTCTACCAATAGAGAAGTTTCCATTGCTTTGAAAGGAACCGAAGCTACGATCTAAAAACGCGTTTCGATGAGAATCCTTGTTGACAAAAAAAATGACATATCTCATACCATTTGGCAATCTATCACCAAATCCTCCCCAAATAGAGTTGACAGCTCCTGTAGCAACACCCTATACTGATATTTAGAATCCAATGATCTTACGTTGATGGATAATTATATACCTCTCCACGTCGGCTACCACGAAAATCGCCTCCATCGCTTCGTCTGCCAATCGATCCTGCAGCTTCAGGCATACGCCATCCATCCGCCTTGTTTGTCGCAGTATCAACTAATGAATCAAGGTTAGTCAATTGTCCTCAGGTGGTGGTGATGGTGGAGGGTGCATATATCCACTTACGAGTCGTGGGTTGCTTGACGAAAAAGGCCTCTTCCTCTGAAATCATTTGATCAGATCGATCTGGAGCACCACCAAAGGCTGAACTGAATCTTTCAGTATTGGCTGCGAAATCAAAGTCTTTGCCTATGGAGTGCATTAGTATACGCAAAAGAGGGTTGCTACCTTGCGTCGTTTTCCCTTCTTACCAACTACTTCGTCGCCAAAGGTTTCGTCGTTAAGGTCATCACCTTCCTCAACCAGCAAGTCTCCAATATTATCAGCATTCTCCGCGTCATTGTATTCATCAAGGTTGTTTCTCAAGTCGTTAAAGTCATAAAACTCTAGATCTCGAGGGTCTGCGCCATCTGTTGGGTTTGTCGAAGATTGAGGATTCTGTTGCAAATGCTCCCTTTCTCGCTCCAATTCAAGATTCCTGTTGCCTCCTTTGTTTAAGGGCGGCACATTGCTACTACGGAATGTGAGTATTACTATTTACACCTTGGTCTTTCCAACTCACCCAAAGAATGGATCACTCATTGATAGCCACCAGAGTTGAAACTCGTCGACTATGTGGGTTAAGAGAGAGGATTGTCTAAATGTAAATTCCGACGGCGGTGATGACTATGCTGCTCCAGGTTCGCCTTGTCAACAACGCTCACTCTTCCTTCCTTAGGTTCAACAATAGACTTCCCAACGTATATAGCATTTAAAATAAAATTGGATCGTAGAATGTATCAATCTCATAATAGCTCTCGTACCCCCATTTTTGGGAAATCAATGGATATCATCAATGGCTTGATAGAAGCATTTGAATTAATAGCGTCATCACCATGGTGACACCGAACCAACCATTAAACTGACACGCGAGTTGAATCGAACAGGTGTACTTTTGACTTCTCACAAAGACACAAAGCACGTCATCCTTTGTGTTCAATCAATAACGTTCTTCATGATAGATCGAGGAATCCAGGCAGCATCATCAACTTTTAGCATTATGTACTCGTCATACATGATATCCAGGATTCAACATCAAGTGAATGAAGTACTAGAAAGCTATCAACTTATTAATGCATGACGACAACTACCTTTACCAAAAGACATTAATCACAAGTACCCACTCAAATGTGGAATATTTTATATGCATGTATCCAAAGATGATGTAAGGGGTAATAATTGTATCATGGACAAAACTCTACACTAGGACTTATTGCGCCTCTATTTCCCTCCTTTGAATCATACAACCCTCATGCCGGCCGTTGCCTTTGATATCCTAGGTATGCAATCTAAGGGACATGTTGCTTCATTGCGAAATCTAACCAATCGTTTACGTTAGGAACACTTTTCACTTTTGATAAAGTGGTCGCTTGCTTACAGGAAACCTTTAACGAACTGGCGTCTGAGCAAGCTGCAAAGCACTTGTTTCGCGATTGGTTCTGGTCTAGCACGCGCGATTTTTTTGGAGCATCACACGCAGGCCGATACATTCCACTTTTGAAAGTCCTCAAGTCCACTTTAACGCGCACCATGCTGATAGCAGGATACGATGCACCATCATTGGAGCAGATAGAGGCTGTCATGAAAACGTTCAACGAGCTGGAACCCGCTGTTTCAGCTTTCGACGCGCTCACACTTCTTCACGAAAAAGGCTGGGATATCTGGATTGTCACCAACGGTAGCCATGATACAACATCCAGGCTACTTGAACGTACAGGTCTTTTTCATTTCTTTCGACAAGGCTCGGACAAGGAGATAAATGTGATGAGCTGTGATGACTTGGGTATATCCAAACCCCATCCAAAAGTATACTCAGAGCTTATGCGTATTGCAGTTCATAGAACACAACGCATCGAGGTAATTTGACTGGTAGACTCTCAAGCATTACCTTTCTGACCCCTTATTGGCCCTTTTAGAACTTTTATTTGATTTCATCTCATGCTTGGGACTTGGCAGGTGCAAAAAACGTGTGTTTTCGGACCGTATTTCTGACAACAGAAGAAAAGGTATACCCCAAAGATTTATATGATGGCACCGGTCCTGACATTCAAGGTGATACTATGCTAAGTTGTGCCAAAACCATGATAGAGTTAGAGAGCAACAAAAAGTCATATATGTAGTAATTCTCGCTTTTTGTGTTGATTTATACAGTGGAATCAAGGACTTGTTTAGCCATAATGCTCAAAGATGGGAGGTGCTGTAGTGTGCTATTAGATCGACCTCTTGTTATTGTTGATGCTTGTTTTCTTTTCTTGTATCACCGATTAATGCAATTAATATATATTTGCCAGGAGTCTGGTTGCAGTTGGCTAGGGTCTACATCCACATGCACTTGTTTTTAACCATGAAAGCTACCCTACTATTGGTTCAAGTGGAAACACATATACGCATGTCATCATCGGTTGTAGTAATGGTGGTGTAAAGCTGTGCGAGAAAGTCGTACCTAGATTAAGTTACATACACTGAAATGTGGTTCTCTCGATCGAATAATAAAGCTTTATCGGCATGAAATTCATACTAGGCATGGACACTTTGTATATCTATAGCAAACCCAATCCTCCCAAATTTTATCAATTACAAATGCAAATCGCTAAATAGGGCCAGCCTATGGAATTCGGGAACAATATGACTGTTTCTTTGGGTAACATTGGCCGGTAAGTTGATGTTGTAAATGATCCACCGGTTACTGTTGAATCTTCGCGTCGATAGAATCAAGCCACTGCTTATCGACATACCAAAAGCCTTTGTCTTCTAGTTGTTTTCTTTTGTCATCACCAACCTAGCACACTATGCATAAGTAACATTTTTAAACAATATGAATTGACACTTACAAGATAGTTAGCGTGCACCATATAAGGATCAACACCATGTTGGCGGCACCAATCATTCTCAAAGTACACATATCCATTAGGAAAATGCAGTATATCCAAAAGGACAACACCAGTAGAACGTAATTCCATATTAACGTGATCCAAGGCTGCGTTCATAGCGCCCTGCTGGGTCAAAGTCTTATCGGTGTCTGCGAGATAGATTGTCTCGGCCAGCAAGCGTTTCATGTCGTCACTGGGTCGCATAAGATAAAAGCCGCTGTTGATGACCTTTTGATCGGTTCCTTCTTGCTGGAATATCACCTGTGTCTTGGAACGTATTTGAAGGAATGTCAGCATAAAGTCGCGTAGTCGAGGGCGTAACCAGACAACATCAACGTCGGAGAACAACACCGTTACGTCCATATATAGCAATTGTTGGACAATCAACGTTTTAGCGTGCGTGATGATACGATATTTGATGCTGTAATATTCTTCAAAATCAGAATGAACTTCATCATGGAACCAACTCCGAGGGATTGTTGCTGCATGTTGTTCATAACCAGCTGCCACCATATGGCTGTACAATTGGTCATCCAAACAAAAGACCAAGAATCTGTCACCCTCCCCGGTACGCTTTAGCGATTCGATCCAGTTGTATACATATTCTCGCATTCCATAATTCGCTGCTGCTACAATCAATACTCGTTTGTCGTCCATGTTTCCATTGATCTTATCCACAAGTTCTTGGTCGGGTTTGTTGAAGGATTCAGGTACAACAAGCGGGCTTGCTTGTCCTTTTTCATCAGGTAGAATAGCACCTTGAGTTTCTTGTACGCTGGCATTATTGTTGCTGCCGTCGACTTGGGAAGGATAACATGAACAATACCAGGGATCTGCATTGCTATGGTTTGCTGTAGTGACCGGGCTCATCTTGTGCTCTTCGACCCATGGGCTTGTAAACTTAACGCACACCATGATTAGAGCAATCGCTATTGCCCCACTTATCACGAAGCATTTCCGAGAGTAATGTTCGAAAACGCCCATCACAAAGGGGATAGATAAATAAAGATGCTAATAGTAAGTCGGGTTCAATAGAAGAAAAAGAAGATCTCTGAGATCAAACTTACACAAGCACCGAGCATGACGACGATCCAGTGCTGAGTTTCTTCCAATAAATGAACTTTTGATCAATCATGTGACTATAGCAATTCCTGGTTGATGGATATGTTGTGGTGGGATCATATTAGCAGTAAAAGATGTATATCTCTTTAATGTAAAAGGAAGTCTTTCGGCGTCGGGTGATATGATACAGAGCTACTTGGCTAATTTATCAACTTTATATCATCCATTTCGACCATTTAGCTTTTTCTATAGATGAGCCATCAAATCTAAAGTTGATGTGTTTAATCTCCTTAAATCCTTCTGATAGGGTTGGTTCCTGAAGCCGTGCCTTGAAGGTTCGAAATACAACATCACTTAAAACTTGTCGACCGGAATCATTGTCATGTACTGCTCGATACATGTTGTTGTGGCGTGCCAAATGTTCATCTGCAGTGAAGCGGAAGCAACGTACGGGTACGCCAGCCTCTGCCGCCAATTTGATATAAGGTGCTCGACTAGCAGCATTAGGATTGGTATTATCTAGCTTTTGTATTAGCAACCCTTTCGAAACAGCAGTGCCATTACTTACCAATGATAACAGGTCTTTTATCCTTCAATGCTTTTTCACAAGCCGCGATACACTTTTCTTTGGTCCTTAACGTATCCTGTGACAAAGGTAATTAAATGCCCTGATTCTTGCCGGCTCAAAGGGGAAAGCTCATACCTGATTTACGTACACATACCCTTTCGGCGTCAAATAAGTTGTTGCAAATTTGGACTTGCCGCTTGCTGGATAACCGACAAAGACGATCACTTCTATCGTTGGACTCGCTGGTACAAGGGGTGACGACGTTGGTGTAAAGAGGGGCACTGGTGTATTACGTTAACTCAATGTCTTGCAACTGAACCGCAACCCCCCAAAGACGTACAAGGATGTAAATAGTCTTGTGGAGAAAAAGAACCCCAAGAGTATTGTGCAGGTGCTTCTTTTAGGAAATACTCTTCTGGTGTATAAAAAGTCAATCCCGTGTTGGCTGCGAATTTCCTGTCAAAGATCCCTTTAGTACCAAATCCATGCAAGTGATGCTCATGTTCCCTTACCTGTCTGCAGCAGAATGGTCTTTCTTGAGCCCTTCTTTCCATTGATCAGGTCGTCCAGCTGCATCACCCACATAGAAACTCTTGTCAAAGTCTATACATAATCTTAGACAAAGCATAAAGTCTATGCACTGATGCCTTACCAACAGTATTGCCATGGTTTGCCACCGTTTCGAACCACTCCCACATCCCTGTCATTGGTTTACGATATTGGTCCTTCTCCAGAGAAGCCATGAACCATATGTTCACTGATAACTACACAATAAAACACATTCAGTAAACTACGATAGCAAACATTGGGTATGTCCCATACCTGGCCAAGTACATCTTGAATCTTGGTCTTGAAACTCTTCAAGCGCTGATCGGTATTTAGCCCATTTTGATTCGAGAAAATGACAATCCCGTATCTAATACATTCAATTAAGGGCTTCATGTTACTATGATGAAGCAATCTCCCTACCCATCATCTTGCAGTCTTTGCATAGTCGTTGGAATATCTTTGTGCCACCATTGCCAATCACCACTATCTTTTGAGTGGACACGGCCACTTTTCGTTTTGATCAAGGTACCATCCTAACAATACACTTAGCCACAGGCACTGCTCTACCGGACATATAATACCTACAAGGTCAAAGGCTGCGATTCGGCTACTCCTGAATTCACTCGTGTTTGTTCTGGCAATGATCACTGAAGGAAGTTCCTGAACCCAAGTGATAGGATTGCGCTGCTGCGAGAAAAATGGATGGATTCGCATTGCCTTTTTCGATTCTGTACTCTCTATCGGTTGTGTTAATGGAGCGTTGCTTGGGTTAGAAACCACTTACGCATGGCGTGTCTCTTCATGTTGTGGATACGTTCGAGTCAAAGGAGCGGAGAAAAATGTGATCTATGTACTCGATGAGCAAGTGGGAATCATCCACTAGGTAGATAGCTTTTTTATCTTTGGACGACCATTGTTAGCAATACGACTTTGATCTATAAGGACCAGCCAAGTTCTGTCAATGGCAGCGGGCTTATCATTGTTCCAGTATTTGCTTATGCTTTTTCACGCTCTTTGACATCACGACTGATTTCAGGTTCTCATTGCCCACACTCAAGGCACTGGCCTGGCCATATCCCCATCTCTTTTTTAAGATGGATCACACCATATCACACCTCCTCATAGACAATTTGAACAGCATAAAAAACACATAATGGATGTATATATTAAATCTTGTGAATTGCAACGATGAACAGCTACAATTACAATCATGTACTTTTGTATGCATAATCCCAACCTTGAGGCGAAGGTGTCTCAGAAGGTATCTTGGCTTGCTTTGGATACGTGATATGACGGCTTTTGACAATGGCTCCTTTGTACAATCGATCGCTGGTTTTCTCTAGTTCTGCCATGGCTGCATGCATAGCTCGAAACTGCCTTTCCATCGATCTCTGTCTTTGCTCTCGTTGTCGCATTTGATGTAATTTCCATGCTTGCTCAATAGTTTCATGCTGTTCTGCTGCCTCGCCTTCTAATGATATAAGTTTGTCTCGTACAGGTGGCTCGAACAAAACACGGCGAATGACTTCGAGGCGTGGATCGTTGTTGGTGGTAGTATTGCCGGCTGATCGAGTAGAAATGCGTCGTACTTGTTGTGAAGAGATGCGATAAAAGCGATTGGCAGCACAGCTCATGATTGTCGTATTGTCAGTATTCAAGAAGCCAAAAAAATTGTTTTCCAGGTTCGGCTGTTTAACACCACCCCCAAATGCGGCCGCTTGTCAGGAAAATCCACTTCGATTCCCGCACCTGTCAAGGAAAACATGACATCATCAAAGCAATCCATTCATGTCAAACGCATGTTGGCACAACTTCTAGCCTTAATTTATGTTATGTTATGCAACATCCAATTTCCTTAGCACGTATGTACATGTATTTTGCGTCTTACGTTATTCCCATTTCATCTAGCATTTTACAGTACATTGGGATCACTGAACCATACCAAGCAACAAACACATTGAACCCACTTCTAGTCACTGAAGAACGCTATGTTTCTACGTACATAAGCCGTCTGACCTCGCTCTTTACCATGAGTCGCACCGTTCAAACAAAACCCCTTTTTCCCGATGAATAACCCAATCGTAGTCGTTGGTCAGTTTCCTTCCCATGTGATTAAAGATACATTGTGTCTATGATCATCATTTCAAGAAGGAATGTACGAAGGACCTCAACGAGGGAGGTACAAATCTGATTATTACATGTAGCCGACAAGAGAGAATTGCCAGCATCTCAAGTTTCATAAAGGTGATTATAGCCTAGGATTATAAGGCACCGCCCCTCAAAACATCGTCGCTACAATCACTGGCAGGTATTATATGCTCGTAGAATGTTCGTTTTTCACGTTCATGATGAATTTGTATTCTTTTGTCCTGGCTCAATGGCAAAGATAATTTTGATACAGCATGAGAGGTGATTATTGAGAAATCTGATACTAATGATAGCAATGCCTCCCTCTTCTAATGTATTAATCAAACGTTGAGCTTGGTAGAAGATGCTTACAACCGAGGATGCCTATGTTTCTTACTCTACCAAGTTGCCTTTCGGAGATAATCAGAGGGAATTACGATGCTACTTTGCGCTATATGCATTATGTCCTGTAAAGATCGATACTTGAAAGCTTTACCGTTGATGTTTGTTGATGCTTCATTGTTTGTTGACGAACCTGACAGATCACAATTCGAGACACTGGGTATTGCCTCGGCTGTTTTGGAGGGCCGCAATGTATATATAACAGCAGACGATATTATAGTTAACACCTGCATCTATCATGAAAAGTACTGGGATCCTTTTGACTATCATATCTGCAAGCACGGGACTTGGTGCCCTTGCCGATATTGCTGTAAGAGAATTATACCAAAGGCACACCACTTAAAGCTCATCATACTGTTTTTCTATAGCTCCTTGAACCTTGGGCTAACACAACATGGGTAAGCCCAAGTGCAAGGACATGCTTTGAGCTTGGCTAATTTATTCGAGTAATAGACTTCAGGAGGGAAAGGAAATATTCATTGGAAATCTGAGGCTTCTGAAAACAACGTATTTTGTGATATTCAGTTGATGAATGGCAACATCACAGATGGCCAGTAAGTGGTTACTATGCTCGGTTTCTGCTGGTAACACCAATCCTAATGGTTATTTCGGTAGGTTGGTTGCTTATATAACTGATCCACATGCACCCGTGCTCTGCTCGTCCAATTCATACACCGTAAGTCATAGAGGAGTGTTTTATACTAAAAATTGAAAAACACATGTTCTAACTTAACATTAGGTATCGCCGTTGAATGACTTGAGTGATGGACTCTATTGGATTCGAGTTGGTACAAAGGATCGCTGGGCGTACTCACACCAATTCCGGTTCAAAGGCTCGGGTGGAGTAGATACTCATGACTTAAAAAGTAAGCTCACCGCCATGTACTTACGTTGCATCTCATTTTCTCATACCTCCCAGAACCTGTCGCTATAGTCCCCTCCAAGTCAAACTCACAAGCTTCATCCAGTGCAACTCCGTCAATTTCTTCCATGACCGGCAGCAATGTCATGCACATCCAAACCACCAGCAAACATACTCTGAGCCCTACATCTACCAGCAGCAATAGCGCAAGCCCGACATCCTCTTTATCGAATCAAATGGAGAGAGAAAGTATTGATACGCCATCGAACGCTGTTCGTGGATCTATTCTATCAAATCTCTATCTAATCGTTGGAATCATCGCCATTGTACTGCAACAGCTAGTCTACTAATGAATAATTAAATTAAACGTAATTAAGATAATAAAACTGAAGCAATGATATAAGAAAACCATAAACATTGGGAAAAGTTGACAAGGCAAATCACCTGGGATCATGCATATACGCAAGGCAGAAAAAAAAACGAGCCAATGATGCCTTAAAACCATCAAACAGTGTGTACTTTATTGCATCGTGCTTTGTAAGCTTCCTCCAATCTGCTCCACCATAACATCAATCGTATCACCATCGGCCATATCAAGCTACAGCAAGCAAGAAAACATAGAGTGAGTTGCAAGTATTAGTATTACACACTAAAAAGTTACCGATTGGGGTGTGTCTGTAGACTGTACACGATGCCCATCATACAAGAAACGAACGGAATCGGCAGCCTTTCCTTGACGTTCGCAGTAAGCATCCATCAGTTTCCGCAATGGGGTGGTTTGCTTGATTTTGAAGAATACTTCATTGCTGTCCTACAAGCGTCTTTAGGCGTATGCCTCATGTCAATAGCTGTTTTTCAATACTTACACCACTGACAACTTTAATGTTGATGTGCTCAGCACTCACGGGTTCTTTCTTTTCGATCTTGTTTTCTTCCATGACTTGAACCAAAGCGGATAAGAAATCAATTCACCAACTTGACTGACTTTATCGATTGTCGGTATTTCGAATGGTGGCTACTGCGAGGTCTGTAATCATAAGCGCTGCTTTACCTGCCTCCTGCCACTGCACACCGTCCACTGTAAACCAGCACAGCTGCAACAATGACAACAACATCAGTCTCATCGGAGCCACTTTCCTCCAACTATCTTTCCAGCTATACGTCTTCCACTTCATTCCACAGTTTTCCTCGACGACAATCCATATATGGCACTGAAGATCGCGTCGTGCTTGATATTGGTTCCTTGTACATCAAGTGCGGTTTCTCAGGAGAGTCTCATCCAAGGCACGTTGTGTCTACATGTTCAAGGCTACAGCAATCAGTCGGTCGAGAGGGGGAGTCTTATCGAATGGACGACGAGGTAAGAGTTTCTTCTATAAACAGCATCTCTTTGCTAGTATCTCAATGATCTCTCGTAATATAGCCTGCCGAACTCTACGACCTTGACTTTACGATGAAAAGCGATCTTGCACAACTTGAAGAAAAGCTCAAGCGATTATTGCATGATATCTATTACCGGTACGATCCAGAGCTTTTGCATTGTTTATACGATGTATACTAAACATTGATATCGGTAGATTGCTGTTGACAGATCCAAAGTCCCGCAAAGTAGTATTGACAGAATCCCCATTGGCTCCAATTGCCCTTAAGAATACCTTGGCCGATTTGTTATTTCACCATTTCCAAGTGCCTTCTATCTCTTTTGTCCCTACACATTTGATGGCGTTATTGACAACAGGAACAACCACTGGTTTGGTGATAGATTGTGGAAATTTGGAAACGAGTATACTTCCTGTATGTAGCGTTTTATATACACAATGTATAACAGGCGACTCAATTCCGAACCTTTTCATTATAGATCTATGCAGCGCGTCCACTTATACCTCATATCACTACTACACCACTTGCAGGGCGCGCTATTGGCCAGCGATTAAAGTCCTTATTGCTCGAGCATGCACGATATATACCTCCTTCACATCTACACACCTCATTGGCACCCCACACAGCCGTTCCTGAAAGCACCCTCACTTTTGAAGTGATTGAAGATATCAAAGCCACTGTTCTTTTCTGTTCTCCTCTTCTTGTCAGTATAGAACAACAGAATGATACAATTACCGCCTACAAGAACTTAAGCAGTGCTACGGATACGTACTACCCCTTACCATTGAAGGATGGCACCAATGCTACCTTATTGATACCAGGTTGGATCCGTGAACGTGCAGCCGATGTTTTGTTCGAAGGAAGCGATGAAGATGAACCAAGCATTACACACAGCGTACTAGACGCAATGCTAAAGGTTAGTATCGACAATACCCACGCAACATCATCATCATCATTGTAACTCTATATTCTTTTAGGTGCAACCTGATCTTCGCAAACCTCTGATGCAGTCATTGCTCGTCATTGGTGGTACAAGCATGCTACCAGGATTTCACTCGAGACTGAAACAGGAACTACTACGCGTAATGAGGGATCCAACGACTTATGAACGAAAGCGATATGGCAGCTTACTCGGTCTTCATAAATGGGTGCTCTTTGTTGATCGGTCAGAGAACAATCCTGGTGCTGGTCGTATATTTATGAACAATATTCGAGGCTGGATTGGGGGTAGGACTATCATGTTGAAGCAAAAGTGGCCATTATCATAGCTGACGTTATGTTTTTTTCTGCTATAGGATCCTTAATGGGATCACTCAAACTCTCTGTAGAAGAGATTGTCCGGGAAAAGTATAAGGGTACCATCACCGACTGGTCGCTTAATCGCTGGGGATCTTCCACGTCGTCGAATACTGCTGATTAAACGAGTTTGAATATTGATACCTGTAGATAAGATAATGCTTGTAATCAAACAATTGATATCTACTTAGTGTAATAAAATTGCATAGCTTTTCAAGTATCGAGAATTCAAGGATACCTCCAAACCCCAACGGAATCCTGTTACTGGTGCCTCCGACAACACATATGATTGGTCCCAGTATTTGTGAACTACTGCTGAAATAGGCTGCCTTTATTTGTATAATTGACAATTGCCTTTACGTAATAAGTCTCTATGCCACAGTCAACATTAGCACGGTTGGTGCTTCAGCATGATTCCAGCGATCAACAAGTCGTAACACTATCTTCCGCTTTATGGGAACGTATCGCACCAGCCGACCTTGGTGGAAAAGGTACATGACTCATCGTGCTGTACCTACTTGCCGCTCATTCATAAATGCCCAGACACGTTTCCTGTATCGATTAAGATACCTTGTCTATCTACTTCAACGCCTATCGACTCACCAAAAAAGGATGAATCACTGTCAAATTCCTTATCATCAATCTTGATCCATGCCAAAAGGACAAATGATTATCAGGTAAGCTGGTTAAAAAGTCAGCATGATCATAAGACTAATGACAGTCGTGTTTTATTAGGGGACCAAGGAATGCATATTTGTTAGTACTGCATTTATCGAGACTATTTATGGCTCTTGGGCATCTACAAGACTAGACGACGAGTACGAAGAATTCGATGCCGACGATGGAGGAAATTGTATCGCTCATATCGAAGCTGTCCAGCTAGCCCCATTGGATGAAATAGTCATTGGTGCATTAGATGCGTCATCTTTTCAAAGTTCACAGCAAGGTAAACCAGGAATATTCAGTGAGATACGGAGCTAAGCATTGACTTGCTTTAATAGATGAAGCTGCTGTCGGCAGACTTTTGACTTCTGAGGATGATGAGCTGAAAATGATCATACGCGCTGGTGGACGATATACCTTTGACGGCTATGATTTCAAGGTCCTAATGACGAGTCCAGTTCAGCAGGGATATATCAAGTCGACCGAAGACACGAGAGTTTTGGTTGTTGATCTATCGTCGGAAGACACTGCCGCTAGTTTGGATAACCCAGCTGTCTCAGATCAAGCCAACAATATTACAACCTACAATATGCTTGAAGCTCACACAAGTTCAACTCTGGTCGAGCCACAAGAATTCATTCCTCGCATTTTACAAAAACCATGGCCCGTCTCAAGGCTTTTTCCAGAACCGGGAGTTATGGATGATGATGAAAATCGATTATTCATTGGTGTGAAGGATTTGGCACGCTGTGGTGTTTTTAGCGGTGATTGGATCCTAGTTAGTGCAGCTGATAGCAAAAAATCGCGGCTCTGTCGTGTCTACGGTGTTGACGACATTGATTTAATCAATGAGCAAGATAGGTATGGAATGATTTTGATCATGTTTGTCAATTGTTTTTATGCTAATTATCATGCATAAGCTTTGTTTATCTTCCCCCGGTTCTATATCTCAACCTAGGACTGCCTCTACCTCCCACATCATCAGAGGAGGCCGTCGTATGTCTATCGCGACTGAATGTTTCTCCTCCTGAGTCTGGTCCAGATATTGCTAGTGCTGTGAGTATAGCAAGAGTCGCTTCATCCGCCTCCATGGATAAGTCCTTGCAAAATGCATTCCTTGAAGCACTTAAGCAATGGTTCGAAGAACGAGAACGGGTTCTATGCAACGGCGACCTCATCGTTATTCGCTTGAATGAGGAACAAGCACGGTTACATTCGCGGAATGATGATGAGTCCATTCAGCAGAAAACTATTGATGCTACGACATTGGCGTATTTCAAGGTGACTAGCATGGAGGAAGAGGAAACGAATGCCAAAACCGATAGCGATGGTATCCACCCTTCCTTCTATGGACATGGAAGAAGAATCGTACCAAGCCATACAAAAATGATACAAACAGGCATTGAGCATTCACGTGCACCGATCGGATCACTTACTCACTATTACGACCTTGTCAACAAACTTCCTCTTCACCGCACACAAACCCCAGCCTATAATCAGCTATTTGAATTGGTATCATCTTCTTTGCATCCGTTGGGCCGCGATTTCCAGCTATCGTGCAACGCTCTTGTTCAAGGACCACGGGGTGGTGGCAAGGCAACTTTAGTCCGTGAAGTGGCGGAAGATTTGGGAATTCATCTCTTTGAATTTTCTGCTTGCGATATTGTATCCGAGACCGATGCAAAGACAGAGGTCCATATGCGAGCTAAATTCGATAAGGCAGCATCATTGACCCCATGTATCATGCTTATCAGAATGATCGAAGATCTGGCACAAAAGAGTGCTGTAGTTGAGACAGGCCAAGGTATGGAATACTGATATCTTCATTTCGAAAGGAGATAACTAACATGTCTGAATATAGAACCTTTATTGGCTACAGTTCTACAGGAGTGTATTGAAAATGTTCGCGCTACGCACGCAAGCACTGGATTTCCGATCATGGTGATCGCAACCACTAGCGACATCGATGCTTTACCAACAAGTATTCTTGGTTGCTTCAGACATGAAGTTGTGGTTGACGTAAGTACTTGAACCAGATATCAGGCATATCTCTTTATTTAACAATACCAATCTTAATAGGCTCCTGATGAAGCAGCACGACTTCGTGTATTGCAAAATTTGACCTGCCATTCTCCCGTTGCTCCCGATGTCTCCTTGCCAACTTTAGCGACTCAAACTGCTGCGTTGGTGGGTAAGGACTTGGTGGATTTAGTAGCAAGAGCAGGTGTAATGGCACTCCAACGTGTCAACAAATCAATGTAAGGTATATTATCAGACATTAAGTGCTTATTAGACTGATTTTATGATTGCTTATACAGAGAGGGACAACAAAGGGGTAATCATTTAACAGCTGATGATATCAAGAAAGCTGGCGTTTTGTTGACGGCTGCTGACTTTGATGCTGCATTGAATGAAGCACGAGCGAGTTATTCGGATTCAATTGGCGCTCCAAAGGCATGTGTGATATTCTTCTATTGAAAGGATTGATGGCTGACAAGCTTAAGTATAGATTCCAAACGTAACATGGGACGATGTCGGAGGTTTGGCTCACGTCAAAGACGACATTCTAGATACTGTGCAACTTCCTTTGGAGCATCCTGAACTCTTTGGTGCAGGCTTGAAAAAACGTAGTGGTATCTTGCTTTATGGTCCTCCTGGTACTGGCAAGACATTGTTGGCGAAAGCTATTGCTACATCGTGCTCTCTCAACTTCTTTTCCGTCAAAGGACCAGAACTACTAAATATGTATATCGGTGAATCAGAAGCCAATGTTCGCCGCGTATTCCAACGAGCACGTGATGCAAAGCCTTGCGTTGTATTCTTTGACGAGTTGGACTCCGTAGCTCCAAAACGTGGTGAAAAAGGAGACTCAGGCGGCGTTATGGATCGCATCGTGAGTCAATTGCTTGCTGAATTGGATGGCATGAGTGAAGGTGGTGAAGGATCAGGTGCAGGCGACGTCTTTGTGATTGGTGCAACAAACCGACCCGATTTATTGGATCCTGCGTTACTTCGCCCAGGAAGGTATGTTCTATCTGTCGCTGCATCAACGATGTTGTATATCTAATGTTCCAACTTAGATTTGATAAATTGCTTTATCTTGGTGTGAGTGATACCCATGAAGCACAATTACGCATCATTCAAGCTTTGACCAGAAAGTGAGTGTTGATATAAGGAGACGCTTGATCATTCTCGATTAACCATAATATTAAAAATGTTACTAGATTCCGCCTCCACCCTGACTTAGACCTTATGCGGGTGGCCGAACGTTGCCCCTTCCATTATACCGGCGCTGATTTCTATGCACTCTGCTCTGACGCGATGCTAAAGGCCATGACACGTGTAGCCAATACAATCGAATCCAAGGTGCAGCGGCTCAACAATGAAAAGCACGCCGATTTGCCTAATCCCGTTACTGCTCAATATTATCTATCACGGATCGCAACTACAGAAGAAACCACAGTTCAGGTTGAAGAAGTCGATTTCTTGAATGCCTTGGATGAGTTAGTGCCAAGCGTGTCTGCTACAGAACTTGCACATTATCAAAGTGTTCGAGCCAAGTTTGAGCAGTCTCCAGATGACAATGAATCAAGTAATCAGCGTGAACAGGAACAACGGGAACAGGAACAGCGGGCACAAGAAGAAATCAAGCGACAGCAAGAGCAGAAACGAAAAAGCAAGGGTAAAGGCAAAGCCCGAGCCCAATAAATGTAAAAGTGCCATCTAGCAGAGACGAACATAGAATCAAGTATTAGAAGTAATCACTAAATGAACTTTTTGAAACATGTATCCATCACAGCCATTGCTACAAGAGGTCTCTAATCATAATAGCACGATGATGTGACGCAATGAGGTTCCGCGGATGTAATGTGCTTGTCACTTTATCACGCCCGTATAATCTTGGGCCATGCTTAATGGGATTCGCATATCAGATGTCATGTTTTAAAATGTAAAAGGTATACACGTTTATAAAGCTGGGCACAAAAGATTCCACAATTGCATATTCTCAATATTGACTACCTTGCGATTCGTATATGCCGTTCCAGCTGACACGCACATATTATCAGCTATCCCCAATGCATGAACATTCCACAGCATTACACGGTCATCCCAGGAGTAAGCATCCATTACAGCTTGAGTGAAAGCTTCGCTTCTTCCTGAATTCCAAGCAGTTGAATAAATAGAGCCACAGCAGAATGGTTGTGGGGTGCGCACAATGATACGTTGCTTTGGATAAACCTCGTGGGCAAGATAATGGAGTAATTTTGAAAAGGCTCTTGCGAATTCTGTAGGTGCAACAGTGCGTAATCGAATATCCTCATTACCAAACCCAATAATGACAATATCCGCTTCCTTCAGCTGAGCAGCTCGCCGAGATATAATTTGTCCCCAATTTGCTTCAAGGAGTGCTGTGTCCACGAGGTTAAAATAGAACTCGGTGTCGGCATGCCATGTTTCATTAATCTTCAGAGGAACATTGAAATCGGTTGCCCATGGATAAAGCTCGGCATGATCCTCATAATCGTCATCGCATATACAAGCACTCTTGGCTGATTCCATACACCATCTATTGCCACTGCTAAATGCCTTCAAATTCCTAAGAATTGTAGAAATTTAGCAATGTCACTTTAACCATAATACGAGATAATCAACCTTCGAACATTATTGTCTGCCCAAACATGCACAGTTTGATCCTCCAAACATTGAATAGCTTGTCCTATGCTGATATATTGAGGTTTGCAATGATCCGGGATAAAGAAGTGGTCGTTCTGAGCATGGTCTTCTTGTGGAGTGCCAAACATGCCATAGAAATCAAGCGGATAACGGCGTTGATACTCGTCTTTACTCATCCAGACGCCGTCTTGGTGAAGTGAATTCTTATAGTCGCATGGGGGAAGTGCCGTCGGTTGCTGATCATCGCTGACTTTGACAATAAGCTTATTTTTTGATTGGAAACGGAATGGTCGATAGGCGTGATGTGATGGTGCTTCCCAAAAGTATGATCTGTATTCGATCCTTGTGTCAAGATCATAGATGTCTTCGTGCATAAATTGGACTGCAGCGTAATATACGTTGGTTTGCGTGCGATGTTGTCGTAGCTTTACTGTACGTTTATTCTGTCGGCCTATCGCTGTCATCACAAGGCTGTCTGCGGGAGCCAAATGCTCTTCTGATCGAATGGCAGATGGTGCGGGAGTGGGACCCAGCTATAAAAAGTCAATCACCAACCATGTTCTTCATCACGTGACGATTTAAACTTACCAACACAACCACACATATGGTATCACCTTCATTTGCAATCACATCCTTGCGTGTAAAGTTTCCATCAGGTCTCATGAACATTGCTTTGGAACCCCAGCCATCCCAGTATTTGCGATCAGAAGCTCTAGAACGATTATTAAAAGATAGACCACAGATAATCACTTGACAATCCTTACAGCCAACCAAAGTCTACTAGATCGCAGGGAGCTGGCTCATTGAAAGCCGGGATTTCCAAGGATTCAGAATCGTCAATATCATCTGTGCCTGGTTGCTGATCAACTTGTTGTGTCTCGAGTTCAGTGTCAGGAATGCCCTCCGTTACAGTTCGGGTCTCTTGTTGCAAATGAAGGATGGTGAATAAGAGAACCACAATTGCAGCAACAAAACCGATATTCCGCCACTGTGTTGATATCATGTAAGAAGGAGAAGCTTAGCAGGATTGTAGGCAGTTGCTGGCAAAAGCACGCTAGCCCCCGATCGGCACTAAATTTGCGATTTTGGACGCCTTGTCACCCATCTCTACATTAGACACCAACCCAACGTAGTGTACAGCGAGGCTTTACTTTTACATCACCAAGCATGCTATTACCATGATTGCTTTTGCCTCTCTCTCCTTCTTTCTCTCTTCTTCCGATAATAAAGATTTACTCCTATCCTTGCAACCAATATAGACAAGTCCACAAATGAAGAGCATAAAACAGGCACATGTACAACAACGAAGCAAAAACAGGCAATATATATCTTGCGAGCGAAGCAAGAGAACGGGAGACTAGTTCAAGGTTATAGCATTTCACACACTCTTTATCTACTCTTTTCTAGATTGCACGGTGTTCTTCCTTCTATATGCAACGATGAAATCCGATAACACACGACGTGCCTTCGCCCAATGTTTTTCTTGCACCGCACTATACACGTATAATCAGTAACCGAGATAGACCGCAAGGATGCAATGTGCTATTTACCTCACATAGCTTTGAAGGAAGTCATTTTTCATGTTTGCCGATATTGTCTCTTCCGGGATATTTGTAACCATGAAAACGATCCATTCGCTTGATTCCTTTGGGAGGATTTGCGAGAGAGTTTTTAAAATGCTGGCTACCTCCGGAATGATATCCCAGTTGTAATGCGAGATTAATCCTTGGAATAAGATATTGAAGAAAGTACTCCCACATTCACGGAAGAGCTGCGTAACTATGTTGGCGTTCTGATCGGCGGCTGCTGATTCGGCTACGGAGCTATCTGATGCACGATGGTGGTTCACCGGTACTGCAATATCCAATAACTGACGATAAAATGCGACCACAGAACCAAGGGCGTTCTTTTCATCAAGTGATAAACCAACAAGACCACCTTGGAAGATTGATGCCAACAATGGGCTTTGAATGAGATTGGTTGGTATAATCTTCAGCATTTCTGTGATCAACCGGAAATAGTCGTCTACCACTATAAAGTACTTAAATGTCAGCTCTCGATCATTGTACCAAACAATGGTCAAAGGAATAACTTACCATCGGGCATGTCTTGAAACTGCTTTTCACTCGCCTTCGAGAACATAATTGCGCTCATACGTTCTACAAGACCGAAACAGCCTGCTGCATTTTCTGGGCCACCTGAACCATATTCCTTGACAATCTTATGAGCCACATACAGGTACACGCTCAAACCGCTGCACTCAAATCCACTTGTTATCCGCTCGATTAACTGGGGTAGTAACGGCAAAAAGTGAAGCTTGTAGGATTGCACGCAGTTCTTGAAGCATTTGCCTAGTTGTTCGCATACGGGCATGTCGTCGCCAAACTTATCCAAGCACAGATCAAACACAGGCCATAACTCGTTCACAAAGTTGACACATGGATGAGGTTGACCAAGAGGAATGTCAGGATGGATTATTTCCAAGAAAACCGCGATTTCATCCAACAAATCTATTTACAACTCCAACTCGTCAGCTCTCGACAAATGTATCACACATAGCACTTGTTTACCTCCAACTCGAACTGAATCTTCGCGTGTAATTGAAGCTTTGTCTTTCATTACGATCGTGTGCAAGTCCTGGGCTAGCGGCAAGCAGAAATGCTGTAGTGTATCCTGCATGTTTGCAATTGGAACCGCAGCAAGCACATGTGCAACAGCTTCGGTCACATCAAGCGCATCACTAAACGGAAGGCTACGTATGATGCTTGTGTAGAATGGATGAAGATCAGATACGTAATCTACTAGTAGCTAATAGCAGCTCTTTTCAGCATACGTATCATTATCATTGGCTATATGTGTATACCTCGCTACAATCCTTGCAAAGATATTTCAGTGCCAAAGCGCTTGCCGCGGCCACTTCATCGTTCTGAAAACCAGCTGAGATGAAATTGAGCTGATAAGTAATGAACTGTGGATGTAGTCGTGTCCAGAATGAATATCGTGAGATGACCAGTGTCGCTGCATAACGGATTTTGGGATGATCAGGTAGTCTGGATAATAGCTCCAATATCTGTGGCATAACTTTTTCTTCAGATTCTGGTACTTCAGATCCCATGGCCCGCAAAGAAAAAATAGGCGCCTCTAGTTGTTGCCATGGTACAGGTTCTGTTTGATCGAGCAACGTCTTAATTTTGATGAATGGCTTCTCCAGGCATCTCTCAGCACCTAGTATTTGGCAACAATCCTTCAAAGTATCACCCATTTCATGTCTGAAGTCTCGGAAATCGTCACGCTCTTCAGCTGTCCAAGAATGGGAATCGTCGGGATAGTGAAGATGCATAATCATGATGTCCACAAGTCTGTCAAAGTACCCAACAAGTGCTGGTAGCGCAGATTGAAATCGAGGACTTTTGAGCGTATCGGTAAGCTCATACCAGAATTTGAAAGTGATTGGAACAATTTCAAGGTCGCTGTAAGATGTACATTCCATCACACCATCCAAAAGTGCTTCGAGTGATGCCGGATGCTGCACGATCAAAGGAACGTAGATTTCTCCTGCTGTCACAAATAGACGACAATAGCCACGTACTGTATCGCTGTCCTCTTCATTTTTAGCTTCTTTGAGCTTCGCCAATAGTGGGACAATAAGGGTATAGATAGCCTGGATCGTTTCACGGGATTCGTTTACATCTCGCGTCTCGTACATGATCTCACAAATCAAATCGACAGCAACATCGAATAGCTCTGGGTTTTCCAATGCTCCAAATGCCAATCCAATCAACGGGCTTTCTGATAAAAATCCTGTGCCTACGTCTCCAGTTCTGAGCCAGCTCGAAAGCGCTTGGAACACGCATTCCAGAATGCTGGTATTGCCAGCTATGTATAGAATGAGCATACATTGCTATATACCTTGTCAATGAGTCTTACCGCTAGCTTGCATATACATAAGAAGGATCTTCATTACTTCCTCGGCATTCTTTTGTACGAGACTCATGCTTTGCTCCTTGAATTGGCTATCCTAAATACACTCGTTCTGATTAATGGCTGCTTTTCAACGCTTCCTACGCACTTACCGAAAGAGGTATACGGCTATTTCCATTCAATTCTTCGGGGAGCACTCTTAGGAACTCGATTACGCAAATGCTCATATCCATTGATCCGCCAAACTTATTGACCATATCTTGGATCGCAGTAGTCCAGCTTGGGATTTGGATTGCAAGATCAGCCAAAGCTAGGCACAGCTGTAGCGTGATGACTTTGGGTCCTGAGACTGAAATTTTGAGTCGCTCCACTAGTGAATCCCGTAACGAAAGTCGTGCAGGCTCATCAAGATCCCGTAGGTCATAAACTATCTATGCATATCACCAAGAACATGAGCACATGTTGGTTATCAAAATTTAGCGTATTCACCTTTGTTCGCAAAGTTTGTGCGGCAAAAAGGCGTGCCTCCGTATTGTAATCAGTCGACTCTAGTAGAAAATCTGCTGCAGACCATGCCTCGGGCTGTGGTCTTCACGTTAAAATCAGACCTTGAAACGAAAGAGACAACAAACCTGCTTCTGGAAATTGTCAAGCCATCGATTAGCGGATTTCTTTGCTTGTAGATCGGGAGCAGAATACAACGCTGTGAGCGCTTGTAGTACTTGGGGGATCGTGGCGCTCATTGTGAAAGACGCACTTTAATTCTCTTTCAAGACTCCAGCCTAGCAGCAGCATTTTACGTGCATTCTCCGACAAGTATTCCACCGCCATCTATTCACCATCATTGACAAAACGGATACATGTTACTGTGATTTGAAGTCATCAAAAGTATACCTCTTCTTTGTTATAGGTTTGTTTCCTTCAGCTAACTGGGATAGCAAGAATCTTGTTTTTTTCACACTAATGACCTTCTTACCTTAAAATAAGGCATTTTTTGTCGTCCACGTGATTTAGTTTGTATCTCACTTTGGTCATTACTTTTGCAAACATGGTACACAAGCATAATGCAAACCTTCTTATCACTAATACTCCTGATAGTACCAGCCAAGCTCTTCTGGTAATCGTGCTATATCCCGCCGGCTTGTGCTCCGCAATTTGTCTGACTCACTGCTGCTAGAGCACCATGCTGGGTTTAGCTATAGAAACTATTCGGAAGCAATAAAATCGCAGCCAGGTTTTTTTTTCCCTTCTTTTTTTGTGTTTATTTGCATAAAGGCCGTTCATGTCAGATAAACAAAGCTGGCTTGAGCAGGGTATAAAGCGATCATCGGATCCTTATGACGAAAAGGCTGAAGCAGTCGTCGAACCAACATCCACTCTATCCGATGGCGATGAATACCACCTCTCAGCGGCTGATATACAACATGGAACGAAACGAGGTCTAAGTGCACGACATATTCAAATGATCTCATTAGGAGGAGCTATTGGGTAAGATCTTTTGGCTTGATTGGGCTTGAGCGATATGCTCATGCATAGGACAACGATTATAGCACTGGTCTTTTCTTGACTACTGGTGAAAATATTGCAACCGTGAGTGACAAATGAAACGTCTAGCTCTAAGATCTCCCACTAACCAAATTAATTGTCGCAGGCTGGCCCGGCAGGTGCATTGATTGCCTATGCAATTGTCGGAATAATGGTAGGTTGACGGTATTGGTGGTGCAGTTCATAGCGTTAATCCAGGCCTTTCAGGTATATTGTATTATGACCTGTCTTGGTGAAATGGCAACATTCCTTCCTGGTAAGCTTGAGCAGATCACTGATCGAGATTATCAAAACCTCTAAAATCCCGACGTTCCGCTCAGTATCTGGTTCGTTCAATCATTACGCCACCCGCTTCGTGGATCCGGCATTTGGGTTCGCACTTGGTTGGAATTACTGGTAAATATATCTAAGCATTGATATTGTATCATTCGAACATTGGACCTTTGACTGATGATAAGGGGATTAGGTTCAATGTAAGTGTAAACCTGGGGTAAATCGGCTTTAGAAAGAGGCAACTAATGACCTGTCGTATCATAACTCTACTTTCGACGCTTCACAGTGGGTAAGTTTCATCAACTCCGCGTTTGAGTTTTGCCGAGACTAATAAGGCACGATCATTGTAGGCCGTCAGCATAGCCACCGGTATGTGTCACTTGAACCAAAACGAACACTAGCTTACATGTTTCCAGAGTTATCCGCGGCTGCAACCATTATCGACTTTTGGAAACCTGTAATGCCCGACGCTGTTTGGTCGGCGATTTTCCTTGTCATATTGGTTGCAATCAACTTAGTCAGTGTGAAGTAAGTAAGCTTGAGCGTAATTTCCATTGATTTGACACATTATCACTTCAGATTGTATGGAGAGCTTGAATATTGGTTTGCGATGATCAAAATTTTGATCGTGATTGTTTTTATAATCATCGGTAAGGGAATGTGTGCATTTTCAATAGCATCCAGTACGCTCACTATAGCATGATTCCAAAAAGCTATTTGTATCGCGGCTGGTGGTCTAGGTGGTCAAGTTCTTGGATTCAAGTATGTGTATTCTTAAACATATTGGCATTGAAACTTACCATCAGATGAACTTCAAGGTATTGGAGGGACCCTGGCGCTTTTGTCGACGGCGGTGTCGGCTTGGTCAGCGTTTTACTTACAGCAGGCTTCTCTTTCCAAGGCACTGAGATTGGTAACATTCCATATAAGTGAGTTTTGATGGTATGAATAACCCCCTACATATGCACATCTAGTTGGTATTACCGCTGGCGAAGCACAGAATCCAACAAAAACGGTTCCGCGCGCAATCCGCAATACCTTTTGGCGCATAGTGTTTTTTTACATTGTTACCATCTTCCTATTGGGTCTATGCTTACCTAGCGATAACCCTGATCTAGCAAACACTGATGACTCTGCAGCTACTGCCTCATTTACTCTTGTATTCGAACTAGCAGGCATCGAAGTGGCTAGCCATGTGATAAACGCGGTAACTTTGACGAGGTATTGTTCAACTTAAACGAACTACTGGTGAACAGCCGTACGCTTACAAATCAATATCAGCGTTTTATCTGCCGGTAACTCTGGTATCTATACCTGTTCACGAACTTTACTGGGCCTAGCACATGACGGGAACGCACCTGCATTTTTCTCGACAACCAATCGGTTTGGTGCACCCTACTGGGCGGTCTTGTTTTCATCCAGCGTTGGATTTGCATGCGTATTTGCGTCAATATATAGGTTAGTTGCATCGAAGAAAGCGATCCTAGGTAAACATGTCCTTACTGAAAAGGGGTGTAATAGTGCTTCTGCTGCATTCAATTGGTTCTTAAGTATTACAGCAGTTACTGGGTTCATCAGCTGGTGGGGTATTGCTGTCATCCACATGCGATTTCGTCGTGCTTATAAGCATCAAGGTACGTACCTATAGCAATTATTTAACAAAATCTCATATCTATCTCAAAGGGCGTGATTTGAAGGATCTACCTTATAAAACGTTTTTGTTCCCCATCCCGTCGCTGTTTGCATGCGTTTTATGTATTTTGATCATCCTTGGTCAAGGTATGTCAGCTTAACATGTTCAATGCATGAAAGATTAAGCTCGTTATACTACTCCAGGTTACACGGCATTCACTCCTCACTTTGATGGTGTACTATTTGCTACTAATTACATTGGTATCGTTCCTGCTGTTGTTGCTTACGTTGCATACAAACTTATTCGACGCACACGTGTTGTATCTTTGGATGACATTGGTGAGTGTTATCTGGTCTCGATATATATCAACGTACTGACTGTGCGCTACCAGACTTCGATACGGGCCGTGTCACGCAAGCTGAGATTGTTGCGGAGGACGAACACGAGAAGAATCTACCATGGTACAAAAAGGCTCTCAATATCATAGCATAAACCAGTCTCCGTTGCCGCTTCATTTCGCTTGACTCGGCGTTTTTTTCTTGTTCAATAGTTAATTGATAGTTACGTTTTATTAATTCTCACGTCCATTGTTGTTGATAGCTTCATTAGAAATCTATTTATCAGTTATGTTTTCTGCATGAATGATCGCCACCATTGCATAACTCAAATGATTATTATAACTATCGATTCATGTGAAGGACCGTGAAATGTGATAGCTTCCCCTTCCTATAAATATCCATATGATCCTTGTTATGTGTGCTGACTAGAGATGGTGATGGTCAGCTCCAAGAAGAAAAACTTTGCGAGGTAGTCAAGCAATAAAGGTGGATGTTTATCCGAAAGCATACGAGCAGTTGTGCATGTACCCCTTGGGGACAATGGGAGCTTATCAATCGATAAGAAACAAGACAAGATCCTGGTACCAAGCGAATCAAACCAGCCCGAAAATGGACCACATATAGCACCTTTTTATCCGCTCGCTAACCCAGAAGGCCGTTCTCAACGATGACTACACCTTGGAAAGCATTAATCGAATCTCGTCTACGAACTAACATTGAGCAGATTGGGGCGTCAGCAACGTACATGTCTCTTGCTACTGTGAAATCAGACAATACACCTGCCAATCGTACAGTTGTTTTTAGGTAATAGTTTTATGGTGCTATGACAATATACCGACTTCTTATCGGTATCAATACAGAGGCTTCAGTGGGCAAGATCATCGTGAAGATACTGGGTGGCAAAGTGATTTGCTCGTTATCACCACTGACTTGCGTTCCCAAAAAATGAAGGACATTGCCCATAACCCGATGGCTGAAGTCAACTGGTAACTAGAGCTAACTTGAACGCAATCCAGTTAATTAATTAGACCTGAAAAGGTATATGCACTCTACTCAGGAACAATTCAGACTATATGGCAAGATACGTGTTGTGGGACATCACAATTCACCAACAGAGGATTTGAGCAAGCGTGTAATGCCGACAAAAAGAGTGGATCCCCTGGCAGTCAAGGAATTGGCGACCAAGGCTTTTTTGATCAATTCCAAAAACGACACAGTTTCCTTTAATTGGCAAGCGGAGAGACTTCGACAATGGTATCGAATGAGTGATACTTTACGTCCGACCTTTGCTTCAGATTGCCCATTCGATGCGCTACAAATCAAAGATGTTGACATGAGTAGCGGATGGTTTATCGCATACGACAATGTCCAGCAGCGATTTTTGGAAGCAGGCTACGAAAATTTCGCGGTTTTACTCTTGGATGTGGATAAAGTTGATCATTTGGTTCTACCTACCGGGAAGCACAGCTTATATTATAAGGTTGATAATCAATGGTTTAGCAAGGGATTAAATTAACATATGCCCAATGCCCAACGTGATATCCAAACTTCAATAACAAGATGATGCTCTTCAGCGAAGTCTTGCTTATGATCAAAGGTCAATTATAAAGAATTTAGAGTAATGAACCTTCTTCACTATTTTAAAAGTGACCAGGATAAAGAAATGACAAAATGCTTTTGTTCCTATACCAGCCATATATTGTTGGGACCAGCACCACTCCGTTGTGACGCCGTTTCATTGTTCAAGAGCCTAAAATTTGCTCACCAATGCTTTATCAAACAATGGACTGTAGAAAACAAAGCTACAAATGCGTGTGGTCCACTCCTGTATGTATGCATTTTAGGTATATATTAAATTAACGGTAAAGGACGCGGCAATCATGAGGGGAAAAGACACGGAAGAATGAACTTCGCCACGATGTGCATAACCATTGATATAAAAATGACTACCCTGGTTCTTTAGATTGGGTTGCTTTCTCCTTCGATCCGCGCAACCAAAAATATGATATTCGGCCCCACCGCTGTAGTGGCGTTCATTGGCATAACTGCCAGAGTTATAGTAATGGGTATGCATAATCCACGCTGGCAGAATATACCATAACATTAGAGCTGCTTGTTAGGTGAAAATACTTTGGAATGCCCAAATTATCAATACAAATGTCCAGATTGCCCATCAGGCGAAACTTGTGTTTATCCAAATAGTGGCGGATGCAGTGGTGCAGGAATTCCCGTTTGCAAAGCCGAATGCAATGGTATAATGTGCCTCACTCTTTCTACCCCATGGCAAGTATGATACGAACGATGTGACATTTTTTAGGGAACTAACCTGTATGAAAGCCCGGATGATTGCCCTTACTCATGTCGCTACACTGGACCTCCATGCTGTCCTTTCCTTGGAGAACCAATATGCCAGTCTCCATGTATAGTTCCATGCAAAGAAACACCTTGCCCAGAAAACTGCCCTGATAACTGCTTTTATCCCGATGCTGACATCTGTTGTCCAAAAAGTGGACAGCCCGTATGCTATGATAAGCAGAGAAAAAAAGGCTCATCTTCAATGTCGCCACATTCTGCATCATCCGCATTAAACATCCACTGGAATATCCCAGCAACTATATCGGACAAGTCACAGTGGTATTATCAAGGACAAGAACCGTCATCGAATTGGTTCGCGCAGCCTACCCACAATGCAGCTATATCTTCAGCTGGGTTGGGAAGCAGCTCTCTGGCAAGCCATGGTTGCCCTACGTCTTGCCCACCATTACCCACACCGACCTGGGGAACATGTACCACTATGCAAGATGAAGGTAGTTGCTGCCCTTCCATAGCTTGTGTTGGTGAACCAATATCTTTCGTACCTCCTGAGCTTGAGAGCAATAACGATGCCAACAATACAGTATGTGCCGATTTTATCATCCCTTGGTAAGTGAATAAACAGCGTGTAAGCAATAATTCTCATCTAATTCGATGTCAGCCCGGACGAATGCCCTGAGACATGTAGTTATCCGCAAGATGTCCTGTGTCCATTCCAACATCAGCCTGTTTGCCCACCTAAGGAGGTAGCGGCTGTTGCAAATGACAGTGAAAGTAGAGAGATTTTGGAGCCAGTCCTGACTTCTACGCCTTCAGCACATATCGAGACAACAACCGTCACTGAATATGTCCAAACATCTTCTACTACCGTTTGTCCCATGATAATGTACATGTGGTAAGTTGCACCTAATTATAACCGATCACACCCCCTAATCCCTCTATGATTAGTCCTAAGGAATGTCCTGACAATTGCATACGACCCACTGATGTACCATGTCCATATGCGGTTCCGCCACACTGTCCGTGACAGGTGATATATATCTCGAAAGGGAGACAAAAATGTTTATAAAATTCTAACTGCTTCCAGATGAACAATAAACTTTATCTTTAACAGTATCGCTATCTACCAGAGATAAAGGAAATCGCTATAAGGAGCGTAGTTGTATGCTTGTGAGCAACTGTCAAAATTAAAAGTAGTTTCTACCGTTATGCGAGTACTCGTCTGAAAACGGCTTACCAAATAGCTACCAATAAAGTATTTTGGACTACGCATTTGCATTCTGTAACCTGCAGACAACAGGGCGCCTATAGATATGCGAAAGGACCATTAACAAATAAAATGTCACCCATGGTTATTTCCCCGCTACTGCACCACCCAGTAGCTTTCACTGGTGATGATGATTATAGCTGATGCGTGACGAGGGCAGGTAGAAGGGTAACATTGCGAGGACGTTTGTCGTTTATGCGAGGCGATAATTCTAGCACGTGATGCTATGTTGTGCATTTGGTGCAAAGTGTAAACAATCATCAAATGATCTTCCTCGCCATTCATGGAAGTGTTATGTCTCGCATTGTGCGCAACGCATCCAATGGTTTCCGAATAGTAGTAACAGTATTGATCAAAAGCTTTCGAGTACCGGCTATTAAATCTCACAATTGCAAGCCGCATGTCGTTAACTATCCCAATGATATCAAAACATCTTCTTGAATGACACAGTAACATGCAACAAACGTACAGATAAAAAACACAGAGTAGACGTAAGAATTGCTTGGGATAATATGTACCCAAGAAAAAGATTGTATATTCAGAAGTGAATTGATAATTAGATTAATAGTATATCCAGAATCAGGTGGCTAGAACATTGAATTGTGAAAGAGTGGAAACTCAACAATCCATAGCCGGGTATTGCTTCCCTCGTGAATCACGTTTGCACATTGGACAGCGACTGTTGAGTACAAGCCATTCATGAACGCAGGTCTTGTGAAAATGATGATTACACCTGCAGAGTGTAACATTACATGAGCTTTTGAACACTCTTCATTGCCCAAATTCACTTACCATAGCTGACAGAGGATATCACCATCATCATAAGTAGATAAACATATAGCACAAACGCGGTCCTGCTCGTTGGGGATTTCGATTGTATCGAGCTCAGGCTCATGTTCGATATGGTGTTGGTCATCGGACTCATTCGACAATCCAAAACGGGTTTGTAATTGACTCCAGAAACTATACGTCTGTTCATGGACCACTTGCTGCTGCTGTGGCTTTTGGGGTAACTCTTGCATCTCCATATCCTCAGTAGAAGCAGGGGGATTTGAAAGAGACTTGAATCTATATACCGGGATTCGTGCAATCTCATCCTTTGAGGCACCGCCCATATCCTCCGCATCCTCCACATGCAGCATACGCATCCCAACTGTAAAAACTCGTAAGCAAGAGTTCATATGATGGTGCGATATTTCTCTTACCCAAAACACACGGTAGGCAGAATATAACAGCTGTACATAGCAGAATGGGTACAGAAAGTACAACATATCCATATATGATGATGACAAACGATAGATAGTATAGTGGGACCGCTGTCTCAGAGCATGTTGTTGACGTGAACAGCATGTAGTTACCAATAATAAACCACAGCAATGCAAACATATCGAGAGCTGACTTGGCCCTATAATACATTGAAAGTGAACATGGTATTCCATCATTCTCACGTAATCATTCATAGCACTAGATTTACCGGTCTATCCAGCTACTCAGTGATGTGTCATACTCGGTATTAGCTGGCGATGAATTGGTTGGAGGTTGACGATGATCCGTTAGCATATATGAGGTACCTGCCTCAGCATCAACAATAGCGTCCGAACCAACGTTAGAGTTTTGGTGAGGATGATGACGATTGTTGTCCTGCTGTTGTTCTTGTTGTTCTTGCTGCTGTTGCCTCCGGCGTCTTGGGGCAAGATGTAGATAAACAGATAACGGTGCAGAAAGAAATACGCGCAAGATATACACCGTCAAAAAGACTCGTAGTGGTTTATCGCAGTACATATCCCAAGAGAAAGTCAACACCACGATCGTCGCAATCACCTGTTGTGTGTCCGCGGTGTGAGTGGACAGCCTGCGCATTGCTTGTCGTGCACAAGCGTTACCTGGATGGCAACGAGCGCCAATGTCGACGCAAATAAAAGTTTCGACGTTCTTGAGCTGCGTCTCCAATGCACTGCAAAGTGACTAAACCAGTGTGAACGTACTCGTCGTGATGTTGGTGCTGCGCTTCGTGAAAGGTGGACCGCATTCGACGGAGAATTGGTTAAAATGCGTTGAAGAGCAGGACGGCTGGATGAAGACGAGGATGAGGATGAGACAGTAGAGGTGGTGGAAGGCTGATGGCGATGATTAAGCCTAGCAGCGGGAGGCATTCGAGAGGGTTGGTCTCTCCTTTAACGAGAAGCGATAGATAATCAGGTGGTGTCAGTCGAAGAAGGAGAAAAGACACAGAACTGGCTCGGGCTATTTGCCCCCCACCTCCACCTGATAGTTCAGCGGACATCACATCGATGAGATAGCCTCATGGATAGGCAAGTAAAATAGGGAAAGTATAGTATATGGCCCAAGCACAAGATCGTACGCTGTGATAGAAGCGATAGATCACAGCTTTAAAGAATACAATTCACAGTATTTTGATCGATTGTTGTAATCGACAGTGATAGCGCCGAGTTATCCTCACCCAGGAAGTCCACATGTATTAACGACATTCACGCCATGTATTCATGCTTCCATCATGTATTTCATTCTTTCTCTCTTCTTCCTTCCCTACCATCTCTTGTACATTCCATCATTGCTTCCCCTGCTTGCCTGTCAAGTAGATCATTTATTCACTTTGGATATGTTTAGTTGTCCATATAAAGCACCATCTGCCTTGCTCAGGACTTCAGGTGCAAGGTGCGCTGTCAATGCCAACTCCTAACTTGTCTATAGGAAATGCAAATGTGTGTGTAACCGAAGGCAGCAACTTATTCCGCAAATAGCTCTAATCATATCAAAGATTACGTGCAATAAGGCATGTATTTATGATTGTATATGATAGTCTACTTTATACATATCACATGTATAAATGTTAAACTTGCAAAGTTTACCCGCACACTGTTCGATCTCCACTCTAGCAAGGTGCGAGAAATTATGCCGACCCATACCGCCTAACCTAATCACGCCTACAGTGGCCGTACAGGAAAAGACGCCCCTAAGCCATAACTTTAAAATGAAGCATGGGGGTCTTATTAGAACAAGGTTGTCCGGCGTGGCTGGAAGTAGCTAGTGAGTAAGTGTCAGGTTCGTGGTGGGCAATCTGGGATTTAGCGAATGTCATCATCAGCCCAAAAAAATATTTTTTTTTTGGTCGTCGAAAAAAAAGGTGATGGGGTGGAGCTGGATGGGGGAATTTTAGAATCGTCGTTGTGAACGTTCATGTTCACAGACAACGACGTTTCGAGCACGACCAGCAAGTTTTCTCAAGACTGGCCACGATTGATGGTAAAAAAAAGTTTTGGCGAACTCTTATGTTTTTTGCTTTTAAGTGGTTCCTTGGTCACGTGGTCACCTTTTCGACCCACATCGGTCAAATGTACCCGGCAAAATATAGAGCCGTCTTTGTTACACAAGGCCCAGACCCAAAAAATTTGTTTGCATGGACCCCAAACTCAAAAATATTGCAGCCTCAAAATTTTTTGGTGGCATGGTAGTCGGCTTGATATAGGGGTACAAAACGCCCGCTGGGTAGAGTACAAAACGTCCGGTGGGTAAAAGTACAATACGTCGGTGGGTTAACCCACCGACGTTATGTGCGAACTGGGCTGTACACAAATCGTCACCCGATTGGTTGAATATTTAGACGGTTTTCGAGGCTACAAGGACACATTAGGAAAATAAAGCTCCATTTTAATTACTTATAGCAATATTTAGGCTTGATATGTATCTAAGAGCTTCCTTTCCATAAAATTGATGTAATAATGTGAGTCAAAGGCATCTGCAAGAGACACCTTTCTAGAGTTTAATACCACGTTTAGTCCTCAAAGGTGCCCAAAGAGGTGATTTATACATATTTAATAACATCTTGAGATCGCTTCCTCACATTTGATGACTTTTCGCGAGTTTCAATGGAAGGATTTATTTACAAATACCTGTTTAATGCTGCATAGCCGACGTAATGAAGAAAATTAGAAATATTGAAAACATTCTTGTCCCGTTGTAGATATCACCTTTGATGAAATAAATGAAAAAAATAATAAATCGGATACAATACATTGGTTGATT